AGATAAGCGAGGTCATGCCAATCGAGAAATAATGCACAACGTATGACCGTGCTACAGGCTGGGTTTTCTTATAGTGGATTTGCCGGGAAATTATGCAATTTTTTGAAACATGCAGGTCATATAAAATTGTGAATTGTTAGAGCATAATTAAAAGTTGAAACACAACGAATTCGTAAATCCATTAAGCATCAGTTCATTGTTATTTAGTTTTGCAACATATAATGGGACGTATCACTTATTAGATAAATTAGAGTAATTCAATTGTATGATGTATTGTGGCACATATAACTTTGACGAAACGAAACAGAAGCAATGATGCCTCATGCATGCGTGGAGTTGTTGTATATAAATATATATTAGGATTCCGATTCCGAAAGCTATGTTGAGTGACTATCGCTTTCAAAAACCCAATAATGCGTCAGTATTGATAAACAGTAAGTTGTTTGGAAGCTGGTGTAACTTACGTCCTTAAGATATCACGCACTATAAAAGACTGAAAATGTCGAATTCATTGTGTATATCAGTTGTTTTTGTGACAAACGTATCAAGACTATTCAATTCTTGCACTTGTTTAAAACAATTTTTTTTCCTAAAAGCAATTTTCTGTGGGAATTGGGATTAAACATTCTAATGACAAAATATTCTAAGAAAGTTCATGCTGTATTAGCTGCAGATCTCATCGCGAAAATTAACAAAACATGCAGGGGCCGTTTAGCTTAAGCGGTGTTTAAGTTAAAAATAGAAAGCAAGTCTATCGTTTTACTCACAAGAAAAATAAATGTTTTCAACCTTAATATAAAGATACTGTTTAGAACTACATGCATATTCAGTGCATAATATTCAAGTTGACTCATTTAAGAGGGATGTAAGATTGTTATTTAATTTTGACATATCTGCCGTTTAAGTTACAACCGGGCTTGAGAACTTCTAATCTAGACCAGAAACCAAGTTTTAAACAAGTTTTACTGAGCTAGAGCTTTCTTTAAAAGAAAGCTTATAAAAAATCGTTTTATTGAATCGTTTAAAATATGAAAGTAAAATCCGTGCTCTTCTTGAATCACCAACATATGTAAAGAGCTAAAACGAGATCCTACAGCCAATATTGGACGTAAAGTATGTTCTAAACAATCTGAACTTAGAAAATCAGGTATTTTGTCTCAAAAGCTTCATGATTACTTGAGACCTTCATGTAGTGTGTGTGTAGTCGTTTATCGCTATCATGGCCCCGACTATCATATTTAGATGTGTAGATGACACATTAAGTAGTTGGTCGCATGGTTTAGAAATTTTAAGATACAGAAGTCTAAAAGAATATAAGACGAACTGCGAGAAAGGTAAACTGGATAAGTCTGCTGTAGCTCACCATGCGTGGATGAAAAACTGAACTTGGTTTATGAAGTTTAGAAAAACTATGTAGTTCAGAGTTTTTTCAGTATTCTTCTGCATACTGTTCCAGGGATTCCTTTATTTGAGGAAATACATCATGAACTGCATCTTTTCCATAAATGCAATCAAGATGCCCGTAATCAGGAATTGTTATCCTGGAGTAGTTTTGGTGAGGATGAGCTTCTTTAACGAGGTTTAATGTAGTTAGTGTACTTTCAGGTAGGTAACAGCTGTTCTTTTCACCTAGAGTGCAATAAAGTGACATTAAAATAACAGAAAACCCCAACATTTTAACCCCATATTTGATTAATTGCAACTTTTTGTGTGCCAATCTCTAAACAACTTTGCTTTCGCATTTTAGCTGCAACTTTTGTCATCCAACAAACGAGGTGAAAATATTCACCAAAATAAAACCGTCTGTGAATTGGCCAATTCTGTAACTCACCATCGTTAAAAGATATTGCCCTTACCAGCAATAAAGCGTATTGGCAGATTAAGACGATTAATGTGTTTCTTGTATAGTGGCGACTTTAAACCTTTGTCACTGTCTGGCAGATAAATGTCTTCTCCCGAAGAAGATACCAACTTTTGCCATCTCATTGTCAACGCAAGTTGAGCACTAACCAAAGTTGTTACGTAGCCAAAGAACTCGTGCAAGGTTCCATGTGTCAATTCTGTCAGATTCGCGTGCTCCCATAGCAAACCATAAATAAATGTTATTCTTTCAGAAAAAGATAAAATTTGGTTATGGCAAATAATTCAAAATTAAGCTTAGCAATATTACGATAATAGCCGGGAACAATCATTGTACGACATCATGCAAAAAGCTTGTACAAGTATCCTACAACGTACAAAACATTTGTTGAGCAATTGCTACGAACAATTACCTACGAACAATTACCTATACGTTACGATTAGATAATGTTACAGGTCATATATACTTTAATATTGACATTCTAAAACTAAAAAGATAATCAGCGTATAAGATATAACAGAACCTACCTGTGGCAAACAAGACTTTGACAACGTTCACTCCTTGGCAGGACAAGATGATTAACAACTGCCCCTGAGAAACCATTAAATATTCGACCAAAGAACGACGCATGCGCACTTGTATCAACGGTCAAACCATTCAACCCGATGGCGTAAGCAAATTCTGGCAAACGCAAACTAGACTTGTATGAATTGAATGGTGCTGGTATGGGATTTGCTGCCACCTGACTAGCAACGACATTTCTAACTTTGCCTTCCAAAGCACCTGAGAGAAGAGACGCAAAGAGAACGAGAGATCCTGCACAGTGTGCTACAATTTGGACAGTTTTCTACAAGAAATAACCAGTATAGAATTAAGTTTAAACTTAAATCCCTTATATATCAATTATCAATAATGGTGTCGTTTCAACAGGAACAGGGGTTTGTTTGCTCGACTGTTTTTTCAGCTATCAGGTCTGTTAAAAAATTGGTCATAGCACAAAATGTAATCATGGCAGAATGATTGTTATAAATTATTTTAGCACGATTTTTCGCCACCTATTTTATTCACCTTATTGGTAATGTCCAGTACTTTATCAATAACCGCTGGATAATCATATGCTGCACAGTCGTCCAGTGTGTATTTTCTTTCAACCATTAGTGGAAGGTTACATGAAGTACGCCAGTCAACCAACCAAATATCATACCTGCATACAAATACAACTTAATTAGCTCACAAAGTCAAGAAGGCGAGGCCTATGATATGTCGATTACCTGAAATATTTCACTGATTAATGTTTGAATCCCTATAGAGGAACTAAAATATTGAAAATCACTTGCCCATATTGCAGTAAATATTCCAAAAGATTTGTGTCAATGCTATCCAATGAAAATATTTCACTGCTCACGCCTGCCCCATGAAACATAACGACCGGTCCTTTCGAGCCTCCCTGGTAACGAGTCACAAGAATCTGAAACTAAAATACAAAGCAACTTTCATTGATGATTAGTGAGTAAAGAAACTTGCAAGACGTTCATAAATATTTCTCGTGTGAAATTGTTGAAACTCCGGATCGAAAGCCATCATCATCTGATGAACTTTAGGCTTTCAATTAAGTTACAATTAATACTTAGCGATCGTGTATAACACCTCATCTTGTGTCATAACTTCGTAAACAACAGGTGTACACCCTCTCAGTTTTAGAGATCTTTTCTGTCTTGGGGGTTGATCCTCGTCATCATAATCGATATTATGTGCCCGAACCCCAGGTCCATATACATCCCATAGCGTCCTTGCAAAAAACTTTCCAAATTTCGAAAGCCAATATGCTTTCTCACGAATACTTTGAGTGTGGGTGATCTCAAGAGTTTCCAGTTGCTTTGCAAAATTTGGAATGGTAATATACAGTTTTGCGGTACCAATAATCTCACCAGAGAAATTCGCTCCCCTGTAAACTTTAACAAAGAGAACAGTGGTGTCATGAAGACCAATATCCCAAAAATGATTTTTGTGAATATGCTTGACACCATCGAAGGAGTAGGTGGTAGTGCTGCTCTGGTCATTCAAAATCATTTTGTAGATCATTTGTTTCGACGGACTTTTTTTCGTGTCGTTCTCAGCTGGGCTGAAAAGTTGGAAGCGACCTAGTAAAGAAAACCCAAGTTATTTTAGCCTAGCACTGAATTTATGGGCTGAAATAACTGAGTTATAATCGTCGTTAACGCCATCACTGGTTTCCAGACATAGAACGTTTTTAACAAACGAGATAACATATGCCTTGTTTACGCAAGATAGAGCCGGTGAAATTTTGAATCTTGGGTAATTAAAATGATATAGTCTCTGCGTAAAAATAATTGGAAACTCGATTCGTAACAGAAAAATAATTTTAACATAAATTTACTTTCATATAAGCTTTTCCCTGTCTTGCTTGTTTAGTTTATTCAATAATCGTAAACATTTTTATCACATTGTCAATTTCCTGCATGGCCGCCGTAACGAGTAATCAAATCAATTGAAACATTCAGATCCGGTTAAAAATCTTATAAAATATGAAAGATGCTTTAAACTAACCAAATACTAAAACCGTACACCATACAGTTGCAAGGCCTTTGAGATTGACTAATCAACTGGTACAAAATAATATGGTATAAGTTATATATTTTTCTAACCTTCTGAAACTGATAACGGCGATGATGAAAGAGCTGGACACGTGACTGTCCCACTGATCTTAGCAGTATGATTTGGATCAAATTCTATCATCGCCTCGACATCATTCGACTCAATTGTCAAAGTAAATTCACACAATGTTTCTTCATCTTGGTCTTCAGCCCGAATAAATTTCCCAACCATTTTCTCAGTGAAGCAAATTCCTGGTTTTTGTTGAGAGAACTCATTCCCACCTGATGTAAACGTAATAAATACATTGGACACAGGACTCGAAATACACTGGACTCACGACTCGAAATAGTCTTTCTCGCTAAATTATTTGGTGTATGGATATCACATTAGCCGGCACGCGCAGGCGCTCAGGTTGGCGATCTGTCTTAAGGAATAATATGGTTGGATTTTTCACCGGAAATAAAAAAAACAAACGGTAACATTCTTATCCTAATTTTTGTTCTTCGGTCTCATTCCAACTCACCAAGATGTTTAAAATTATAATTGATGTGCCATCCTTCTCTCTTAGCTAGGAGTCGCATACACCGTTCAGCGACACACGAAATAGTCAAGGTTGGGTTAACTCCCACAGAGGTTGGAATAACAGCACCATCTACTACATACAGACCTTCTAAGACTTCCTTTGAGTCACCTACACAGAAAGATAGAGAACTAGAATAAACTGCGAATGTCATTATCGCTCCGACATTGTTTATTAAAGTTTAAAAAACAATGCATAATATTACGTGATATGACGAGAAATAAATGACAACGCACGTCGGAAGTTCGTCATATTGGTATAATCGTAAAAACAATTCCATAATTATACTATGGTCTGATAAAAAGCCGCATTTTAAGTTGTAGCCGCTTTTACTGTAAGGCAGGTGAAAACCATCTACATAAACAAAAGGGTGAACTGTTTTTTTCTTACATCCTAGAACCAACTTACCTTTAAATACCTGTCCAGCATGATTGACCACACCAGTTTCACCAGACTCCGCCATACGACACCCGCCTAATGGATGAACAGTGATGATACTTTTTCCAAGATATTTGCTCCATGAAGGATTTTCCACAAACGTACCCCCCAACTTTTCCGCGACTTTCCTAACAGCTGCATTGACAACATTGAAGTTTGGTTCATCTTCAACGTCTTCATAACTGATGCTGATGTCATCTGTTTTCGAATGGTAGTTGACTTTACCACGGGCGCCGTCACGACACATCCCAAGAAATGTCATTGAGTTGTCCATGGCCTCACAAGTGATATCAATCCCGTGCTGGAAAAGTATTAAAATGACACTGTGTAATTTTTAGCCTTTTGTTCAGTCAACTTGTTTGAATCGAAATTAAGATTGTCCAGGCGAGATCAGGGAAACTTCACGCATTCATAAAGAAGGTTAAAAACTAGAACATTGAGATATTCTTTACTACCAGTACCAGTGAATGTCTTTACGCAATATTTACGAAAATAATCTATCATAAAGAAGATATTTTATAATAATAAAAAATCAAAATGTGATCTTTCCAATTACCTTAGCAGCTGCGGTGAGAACAATAGAATAAACACTACCCACTGATGAAGGCGGCGTAAAATCTTCAATAACAAAACCAGCCTCCTTTTTTCCACTTCGTCTTCTCAAATCAATCACAGTCGTGTTGCTAGGGCCTGGAGCTACTTTCTTGTTTGGACCAATCAGATCTTTTGTTTTAACACCAATGGAATTTGTCTCCTTTGCTCCATCGTAGCTGAACGCAGGCATATCGCCGTTTGTTGATAATCGAGTTCCAATCGCGTGTGAAATATTTAAACCACGTTCTTTTGAACGAAGCAAGACTTTAGTGGATCCCAGTGCCCCAGCTCCTAGGATCACATGATTCGCCCCGATGATTTCCTCAGCCACTTCAAAGCTTCCTTTCACCAATCGTTTGTAATGAACTAACCATTCGTTCGAGTTTGATTCGCGCGCAATCGACATCACCTCTATCTGTTAGAATTACATTGAGAATTGAGAATTGAGAAAAAGAGAATGAACATAAGTGTTACGTTATCAAATGTGACTGACGATATCTCTGAAGAAGCTCCGACTTTCTCCCTGGTTATCGTCGTCGTTTGTCTAACTAAAGACACATGTTGCATCGTTAACTACATGCGCTGTTTACCAGTTTACCACCAAATTGAACCTGGACAACGATTAAATTCGCTCAAATAATCCTGGTGTCATACGTTCAGTAATACGAACAAATACGGTACCTTTGTATAAATCTCAGCTCCGTACGCTTTAGCTTCAGCGATGTAATTCATATTCAATGTATTCTTTGCTCCGACATTACATCCGCCACAACAATTTCCACACGCAGTACATTTAGGCTGTGGGACTCCGACGTGATTCTTTTCTTTATCCTCAAATGTCACATAAATTGGTGTTTTATAAAAATGCTTGTGCAGGTCTTCAATATCAAACACCGCAAATCCCTCTTGCATGCGTTCAATTTTAGCCAATTGGGGATAGGAATCCGGGTAGGGTGTAGGTTTGAGCATGTCAACCACGTGTGTTCGGTCAGTTTTCATCAAGGTTTCAACATCATTGATAAATTCCACTGGCCAGTGTGGTTTTTGGTACACTGCAGGCTCAGCATCGAGAGCAACATTTGCATTGATGAGAGAACCACCACCGAGCCCACAACCTTGCAGGACGCTTACGTGATCACCCACGTATACTTCATACAAGCCGTATGGTTTGCCTGAAATGAATTTAAAGAATGACTGGAAAATTAATATAGTGATGAATAACATAAATTGTAACTGGTGATAAATCCAACGCTGTTTCTTCCCCAAATGGCCCATCACAGTTCATGGTGGGATAAAACGAATTTCATCTTTAATTAAAGAACATACGAGCTAATTTTCTAAATGTCCTTCCAAGACTAAACCCCGGAAAAGAATCAGTGACCACATGTATGCGGATTCTCGCGATGGAAATCTTTAATTGTCACAATTGTCAGTCTAAAAACCCCAGCCGGGTTCCTTCCATCTAGTTTATAGAAAGAATCCGTCTGATACTGCTATCGAATGAGGATATATCTGATTATTAATTTTAATTTAGCAATTTACCTGAATGAAACTTGTGACTTCCAAAATGCATGTGCAAATCACGTTCTGCATGCAAGAATGTCTCGGGAAACTCGCCAGGTGACCACTCTTTGCCTTTTTCTAACAAGCAGACTGATTTACCAGCGCTTGCAGCCCGACACGCTGCGATAGAACCTCCATATCCTGAGCCCACGACCACCACGTCATAATGAGGTTTTATTCCAGCGGCAGGTGAAGAAAGTCGAGGAAATTTCGTCTTTGAGGGATCCATGCTTGCACTACATAAAATGCAATTATATTTTTCCCTGAAATCAATTTTCTGTGGGAATTGGGATAACTATATTCTAATGACAAAATATTTTAAGAAAGTCAATGCTGTATTAGCTTCAGATTTAATAAGGCAAAGCATCGCGAAGTTCAACTGAGCATGCTAGTCTAGTTTGAATACAGAAGTAATGCGTGCAGAAGTAATGACAAAAAATACAGAAGTAATTCAAGTCGGGGGTTTTGGAGACAAGATTTAGGGCTACTTATGTGCTTTAAATTCAGAATGACCGGACGTCTGAATTTCTTGATGCCTTAGTTTTCATTTGAAATGACCGGATGTGTGAACTTTTTAAACGAGTTCCTGATTTTTTGATGCTGCGTGCACCTGATCAGGAGATTTGCGTTTCCATCTTCTTGGAAAATAAGCGGGTCCATGCAAGCAAAAGCTCTTTCCCCCTAATGCATGGCAATGCTATAGGCTGGATTTTCTTACAGCGGATATGCCACAATCCATGCCGAGAAATTATGGAATTTCTTGAAACAGGAATATAAAATTGTTAGTTGTTGTTTACAAAACCCTTTGGCAAAGTGATCAATGCCATTCAGAGCATAATTAAAAGCTAAAACACAACGAATTCGTAGATCCATTAAGCATCTTCATTGGCATTTAGTTTCTCATAATGAGACGTATCACTTATTAGAGAGTCAGAATAATTGTATGTGTGGCGCAGATCTATTACGAAACGAAACAGTAACAAAGATGCCTCTTGTGTGGAGTTGTTGTACTTACAAATATATACATATTAGGACAGTTAATTTCATTATTTGCAAAATTTTTAGATTTCATTTAATTCTACGTATAATCTATATGGATAAAGTTGATCGTTTCAGGCAGGGGCCTGGTATTCTTTTTTTCCATTAAGTCTTAAAGAGTCCATTTTTAATTTCAAACTAAGACATTCCGGGCCTAAGATTAAAACAACGTTAACTTTTCTTTATATACTTACCTTGACCCTTGACAGCTTCTCTTGGATATATTCTGATTCCGAAAGCTATATCGAGTAACTATCGCTTTCAAAAACCCAAAAATGCGTCAGTATTATAAACAGTAAGTTGTTTGGAAGTTGGTGTAACTTTTAGGGCAGCTGAGTTTTGCGGAACCTGAATGAATGTACTTGAAATAATTTGCATTCTATATAAACGCACATTGTTTGTTTATGAATACCTTTTGTATAATTTTCTTGTATGATTGCATGGCGACTTTAGTAATTATAATAACTTGTAGGTACACCACGTAAGTATTAAATACTGCAAAGCTTTCGGTCCGTTAACCCGGACCTTCATCAGTGCAATTACTTGAATACACGTTTGCGCGTCACTTAAATATCATGTTAGTCGTGATTAGTTTGCTCGCGCTATTAATTAAACCGTTTCATTTAATTAAGTTCTAATCAATGCGCGCGCCCTAGACAAGTATTTGACTAAGAGACACCGAAAAGAGCACGCCACGTACTATTAAGTGGCTTTCTCTCTTGGACGATAGTTTGATGTTTATAAATTTCAATAGATTCTCTCATTTTACGAGAGACAGTAAACTTATCGTTTGCTAAAATGATACTACCATTAAAACGATGCTACCATTTTAGCAAACGATAAGTTTACTGTCTCTCGTAAAATGAGAGAATCTATTGAAATTTATAAACATCAAACTATCGTCCAAGAGGGAAAGCCACTTAATAGTACGTGGCGTGCTCTTTTCGGTGTCTCTTAGTCAAATACTTGTCTAGGGCGCGCGCATTGATTAGAACTTAATTAAATGAAACGGTTTAATTAATAGCGCGAGCAAACTAATCACGACTAACATGATATTTAAGTGACGCGCAAACGTGTATTCAAGTAATTGCACTGATGAAGGTCCGGGTTAACGGACCGAAAGCTTTGCAGTATTTAATACTTACGTGGTGTACCTACAAGTTATTATAATTACCTTTTGTATAGTTGTGCGTCATTTGAGATATGAAAAACTAATTACGTCCTTAAGATATCACGCATTATTAGAGACTGAAAATGTGTGATTCATTGTGTATATCAGTTGTTTTTGTGACAAACGTATCAAGACTATACAATTCAGCACGGAAATCATACCCCGTTTAACACAACAGCACGCAACATGGAGCCGCTGAATACCAAACTTCCTCCGATGTTGTTGCAAAATTCTTCCGATGTTGTTGCAAAATTCTTCCGATGTTGTTGCAAAATTCTTCCAATGTTGGTGCAAAATTCTTCCGATGTTGTTGCAAAATTCTTCCGATGTTGTTCCACCTGGACTCCGAATCAGCTTTTAACTTCTTTTAACTTTAGTCATTGTGTGTTCCTATTAGAACACGGGTTCATATCTCTACTATATAGCGTCTATAGCTAGGATTACCATGAATAACAACTTTACTGTCTCATTTAGCATAAAGAGTCTACTACGTACACCATCCTCCGAGTTTACTTATCGATAATAGGGAGATTTAGCACGAGGACGTGAACGTCAAAGACGACGTGAAAATGGCGAATAAATGGCGTGATGTGCCCAAATATGGACATGCCACGCCATTTACTCGCCATTTTCACGTCGTATTTGACGTTCACGTCCTCGTGCTAAATCTCCCTAATAGTAGATCATGGTGTGGATTGATTATATTGATTATCTTCTAAAATACAAACTAGACATGATTCCATTAAAATAATTAATACTGGATCGATTATCAACCGAAATTTACTTGCCTTATTAAAAAGAACTTGGTTTATAGAGTTTAAGATATGTTGTTCTAGAGTTTCTTCAGTATTCTTCTACATATTGTTCCAGTGATTCCTTTATGTGAGAAAATACATCATGAACTGCATCTTTTCCATAAATGCAATCAAGATGCCCGTAATCAGGAATTGTTATCCTGGACTGGTAGTTTTGGTGAGGATGAGCTTCTTTAACGAGGTTTAATGTAGTTAGTTTACTTTCAGGTAGGTAACAGCTGTTCTTTTCACCCGGAGTACAATAAACTGTGACATTAAAATAACAGAAAACCCCAATATGTTAACCCCAGATTTGATTAATTGCAACTTTTTGTGAGCCAATCTCTAAACAACCGTGCTTTCGCATTTTAGCTGCAACTTTTGTCATCTAACAACTGAGGGGAAAATATTTACCAAAATAGAACAGTCTGTGAAGAATTTTAGCGCAATATTGGTGCCATGTTAGTTCAAGTATAGATTATTTCCCGCCACTCTAGGCTTCTAAATCCATGCAAATCCTATCTTTTAACAGACACATCCAACTATATTTATTACGTTCTTTATTTGGAAAACGCTTTACACTCACTGTGCACACAACTTAGGTATAGTTATAACGCAGACTACTACATCCACAAGACCACAACTGCATGATCAACCTACTGATAGTCAAGTACAAATTATACGTCGAACAGTTATTGACAAATGGAATATTTTTCATTAGACACAAGCAATCCAAGAAATGCCTACGCCATAGATCCTTGTGGTAGACCAGGTTGAAAACCTGACGTTAAAGCTGGTCGTTGTTATATCCTTAGCATAACAGGACACACGAATGTTGTAGTTTTTGTCGACATCAAGGGTAGAAAATGACACGCTAACAGAAGGCTTTTTAGAAAAAGGTTGTGGAAAATGGAGATGGTAGGTTTTACTACCACATAAATTAGGCCAGCATCCCTGACCAGTGGTACCCATCTGACCTAATGAGACAAAAAAGGGAAATATTTTGTAATAATTTAGCGTATACTAACATACATATATATATATATATATACAGTCGTTATCAAAAAGGTTGTCATATTGAAATATACATAAATACGTAAATATCAGTCACGTGATTTTACTGCATACGTTAATTTCATGGGAAATCAGTGAAATTCTTTGTTAAAAATTTCATAAATATAATAGTAAGGTTAACAATATTGATAATAATAAAGAAACAAGACAAAAATGAGCGAAATAAAGCCTTTTTGATAACGACTGTATATATATACATATATATAACAGTTGCAGCAATAACCTACTAATTAAGGACACCAAGCAATTTAAAGCTGCCAATCATTTGAACATGATTTGACAAAATTTTAAAATTTTACTCTATTTCCCGACAAGTACTCACATCCCGATCTGCGAAAACCTCGTCGCTCCAAAGTGTTTTCATCTTTTTCAACTCTGTACTTAGCGATATCACCGCTCTCGTCGTTCTATAGAAAGTAACAGAATAAAAGTAAATAGTAGAAGAATTACGTTAGATCTGATGGTGTTGTTGTTTACCTAATTATTAGCTATTCCAGGCTTCATTTATACATGCACAATAACTTCGGAACGCTTCCTGGAAAACATACTCGTAACCCCAACCATAACCGCGCTATGTCTAATATTTTATTTCTGCCATATCCTATCTCTTTTTTTTCCCCATACGAGTTAATTATATTTAACTGAAGAGCTGGTAATCCATGCAATTATTCTTACATTAATGGAATATGATCAACGTTTTTCCCACGTACCGCATTAATTTTCTGGAAGGTTCGTTCTCCGTAATTTCTTGCACTAACCACGCAGTTTGCAAACTAAATTTATTTAATGTATTATAAAATAACATGTATATAACGCGTGTTCTGATTGGTCGAAGTCCGCGTTTGGATCAGGCCATCCAAACACGGAAATTAAATAATTTAAATTTAAATTCAGGCCGTGTCGTTGACATTTTATAACACAATTACTTAATGGTTTGAAGGTTTCCGTGTTTGGATGGTCTGATTCAAACACGCGGGAATGTTGCGAGAGTAAGAAAAGTGTGCGAAACACGAGCCGAAGGCGAGTGTTTTGCGAGCTTTTCTTAACTCAATACTTTATGTTATTTTATATCTAGCATACGAAATCAACGATAAGAAGTCACGTGTGATGGGCGTGGTTATTAGTATTCTTGATACAACGTTTCATCCTAATTACGACCACAATGCGGGGCGTTGGTTATCAGCGTAATGCGTAATTCAAAAGACTTAAACTCGTGTTTTATCATATTTCAAACGCTCTTTCTCGCGTCTTACTCAATACTACCTATATATACAATTATGGTACGTTTTGAATTTACGCACACTATTATATGATTTCGATAGCTGCCTAAAATGTTTGCATATATTTATAATGTCGTTTATAGATGAATTTCCCCCATCCTCAGAGCACAGGTACTTGTGTTACTACAACTACATACATTTCAAATACTCAGTATACATTTTAAAACATTTCCCCATGCATGATTACACCCGCTTTCTACGCCGTTGTTATTAAATAACTTATTTAACCGATTATATATTGATGATATACTCTCCAATACCCTCTTACCAGAAAGGTTGCCAAAAATGTCCAGAAGACGGCCATGATAAAACTTAAAGCAACGTGTTAAATAAAACTAGAAAACACGGAATAAAAATGTCATTAACATGCACGTATATTAATTGAGACGAACGATCAAAACGAAGCAAAATTTTGAGATTCATTCTATAAATTCGAGAGTGCTAACAAAGGCAAACGTACAAGTCAAGCATTATACAATTCTGAATACAAAGATACCTGATAACAATAACAATGAATTGCGATATATGTTTGTTTTTCTCTCACTGTAGTCTTGGCAGTTCTGCCGTACGCAAAAGTCTGTTCAAAACATTTATCATTTCGACACCAGTCACTTCTTCCTTCAGCAATGGGTTGTACTCGCATCAATCGACACTCAAAAGTATGACCTTCAATGTTCTCAAAATGTAAATTTTCAGGCTCAAATCCTCTTGTAGAAGATTTCATTTTGTAGAAAGAAAGTAGAAGACAATCATTTTGTAGAAAATTTTAAACCCAACAAATTCGACCAAGAAAATGGACTGAATGTAGCCATGTCTTATGTCACGTGTTTAGTTGAATCAACTTTGCTTCCTATTCATTGATGCTCCGAATCCGGCGTGTTCTACTTGTTTCTTACTGCTTTTTTCAATTTCCTCTCTACCTGGCCTACATGCCTAACCCTAACTGAAAATGAGCAGTAAACGAACCACTATACCTAAGAAATTGACTTTGTATACATGTTATGCACTAGAGAACGCAAAAGTCAGTTCAATATCATTTCGACATTTATTTCTGACCTTCAGCAATATTAATTTAAGCGGTTGTATTTCCGTCAATCAATAATAAAATATACGTCCTTTAGCAGTAAAGTAAATATGCCTCGTGGGAAAAATCTGCGTGGTGAAATATTAACGAGGTAGTGTTTACACAACGCCACGTAGCGCTCCGTTTTCGTTCGACCAAGTTTAGAAAGTGTGGTCGTGTCGCTACAGCAAAGGTGACGTTTTCGAACAAATGCGCTCCTGTGCTTTGTAAACGCAACCCCGTTTTGATACTTTTTTGCACCGTTTTCAGACCGATCCGGATTAGTGTAAACGCAGTCTAATTTACATTTTAGCCATGCAGCTTCTCGGAATTTTCTGAACATCGTGCTTGGGTTAAATAAACTAAAAATATCATCAAATAATGCCTAATGCATGATCAAGAATAACTTGCAATGAAAATTTTGCATGGAATGAATACTGTATTCCCTCCATCACAGTTGCAAAATGTGTTGCTTGGAACAGACTAATGCAAAGATACTTACCCAAATGTTTAGCAAGAGAACAAAACAGAGTTAAATCAGAGTTATAGAACGGGTCATGTTGTGTGTAAAAATCATTGATAGAAAAAATAGATAATATCAACATAATTTATGTGGAACGGCGTTTTAATGACTATTTTGTGTACCTAAATGTATTTTGGTTTAACTGTATTGTTTGTGCAATAATCGTAAATGAGTTTTGAATAATGCTATTGAGACTCGTTTCGTGCTATCGATTTTCACTAACTGGAATACATAATTAGGTGTTTTTATTGATTATACCTACTAGTACTGTTGAATGTAAGTTCTTTCTATTGAACATAAGCAACGCGTAATTGAAATTGAATCTAATGATTTTCGTTTTCACTTAAATGACCAGCAAATGCTGTAATAATAAGAAGAATGAATAATGCGTTAAAGAAATAGCAGTCTGTTTAATTAATAATATGTATATCACGCCTATTACGCCCTGTGTTTTGTCATTTTGTCAAGTGAAGTGACTAAGTTGAATTATTATATTTGGGTCGGATTAAGCACTAGAAGGCTTGTCAACAAGCGTCACGTTACTCACGTAATATTCAGCAGATCTATTCATTCCTATTCATTGGCTCTAATTTCATAGCAAGTCTCCATTAAAACAATATTAGCTAACAACATGCAGATAATCAGTATATTAATGTAGCCAACATATTCATTTCATTACTCTTCTGAAATTATACTTTCTTGCTTAAATCATGCAGCAATTTCTTCAACAGATCCTACGGAATCAGCGCAATGAACCTTATGCATAATAGACCAACCTATATGATTTAGGCGACAAAAAGAGAGGGAAATGGTAAAAAAAACGGCATTCAAAACTTAGCAAAATTGCCAAGTGTGGGTACAAAATATTGTGAAGTACGGAACATTTGGTTACACACTCCGTAATACAAATGTAAACAAAAATTGCCTACTTCGCATGGCCGTATTTGTACTACTCGACATTTTGCATCCAAAACTTGGCAATTATACTAATTGTCAGTGGTAATTTATTGCCTTCTTGTTATCTAGATCATAATTTAGTCGCTTGGTCAGTATTATGCAAGTTTTATCCAATCATTTATCCAACCCTTTACATGGTATTCAAAGCACATGCACTATACATGCAAATAGCTTTTCAAATATTCCTACTCCAGTTTCCCTCTCCCCTGTCCCACCACGTCTCGTACGCCTATTTAAGACTACCAGCAAACTATAATCAAATAGTATAAATTGTATACTGAAATTGTATACAGAAACTCTATTCAAAAATATTTTTAAATAGTTCAACTTGATTATATTCTATTTCCACCTTCCCCTCTTGCACCTAAGTCGTGGTCTCATATAATTCTTCCCATAATACGCGCTCAGATACTTTTCCGTGCTGTTAGGACATTTTGTATCGAGGCCTAGGAATGTACAGGGCTTTACAGGCAATATTGCATCCCGATCATGCATAACGTCCCTGTATTCATCCCAGAGTTGCATACCATAATCTTCGATCATGAATACATCCAAATAGATGCGAGCACCAAAATACATTCTTCCGTGGGGATCAAGTACTGCGCACGTATCAGTAACACGTCGAACCACGTCGCCTTTGCAATCTTTACGGGGTGTATTTGATGCCGGATGTGGTGAATGTCGATGAAGGAGAAGATGGATTTGTCCATCTTTAAGATTGACTGGATACTTTGCCTCCTCGGGAATGAGTTTCCAAAACTCACGGCGAAACATGCAAACATCCACATCAGAATCATACGGAATAAGATCACCGTTACGAACAGAGCCCAAATATGAACCAAAACAAATGAAATATTGAGTAATATTTCTGCGTTCTACTAGTTCACCCCACTCTCGTAGAATTATCTGCAACTTCTTGCGGTATTGATTCTCTCGGCAACCAGTTCCATAAAACGCATTTTGTGCATCTAAAGTTAAGTTTGGTAGTGGAAGGGATGGCGCTGGTGTTGTCGGGACAACAGGTTTAAAGGTCTTTGGGAAAACACGTGTATTGAATAGTACAAATTGGTAAAACAGAAATAAAGGTATGCACGTGAAGATGAATGCAAGAGGGAAAATAGATCGCCGTAGCATTTTCAGCAGAATGCGATTCCTTCTGAAACTCTATAATGAAAATGTTAGGAAATAATGTCTCCTAGTATGTAAATGTTGTTTGTGCACACATTAGGGGCTTTTGGAGGTTGTGACCCCCCCCCCAATCTTTTGTGAAATTAATCTTAAAATCAGTCCGAGACAAGTATAAATAAAAATCGATCCGGAAATACTTTGCCGGTGGAGTCTAAATCCAGAAGACGTTAATATATCGTGCTTGTCGAATTTTTGACGTCAATAATGCACTTAAACTTATGACTAACGTATTATAAATTTCTAATTGTCTACTTTTTGAGTCCCTGGTAAACTATTTTTAGTCCCCTCAAATAATAGGAGATAAAATGCTTTGAAATTGAGTATTTTAAATTGTATATAGTTTGTAGTAAAACAACACCGTAAAAACAGTAACAATTTAAAACTGGTTACCTCATGATCAGATACATTTACATTTTATTGGACCAATTTTTATTAACTGAATAACTAAAATACCTAAAGTGGTGCAATTGTTTAGGGTGTATGGCTAGCGTCGGCGAGCTCGGATTTGTTTTGGAACTGAGATGCAGTACTGATCAAAAGTCATTCAAACACTGTTTTTACAGCCCTCATAAAAATGCTCATATCTACTTTAAAACAAAAGCAATTCAGTGCATGAAAATTTTACATTTTACATTTTTTTTTGCACTTTTCAGCATTTATTCTAATTTATTATTTTAAACCGGAAATACATTTTTAACTAAACAAGTGCCATTTACTACTTATTTGAACAATGCCAGTAAAATGTGTATAGCTTTCAGTGTCGATCAAATTATAGCCTGTTAAAAAAATAACAAAACATTCAAGCATTTTTATGCCTTCTCTACATTAAGGATGTATTTGGAATAGGTTCTATTAATCTCAGTCTGTAATCTACAACACCAAAAGACCCAAGTTGTCGAGTTTTGAGTATGTAATGTTTTATGCTCATTTAAAAATTTATGCACCTAAAAACTTATTCCGAAACTAACAAAATTCTGGAACGGAATAGTAGGATAGATAAAGGATCTTGCGCACCATGCAGCGACCTCAAACAAAGGGAATCCCAAATTCTTAGGACAAGTGTGAACTAGCCCTTATAATGTAGCCAGGAATATTTTATTCCCAAACTCTTTGGACAAGCTTTAAAAAATACACGCCATTTGTATATAACAATGAAAGTGTCCCGCAGTAAACAATCAATGTTCCCCCCGTTCCATGCATGCAGTGATACAACTCCTTAGAAAATTTTCCAGCGAGCAAGAAGCACTCCAGTTACATCTATTCATGCATTCCAAACTTTATTTGAAAAATCCTTTATTAAAACCACATAAAACTATATGGAAAACTGTTATATAAAGAACAGTCCTTTTAAGAGATCTAAGATAGCTACTAATTGTAGTTGGATTAATCAGATATGATAGCTCGAAACACAATATGGCGACAGCTAGTAGAGAAACTGATAAAATTGTAAGAATAATCCAAACAATCCGCTAAATATTATGAGGCTAAACGAAGCCAGTCAAAATAGTAGCTAAAGATCTATACCCATAGAGTCGTTCGAGGACAAAAGGACCTAACAAAAGCGAGAAAAGTGTTAAGATGATTGTTTCGATGAACGAGCAGTGAACACTGATTCATTAACATTAATATGTATTAAACATTTATAATTGTCAGCCAATAAGGACTGCGTAATATATTGATAGACATTTTAGTCATATGACACTGTTATAGGCACGCACGTGTGAATAAGCGCAAGGATAGTATAGTCAGATGTGGACATGCGTTTGTGAAAGGATCTAATCTGTTTTTAAAATGTGAAATTGGGAATATTGCTAACCAGAATCAGGAATTTATTATACGGAGAAGTTATACGGAGAAGTTATACGGAAACAGTTTAAGCCCTGGATATTGCCACAGAAGTGAGTAATCTAGATCTAACATGTAATTACATATTCATATTCTAGGCGCATTTATACTTTATAAATAACTGGATTTTAAATTTAGTCTTTATATATTATTTATCTTATTTTAGATCGAATTGTTTTACTTGTAAATAAAATATTAATACGATACACAATATCCAGTTTATGTGCGATTTATCAACTTACGGAACCAATGATAAGTTCCCGCCAATATGTTATTCGCGACATGCGATTGGTTGACTATTATTCAGTTATCGTTCAGATGAACTGGCGGACATGATTGAGATTTATATTGGGAGTCAAATGTATTTGTTTATCAATACTTATTAAAATATATGTTACAGACAAAAAAGGACTATTTCAAACCAAAAGAAACTAATTTAACAGTTGAAACGTCGACACTTACGCGATATTTGGAGAAATACCCCAACATGACAGACCCAGAATCTACCAGAAGTCGTTGCCCACAGGAATGGAGTAGCAAAAACACCTCGGTCCCTGCTTAGTGATGTCTGAACTACAGTCTGGGTGTATTTTTTATCTTTACCACGACTAATTACTCTTGACTTCATGTAAACAGAACGTTTAAACGCTTCTTTCGTTACTATTAGTACTGCACGTAAATACAGTGCAGAATCGAGCACTTAATTCTTATTCAGTGACAAGTATACTTTAAATGCTTTTCCATAACGGTAATAGTTTGCTGCCATATTGCAATCATCAGGGCAATAATTTGAATGCAAATTTGTTCGTTTAACATCTTTTCGTGGAATACAAAAAGATCTTAATCACATGCACACTTAGGGTGCATGGCTAGCGTTGGCTAGCGTTGGATTAATCGGATATGATAGCTCGAAACACAATATGGGGCTAAATATTATGAGGCTAAACGAAGCAAGTCAAAATAGTAAAGACCTATACCCATAGAGTCGTTCGAGGACCAAAGGACCTAACAAAAGCGAGAAAAGTGTTAAGATGATAAGTTCCAGGACAATAATTTGAATGCAAATTTGTTCGTTTAACATCTTTTCGTGGAATACAAAAAGATCTTTATCACATACTTAGGGTGCATGGCTAGCGTTGGATTAATTGGATATGATAGCTCGAAACACAATATGGCGACAGCTAGTAGAGAAACTGATAAAATTGTAAGAATAATCCAAACAATCCGCTAAATATTATGAGGCTAAACGAAGCAAGTCAAAATAGTTAAGACCTATACCCATATAGAGTCGTTCGAGGACAAGAGGACCTAATAAAAGCGAGAAGAGAAACTAATTTAACAGTTGAAACGGCGACACTTACGCGATATTTGGACAAATACCCCAACATGACATGCAGACCCAGAAGCTACCAGAAGTCGTATAGTCCAAAGGAATGGCGTAGCCAGTCTGACAATTTAGTCCCGCTATGCTAATATTTTGATGTTCATTGACTGTAAAAACAGTGAATTTCTAAACAAATGAATGATAATAACATGAAATTTGCACAGCAGGACTAAATCGTCAGGCTGACTAGTGGGGGGGGACAGGGGGGCGGGAACCCGGGAGAATAAGGGCGGGAGGTGGGCGGGAAGCGGGAGGAGACGGGGCGGGATGCGGGAGTCATGCGAGGGCGGGAGGCGGGAGAAGAATGAGGGACGTTAAGTTTTTTTAAAATGACTTTTTAGTCCCTTTTTAAGCAAACTATCAAAAATCAGAACCAAACAATATTGACTATTTACTATTTTAACTGGTATTAAACTTTATTGTCAGTCATGACAGTCATCGGAGGCATTTTTTAGTCCTTTTTAATGTCTATAAATGGCATTCGGCTTAAGTCGCCTAAATCCGCAGGTGGTTGGAGTTCTGTCGGCGTGTTTCCACATTGAAGGAAATTTCCTTTTTAACATATTTTGACCGAAAAAAGGAGTTTCAAGGAGGGGAAAAGGGCCAAAAATGAATCAAGGAAATCTAAGGAATTTTAGAGTAACTAAATTGTACTGAATTGTTTTGAAGATTTTTTGTATAAAAAAACTGTTTTGCAGTCTATGAGCAAGTCATTAGGATTTACAATGAAAAATTAACTTGCTCTGGTAACTGTGTTTCCTTTTGGTCTTTTGGAGTCGACCACCAAGCGCTAAATGGTCTAAATGTACCACGTGACTGAAACCCAGCCGTTGAGAACAATTTTATAACTCTAGAATTTTACATTTTAGTCCATTTCAGAGCTTTCAAAATTCTCGTGTACTTTCATTTTAAGAGTTGCGCCAAAAATGTATGACTGTCTTGCTCTATATACGTATTGATGAGTACTGACGAATAGTGTCCAATAGTACTTCAGTTAATCAAGGAAATTTCAAAGAAATTGCGTCTCATTTCAAGGAAATTCTTTGGCAATATCAAAGAAATTTGAATGGTGTTGAACATCACGTTTTCGAGTTTTCCCTTTAAGATTAAGATTCCATTCGGAGTTACAGTATATTATAACTGATACAACAAAGCGGCCAAGCGTGGCGGTGCTAGTAATTGTCCTTCTGACAAGAGAAAACTACAAAACGTGATATTACAAAATCAATAGGTTGCAAAATTGCCACAAAATTTCGGCGTATTAGCTGTTAAACTGAAACTCGATGCCAGTCATGAGCAAAATTACATAGGACAGCTTAATATAGCAACATAGCCAAGTTAATAGAAAATGGGCGGGAGGCGGGAGACAATTCGCAAAAAGGTACGGGAGGCAGAAGAGGAGGTACGGGAGGCGGGAGATGTTGACCCCCCTGTCCCCCCCCCACTGACTACGCCACTGATCCAAAATTTTACGTCATTCTTGGGCTGATTTCCACTTAGGAAAAATCTCCTTTGGATCGGGACGGACAGGAAAATTTCCTTTGTCGGTGAGTTCTCAGGCGGCGTTTATACAAAGGAAACTTTCCTGTTCTGTCCGATCCAAAGGAGAATTTTCCTGAGTGGAATTAGCCAGCAAAATTACCACCAGCAAAATTCTCATTTAAACCGGCTGACCGGAGCAAATGGTCCGCCACTTCGACCGCTTTCGAATGAACACAACTGAACTTGACAAAAAAGACGGCGAAAAACAGGTAAACATTCTAATATACAGGATGTGCTGAAAACCCCCAAAACTATTGAATTCATCCATAACAATAAATAATAGTTAAAGTTTGAATGCCGAAGCACCCTTTTGGGACCCACAAGTGTATAAATGTTTGGCATAAACATTTTTATGCATGATGTTTATGCATGATGACAGTAAAGTTTGTTTGCACCCACTAATGATTTCATTAACAATATTTATACTTTACAAATATGGGTAACAATATTTGAATTTACAACTAAAGCACCATCAACTTCGACATGTCCCTCCTCTTCTTCCTCTAGCACGTTTTAATTCTTTGTATTTATAGCATTTTATAAGTCATTCAAATCCTTTTGTCAATAGTTTTGGGGCACCTTTACAGGGTGTCCTAAAAAAGCCCCAAACTATCGAGGCTCAGTAAAATAGATAATCGAAACAAGTGTATACACGTTGTGACGGTAATGCCCACCCCAGGCATCTCTGTCTAGCAAGAAAATCGATCTGCCACAATTGTCGCAAAAGAGACAAAAGGGCACTGGGCAAAAGTCTGCCGCAACGCTGTCTGCCCCAACACTCGAAACAGGCAGCTAAAAACATCCATGAAATTTCCCGCCAAACGGTAGCGTAGCTAGAACAATAATTGGGGGGGAGGGCATATTCATTTATTCGTGATACGCAGGATTAATTTCTTTTCAAATCAATTGTCTTTACAGTCTGTTAACGTTCTAACGGATCCTAAGGCTCACATCAGTACAATAGCACACCAGCTCTTATTTTTGCCCGCTGCCAATCGGTAGGGATGGAGACGGTATGCGAGCGAAACCATCGGGCTAGGGGTGAAACGATATTTCTTTTGAGTTTGCTGTTTTCGGCGCAGATAATAACTCTACGAACCATGCTATTTTTATTTTATCCTAAGACCCGAGACACTACGATACGAAGACCCGTATAACATTAACTTCCTTTATTATTATAATAATAATAAATACATTTCACATGAATATATGAATATGGGCCCCCCCCAATTATCGATGCTGGCTACGCCACTGCCGCCGAAACATAGAAGATACAACTCGCCTTGAAAGATTTCTTGTCTTTAGTTGCCAAAACTGCAAATTGAACGTTGAAGTAGTGTTGTACTGACTGTACACTGTTTTATTTATCAACTTCAAATCGTTTTACAAACGTAACTCGACTGCAAAATCACAGTCCAACAACATGTCCGCTCTCTTAAAATCCCATACTCCAAAAGGAGAATCGTGCCGATGATGTTCCGATCTATTCCGATCTAACAAATAACGCAACGTCTATATAATACATATATATATATATATATATAACATCTCTCCCCACCAACAATAATAGTCCGACCCGTTAAATGTCCGGCATAGTCTTTCAAATAAGTAGGCATTCGGGTTGTTCGTCGTGGTCTCTGCGCTTGCTCGGCGTTCTTGCTCGGCGTCTCTTGTTGTTTTTGTTCCCCCTGCAACGTATCATTACCCGCATTTCTATTCTCCGTCTCTCCCTCACTCTCGCCTGACGCGTCGTCCTCCTCTTCGTTGTCTGCAAGCGCGTCGGTCTGAATCTTCCGGAAGTAAGACGCGTCCCTCGTAACCGTCCAGCTGCCGTTAATCTCCTGTGCAGTAATTCTCGAGCCTTGAACCTCCGTGATTCTCAAAGGGGTAGGATTGAACGTGGGTGTCAACTTATTGGCTTTCGTCTGCTTCACGATAACAGTGTCCCCTACGCGAAGTTTGTGCGGTGAAAGCCCGTTTCTCATCTTACCTTTGTATTCCTGGTCTCGTGTCCGATCTACAACCTGGTCGATCGGTGTCATAAGTGGCAGTACTGTCCGCATTTCTCTCCCGCCATGCATTGCAGCATGTGGGCTGACGTTGGTCGCGCTGTGCTGGGTGGATCGGTACATCTGTAAAAATCTTTGGGATGCATCTCTCAGGGAAGTCCCTTCCAGGGTTGCTGTTTGCAGAGCTTCCTTCATGCTCCGATTGAACCGTTCAACTGTCCCATTCGCTCTGGGCCACTCAGGGGTAATGTGATGATGGTGGTATCCGCTGCTTTGGGCGAACTGTTCCATTTCTCTTGATTGGAACGGTGATCCGTTGTCCGACTGACACACTGCTGGAACACCTTTGTTGGTGAATATTCTCTGCATGGCTGCGATTGTGGTGTTTGCATTAGGCGCGTTTCGAAACCATGCCATCTCGGGCCATCGACTGTAGCGATCGATCATGATGAATATGTACTCCCCATTGGGATATGGGCCTTGGAAGTCCATTTCCACATACTGCCACGGTCCGGTTGGTAACTCCGATGGTTTGATTGGCTGGTTATTGTTGGTTGGTTGGACAGCTTGGCAAGGTAAACAACCTCGTACCTGGTTTTCGACAGCCCTATCCATCCCGGGGAACCAGCAGAATGTTCGTAAGAACTGTTTTGCTTTGCTGACTCCTTGGTGTGCTCGGTGACTCAATTCGACAACCCGTCTTTGTAGGGCAGCGGGAATGACAACACGTGATCCCCGACACACCACACCATTGACCACGCTCAAGTCGTGTTTGATTTCTGGAACCATAAAAGGTTTTAATTCTTCATCTTCCTGGTTAGTTCCTGATTGAACTGCTTTAACCAGTTTCTGGTAAGACTCGCATTTATCCCCTTCAGTTCTAATGTCATCTACCGTCACTGCTCTTTGTTCATTCAGGGCGTGGCAGTACCATCCCTCGACAACGCTTTCAGCTGCTGCTTCGATCTCGGACACTCGGCTTGATCCTTCTCTCTCGACATGATGGCGCGACATGTAGTCAGCAATGCATGTTTTCCCTGCATGGCGGTAAACAACTTCATACTCGAACTCTTGCAGGTCCATAACAAAGTTCTCAACTCTTGGAGGTAGTTCTCCGCACCGTTTGTGGAACATGTAGGTCAATGGGCGGTGGTCGGTAACAATACGGAATTTTGGTGCACCAAGCAGGTACTTCCATAGCTTCCGGCATGCCCAACGTACGGCCAGTGCTTCTCGTTCCGTCGAGGAATATCTAGTTTCCACTTCTTTCAGTGCCCGCGACTTGCACATAACTGGGTGGAAGGCCTCATTCTTTGATGCCCGCTGGACAAGAACTGCTCCTAGCCCCGTCTTGCTGGCGTCTACTACTACTTCGGTGTCATGTCCGATGACGTAATGGTGCAATAATGAGAAATCACTTAGCGAGGCTTGCAACTTTACGAATGCTTCTTGGCACTTTCCGTCCCAGGCCCAGACATTTTCTTTGGGCTTTTGCCGTAGAGGGTGGACAATACTTGCAAAGTTCGGGATGAAGCGTTCACTAAACCCTGCCATTCCGAGAAAAGATCGTAATTCCGCTTTGCTTGTAGGTTGGCTTGCGTCTTGTAGATTCCGTACATTCTTTGGGTCCGGCTTGATGCCCTGCTTGTTGAACACCAGTCCAACAAAGCACACCTCCTCTACATCGAAGACGCATTTGTCTGGGTTCACCGTGATGCCATTGCTGGTTAAAGCTGACAGGACCTTCTGCAGGGTTGTGTCATGCTCTTCAACTGATCCGCCGATCAAGATGTCATCCGCTATGTTCACTTGGTTTGGGACACCAGACAGCATCTTGTCAATCTCCAGCTGGAGGATATCCTGGGCAGACTTGGTTCCGTAGTTGAGCCTCTTGTAACGGTAGAGGCCATCAGGGCCATAGAATGTGGTGATGTTGCGCGATGGCTCGTCTAGAACAAACTGGTGGTATGCTTCCTTGAGGTCCAGTTTGGTGAAGCGTTCTGCTCCTTGGAATTTGTTTACAATATCCGCCATTGTTGGTATCTGTGTATACGGGCGTTGTATAGCTTCGTTCGCCATACGCATATCAATGCAGAAACGAATATCATTGGAATCTGGTTTCGGAGCAATTACTGGGGGACTAACCCAACTACGTGGCTTGTTGTCCGGGACTCGTTCAATGATGTCTTGATCGAGGAGGTCTTGGATCTTGTTTTCTGCCCGGTCCAAGAGATTGAACGGTATTCGTCTTTGTTTCTGAACAACTGGTGTGATACTGTCGTCGATCATCAGTGACACTTCCTTCGTCTTGGCTTTACCGATCTTGCCCGTGAATACCTCTGAGTTGTCCGCAATCATGTCTGCTACCTCTTGGCGTCTGGCTGTTGCCATAACTTTCTTACAGGGCTCGGATACTTGCTTTACGAGGAAACTTTCATTGTATTTGACTAGCTGTAGCTGCTTTGCTGACTGTTCAGAGAGTAGTGGGTAGGCGGATGGTTCCGATGTTACATATATTTCGGTGCTGACTGTCCGATCCCCTGCTGCCAATACTGCTTTGAACGATCCAATGACCGACAGTGGTGTCTTGCCCCCATATGCAAACAGCTTGATATTTGTTGGCGACAGCTTTACCGGTTCCTGGGTCTTCTTCTCAAAGCTGCGGAATTGTTTCTCATCCCAAATATTCTTTTGGGTCCCCGTAACTGGTTGCCCCAATACTTCTTAGTCGTTGGTACGGACTCTCATCAGCGATGGCTTCTCCCTCATCCCAAGATTGTTTACAAATCCGATTTGGGCCACATCATACTCATCTGTGTCGGAGTCATTCTCAGTGTTGGCTTGGGACTCTTCCTCGATGCGCTTGACTCCTGCTTCCTTTTGCTTCTTGAAACACTTGCTGGCATAGTGTCCTTTCTTCTTGCAATAGTTGCAGACTCTGGTTAAGGCTGGGCACTCTGAAGCAGGGATATGTTTCTCATGTCCGCACCTGTTGCACTGGTCTGGGTTCTTTGGTGATGTGTAGCTTCGTTTTGTATCCACCTTGTTCACTTCCGGTCGCGGGGCTCCATCCATTACTTTACTTCGGGCGACAGCATCTTCTTTTCTTCTTGCGATATCTAAGATTTGGTCGAGTGTTCGATCCTTCTGTAGAAATTTTAGGCGAAGGGTATCATCATACATATTACCAATGATTAGGCTCTTAATCATCTTTTCAGCTGACCAATCTGTAAAGTTGCACTTTTTTGCCGCTTTACGCAGTCTCGTTGCATAACTTGTGATACTTTCCGAGGGCTCTGTCTTCATTCGGAGTAACTCAAAAATGGCGAAATCATTACACTGTTTTGGTGAAAAATGTATTTCCAATTTGGTTTTTGACTTCTCATACACCGTCCAATCTGCTTCTTCTACCCCGTCTGGTCTGCCTGGTTCTGGCAGCGTGTCGTGCAGGTCTTCAACATCAGTGCCTGCGTATATTAACAGGGCCATTTTGGCTATTTCTGGGGTTTTACTTGGGTCACATCCATTGTATTTGAGGTCTCTCTCAAACCGTTCAAACCACTTTTCCCATCGTTTTCCTAGGTCTAACCGATCACCATGAGGATCGAAGGGTAAAACTTTTAGCTTGGGTCCTTTTGTAGCCGTAACGGCTGCGGAACTCGTCGCCATTGTTGTACTGACTGTACACTGTTTTATTTATCAACTTCAAATCGTTTTACAAACGTAACTCGACTGCAAAATCACAGTCTAACAACATGTCCGCTCTCTTAAAATCCCATACTCCAAAAGGAGAATCGTCCCGATAATGTTCCGATCTAACAAATAACACAACGTCTATATAATACATATATATATATATATATATATATATATATATATATATATATATATATATATATATATATATATATATATATATATATATATAACAAGTAGAATTATTTGTTGTATATACCGACGTCTTTTAACTGACGCGTTTCCCGTAATTATTTTACGCCTTTTTCGTTGTTCCAAATACCAATTATATCCACGCACCCGGCCTGCTGTGGTGAATCTTTCTTATAATAGGACTAAGCGGTTTATTTGGCTCGGCAATAATCCAAGTCGGGCCAATTAGATTCTACTTGAAATCAGTTTTCTCTCCTTGACGTCGTTATGAAAAGGTCTTTCATACGCGGCATCCGGCATCTTCCTACAATTCTGAGGACCAGTTCCTTTCACACAGACTTAAAAAGGACGCAAAAAACAAACTTTCATCAGAGACAATCTGTTTACAAGACGTGCAAGAATTCCGAAAATCAGTATAAACATACAAAAATATGCTGTCGAAAGTTGTGATAATTTGTCTATTAACAGTAGCAGGTTAGACATATCTGGCTAATTTATACATTTAACTTCCAGAAAAACGATTAGCACATTCTCTAATTAAGTTTTAAGATGACGGCAACTTTATATTGCTTATAATATATATCGTTTAGAGTTCATGTCAAATTCATCAGCGGCCGAGGACGAGAAATACGTGGTGAAGAGGGCTGAAAAGACAGGCCGCTGGTTCTGGTATTGCACTGATTTCTCGGACAAAGGATGGACAGAAACGGAAGAAAACGCGACCAATACAGCGAAGGAAAAATGTAAATGAACTGATGAAATGAACTGATAAATTTCATTCGACTATGTTACACTTCAATGGTAAACAATTATCACGTTTGTAACATGATAAAATAAAACTAAAAAAATTGTTAATTATGAAGTTTCATCAGTCTTTTAAAACAGGATTTTTTAATCTTTCATTTCTGCCAGTAAACATGGTAAACATCCCTTCCCTTCCCTCCCATAATAAACCTTCTTTTATTTTATGGTGACAAATTTTGGAGGCCAAACCGCAAATCACCATACAATGCCCGCATATCATGCTATTAAACGTGTCAATGGCAAAAGGCCAAACCATTCACCCTGACCATAAACCTCCATTCTGAACGTAGAATACTGGTAGTTTAAACAAAAAAAGTAGATGAAAGTAGACTCTGTTAGGCTTGAATTACCATGTCTATGAACCGCTTCATCAGCAAATTACATCACGAATGTAATTTCAGAAACAATTCAAATTTCAACGAAACAATTTAACCAAACCTTTACTGAGAATTGGCATTTAGCATTAAACATAGAGCATTTAGATATTTAAAATTTGAAAAGATTTCTTGACATTCCGAAGTTAGACATTTTAAAATATGCATTTGATTAGGATAAATATATACTATATTATATAGTGTTTTACAAAGTCGATATATGCAAACAGATACATTACAAAATATAATACGTCAATTACCCCATCAGCTTATAAAAATATTATTATTGCGAATGACATAGCTATATAGTTATAATCACTATACACATACCTATTTACAGTTGACTAGATAAAATTTGAGAAACGTACATCATATTTATATTTCAAGCTATCTAAGAATTGATATCATAAACTTCTCGTGCGAATTACCTACTATATACGCGTTATGTGGGTTCCTTTGAGGTTTGAATGCATTGACCTATCCCAATGTTGATGCTCATTTAGTAATTAGTATATAGGTCAGTGACCAGGGGCCAGTTGTATGAAAGCCGGATAGCGCTATCCACCAGATAGTGTTTTTTTCAATCCCCTCAAAATCACCCTTTCTTTGGTATAACTTCGATTAAATCTTAGTATTCCTAAATTAAGGATCCTCGTTAACGATTTTTGGTTCCAAAGCTGAAATTTTATTGCTCTTCAAGCATCCTTAGAACGGTTGAAAAAGTCACTATCCGGTGGATAGCGCTATCCAGCTTTCATACAACCGACCCCTGAAAAATACAAAATTGAAGGATCCAATAATCATACAGAACTTAACGTTTATATAAATTATGCGACTCTGTTTATATATATTGATAATCGTACGCTAAACGTATTGCAAATAAAAACACTCACTCTATCTATAAATTAATCAAAAACATTGAAGAACATTCTTATCCAGAAAGAACGATACTGGCGGCTGTGAATGAACTGGATTGCGAACAAGTTATTGTAATCATTAACTGTGTACACATGCTCTTCATTTATTTTCTATTTATAACAAGACCCCCACCCCTCCCCAGATATAACACTACGGTATTACTATATTAACTTCTCTGGTGGTGGTACATTTAGGACCGGGTTCATTTCCACACGAGCCCCAACTTTCTCCTCACTTCTCGGGCTGTACGTCCCAAATGTAGAACTCGTCTGACGTGTACACACAAATAACACGGCAATGACCAATAACAGCAATACACCCCCAGCAACGACTAAGCCGATGATTAACGGCAAATTATCGTCGTCTTCATCGTCGTCACGTGGTATGGATACCTCGCAAAGTTCTCCCGTCCAATCAGATTCGCACGTGCACGTAATTTTCCCGCTAGAAACGCGACATTCCCCGCCATTTTTGCAAAGGTCTTGAGTGCACGTTTCATTGCAGTAAACACCGACATAATTATTTGAGCACTTGCACGTAAAACCTGAATCACGTACTGTGCAATTGCCATTCATACACGGAGACACAGTGCACGGGTTGAACTGACAACGATTACCATAGTAGCCGTCTGTACATTCACAATGGAAATTATTCCATCCCTCAACGCACGTACCATTACCGCACAGAGAGGGCATACATACGTCATTGCTATGGCAACCAAGTAAGATGTTACGAAGATGAGAGTTATTAAACGAGGATCTTGCTGGCCTGAACTCTGGGTTGGAAACCACGGCATTTTCAACAAATGTTAGTAAATTCTTTCCTATTCTGACTTCCCTCAAACAACCGAGAAGATGACCGCTTGAGGCATTTCGGGCAGATGATCCGATGTGGACGCCCCCCGTCGCCAGAAGATAGGAAAATGATTGGCTCAGTAAGGAAACATTTCTAGAAATTGAATCATTTTTTAAATACGTGAACTTATCTTCATCCAAGGTGAAAATTCTGAAGTGAGTTTCCAACATAAAAGTCTCGATCTTTAATTCATGCCATTTGCCATCAGAGACGAATATATCTGAAATAAGTAAACATAAACATGAGGGCAAAGCAAAGACAGGTTGAATCCCGCCGAAAAAAAAGAACAGAAGAATCACATTTATTGTCATATTAACCTATAATGACTGATACCCTTGTGAACTTCCCATCCTAGATCTTTGCAAAACGTTTATTCATTATTTTGAGTTGAAAACTTGCGTCAGTATAGTTCAATACAAGAGACACAAAACTCTTAAAACAATGATGGATGTAAACGTATCATTTATATTAATACAACAGATTTCCGATTTCCTTCCAATGAACAAACAGAATTCTAGCCTAGCCTTCTAACTTGCCTACCTGTAGTGACACTTCCAGTCATATTTTCAGACAAATTGTACACGATCTTAACAAGACCATCCTCTACTCCTATCTCAAAGTATGTAGCGTTGTACACCGCTGACAAAACGATGGTCTCATTTTGTCGAGTACGAAACTGGACAATCAAACTGTTAATATTGGACAATTGCGTCGAGTTTGTGAAATACGCGGAGGACTGGGACTGGTTGAATGTTACTTTACTTATACCTTAAAAAGAAAAACAATAAAATTTTATCACCACATACAAGGGATGAACGAATAGACACCGTGCATCATATCGCTCTGCGGTATACTCTTGGTATAGGAGGGAAGTCCGCCAAAAATATCCACTAAATATTCAAAAGGGTGAGGAGGGTCATCACTATAAAATTCACTGCACATTACAAAAACGATTCACGGAATAGTGTTCTAATATTCTGCGGGGTGGTGTCGCAGCTCCTCGCAAGATTGATTTTCATTGGCTGAACTTAACAATACATTTCTGTTTCAACCAATAGCATAGCTTCGTTCTTTAGAGTTTAGAAAGTATAGAAAAGCATTATCCAATTGGACAAAAGCTTCCGAGCACTGCGACATGTCCCATTCTGCGGAAAATTGCATATGCATGATAAACTTACATTCATACTCTGCACTGTCCCTCAGGTTCACACAAGTACTATTTCGTGGACACAGATCTGCCCATTCGCATCCATAAAGTTCACAGTTATCCCCACCATATGGATACTCGCATGTGCACTGAAAGTCGTTCCAAAGATCCGAGCAATTACCGTGTTTTGAACATGGAGTTGAGCCTAAATTATTTAAACATAATTATTTATAGAAGCATGTTGTTTTTTTTTTGCGAAACGATAATATACGTTGAAGAAAGACACAAGCTAAGGTTATAGGGTTAGGGTTTAAACATGCCAAGCATAAGCCACTATAATAGCTTGGCCATATGGCTATTTCAGTTTTAAAATCATAAGATTCTAGCGGAATGTTTTTAAAAAAGCGTGGTATAAACAAAAGCGAAGTTAAACTGAAAAGATCTTTGTATTACTTTACGTAAATCGAACAAACCAAATGACGTCGAAGTTTATTGTCATACACGAACGTTTTTATATCTACACCCATAATAATTATATCCCGTGGGTTCTCAATTACATCGGCATCTTAAATCCTCCCATTCAAGCACTCATTTGCTGACCCACGCTTTTTTTAGAGGTTCCTGTCACACAAAGTTAAAAATGCGCAAAAAAATACAGAAATCAGAGTCTGATAAAGACATCTATCTATACCAGACTGTGCAAAAGACGAACAAATAACTCAGAAGTCAGAAACATCAACACACAGAAATATGCTGTCGAAGTTGGTGATAATTTGTCTCCTTTTAACATTTGCAGGTTAGACATAACATATGATACGACGATGATTTAAATGCTTCGATATTAGTCTAGGTATGACAGAAACTCTATGATTCTTATCGTTTAGAATTTACGTCGATTTCGTGTGCCGAAGATAAAGGTAAATACGTGGTAAAGAGAGCTGAGAAGACAAGCCGCTGGTTCTGGTATTGCTCCGATTTTTCGGCTAAAGGATGGACAGAAACAAAAGAAAAAGCGACCAGTACAGCGAAGGAAAAATGTACATAAAGCGTACTTCAAACAAAATGTATTTTTTTTGACTAAATAAATTACACAACTACGACAAAATGTCTATGAAGAATACAACAAAACAAAATTAATGAGCGATTAGGGAAAATATGGGAAAATATGGTTGATGTACACTTTATCCCAACCAAAAACAACCGGAAATAGTTTGGCGCTCAAGTAAATTGACTTTCTTAAAGGACGAAAATGAAACAGATAAAACTTCACGTTTTTGCCTTCGACCCATCGATGAAGAGAAATCCCTCTCTCAGGATAAGGAGGAATACTTAGCAGAAAATAATATAGTTGGAAAAATTAAAAGAGTTACTTCAATTAAGATAACGCTGGAGCAGGTAAATTATTTACGATGCGAGAACTAATAGTGAACAACCTCGGAATATGAGGACGCGGCTGTTTTATAGTATTTATAATAAAAACACTCGAAAAAACATATTTATTACTGTCAGAAAATATTCTCCGCGTACCTGAAATATTTGAACACACATCCTCGCTTGAACAACCTTCAGCCACATTCACTTGAGTCCTATTCAAGATGCCACCTTCAGTTTTATTGAAAAACAGAAGCTGTTGTCCATTCAGGCGCACGTCACGAATACAACCTCGAAACTGCATATCTTCGCCACCAGTCTCTGGCAATCCACCGACAGACACATTTCCAACCATAAATGACTTTATCGTTATATCATGGGTTGTATTGTCAACCATTACCACTGTACTGTTGAGATAAATATAATGGGATACACCATCGCCAATTTTTAAAGCACTACTCAGTCTTGAAAAAAGAAATCCACTGTTGTCTCGTAATCTTAAGAAACCCTTGTCGTCTGTTTCAACCGATAAAAACCTTGAATCGCTCGAATTAAGTTGTATTATTAAACTAGATATTGATCTTGTCCTGACGGTGAAAGCAAGATTATTGAAGACGGTAGCCGATAGCGTGAACGAGACGTAGCTCTTATTGCTGTTTGGACGATGACCATTTTTAAGTACATTAATTGCACCAAACGTTCCCCATGGTACTCCTAGGAGATTCAATAATAAATATCAAGACCTATTCAAGTAGAACTTTCAATAGAGGGGGGGGATTCCATCGGGATTAAGAATAATATCAAACTTACTTTCAGTGCAGTTGGTCGAGGTCCAGAATCTATCACATTCACACGAGTAACGTGTCCAGAGATCTTTACACGCGCCGTTCAAACAGGGGTCTGGGGAGCAGATATTTTTACGTTGAAAATTCGGAACAAGCCCATCATCTACAACACCAGCCACTCCTGAAAAATAGAGCGATAACGCATGTTACACATAATAACAACAAAGATATGGGTTTACGTCCTGCACGTATTTACGTATTTAATAACTAATTAAACTAATTGAGAGTTCATATTAGAACTAATATGACCTACCATGATGTCTCTACAGGTAGAACTATTGTAGAGCTATTTGTAATGAACGCCGAAAACGCTTAAACATCCTTACTGCGCACCTCTACTTCCGGTACATTTAATGAATAATCAACCTCACAACCACCATATAGTATTACTTTTGAAAACAAAAATGAGTGCAAACCTGGATAATATTTGACATCATTGACACTGAAGTCTCGAATACCGCCAATATATTTAGGTTGGTTTGAATCCCCGACATTTGCCCCCACAACGAGTTTGGGGCTAGAGTCAACTGCCCGGCGTGTTCGTGACGACCCGCACCGTTGCACACAGCTTTTACTCGAGCCAACCTCTGCAGTGACGTGCGATTCGTTCATTACTACTTTCACTCTATGCCAATTAGAATCCGTTAACACTCCAGATTCCCTGACCTCACAAGAGGAAGAGGCCCCGCACGCAAGTATGAGTTTACCAAAGACTAAAGACAATGCCCACGAGCTCGTGTGGGAAACCAGGGCTCCATTGGAAAATATAGTTCTAAAACTAAACGATATATTTGCTGTGGTTTCTGAGATGGACACAGTCATTGAAGATGTTCCATCAAATCCCAAGGTCGTTCTATTGGTACAAAATTTTCCCGAAAATCCTGCAGCACATGTGCAGGTGATGTTGAAGTCAGAGGTCACGTTACAAGTAGCACCATTTTTACAAGGGGACAGAGCAGTGCACGCGTCAATCATGTTCTCGCAGTTCACGCCGGTGTAGTTCGAGTCGCAGATACATTTGTATTGCGCAATAAGGTTTTGACACGTTCCGTTGTTGCATGGAAACGGCGAACATTCGTCGATATCTTCCGAACAGTTCCGACCTAAATAAAAATAAGAATGAGATAAAGTGAGGCAGAAATAAACACATTGACATTGTATTATCATCTTACCTGTATAACCATCAAGACAATTACATGTGTAATTATTAATATTATCACTGCAGGATTTCGTCCCATTTGAAAAACATGGTTGATACAACTGACACTCGTCTATTTCAATTTCGCAATTGAAACCTTCGTATCCCGGCTGACACACACAGAGATACCCATCACTAAACGAAAACAGTAAAACAAATATTATACCAAATTAACCTAATGGTCTTGGAGATCTGAACCTGTTGGGCCCATCTTCGTCGGTAAGACACGGGCGTGGCTTTTTTACCATGTTTTCTACAAAATTATGCACACAATATTTATGATATCTTCCATTGCAGCACTTGAAATTACGTTATTTGTACACTTTTCTTCCATAGTATAGCAAAATCAAACAAAAAACGTTTTTAATAAAACGAAGTTATTATTTCCCTTAAATTCTATTCACCTTTCATTTTTTGCATAAATACGGTCAGCTCCAAAATACATCTTGATTGCTGTCTTATTAGACTTCTGAACACAGACAACAGAACCATTCTTGCAAGGCGTCGAGGCACATTCATCTATATCAATACTACAGTTCTTGCCAGTGAAACCATCAAAACAATTACAGGTATAGTTGAATTCACCATCGTGGCATATCCCATAGTCACATGGTACATAACCGTTATTACGTCCAGCGCTACACCAGTCAATATCAATCTCACAAGTTTTTCCTTCGTAAGCCGCAGAGCAGTTGCATTGGAAGTCGTTAAACTTAAGAAGATATCAAATAATATATTAACATACAGTACTGTGCAAAACTTTTAGGCCCCCAGTCAAATTGTCACTTGTTAGTAAAATTCATGGTATTGCAAGACATGCTAGGTAGAAAGACTTGTAGTGGTCTTGCGCTTGGTACAGCCACCATGAGAGACCATTATTGGGGCACAATGCCCAGTCATTGACCCAACAAGCTTGTTTGTAACATCTGGATCAACAGCCTCACATGATGCGAAATAATAATAAATAATAATAATATTCAAACAGGTTTAGGTTAGAATTCTTTCGTTGCTCCAATGAGTGGGCATTGTGCCGCAATAATGGTCTCTCATGGTGGCTGTACCAAGTGCAAGACCACTACAAGTCTTTCTACCAAGCATGTCTTGCAATACAATGAATTTTACTAACAAGAGACAATTTGACTAGGGGCCTAAAACTTTTGCACAGTACTGTATATGGCCACAGTTTTTCTTCTACGAATGCAGAGGGCAAGGGGCTTGTCGTGGTTCAAATACAATTCACATTTAAGGACTTGATTGATTGATTTACCGACACAATCAAGTACACATAACAAGCACAGTTTGTCTGGGCCATCAAGAAATAATCACGCAAACAAGACATAATATAAGGTTAGAATTTCTTAGCAACAGAATGAAAAGATGCGCTTGGACCCTGACTTTGAAACCCAACCCCCTCCCCTCCCCGCTATGGCCTCTACGCCCCTGCCCAGCATATATCCAGGCGCTGCAATAAAATTAGCCTGCGGTAATGCACTGTTCATATGAATATCGAACAACTCATACTAAGCCTCGTTTCCAGGCCGTATTTTGCCGCGAGACAAATTTAATGTATTATGAATTGCCGTAATTTCTTATCTAAATTTTTAATTATCACATACCGACGATAAGTCGGTACTACATGTTCTACATTGTACTACATGTGAAAACCTGAATTAACTGGAATTTACTAGGACAGCGACGGTCATCAGTGACAACAGTTTATAAAGGCTTACCTTATCCATACAGGTTTCATTATGACTGCAAGTTACATTCCCACAATCATCAATGTCCGTCGTACAGTTCCTACCAGTGTATCCTGTTGGACACGTGCATAGGTAACTACCTTGTGTATTATTGCACGTGGCATTATTCTGACAGTAATCAAGACCACATTCATCAATATCAACGTCACAAAGGGTGCCACTCCAGCCAACATCACAGGTGCATTTGAAAGATGCAATTCCATCCTTACAACTACCGTGTATACATTTAGGATTCCCTTCATAAAAGCAGTCAGGAATATTATCCTCGCAGTGCACTCCTAAATGATAATATAACTTGCTGAAAGGCCGAACCCAAGACCAAAAACTCAAAGACGTAGGAGCTAAGGCTAGAAACTTTTTGCCAGTAATCATAGTTCAATGTGTATTTATATATGTCGACAAATCAAAACGCTATACACATGACGTTTCCCACGAATGATGTATCTGCTACCCCCCCCCCCCACACGCCTTTGTACTATGATTCCCGCATCCCGTGTGACCAATTTTAACTTTTAGCAAAGGTTATTGAAGATGCTTGTTTTTCATTTTAATTCCCGACGAACTTTTCATGTGCTGAACAGAATGGGAATGAACTTAAACAAAGACCTTAGCTCGTTAACATTATAGATTCGGCACATGAAAAGTTCTAAATCCTAATGTCAATATTTGCAAATTGACAGCGCTACGTTTATAGTTAAGATGCATAAATTTAAAGGAACCAAGGAAGTTGCCCATGCATTTATCGGTGTTGCAAATCCTTACCCACAAATGACATACCTGAAAAGCCATTCATACAGAGACAATGATATGTTCCGGGAGTATTCGTACATGATCCAGGATTTTTACATGGATTTGGTTCGCATTCGTTCACATCTTCACACACCGTTCTGTCTTTGCCTTGTTGGTATCCTTGCTTACACTGACAAAAATAACTTCCGTTGGTGTTCATACAACTGCTTATTGTTTCGTTACACGCATCTAAAAAAAGAATGATAAAACATTGTGAAAATTTAATCAAAACTTTTAAAAAAAAAAAACTCGTACATCTCCCTTTCACTTTTCGATATTAAAATGTAGAAAAACGATTTATTAACTATTATTCTCCTACTCTCTCTTTTCGTTTTAGTTATTCGTGTTGCTTTTGATCTAGTTGAAAAAAATTTCAGTTTATGGGCATTTCAACCAACAGCTGTGGATATCATGGGGCGATCTTTATGAATATACGCAGTTAGTTTCGCAATCTAAAGTCTGCATCGTAATTCTCGTGAACAGGTTATTTTCACCGATGAAAAATAGTCCGGATGTAAATTTATCTTTATTTCTGTATTCAAACCGGTCATTATTGACTGCACCCACATAGAAATATCCTACTATCACATCAACCACCTTGACATGTTCACGACTAAATGGAACCAGGCATCACGCGAAATAGACAAATATACATATATTCATGTTAGCAGACCGTAAAAACAATAAATTTCAAAAGGAACTAATAATGCTGAACTGAATGTAAAATTTCTAACACTTTACAACATTCTCTACCATCTCACAGAAATCCTATAAATAATTATTCAATCCTATAATAGAATGCCAATACAATAAGATTAAGCAGTGTCATTGATACTTGTACCTTTTTTTTCACTGCATTCATCAATATCTTCAGTGCAATTGATACCTTTCCATCCCTCGTTACATGAACAATTATATGTCTCTATATTAGTCGAACTGTTGACGTCTGATGAAGTGTTCACCGTGATATTGATTCTATTACATTTCCCTTGGATGCAAGGACTTGGATTACAAGGTCCTTCCGTTTCATTACAAAGTCTACCTGCAAATCCTTCCGAACACTATAAAAAGTAAAGAGAACAACAATCATTTTTATACACTCTAAAAAACAAAATCACAAGGTAACTTGGAAACCCTTAAAATCACGAGGTGATGCTCAAAATCATGTAGACAAATAAAGAGGCAGACCTGTCCCTGTATTTTTAAAGCTCACTTACACTGGTTTAGTGAAATGTCAACTAGAGACAGTAAATGTGAATATTGTAAATATTGATTCGATGATTGGAAAAGAGCTTTATCGATGATCAGCAGAAACGCATTTTTTGCCCCATTTTTCGCGCTGGGGAATAAACTGGGGAAACCATATGCGGTCAGAAATACTCAGAATAAATTGGGTAGTTACAGTATTCAAGTTATGAATCACCTCTAGGAGTGAAGTTAAATTAATGATTGCGATACAACTGGGGGACGTTTGCGAAAAGGGGGACGGGTGCTTCCTGATGCGCTTTTAAAAGAGATCCATCAGAAAGGGATAAGGCAACGCGCAATCTAATATGAAGTAGACGATTAATCTGTTTTCTGTAAATTGGTAGTTGATTCTAAAAATTTTTTTCCAGTACTTTTTGTCAACGTGAGCTAGACGTATTTTTAGCTAGCCATGAATCCATCCCTGACAATCCCTGACTTATTATGTGATTACCGAAGTCACTGCCTGATATTTAAAATTATTTTATTTTAAGGCTTACCAAACATCTGAAGTCACCAATAGTATTTTCACAGGTACCGTTTTTACCACATATATTGGAAGGAATAGAACCATTGAAACATTCATTTATATCTTCACTACAGTTAACGCCAGCATATCCTTCATCGCAGGTGCAGTTGTAATACTCCTCCTTCGCCGTACAACTGCAATTACATTTTCCATGGCTGCATGGCGTCGGGTCACAAGCAGTACAACCAACCACATTGCAGGAATGAAGCTCTATTTCACACATCGTCCCAGAAAATCCAGAAGAACAATTACAGTGGAAATCATTTATCCAATCCGTACAGTTACCACCTTAAGATAAAAAAAATTATTTTCATATCAAAAATACAATCAATAAACAAACGTATCTACTGACCACTGAAAATAAGTTGTTAAAATACACTGAATTTTTCCTGGCACCAGGTTAATAATTAAATGTCCAACAAAACGTCAACACAGATCTTAGGTTAAGGCATTAATAACTCCAGTTCCCAAAACTTTGAATGTGAAAATGATGGGGGGAAAAAATGACAATACAGTCAGTTGCCTATGAAGAATACATCGTGAATTTTAGTACCATTTTGACATGGGTCAGGCAAGCAATCATTAATCCTATTCTCGCAGTTTTTCCCTTCAAAATCTTCAATACAATTGCAGAAGTAACCACCAAAATAATTTTGACAACTCCCATTGATACAGGGATTATTCACAATGCATTCATTGATGTCTTGTTTACAGAAATCTCCTGTGAATCCAGAACCATTACAATTGCACTTGTATGTGGCAACACCATCAATACATTTGCCATGACCACAGTCAGCACTTCCACAATCATTGATATTTGTTTCACAAAGTTTACCTGCAAAACCTAGAAAAATATCATTTTCAAAATTATTTAGTTCAGTGACTACCCAAGATAGTTTTAAATTGTAAATGTGATTATCACACAAATACAACATTCTCACCTTTCGGGCATTGACAACTGAAGTCAGTGTCACTGATATTCCTACATGTTGCATTATTGTCACATTGAATACTTCCACATGGGTCAACAGTCTCGCTGCAATTCCGACCAGCATAAGGTGGCCGACATGCACAGGTGTAATTATTGTGATTTGATACAAGTCGACAAATACCACCATGCTCACATGGATTAGGTGAACATAATGTTTCATTTTTCAGATTATCACAGTTTCTACCATACCAGGCTTGTCCACACTCACATGTGTATTTTGCTAGCTCATTTTTACAAGTTGATGCATGGTGACAAGGTGATGAAGCACATTCATCAATTTCTATTTCACAATAATATCCCTTATATCCGAGAGGACAATCTAAAAAGATTATTTAGAATTAGCATAAGTTACATTCCAGCCTAAAGGAAAAGTAGATCAATGCTATAATATACAATGTATTAGGCTTCCTTGGCATGGCTAGGGTACTAGGGACAAGCTTGTGCAGGCAGTATATTCATATATATTTTATAATGATAAATGTTATAGTTTCCAAGATAATTTCTGTTATAAATTTAAAGGATACAATGTTATAATGTCAGTCTGGTTCCATTATGAAAAACAAATATTAACACAATACAATGTTCTAAGCCAGAAAAAGATTTACACAGAGACTTACCGCCACGAGGACATCTTTTCCAGCTATCCAATGTGCAGTTGTTAGAGGTTCCCGCATCAAACATGTCCCCAAAATTAATGCAACCATAAAACCCATGGCCAAGGGTTAAGCTTTTATTACCAACATTGTATATTGCATCAGGAACTTGAACTGAGTCTATTACACTACCAAGACTGAGGGATAATGTTGCATTTCCATCTTTAGTTCTTGGTGAAAACGTCACACTATACGGTATATTCTGATCTAACTTGTTTCCAATCTTTAAAACTGTTTGGTTGCCTCCTTTTGTTTTCCATCTTAAATTCAATGAACTTTCAGTAAAACTTGCAGGATATATGCTATAATTTACGTTTGCTGGTACAACTAGAAGTTCAAAGTAATCATTATTCTGGCCAGTTTGATTTAATATCCTTCCACCATCACAAGTTCTGAATGTTAGACTAAATTTCTTTGCGAGGTCTAAAGGTTTAGTTTCAATGTACGAAGAATGGTTAAAAAATATTGAAACGGTTTGTCTTGCCAGCAACAACATCAGGGTCACTATATAATATATGAGATATTGAAAATGTTAACTATTTCATATATTGGCACTCTTAATAGCTTTCAAAGTCAGTTATTTAAAAACCAGATTTCAAGAAAGAAATTTAGATCAGGGTACTAAAGTAAATATTCTCAGTAATCTGGGCAGTATGTGGTACATGTTAACAAATGAATTGTTCAGAAGTGGAGCATGACATCAATCATGCAATATGTTGCAGGAAAACTATTAAAGCTGAAAGCACCAAAACAATTTATTCAAGTGGCATTTAACATGTCAAACTTTTAATTGTTTCACCAAATTTTTAGTGAAATATAGTTTCATACAATAGTATAAATGATTTCCTCTGTATATAAATGACAAAATGCTTACAATGCTTACAGTTTAAAATACAAAGTAAATTATTTTACATATTTGTATACAAAAGCGCGTTTATATGTTTACGATGATATGTATACCAAATGAGGTTGCCAGAAAACTGGTTTTAATATATATGTCAACATGCAGTACGTAAGATCTATATGTATACTTTGGATAAATTTAGGGTGCATATATATACCGATATAAATTGCTACATAAACCAAAATTTTAAAAAAGTTAAAATCGTGACTGTAAACAAAAAGATTTATCATAGATTAATTGCGACACATAGCACAATTAATAACACTCCAAATTGAATATTATGTATTACACTTGCTGTATGCTGAAACCTAAACAATATTAGGTTTAGTGTTGATCTTTAATCCAAGTTGGTCATTTTCAAACTAAACAAGATATTATAAGGGTTCATCTGCTTTTAGAAGTCAATTCGTCCAGCAAATTTCGTAACGTGAATTTGATTCATCGATATCATTTGAGAAATCTCATGTTATTGTCTGCTTGACATTTTATTAGACACAAAATATGCTTTAAAATACCAAACTTTTAAAAAGGCAATTAATATCGGAAAATACCTGAGCAAAGTATCCGTAAATTTGTCATAGGTGTCATCTTCTTTCTTTATAGTTATTGTACATTCTTTGCTGACTGGACAGTAGAAAGTTTTTTGATATTAAATTCTCTACCTACGCTTCTTGCAGTTGCTAGCTCACCGTTTAAAGGAAGTTGTTCTTTGTATTCGATAAATAAAGAGGTTAGGAGAAAATTAAGTACGATCTTGTCTAGAATTTCCTCACTTGCGTTTCCTCACTTGCGTTAACGACTTTCGCAGTTTAGGAAATGCGTATTCTAATTTTTTACAGTTAAAAAATTGAAATGTTTGGAAAATATTGCAGAAATTTTGTGATTTGTCGCCTCGTTAAGGAAAGGTTATTGATAGCTATGAAATTCTTAATACCTAAGGAATGCAAACAATTTAGACTTCCTGCATGTATACAAGGCGTTATTGCTTATTCAAACTTCTTGTTACGGTGCACTTTTTGAAGCAGCTTTTTATAATCTGCGGTTTTTTCAAGAAAATATTTGGAAAATTGCAATGACCTGTCCAGACTGACAGGTGCATTCATTCTTCCTCCATCTGCAGTAAAATCATCCATACCATGATTGTTTCTAATACATATTCGCATTACGTTTTGCCACGAATATAGAGATCAGCAGAGAATAGGCGTACGAAAAAATCATAGACATAATAGGGGGAAATAACCCACCTTGTCGCTGGCGGCTGGTTGCACGAATATTGGGGTGTAAGGGAATGACCTACACTATTATCATGGATAATAAAATCATCAGTCTTTTAACTATCCATAATCCATGCTATCAGTTAAAGGTTTAGTATTGGTCTGGGGTCGGTTGTATGAAAGCTAGATAGCGCTATCCACTGCATAGTGATTTTTTCAATCGTTCTAAAGATGGTTAAAGAGCAATAAAATTTCAGCTTTTGAACCAACAATCGTTAACGACGATCCTTAATTTAGGAATACTAAGATTTAATCGAAGTTATACCAAACAACGGGCGATTTGAGGGGATTGAAAAAACCACTATCCGGTGGATAGCGTTATCCAGCTTTCGTACAACTGGCCCTTGTTATTTAAAAAGAAACAATCCAAAACAATCGATATACGTCAGCTGGGGCTATAAATTATAGTATAGCTCAGTGGTCGCAACCTATCAACCTTTTGCCCAGGCCAGGGTTTTTACCCAGTAAAATTACCTTGGGTACGAGATTGCCTGTCAATCTAAGCTAGTGATGGAAAGAAATTGTTTTGACTTGGCGGAATTGATTCAAAAACCTGAGGTTCCTAGAGGAACTGAATCCATTTTTGAGTCGCGCCATGCCCACGTTTTCACTGAATTAAAATTATCAACAAACGAATTTTTGAGATTTCACTACGCCCGGACGATTTCTATATCTCAAACATTGCCATCGGGAAAACGAGGATGCAAATGGAGAGGATGTTGCATGACGGGTTGGTGTAACTGTGGTTTAGCATTGCCACGGTTGTGCCACGTATACTTTTTTCTAAGATATTATTATTTCAGTTTTTAAACAAAAAATATTCAATAGTATTTAGCTGATTGAAAAAAGCAATGAAATGTTTGAGATAAAGAATGCATAACTTTCTATACACATAAGTATGTTCATTGTATTAAGTTTGTAAAGAAAAATTCTAGAAGCAATTTAACACGGAAACAAGCACGTTTCAATGAACAGGCTAACTACCAATGCACAAGCAATTTAGTATGACACAGTTTAAGGACAAAATAGAGACACTGACTGGTGCATATGCGTGGCACACACCCGTCGAGACTAAGTCATAGGAATAAATTAAATAAAACGAAAGAGACCTCCCTTCCGCATATATGCAAAACGAAATTTGTTGGTTTACATTGATTACTAATGTAGTTTACCCGTACAAAGTGGCCGTACATGCATAGAAATGAGCACTGAGCAGGTTAGATATTACATCGACATCTAAAAGCCAAAAAAGCGTAAGAAATACATAACTTATTTTGAAAATACAAAAATCCAATTAAGTTTCAAACTGTCTTTAATTGTTTTCAATATTGCGATAAAGCTCCTGGTGGTCTACATATATTATCATTTTTAGAATCATGCAACTTCGTTTTAGAAATTATAAATATTTAATGAATGTAACATTGCGTAGTCTAAATTCTAGACGTTTTAAAAACGATGTATAGCAGAACCTGTTTCGTATCAAGGACAAGGATGTGCACCGAATAAAGTAAGTTAAATACAAGTTAAATTCTATTTTCTTTGACGTAAAATGTTTTTAATGTATTAACGACGTCAAACAAATAGGGTATAAGTTTTTGTTTAAATGCAAAGTCAAAGAGATGTAATTGGAGTGGTTCAAATTTCATAGTTTCACCATCCTTGAAACTATTGTCAAGCCAAGGTTTTCACCCGGCAACCGATAAAGCAAAAATCCTAATATCGTGAATATCGGTTGTAGTGCAAACCCATTCCAAAGTCAAACCAAAAAAAATCCGAAATCATTTAACACTGTCATACTGACATAGAGATTTCATAAAGATGAACTCATATTTATGCATATATAAAGTCTGTTCACACGATCCAATTTTGTTGGATCCAATTCACTTCTGACGTATGAAATATAGTCGGTTATTGATAAAGCAGTATACTTACTGCATTGGCTTCAGTGGATTGCTTCTCGTATACATTGCAAGACAACAGACTATAAAACATCCATCAGAGGTGAATTGGATCCAACAAAATTGGATCGTGTGAACAGACCTTAAGATACACAATATGCATGTGCATTATTCCAAATTCCCATAATTATACTTTTATTGTCTATTTTGAACTTTTCAACCAGCTAAGCTAAAAATTAAACACTGACACACTTTTTAGGGCAGTTCTTCCATGTTATTATTTGTCTCTAAATATATATAGTCAATTATACATCTTGGTTCATATAAACTTATAAATAATCTCAGTCTGAACAAAATCTCTCAACTCTGTCTTTGAGATTGGAAGTTTATAACTTCAGTATATATTGACATCCTTGAGTACGGAGAATTTCATAAAATTATGATGATATTTTATTTTGATTTTATACTTTTATTGTGTTTGTGATTAAGTTGCGGTTGCATTGCAATGACAAGTCAGTTAATCATCCAAGGGTAATACTCTGCAGTGTTTGCAGAGTACATAACAATGGGGTGTTGACATGCCATGCAGGCTTCCATATATTACCCGCGACGTTCCAGAGCTCTCAAATTTAAAACATTTTCTCGATTGCAATGCCGATTCTTCTTGCTTCTATGTTAAAATACAATCGCTCCTGAACATGGCGACATCACAACTCAAATTAACTTTATAATCAACTACCATCACGCATCGCGCGCTTAAAAGGTCTATTGAAACACAGTGTTTGGTTGTGGAACCGCAAGTTGAACACCCGCAAATTTTCTTTTAAAAACACTAAAAATATTAATGGATGGGTGTAAATGTTTTTTCCTTTTCAACCTCACAACAACGTAATTTAATGCTTCATTTCAAGACTCGATCTCCATATAGTCATATACTGACCAGTGATTATAAAGTATGAGACATTCAAAGATTCATGCATCATCATTCAGCATAACAACAGGTGAATAGAAACTTGCATAACAACAGGTGAATAGAGAATTTACCTGCACCCATTATCAAAACATCAAAATGAAAGGAGTTGTATCACTATAAAAACAGCGCATAATATCACTGAACAATCGTGAAATTTACAGTTTTACACACAAGTTCCCATTACTTACATAGGGACTATAGAGAAAACACTCGCAATTATCATTATGAAATATGCAAACAGGTTAAAACTTTAGTATTATTGCAGAGCCTCCATACTAGCGGTTTTTGGATACAGCCTCGTTTTAGAAATCGTAAATATTTAATGTCGTTGCGCAGTCTAAATTACGTATTTCATAAAAACTCACTCACAAAGAAGTTTATCCGAAATCATTGATTTGTTCTGAACAAAGGTAAGCTGACGCAGGTTGCATTTACTAAATTTTACGATAAATTTACAATAGATTTACATCAAGATATAATAAATATAGCTATCAAAGTAATTCTAATTTGCCCAAATGCGATTTAAATCGGTTGCTTTGTCGGTTTAATTTGCGGGAATATGAAGATATGAAGACTGGTAGGTGAGATTAAGTAACTTCACATCCTCACATCCTCATGCCATGAAGATAATTAAAAGACTTGCGTCTATTGTGATTTAGATTCTGATTTACGCGCATAGCTTAATTTAAAACATTTCGACGAGAAATCTTCTATATATTACTTCATTTTAGCCTCAATAAAGATGGCTAGTCAGTGCCAGTGGGTAACCGAATTTAACGAACAACTTTCTAATAACCCTGAGCTTTCTGGTGGCAAGTGGAACTTGAAAATGGTGAATCATTCATTACCGGAGAGAGGGTGGTTGATAACGAAAAGTAAAGGAAAGGCGGCGTTTACCTGTAGCCACAGCAAGTGTGCCAACAGATGGACGTCAGTCAATGGCTTAGCAAAATTCAACTATCGAAAAGACGGAGATGTAAGAGTCTTTCTCGCAAGACAAAAGTGTCAGAAATGTGAGGATAAATTCGAAGATGCTATTTGGGAAGACTCAGATATAAAACGTGCAGTTACAAAGCTCTTAGATAAAGTAAAAGAGAAGTTTTATGGCTCAAATAATTCAACGACTGGTACACCAGACAACACATACATTCCTGCTGATATGCGAGCCCCTCATCAAAGTCATCTTTGTGAGGCATGTGAATTAGGAGAGTGTCAAAACGATGATGTAAACAGCATTACAAGCGGGATGGAAGATCTTCGAGTTGACAGCGAGTCTTCATCGGAGTCTGATAATTTTGAGTACTAAATCATTTACATTTATATTCCTGATCAAGATTGGAATATCCTTGCACTGCGATGACAAGAGATCACCCTAGAACTAGAATCCTGAACACGGCTGTATATGGCATGATCTCTAATTCTTAAAACACGAACAAAATATAAAGGTTATAAATAAAACAATAATTCTTCATAAAGCTAACAATAAAAACGTCTTTATTTTTCACCTTCATGCAGTTGACAAAGCATATTGTATTATATCCTGTTCTTTAAGTTATAACTTAGATAGATGAAGACTAATTTCATCAGTTAGCCAAGTAACGGTTCTAATCATCCTTTGCAAGACTGCCAAATACCTGATAACAAAGAAAATATGATTGCTATATGTGTAATTCTAGGAAATCGACAAGATTTCTAGTCATTCGAACACCTACGTGCCGTGCAAGAGTAACATATTAACCTAACCTCAAGTACAATAAAGTGCCTAACATTACACGACATGCATGAACCCCCTACCCTAAACAACAATTATTATATTTTTCCAGAAAAGATCTGAGGGCATTTTGGAATTGAGAAACATAAAATATGACGACATTTATCAACCCCCAGTTTCAGGACTTTAGGAAATGGTTAATTGAATCAGTTAATTTACTACCTTGGACGGAATACTTTGCTGCTCGAGTTGAACTTCTGAAAATAAACAGAATAAAAACACGCAAAATATATTTATTGTAAATATATTTATTGAAAAATATATCTATTGTAGATGTATTTACCGTATATATTTACACTAAAGATCGGAGACTTCGAAAATTGCAAATTTGAGAAACTTGTTAAAAATGAAATGAAATCACAACAGAAGAATTTATACCCTCGACTTTCTCCTCCTCATCTTCGTCATCTTCATCAATTGATATTTCTTCAGGGTTGGCTGATCTAGCCATCTCTTCTAAACTTTGTTCTTCACTCGCTTCACCTCTGAAATAAACCATAAGTATTTCTAGTATTTGAGTGTTTTGATCAAATCTACGACACGTTTGCAAAACTTGCTCAACTCTTCCTCATTTTAAGCAAGTCTTTTGGCCACAGTAAGTCCCCTGGTGAAAATCTTAGTAAAATCCTGTAAGATCCTATAGGATCCTGCAGGAGGATCCAAGATCCCGTAGGATCCTAAATAGGATTTAAAGGAATTCATAGGATCTTAGTCTAGGATCTTGTTAGGATCTTATTCAGAATCCTGTTCAGTTTGCCCCCAGTTTCCGTATAATCCTCTCCTTCTCGTTTTTACACAAATCACCATTCATTTTAAACATCTTTACCTGACGAAGAGCAAACTTCCTTTGGGATTCGCTTGATTCTTCTTTGCTTGTTCTGCCAAACTTTGAGCCTGTTTTTCTAATTTTTCCATGTCATCGACCGAGGTTCCTGTACTAGTATCTACAAATAAATTAATTGTTTGCTTGTGAATGGAATCGTATGGAGAGGTATATGACGGTTAGGCTTGCATAAATATGCACGAATACATTCAGTCACTTACCCGACATTGCTTGAGAAGCCGCAAGCATTTGAGCAGACATAAAATTGACCTTCATACAAAAGAATAAAGAAAAAATATTTACATCAGTGTGAATACGAATAGAGGTTGTGAATTAAAATGGATCACTACTGTAAATGCACACAAGAAAAAACCTAATTTCATAAAAGTATTCAAGAAGGAAAAAAGAAAAGATAATGAAATAAAATGTTTTTTATCTAAACATGATCGTGGCATATTATTCTCATATCATATCAGCTTCTTGTCCTTTGTACCTGTGTGTTGTATTTCGCCTGAACACTTCGTTTGATTCTTAACATTTCACGGAATGTGTCTTCATTTCCATGATGTACTTCAAAATCATGCCACGTTTCCCAGAATGACGCGGTTGCCTACAACAACATTGATAATAAACCGATTTAAATTGAATCGAGAGTTTTAAATTGAAACTGTCAATTTAGAATTTATTAATAAAAAATCCTCATTAAACATTATCCTTCTATAATGACAAATTCACTAAACCAATTATCTAATTATTAAACAATCGATTTCCTTAATTTATTGTACTTACCCTTGGATCAGCTATTTGTGAAGCATGCATGTAAAGAGCACGTGCTCGATCAATTTCTCCCAGTTTACGTTCAAGTTCAGCAAAACGAACACACATGTCACTGAAATAAAAAGCCTTCTGAATATCTACTCTCAAAGGTTATTACTGCATGTAGCTTCTTGCTTAAGTTTGGATAGCAAGTTATTATACTTGAATTTTTCTGAAACTTCAATATTGCAGTACCGTGATTGATCGTCGCCGAGAACTTCAATCGCCTTCTCGTAAATTTCTCTTGTATGAGTGACGCCAAATATTTCAGCCGCTTTCTTGATGTAAATATTAAAAATCTACACCCAAAAAATCATGAAAATATATAATTATCTAAGTACAACAAATATTTCTGAATTACTTACCAGCCACTCTTTAAAAGAGCTAATTAATTGGAATATTACTAGGGAATTACTAAGATAATTGTCTATTCAAAAATCTGCCTGAATGTTTGGTGTGTCCGATAAGCGCTTATCAACATGGAATATTTGAGTTACTCTGACCCTATACTGCATGGGTGTGTCAAGTCTTAAGGAACTATTGTGGATAGTCTCCCTTGCGGCCTTTAGATGTGAGTTTGACTAGTGTCACCAAACTAAAACTATATAATACATATGATGTGCAATTTGTGTTAAAAAGATTATAGTAATCGCTACATGCAATACAGTTTAAACAAACTGAAACCTCAAATTGTTCTTCCGGCATCACAGCTTTTGTTGCTCGATCATAAATAGCCATTGCATGACGGGCAAGACCATGATCCTCTTCGAGGCGTGCATACATTAAATAGAAAGCTAGAAATAAAACAAAAAGTTAGTCCCAGCCCCAGCGCGTAATGTGCCGGGGGAGGGGGGGAAACACTGCTAAATCGAGTATAGAAAAATATATAGTAATGAACGTCTTTATAAGTTAGCGAACCTTTTGCAAATTTTGCTGGGCATTTCTCCAGAGCCTGTTCAAACAGATCACGAATACGTTCCAGCTTTGTTCCACCCTTAAAAAAAGTAAGAGCAGATTAAGAAATATAAGAAAATCTATACACTTTGTTTTTCAAAATCAATTCAATCAATAGGTATGCAACTATAGGTGAGGATTGCTTACATAACGTTTAATAAATTTCATGAGATATGTGTTCCAAATATCGAAAACGTTCGGCCATTTAAACATCGCAACACCTCGTTCAAAGACCTAAGGACGAAACATGAATCATGTTAATTCTTACTCGACGATTAGAGCTTTCACAGAACGATAAAACTGCTAAAACTAACGAAACCTGCCTTGAAAGATTCTTCAAAATAACGATGCTCTTCGAGAAAAACAGCAAAGTTGATGATTATCTGAGGGTTGGCGATCTTCAAGTCCAGAATTCTGTTGTAAACTGCCTTCGTAGACTATTTATTAAAAATAAAGGAAATTTATTTTATATGAATATCAAAAATAAGTAAGTAAGTAAAGCAGGTTTTCATACCTCAAATGTACCTAGGCTTTCTTCCAAATCAGCGTACATAGACCAAACTTTCAGTGACTTGTGAAGTCGCTTCTGAACTGTTTCTGACTAAGAAATAGAAGACATTAAAGAATGTTATATACAAGAAAAAACAATATTTGAATACTCATGCAAACACAGTATTTTAATACCTCATCATAAAAACTGGTCCTGGTGGAAGGCATGGCTGTCCCTTGCTTCATGACATCCAAAGCTTTCTTGTAGTTTCTAAAAGTTTTATAAAACAAATTAAAACTTGCATATGGCGTCAAAAAACCCAGACAGCAGTTGCTCCATTTTCAACCAAAAAGGGTCACTAACACATGGTCAATAACACAAACTATACCGCATTCAAACGCGCGCATGGGCAATAAACCTGACTAGGACCAACTACAAATATACGGGAAAGCAAATAAACACTCAGGTTATTTCTTATATAGTCCTGGCGTGGCGTAATTATCGGACGTCACCTTACTGTGACGTAATTATCAGAATGGGTTACTGGAATAAACACTTACTCGTTTCGTATTTCCATCTCAGCGAATTCACACCACACACTCGCCAGATCATCAACTCGGCGATACGAAACTTTGGTGGCTTTCTCGAAAATCACCCTGGCCTCAGCTATTTGTTTGTGTTTCTCATAAAATTTAGCGAACTCGACCCAAAGTGTGTGAGGTTTTCCTGTAGCTTGTTTCGGATCGACAGTTTGAACGGCCTCTGTGTAGGTGTTGATCACGTCTTTTGGTTTGCCTTCAAAAAGTTTAACTCGTTTGTGCCATTCGTGAACGTTGTGAGGATTCTGACGAAGCAGCACGCTAGAGAGGAAATTAATTGTTAATTATAATTATAATTATAAATTTAATTATTTAACCCCCGCAAATGACGTTATTACAATTACGCCACTCTCTGGTTTGTAGCAAGCTAGTAAAATATTTTGCGAAGTTAAAAACAAATGTAGCTACAACTTTGTATTGTTAGAATAAAAAAAACAGTATTTGCTGCTTGTACCTGCTCAACAGAAGCGGTCTTCGATCCATCAGGTTCTCAAATCTCGCCAAACGCAACTCAAGATCGGTCTCATCTAGAAATATATATACAGTTGACAAGAAAATATAGTTGATAAACGACCATAAATGCTAGCAACGTTTTGTCATAATGTATTTAGTGTTTTAAAAATGAATAAGAAAACATTTTTACCATCCTCGTCAACGACTTGTTCGGCAGCCTCTTCCATCTTAGTGTTGATCATACTCTCCTCGAATTGAGCGTAAGCATCGAATACCTGAAAGGCGTTAAAATTTCTTTCATATTTTAGCTGCTTCATTTTTCTTTTGGGGGTCTTGAGACTTGAGGGGATATCATCGCAGTTCTTTTAAGAAACATTTATTGAGGAAAGAAGCAAACTCATGATATTCTTTCATATTTCTAAGCATACATTTATTTCAAAACATGACTTTGCGTGTAGCAATCACTTTCCTTATGAAGTCATTACTAACCTGACCAAAGTCTCTGACAGTCATCACAGTTTGAATGGCTTCCTCGTAAACATCCCGCGCTTTCTCAAAGTGTCCACTGCGAATGAAATAGTCGGCCAAAGAGCACCACAGCTGGCCCAAACTGTCGGTAAATCTCCGTAAACCACCGCGGATAATATCTGCTACTTTAAGGCTCTTAACCTAGCCACAAATATAACATCACATCACAAACCTCTTCAAATAATTACGTGTTTACCAAAGGTTTACCATTTCATAGTATTAGAACCTGAATTTTCAGTTCACACAAAAAATATACTACTTTCAGCTAAATGCTAGAATTGAAAAATGAATCCTAGACTTACCTTATCTGGGTTTTTAGAAATCAACTGACAGAGGTCATGCCATAACTATAAAAATAAAGAAATAATAAATAAAAAAATAAATAATAAAAATATATCAAGAAATATATCATATTTATTTCTAGCCAACGTGTATATTCAAACCAACCTGGTGATTAGATTTCCCTTCTTTTGAGACAAACTTCTCCTACAAAAGTATTATAAAAAGTGATTAGAGCAGAGATTTCCTGCTTGTATGAGTAAACGACTCTCCGCCATTCAATTCTGCCGGAGGTGTAAAACCTGGAGTGTATGTATAGTTATACATGTGTATTTCAATGTATACGTTTCGGTCTGATGTTTAATCAGAGGTTTGCTTTGCATTGGGTTTCGAGTCTCGTTCACACTCCAACCGCTTGGACAATAAAGTATATCAAAACAAAACAAAAACACGTATTAATACGTACAAACACAGTTACAAACCTGATTCACAATATCCGCCAATTTGCTCGCAGCTTCGTCTAATCTTCCTACTGATTTCAGATAATCGATATAGTCTTCAGTGTTGTTGGATAACAACTGCAGAAGAGATGATAATAATAGTCATTAAACTTTTGGTCTGTTTTTTAAAGAATGCACAAAATTTAGACTAAATGACCTTAATTATATGTACATTAATTATCATCTGAGAATGAGTTTAACCTGGCTTTTAAGTAAGCCAGTATTACCTTGAGGTACCGTCGGTAAACCCTTACTGCTGTCTCTGGAATTGGATACGAGCGTACAAACTTCAAGTACAGCGGCCATATTCTATAATGCTGAGTTATAGGTAGAGCTCTGAGAGCTCGATCAAATGTTCGTCGAATTCGAGTAATTTGATGCTGATCCATTAAAAACTGGCAATAATCAAGCCAAATACGAGGCATCTGAAAGTGTAACAACCATACAATGAATCTTTAACTGCTAGCACACAAGAATCCTATTAGCCATTTCCCAATCGTAGCACGGTACTGGGTCTAGTCGTGAACCGCAAAGCATCTATGGACTGCTTGGAGGGACAGGAAATATAAGTTTGAACTCCATAGAGACTTTGCGGTTCGCGACTAGACCCAGTACCCTGCTCGATTGGGAAATGGCTAATTATATAAATGGTTCTATATAAATTTATAAATGGAATCTATTTTATGCTTTAGGACGAACAATCTTGCTCGTGTATGTACTGTATACAATTCTGGACCAAACAATGTGCAAGTCATGGCATGTTTTGACTTCTGAGAGGTGGAAAACAAAGGAATGAAATTGAACGCGTTGCGAGAATAAGTCAATTATATCAAGGTAAAATATGCTTGCATAATGTACATACACGGTCAAGGACCAAGGAAAAATATGCTCTGAAATATGTTAAATTAGCTTCAACTTCTATTGTAAATTGACGAATCATGTTTGAAACCGTTTTGGCATGAAAACGAATAAAAAAACGCTCAAAACGCTACCGTATCCACATAACCTAATTATACTGGGTACGAGCCTGACGAGTTTTCAACTACAACCGCATCGCAAGCAAAACCGTCACGTAGCCATCAATAAGCTAAAATAAGATACGTTTCGCAACGTTACACTTGCGATTTTCCTCTTTTGATAGATGTTAACGAGCAAAAAGTTACGAATGCTCTAATGTAAAAGAGCTCTTATTTGAACATCCGTAACTAATTCACTCGTTCACATCTATCAAAAGAAGAAAACCGCAGCAAAAATCGCAGCAAGTGTGAACGGACCTTAAAGTGCAAAACTGGCTTAATGGTTTTTGCGATTCATACCAGTGTTACAATCAGTGTAAAATACTTGTGAAAAATCGTGACGTACACATACCATACACGTGGGATTATGCTTGCGATACGCCAGTGTTTTACGCTGAGGATACGCCTATGAAACATTACGTAATTATTGTACACAGGGTTGGGAAGTAAGACGGTTTTTGATGACCTGGGACGTTTTCCTTTATACGGTAAAAACGGCCGCACCCGTCCTGTTGAATTTTAGTACACTGGCATAACTCAGTGTCACTCCTGCATGAAGGTCCGTATAGGGAAATATTTCCCAAGATCTCAAAAACAGCCCGAGGCCGAAGGCCAAGGGACGTTTTTGAAACTGAGGGAAATACTTCCCTATACGGACCAGCTAAACTGGTAAATAATAGATTTATGTTTTTCTTGCGGTCCGAATTCATATTTTAGCGTTGGCTCTGTGCTTTTAAATCTCGCGCGAAAAAAAAAAGTTAACATACCTTGTGCATGAACACAAGAGCGCGTTCAAACGTGTTGTTCACATCCTCATAAGATGAGTCCGAGATAGGTCTAAGATTATGAAATAACAATATCTTTTATATGCTTTCCTGCAATTTCAGACGGATTTTCTTCTCACCAAAGAAAAAAAATTGTTGTTGAGTTTTCACAAAAAATACAAATGTAAACAAGCCTCATTACCCTCACAGTTTTAAAGCAAATTGAAAAGATTAGAGAATATTAAAGAAGAATAAATTTAAGAATTTAAGAGAATAAATCTTAAAGAGAATATTCAAATTTTCATTTTTTTTACAGTAGAAACTAGGAGTTACTATCGCAAGGAAATTGCTGCCTTAACATCCCCGATCAGGTCAAGAATTAAAGGCAGCATGCGGAATTTTCTGAATTGGTTGTTTATACAATCCCGGTTAGCCAGGACTAGATTCACAGTGAAGTGAGATTATTCTTATGTATTGATCCCTGAAAAACGCAAAAACGTCATGTAAAAATGCAAAGTAATCTGAGTTCTCATGGGTTTGGGAATCTGGGTATACTTCATTGTTAAACGTAGTGACGTACAATGGCAACATAGAAATATTATCCGCGCTAGAAATTCGTCGCCTTGATGTATATGTATCTATATAAGAGCGGCAAAAATATATCCTTGTTCTGAAAATGTCTATCTTCTGTTCCGATCCTGCGTTTATAATACTGCGTATACAATTACGTGATTAAAGGCCGAGACAACGCGACGCGAACTTTTAGTTTTCAAAAGCTGATAAAACACTCAATGAGAGAAGTTTTTAAAAAATATGTCAAGCAAATAATTTAAAATGTTATAGCGCTCGCTTATATTCAATATTTGTCATATAAGAAACATAAGAACCATATAGGCTATAGCCGATGAACTAATGAAAGCACCGCTCTAGATTGAGATGAGAACATTGCCATGCATGTAGCCGATTAACACATGAAGTACTCCTCTAAGATTGAGCAATGAACGTTCATGCATCGTCTTCATGTATATGTATCTGCATAAAAGCAGAAAAATATATATCCCCGCATATCCCATTTGGCCAGTACCGACGGCTCTAATATTTTGTCCACTCCCCCAATTTTAAAAGTGACTTGATGATCGACCTTTGGCCCGGAAAATGCAGACATCCATCGGACAAACGGACACGAATCGAGATTTCGACTATACATAGTTCGGCGCGGAAGACTGGGTCGAATGAACTCTGGAGAAATCTCTGCCGTGTCAAGAATAGTGTGCTGCCTCGCTACGCTCGGCAGCAATAAAACGCTTTAACAAATGTTTTTTGCCAAATTACCATCAAACACCTAATATGCAACACCTAAACAACATCCTATGCATGTATATAAATTATAAACAATATATTAATAAAATCCAAAATTTTGGGGCTAATATTTTATATCTCATGCAAAAAGTTAAATTATATTAATTATATGACCTTGGGTGAATTTACATGCAATTACCAACAAGACTAAAAAAGTTTATGAAATATTGACCCAGTTCTCTATCTACATTAATTTCCTTATTTATTAATATTAACAACTGTATTTCACCTATTTCTTCCAAATGGAGCTTTAGCACAATTCATGATTAGAACAATCAATGCATATGCAACAACACATACTATATGATACTAAAAAACTTACTTGCCACGAACTTGTCTCCTACATTCTTTAAGATAAATGTACCATAATTTATAGCTGTTAAGAAATTAGAAGATAAAATTAAATTAAAGAATTCACTTTTGCCAGGTGATTCCCTGTCATATATGTGTGTGACAACCCTATATAATGCTGCTTTTGCTGTTTTCTTCATTGTGTGTGTGTCAGAGATGTTTTTCTACACTTCAAATGATTGCATAGAACATTAGTTTTAAGGGAGAAATCTCTTAGGCACACATACATAAAACAAAGTAAACAGTGGGTGTGGTATGGTTTTTTGTGGCTGTGTGATATATATCACTATGGTATTTTAGGGATTATTTTGAGGAACCTTTCTGGAGCTATAAAATCATTTAAATTTTTCGAGTTTTTGCAAATAAATCAATGATTAGTTTATGCAATGAAAATTAGAAAATTAGTTTATGCTGGACCTTTCTATTTACAATTTATAAAAGAAAACCTATAACTTATATATTTCCAGCAACCTAGCTGGGATAAAAATATTGTGTTTGGATTATTACATATTAGGGAGCATTTTATTCTCAGAAGAGGTGGAAAACAATCCTAAGAAATAACTTTTACCTTCCAGGCAACTCCTTCAATGACCTTTCAAAAATCAAGTTTTTCACAGATTTTGGGGCAGACTTCTTGTGTTCAAGATATCGTGACCAGCACTTTACTGAGTATGGGTTTCTTAAGATCTCCTCTTCAAAAGGAAGATCATCTTCTTCCTAAAAGAAGCACTATAGTATCTTGTTGATGGTCATTTTTACCATTGCCTATAAATGTAGGCAATATAACTAGCCAAAAGCTAGGGCCAAAACAAACTTCTGCATGATCATGACGTTATTGTTACAAAATTATAAATTAGGAAAAGAATTGACTTTTAAAGATGCAGTCCTGCTGTTAACACAAAGATAAGTTTCATATTTATTTAATAAAACTACATTCAGGCATGAATTTCGCCATTGTAAATCTCGACATGGCGTTGGGTTGTTTTCACCCACCATTCACTCGTTATATCATAAATAACATTTTCGAACTCACTATGATTAGATTCTTGGTTACTTTGGAGGAGATCGACATTATTCAAACAAAAGTAAACGAAAATTAATACACTTTTTAGTTTTTACTGTAAAATATATAACGTTGCCTCCAGTTATGACATAAAGATCAGCTGGGGAAAAAAGAACCGCGGATAAAAACCACCCCAAACACCCCCGCGCGCTCACCTTTTTTCAGCTGACCTCTATACAAAAGCTGAATGCAACGTTATATACTTTTAGATGAACGACCAGTCGTTCAAAGGAAAAAGACTAAAACACTGAAATTAAATTTAATCCAGGGTTAGCGCTAACCTAGCTTTGAACAACTGGCCTCAAAGCTATAAATCATTGGATTTATGGCTCTGAGTACAATATTGTGTGGTTGGCCAGCTAAACTATTAGCTGAGTCCAATCTCGCACCCAAGTGGTAAATTAATTAAGCCTGGTCTCTAAGCAGCAGGACAGTAAGCAGCAGCCAGGTGTAGGATATAATTGCGTGCCAAATCGTCTTATTTGTGGTATCAGCTTGCCTAGGCCATACGAGCAGCCAAACTGCTTACATTTCAACCAGTTAGTATTTTTAAATGATGAAATATAAGCATATGAAACGGGCGTAGGAAAGTTTTTAGGAATAGAGGCCAATTTTACCACGGTCATGCTAAGGCATCCCATTTTACAAAATTGGCAGTTTTTATTGGAAAATGGGATGTTATAAAACCTAAAACGGGCAGTTCTAAAAATTGAGTCTTGGATAGAAAATGTTGAATTTCCAAGATAGTTTCTTAGAGATTACGTATACATTTTCCAATTACTGCGGTATAGAAACTTCTGCGACATATAAGTTACAAGCAACTATAAGTTACTACTCTGACAAGACTGACACCACCCTCAATAATTGCTTTGCATTTCAAATAAACAAAAGTGTTTATTGTTTGGTTTAAAAAAGTGGACAATGTTATACTGAAAATTTCTGCTGTGTTTTCATATTTTCCAATTACTGCGGTGTAAAAACGTCTGAACACTCTGTATTGAAGCAACTATAAGTTATCATTCTGACAAAACTGACATCACCCTCAATAATTGGTTTGCATTTCAAATGAACAAAAGTATTTACTGTTTGGTTTGGAAAAAGCAGAAATTTTTATAAAAATTTCTTTTGTGTTTTTGCATTATCCAAAAAAGCAGAAATTTTTATAAAAATTTCTGTTGTGTTTTTGCATTTTCCAATTACTGCTTGTAAAAACGTCTGAACACTCTGTATTGGAGCAACTATAACTTACTTTTGTAACAAGACTGACATCACACTCAATAAATGCTTTGCATATTTCAAATGAACAAAAGTATTTACTGTTTGGTTTGGAAAAAGCAGAAATTTTTATAAAAGTTTCTATTGTGTTTTTGCATTTTCCAATTACTGCTTGTAAAAACGTCTGAACACTATGTATTGGAGCAACTATAAGTAACTTTTGTAACAAGACTGACATCACACAATAATTGCTTTGCATATTTCAAATGAACAAAAGTATTCACTGTTTGGTTTGAAAAAAGCGGACATTTTTTAAAAATCTCAGTTGTGTCCAAAGACTGTGGTGTAAAAACGTCTGTACACTCTGTATCGAAGCAACTATAAGTTACTTTTCTGACAAGACTGACATCACCCTCAATAATTGCTTTGCATCTCAAACATGAACAAAAGTATTTACTGTTTGAATTGGAAAAAGCAGAAATTTTCATAAAAATTTCTGTTGTGTTTTTGCATTTTCCAATTACTGCTTGTAAAAACGTCTGAACACTCTGTATTGGAGCAACTATATATACGTTACTTTTGTAACAAGACTGACATCACACTCAATAATTGCTTTGCATATTTCAAATGAACAAAAGTATTTACTGTTTGGTTTGAAAAAAGCGAATATTTTTATAAAAATCTCAATATTGTGTCTAATTACTGTGGTGTAAAAACGTCTGTACACTCTGTATCGAAGCAACTATAAGTTACTTTCAGTTTGAAAAGACTGACACCACGCTCAAAAAATTGCTTCGCATTTCAAATGAACATAAGTATTGGCTGTTTGGTTTGCAAAAAGCAGACATTTTTATAAAAATACCGTATAGTTCATAATTTATATACATGCATAGGATGTTGTTTAGGTGTTTGATGGTAATTTGGCAAAAAACATTTGTCAAAACATTTTATTTAATACTGTAAAAAAATTGAAAATTTGAATATTCTCTTCAAGATTTATTGAATTATTCTCTTAAATTCTTAAATTTATTCTTCTTTAATATTCTCTAATCTTTTCAATTTGATTTAAAACTGTGAGGGCAATGAGGCTTGTTTACATTTGTAATTTTTGCAAAAACTCAACAACAATTTTTTTCTTTATGGATCGGACTGAGAAAACCCGTCTGAAATTGCAGGAAAGCATATAAAAGTTATTGTTATTTCATAATCTTAGACCCATCTCGGACTCATCTTATGAGGATGTGAACAACACGTTTGAACGTGCTCTTGTTTTCATGCACAAGGTATGTTAACTTGGTTTTTTTTCGCACGAGATTTAAAAGCACTATTATTTATCAGTTTATCTGGTCTTCGTAGCCTTAGCTTTCGGCCTTGGGCTGTTTTTGAGATCTTGGGAAATATTTCCCAATACGGACCTCCAATCTGGTAAATAACACATATATATTTGATATTAAGAGCACTCCCCTTCCAGCAGCTGAAATGGTCAAAACGGTCATATTTTGGTACGGACATAAATAGAATATTTTGTTAAGAAAATGGGAGTCAAACTGCATTCAGGAGTGACACTGAGTTATGCCAGTGTACTAAAATTCAACAGGACCGGTCCGGCCGTTTTTACCGTATAAAGGAAAACGTCCCAGGTTTTTCAAAACCGTCTTGTTTCCCAACTCTGTGTACAATAATTACGTAATGCGTCATAAGCGTATCCTCAGCGTAAAACACTGGCGTATCGCAAGCATGTATGGTATGTGTACGACACGATTTTTCACTTTTTTTTTGCACTGATTGTATCACTGGTATGAATCGCAAAAACCATTAAGCCAGTTTGGCACTTTAAGGTCCGTTTACACTTGCTGCGATTTTTGCTGAGAGAGTGGCAAATTTTGGATTCATTGATATAACCGGGTGGCGCAAAAAAAAAGTTAACCTGTTTGATTGAGTATAACTTCAAAACTAAGAGGCCTGTTACACTGAAATAACTTTCGTTAGATTCGTGAATGTCTAAATTAAAATTTGTTATATACCATGTGTATTTTGATACAGTATTCCCAGAGATTTCGGCGTTTAACTTTTAATACGTGCTTTTGAAAAGTGCAAAAATTAGTGAAAAATGTCATAATAGCTAAATAAGTAAAGATAATAATGTTCGTTTTGAATTAAGCACACAACAATAAAGTACTATGCGTTCATTTTCTACCGTGCAATTCAACGTCTATTCATTTTGAAAAGCATCGCCCCCAGCATTGATGCAACGTCTTGCTCGCGTGACCATGGTGTCAAATGAACGTTGGATTATTTCATGGTTGATGTTGCGGCATTCAGTAACAATTGCTGCACGAAGCTGTTCCAAATTGTTTGGTTGCTGACCATGCGGCACGTTCCAAATCTTGTGCTTTAGATACCCCCAAAGGAAGAAATCACACACTGTGAGATCAGGAGAGCGGGGAGGCCAAGGCCAATCACCGCCTATACTCATCAAACGGCCGGGAAATTGACCACGAAGATACTGCATGGTCGCGTTACTGGTGTGCCAAGGAGCACCATCTTGCTGCCAGAACATGACATTTCTATCGATGTTATGAATGCGAAAATCTCTTTGTACGACGTTGTCACGGATGATTCGTAGATACTCTTTGGTGTCAAGATTTCCTTGGACAAAGTGGGGACCCAAAACAATTCCTGTCCTGGTCAAACCAACCCAAACCATAACTTGATCAGCTCCTTTAAAGCATTCAACATAATGATCGGGTGGGTGACCATCGCCACGAACTGCGTATTTCCTGACATTCCTTGTGTTTATTTCCGAATTTAAGCTGAAACCTGCTTCGTCGGATACTATTAACTGATCCAGGAAACCAGGGTTTTGCTGAACAGCAGTTACAAATCGATTACAGAACGCCAAACGCTGAGCCGGATCACCATCTATTAACTTCTGCCTCCGAATTAATACGTACGGGTGGAATTTGAGATCAAATTTAACGATTCTCCGAAACGTGCTACGGCTTAATCCTAAACCATTTCGCCGCGAAGATCGTTTACCGTTTTCTGTGAGGGACTGTCGAACTAATTCGATGTTTTCAGCTGTTCGCGCCGTTCTTCTTCGACCGCTCCGTCCTTTATTTAGATCATGACAAGTCCCTTCTCGCAAAAACTTTCTAAATGTTTTAATAACGGTTTTTTTACTAGGGGCAGGCATGTTATCCCAATAAATTGGCCATCGTCGTATGACTTCTTGAGCATTGTTAACCTTGATATATTCTGTGCAAACCCAAACTCGCTGTTGTATCGTTAAACGAGGCATATTAACAAAAGAACAACTGAGCAGAATTCATGCCAAATTGTTTCTTCAATTTGTGCCTTCCGAACGAATTCTATTCCCCATGGGAACAAAGTCTAAACCAAAATAGCCAATTTCAATGTTTTAACGCTTTCCAACATGTCATAACACAGAAAATAAAAAGACCTTATTTGATAAATAAAAAGACCTGTTTGAGCATTTTATTCTCAGAAGAAGTGGAAAACAATCCTAAGAAATAACTTTTACCTTCCAGGCAACTCCTTTAAAGACCTTTCAAAAATCAAGTTTTTCAAAGATTTTCGGGCAGACTTCTTGTGTTCAAGATAACGTGACCAGCACTTTACTGAGTATGGGTTTCTTAAGATTTTCTCTTCAAAAGGAAGATCGTCTTCTTCCTAAAAGAAGCACCATAGCATCTTGTTGATGGCCATTGCCTATAAATCCAGGCAAAATAACTAGCCAAAAGCTGGGGCCAAAAACAAACTTATGCACATGATCATGACGTTATTGTTATAAAATTATAAATTAGGAAAAAAATTTACTTGTAAAGATGCAGTCCTGCTGTTAAAACAAAGATAAATTTCATATTTATTTAATAAAACTACATTCAGGCATGAATTTCGCCATTGTAAATCTCGACATGGCGTTGGGTTGTTTTCACCCACCATTCACTCGTTATATCATAAATAACATTTTCGAACTCACTATGATTAGATTCTTGGTTACTTTTATTCGAACCAAAGTGAACGAAAATTCATACACTTTTTACTATAAAAATAATAAAATATATAACGTTGCCTCCAGTTATGGTATAGAGATTAGCTGGAAAAAAGAAAAAAAAAACACTCCAAACCAGTGAACTCAAAAGAACTGGAAGGCTACCTCCGGCCGGAGATTTGAAGCCAAATTTTGGGGTCATGCCCAGTCTTTTCACGCAACTAAACACGCGGTTTTTTGAAACTTCAAAAATAATACTTCAACATGCAAGCACTAAAAACATCTTTTAGAGAACATAAAGTGCGTTTAGCACTGTATTTTTACGATAAAAGCATCCGTGAAAACTACAGAGTAAAGTATACTAAATTTATCTGTATCAAATTCGCAATTAAATTGCCCTTTCTCCCTTCCGAACGAGGAGTGAAGCCGGGACAATTCAAAAGTGTTTGTGTGAATTCACATTTCAACCAGTTAGTATTTTTAATTGTTGAAATATAAGCATATGAAACGGGCGTAGGAAAGTTTTTAGGAATAGAGGTTAATTTTACCACGGTCATGCTAAGGCATCCCATTTTCCAAAATGGGCAGTTCTTATTGGAAAATGGGATGTTATAAAAATTGCAGTTCTAAAAATTGAGTCTTGGATAGAAAATTTTGAATTCCCAAGATAGTTTCTTAGAGATTACGTATACATTTTCCAATTACTGCGGTATAGAAACTTCTGCGACATATAAGTTACAAGCAACTATAAGTTACTACTCTGACAAGACTGACACCACCCTCAATAATTGCTTTGCATTTCAAATAAACAAAAGTGTTTACTGTTTGGTTTAAAAAAGTGGACAATGTTATAAAAATTTCTGCCGTGTTTTCATATTTTCCAATTACTGCGGTGTAAAAACGTCTGAACACTCTGTATTGAAGCAACTATAAGTTATCATTCTGACAAAACTGACATCACCCTCAATAATTGGTTTGCATTTCAAATGAACAAAAGTATTTACTGTTTGGTTTGGAAAAAACAGAAATTTTTATAAAAATTTCTGTTTTTGCATTATCCAAAAAAGCAGAAATTTTTATAAAAATTTCTGTTGTGTTTTTACATTTTCCAATTACTGCTTGTAAAAACGTCTGAACACTCTGTATTGGAGCAACTATAAGTTACTTTTGTAACAAGACTGACATCACACTCAATAAATGCTTTGCATATTTCAAATGAACAAAAGTATTCACTGTTTGGTTTGAAAAAAGCGGACATTTTTATATAAATCTCAATTGTGTCCAATTACTGTGGTGTAAAAACGTCTGTACACTCTGTATTGAAGCAACTATAAGTTACTTTTCTGACAAGACTGACATCACCCTCAATAATTGCTTTGCATCTCAAACATGAACAAAAGTATTTACTGTTTGAATTGGAAAAAGCAGAAATTTTTATAAAAATTTCTGTTGTGTTTTTGCATTTTTCAATTACTGCTTGTAAAAACGTCTGAACACTCTGTATTGGAGCAACTATATATACGTTACTTTTGTAACAAGACTGACATCACACTCAATAATTGCTTTGCATATTTCAAATGAACAAAAGTATTTACTGTTTGGTTTGAAAAAAGCGAATATTTTTATAAAAATCGCGTCGCGTTGTCAAATCGCGTCCGGTCTGTCTGGACATTACAATATCCATTCGCTTATATTCAATATTTGTCATATAAGAAATATAAGAACCATATAGGCTATAGCCGTATAGGCTATAGCAATGTTCCATATAGGCTATAGCAATGTTCTCATCTCAATCTAGAGCGGTGCTTTCATTAGCCGATAAACTAATGAAAGCACCGCTCTAGATTGAGATGAGAACATTGCCATGCATGTAGCCGATTAACACATGAAAGGACTCCTCCAAGATTGAACAATGAACGTTCATGCATCGCCTTCATGTATATGTATCTGCATAAAAGCAGAAAAATATATATCCCCGCATATCCCTTATCGCTTATTCATTAATATTAACAACTGTATTTCACCTAATTCTTCCAAATGGAGCTTTAGCACAATTCATGATTAGAACAATCAATGCATATGCAACAACACATACCATATGATACTAAAAAACTTACTTGCCACGAACTTGTCTCCTACATTCTTTAAGATAAATGTACCATAATTTATAGCTGTTAAGAAATTAGAAGATAAAATTGGAGCGCTCCGAGCGCGACAGCCTTGAATAAACGTGGTTTACACCGAATCGTATAATAATTTTTATTCGATCTAAAATTAAATAATATTATGACCGTTATAACGTTAATGTGTATCTCTATTTACAAAACATATCATCTGTACTCACTTCTGTGGGGCTTCCACGTTTACATCTCAGCTACATCGTTTCAGGTTAGCTTATATCTTAAATATCAGGTTAGCTTTAATAACAGTTTGACTTTTCTGTCCGAGATCGAAGTTGCCGCTTTTTTCTCCTAACGTTAAACTTAATGTCAATCAAACTATGATCTAAGATCTAACTTCCGGTTCTATTTACATCCGGTTCTATTTACAATAATAGATGCAGCGTAGCATTCTCCCCCCAATGAAATACTTATTCTCTTAACTTTTCATTGTCATCGCCTTCTGCTGGCTGGATCACCACGATCTTTGTGATCGGTCTTGAATATTCTCCTGTAGGTGTTTTCACTTTCACGTTTCTCACTCTCCCGTCTTGTCCCGGATAAACTTCGATTATTCTTCCGCTGATCCAATTTCCCCTCACTGCGTTGTTATCCGCTACGATTACGAAGTCGTCGATTTTAACATTTCGTTTCTCTACGTTCCACTTCTTCCGCGGTACCAGTAGGGGGAATACGTCCCTAACCCATCGCTTCCAAAACGAGTTAACGATCTTCTGTACAAATTCGACTCTACGTCTGGGATTCCTGCTTTCCTCAAATGGACCTTGGGGCACACGTGTCGACGCCCGTCCAAGAAGCAAATCATTGGGACAGATGTAAGACCCGTCATCGGGGTCATTTGGTACACGACCGATGGGGCGTTGATTCACGAGATTTCCCACTTCTAAGAGACATGTGTACAGTTCGAAAGGTGTGAGGACGTGATCACCAATCGCTATCTTTAATGCTCGTTTACAACTCTTTATTAGGGATTCTGCACACCCGTTTTGGTGTGGGGCACCTGGCGTCGTGAACTTCCATTGAATTCCTTTGTCCGCACAATATTCATGGAGTTTCTTCTTATCCCAACCACTAATCATCTTTCTAAGTTCTGTAACCGCACCGACCAGATTTGTGCCGTTATCACTCAGGATCAGTGCAGGATAACCTCTGATCGCAAAGAATCTTCTGAGAGTTTGAATAAGCTCCATTGCAGTACAGTCCGTTGCTATCTCCAGGTGGACGGCACGCGCATTTAGACATGTGAAAATGACACCATAGTGTTTCGTCGTTTTATTACGTCCGACTTTGACAGTCAAAGGGCCGAAATAATCACATGATGTATAATGAAATGGTGGTGATTGTGGCGCTAGACGTTGAGGTGGTAGATTAGCCATAAATTGAGACTCTGCTTTGGGTTCCATTGCTTTGCAAACGACACACTTGTACTTGACAGCTTTAGCGAGGTCGTGGGCTCTTATTATCCAATACATTCGTCTTGTTTTGGCTGTTGTTGTTGCAATTCCCGAATGTCCACATCGGTGGGCTTCTTCTGTAATGAGACGAGATATTCTGTGATGATATGGTAACAAGGCAGGATGCCTCGTTTCGTAAGAAACGACAGCGTTATCCACGCGTCCTCCAACTCGTATAATGCCCCCAGGATCAACGAATGGGGACAATGTCTTGAAGTCGTTTCGTTTCAGCCTCTCTTTCAAGCTCATCTGGGCCAGTTTGATCCAATAAATGCGACCAAGTTCAAGTTCCTCTGCTGTCAGCGGTCCTTGTCTGGCTCCATCGTCACGCTTCATTCTCGAGAGTAAGTTATTCTTCAGTCGTAGTACCCATGACGTGACTCTAACTAACTTCTTCCAACTGGAATATGTGTTGCAATCGATAACACTCTTTGTTACTGCTGCTGACGCCACCATCTGTTTCTTCCTAACTTCTTTCTCGATTTCAATGACATCTGGTTTCAGATCTTCTTGTGGCCATTCCTCTTTGGGTCTGCGTAGGAATTCTGGGCCTTCTTTCCATCTACCAGATAATTCAGATGCTTTTATTCCGCGAGAGACATCGTCTGCTACATTGTGTTCACTTGGGATATGTCTCCATTGACAGGGCTGTACATTGCTTTGTATCTCTCCGACTCTGTTTGATACGAACGGCTTGAAACGTCTCCCTTTGCTACGGATCCAAGCCAATGTAATTGTGCTGTCCGTAAACAGAATGATTTCTTCAAATTCCACTCGTGTTTCTTCTTGTATACTCTTACATAGTCTACTTGCTAATACTGCCGCCTGAAGTTCGAGTCTTGGAATACTTAGCTCCTTCAGTGGTGCCACTCGCGACTTAGCGGCGACAAATCTCACTTCGATTGAACCACTCGAATCCACGTTTCTAATATATGCGCACGTTCCGAATGCACAACGGGATGCATCCGCAAAGATACAAAGTGTCGGAAGCTCAACTGTGATAAATGGACATAAACATCTCTCCAAGACGATGTCGCTTAACTGCTTCATTTCTTCGAAGAATGATACCCAATGTTCTCGCGATTCAGTCGAGAGCTCGTCATCCCAGCCAATACCTTTCTGCCATAACTCTTGGATCCCCATCTTCGCTCGGATAAGGAACGCTGATGTGAGTCCTATCGGATCGTATACACGTGATATCTGGCTGAGAATTGTTCTCTTTGTTATCTTTGGTGGCTGTGAATCGAGGATATTTGGTTCCACTTTGTATTTAAGAACATCGTTCGCATTGTTCCAGCCGACACCTAACACCTTTTCTTCTTGTTTTCCTTGCAAAACCGGGATTTCCCCCACTTGTTGTGTCGGGACGTTTTTATCCAGATCTTCATTGGATCGCCATTCTTTCACATTGAAACCACCTTTCGCAAGTATAACATCAATTGAGCTGGACAGTTCTTTCGCTTCTTCCACCGTGTCGACTGAGTCTAATATGTCGTCCATATACGTATTATCTTTCACCGTCCGTGCTGCTCTTGGATTTGATGTCTCGCCTTCTTCAGCCGTCTTCTTTAGTGCTATTTGCGCCATTGCCGGCGCCGGTTTGTCACCGAAAGTGAGGACATTCATTGCGTACGTATCAGGTTGTCTGTCAACTTGCATGTTCCTCCATAGAAATCTGTGCACGTGCTGATCTTCAATTGGAATGCGCACTCTGTGGTACATTTTGGAAATATCAGCACTCAAGGCTACTCTATTTTCTCTAAACCGAAGGATCACTCCAAAGAGGTTATTCAGTAAATCTGGGCCCTTTAGCCAATAATCGTTGAGGCAGCGTCCTTGGTATACAGAAGACGAATTAAAGACAATTCGGAGTGGGGTACTTTTACTTTCGGGTTTAAGAACGGAGTGGTGGGCTATGTAGTGAACAGGACCTTGATATTCCCTTATTTCTTTCTCTGTAAGCTTTCTTGAAAACTTCAGTTCATTCATCTCCGTTATTTGCTTATCGTAGGCCTTCGCGTGCTGTGGGTTCTTCTGGAGTCTGCGTTCTGTCGCTTCGAGTCTTCTCATTGCCTGATTTCTGTTATCGGGTAATTCCTTCGGATCAATCCTCCAGGGGTATGACACCATCCATTGATTATCCACTTTCTTGCACGAATTCTCGATAATCTTTGCTTCTTCTATTTCGATCGGGCTGAGGTTACTTGTGGTACATCTGCATGATTTTACTGCTACTCCCATTGATTCTGTAGTCCAGAATTCTGATAAGTCAACAGGGGCTGTGTATTTGATATGGAAGATTTGACTAGCTAGCACTGTCTCTCCTGGTTTTGCTCCGAATACAACCCATCCTAAAGGTGATTTTCTTGCTATCAAATCGCCCGCCTGCTTGGTTTCTCCAGTGTGCATTCGAGGGTGGTCGATACCGATAAGAACATCGACTTGTCCTTTACCCCGATTAATCCTTTTTTTAGTTCCAGCTGTCTTACGATCTCCTTTGTGTCAGTTCCTGAAATATCGTCACTGATAGTAGGAATACCGATTGCTTTTATGACAAACTTTGTTTTGTTATCCGGTGAGCCAACTTGAACTTTATATGCTTTCGTTGTGATCTCCTGCTCTTCACCTCCAACTTTCGTCAATGTAATGGAGACGTTTGTGCCTGTCAGGCCGAGACTTTCCGCTGTTTCTTGTCGTATCAGGCTCAACTGCGCTCCCGAGTCCAGAAGTACGTTGCCCCGCTTATACAGGTTGCTTTCTCCACTGATATTAGCTGAAATCACAGGAAGTAGGGCTTCTTGATTTGTTGTCACTGATGTGATGATTGCTCGTTGGTTGGCGCTTCTGTGTAGAAGGGGATGGTGAAAGTGGACGCATTGGACATCGTTTTCTTTCTCTGTGCATTGCTTCCTTCGAGAACAGTTCGACATTTTGTGATTTCTAAACAACTGTAACAGGCATGATTCTCCTTTGCTTGTTGTAGGCGTTGGTCTAAACTGAGGGATGCAAACTTGGGGCATTGATCTAGCCAGTGTAATGAGGTTTTGCAAAGCCAACAACGGTAACTCGTCTTTCCATCTTCTCCTTCTAATGATCTCTTTACATGGTGGATTGAATGCTTTCCGCTTGTTCGTAATGGTGCAGAAGCTCTCATTCTAGACTTCATCTCCACACTCATCCATGTCATCAAGCCATGCAGCGTTGCTTGTTCGCTCCTTTTCTCAAGATCACGTGACCAGACTTTTCGGTCGTCAGAGCACATCTTGTTTTCGATAATTGCTAGTACATGGCTGTTGTCCATATCATTCGGCAAACCCACCTCCTTCAGCGTATTATAGCTTCTCTTTACTAAATGTACTAGTTCGAAAAATCTGGCATCCTCGTCATCGTTGAGCGCTTTAAACTTAACAATATCTTGCATGATTGTATCTGATACTACTCTGGGGTCTCCATAGATCGAGTCCAAGTACTCCTACGCTGCGTCATAGTTAGTGCCAATACCTCTAATTAACTCAAGCGGTTTTCCGTCCAAACATGTTCGTAGAAATGTTATAGCATCACGTTTGGAATATTTAGTTTCGATGGCGTGCTTGAAATCTGACCTAAATATCGCGTACTCTCTTACGTCTCCCGAAAATCTAGGCATCTTTGGTTTTTGCATTTTAAACGCACATGTGCTGTTATCAGTGGGTGAATCTCCCCCCGTCGCACCAGCTTCACTTCCGGTCGGGTCTGCGCTTGAGGTCTGCTGATCGTCGTTTTCAGCGGCCGTCACTAAATCATCGTTATTATTCTCACTTTGTTGCACTGTATTTTCGTTTTGAGTGTCGCTTCCGACAGGTTGCACGGCTGGTAAACTTTCTTCCTTCTGTTTCTCGATACTTTCTAAATGCAAATTGCCCTCTGTTTCACATTTCATAAACATGTCCTGGCATTCTTCTAGCCATGCTTCTTCCCGTTCGAACTCCACATCGTCCTCGATTAATTTTGTGAAATCTTCATGCTTAATTATCAACTTCTCGTATGCTTCTTGCAGCTTGGTAAGCGATTGTCTAATCTCTTCAGCCGGTCGCCTTTCCTGTAGTGCATATCTCAATGCTTTCCCCGCTCTAGTTAACGCCGCTTTAGCGTTTCGACGCCCGATCTTAGCTTCCTTTGATGTATTATTTTCGGACATTGTAGCTGTAAATATGAACCGTTCCGTGCCTCGCTCGTCGCACTCTTTGATGAGTTTATTATTTGTCTACATAGAAATCGAATGATGGAGCGCTCCGAGCGCGACAGCCTTGAATAAACGTGGTTTACACCGAATCGTATAATAATTTTTAATCGATCTAAAATTAAATAATATTATCATTCACTTTATAGTATTCTCAATTTTGATTGGTTAATTTATTGGTTAAACAATAATAGATGCAGCGTAGCAAAAATTAAATTAAAGAATTCACTTTTGCCAGGTGATTCCCTGTCATATGTGTGTGACAACCCTATATAATGCTGCTTTTGCTGTTTCCTTCATTGTGTGTGTGTCAGAGATGTTTTTTTATTCTTCAAATGATTGCATAGAACATTAGTTTTAAGGGAGAGACCGACACCACGCTCAAAAAATTGCTTCGCATTTCAAATGAACATAAGTATTGGCTGTTTGGTTTGCAAAAAGCAGACATTTTTATAAAAATACCGTATAGTTCATAATTTATATACATGCATAGGATGTTGTTTAGGTGTTTGATGGTAATTTGGCAAAAAACATTTGTCAAAACATTTTATTTAATACTGTAAAAAAATTGAAAATTTGAATATTCTCTTCAAGATTTATTGAATTATTCTCTTAAATTCTTAAATTTATTCTTCTTTAATATTCTCTAATCTTTTCAATTTGATTTAAAACTGTGAGGGTAATGAGGCTTGTTTACATTTGTAATTTTTGCAAAAACTCAACAACAATTTTTTTCTTTATGGATCGGACTGAGAAAACCCGTCTGAAATTGCAGGAAAGCATATAAAAGTTATTGTTATTTCATAATCTTAGACCCATCTCGGACTCATCTTATGAGGATGTGAACAACACGTTTGAACTTGCTCTTGTTTTCATGCACAAGGTATGTTAACTTGGTTTTTTTTCGCACGAGATTTAAAAGCACTATTATTTATCAGTTTATCTGGTCTTCGTAGCCTTAGCTTTCGGCCTCGGGCTGTTTTTGAGATCTTGGGAAATATTTCCCAATACGGACCTCCAATCTGGTAAATAACACACATATATATATACATATATATTTTGGATTCATTGATATAACCGGGTGGCGCAAAAAAAAAGTTAACCTGTTTGATTGAGTATAACTTCAAAACTAAGAGGCCTGTTACACTGAAATAACTTTCGTTAGATTCGTGAATGTCTAAATTAAAATTTGTTATATACCATGTGTATTTTGATACAGTATTCCCAGAGATTTCGGCGTTTAACTTTTAATACGTGCTTTTGAAAAGTGCAAAAATTAGTAAAAAATGACATAATAGCTAAATAAGTAAAGATAATAATGTTCGTTTTGAATTAAGCACACAACAATAAAGTACTATGCGTTCATTTTCTACCGTGCAATTCAACGTCTATTCATTTTGAAAAGCATGCCCTCCAGCATTGATGCAACGTCTTGCTCGCGTGACCATGGTGTCAAATGAACGTTGGATTATTTCATGGTTGATGTTGCGGCATTCAGTAACAATTGCTGCACGAAGCTGTTCCAAATTGTTTGGTTGCTGACCATGCGGCACGTTCCAAATCTTGTGCTTTAGATACCCCCAAAGGAAGAAATCACACACTGCGAGATCAGGAGAGCGGGGAGGCCAAGGCCAATCACCGCGTTTACTCATCACACGCCCGGGAAATTGACCACGAAGATACTGCATGGTCGCGTTACTGGTGTGCGAAGGAGCTCCATCCTGCTGCCAGAACATGACATTTTTATCGATGTTATGAATGCGAAAATCTCTTTGTACGACGTTGTCACGGATGATTCGTAGATACTTTTTGGTGTCAAGATTTCCTTGGACAAAGTGGGGACCCAAAACAATTCCTGTCCTGGTCAAACCAACCCAAACCATAACTTGATCTGCTCCTTTAAAGAATTCAACATAATGATCGGGTGGGTGACCATCCCCATGAACTGCGTATTTCCTGACATTCCTTGTGTTTATTTCCGAATTTAAGCTGAAAGCTGCTTCGTCGGATACTATTAACTGATCCAGGAAACCAGGGTTTTGCTGAACAGCAGTTACAAATCGATTACAGAACGCCAAACGCTGAGCCGGATCACCATCTATTAACTTCTGCCTCCGAATTAATACATACGGGTGGAATTTGAGATCAAATTTAACGATTCTCGGAAACGTGCTACGGCTTAATCCTAAACCATTTCGCCGCGAAGATCGTTTACCGTTTTCTGTGAGGGACTGTCGAACTAATTCGATGTTTTCAGCTGTTCGCGCCGTTCTTCTTCGACCGCTCCGTCCTTTATTTAGATTATGACAAGTCCCTTCTCGCAAAAACTTTCTAAATGTTTTAATAACGGTTTTTTTACTAGGGGCAGGCATGTTATCCCAATAAATTGGCCATCGTCGTATGACTTCTTGAGCATTGTTAACCTTGATATATTCTGTGCAAACCCAAACTCGCTGTTGTATCGTTAAACGAGGCATATTAACAAAAGAACAACTGAGCAGAATTCATGCCAAATTGTTTCTTTAATTTGTGCCTTCCGAACGAATTCTATTCCCCATGGGAACACAGTCTAAACCAAAATAGCCAATTTCAATGTTTTAACGCTTTCCAACATGTCATAACACAGAAAATAAAAAGACCTTATTTGATAAATAAAAAGACCTGTTTGAGCATTTTATTCTCAAAAGAAGTGGAAAACAATCCTAAGAAATAACTTTTACCTTCCAGGCAACTCCTTCAATGACCTTTCAAAAATCAAGTTTTTCAAAGATTTTGGGGCAGACTTCTTGTGTTCAAGATAACGTGACCAGCACTTTACTGAGTATGGGTTTCTTAAGATCTCCTCTTCAAAAGGAAGATCGTCTTCTTCCTAAAAGAAGCACTATAGTATCTTGTTGATGGTCATTTTTACCATTGCCTATAAATCCAGGCAATATAACTAGCCAAAAGCTGGGGCCAAAAACAAACTTATGCACATGATCATGACGTTATTGTTATAAAATTATAAATTAGGAAAAAAATTGACTTGTAAAGATGCAGTCCTGCTGTTAACACAAAGATAAATTTCATATTTATTTAATAAAACTACATTCAGGCATGAATTTCGCCATTGTAAATCTCGACATGGCGTTGGGTTGTTTTCACCCACCATTCACTCGTTATATCATAAACAAGATGCCCGCTAAGCATTAACCTCGCGTGCATGACTCATGAGGAGCGTCGGCAATTATAGTCATCGACATTCAGTGTTTCAGCATGCCCACCGGGGATGCGCATATCACTAGGGATCTGAGCATGGGGATACCCAAAACACGGGGATGCCCATATCAACGTGACAGCGACACTCCTTGCTGGCTGAAAGCGAAACGCTGAACCATCAGGAATTGCCGTCTCCTCGCCTTTCTCTGCGATTACATACAGCTCCCTGGCGAGTCAAGGGATTATCGATAGCACGTTGGCTATCTCCATGCCTTTCTCTTCCATTGCATAAAGCTTCCTGGCATGTCAAGGAATTGTCGACAGCACGTTGACCGTCTCCTCGCCTTTCTGTGTTACATACAGCTACCTGGCGAGTCAGGGGATTGTCGTTGAAAAACAAACGAAGGATACTAGGATAGCCATATTTCTCAAAGAGCTTGTCGAAATTGCTCGCTATTGATCAGGAATAGAGAAGCAATGAGATTGAAAACAGAAGGGTGAGCCGGCGAGCAGATCATGCGTCGTGGCCATCACGCCACGATCACGCGCTTAATTTCGCATTCAGTTTTATATATGGCGCTTAATTTCGCATTCATTCAAATATGGCGCCGGATCTTGGCCTCAACTGGCCTCAACCAATAAAATTCTCGACACGACAGAAAAATAAACGCTGGGCAAATTAAGACCTCGCTGCGCTACGCACGCGAGGTAATAACATTTTCGAACTCACTATGATTAGATTCTTCGTTACTTTTATTCGAACCAAAGTGAACGAAAATTAATACACTTTTTACTATAAAAATAATAAAATATATAACGTTGCCTCCAGTTATAGTATAGAGATTAGCTGGAAAAAAAAAATAAAAACCACCCCAAACACCTCCGCGCGCTCACCTTTTTTCAGCTGACCTCTATACCACAACTGAATGCAACGTTATATATTTTTAAAAAACGACCAGTCGTTCAGAAGCAAATAAACTAAAACACTGAATTTAAATTTAACCCAGGGTTAGCGCTAACCTAGCTTTGAACAACTGGCCTTAAAGCTGTAATCATTGGATTTATGGCTCTGAGTACAATATTGTTTGGTTGGCCAGCCAAACTATTAGCTGAGTCCAATCTCGCACCCAAGTGGTAAATTAATTAAGCCTGGTCTCTAAGCAGTAGAACAGTAAGCAGTAGCCAGCTGTAGGATATAATTGCGTGCCAAATCGTCTTATTTGTGGTATCAGCTTGCCTACGCCATACGAGCAGCCAAACTGCTTACATTTCAACAAGTATTTTTAAATGTTGAAATATAAGCATATGAAACGGGCGTAGGAAAGTGTTTAGGAATAGAGGCCAATTTTCCCACGGTCATGCTAAGGCATCCCATTTTACAAAATGGGCAGTTCTTTTTGGAAAATGGGATGTTATAAAACCTAAAATGGGCAGTTCTAAAAATTGAGTCTTAGATAGAAAATGTTGAATTTCCAAGATAGTTTCTTAGAGATTACGTATACATTTTCCAATTACTGCGGTATAGAAACTTCTGCGACATATAAGTTACAAGCAACTATAAGTTACTACTCTGACAAGACTGACACCACCTTCAATAATTGCTTTGCATTTCAAATAAACAAAAGTGTTTACTGTTTGGTTTAAAAAAGTGGACAATGTTATAAAAAATTCTGCTGTGTTTTCATATTTTCCAATTACTGCGGTGTAAAAACGTCTGAACACTCTGTATTGAAGCAAATATAAGTTATCATTCTGACAAAACTGACATCACCCTCAATAATTGGTTTGCATTTCAAATGAACAAAAGTATTTACTGTTTGGTTTGGAAAAAGCAGAAATTTTTATAAAAGTTTCTATTGTGTTTTTGCATTTTCCAATTACTGCTTGTAAAAACGTCTGAACACTATGTATTGGAGCAACTATAAGTAACTTTTGTAACAAGACTGACATCACACAATAATTGCTTTGCATATTTCAAATGAACAAAAGTATTCACTGTTTGGTTTGAAAAAAGCGGACATTTTTAAAAAATCTCAGTTGTGTCCAAAGACTGTGGTGTAAAAACGTCTGTACACTCTGTATCGAAGCAACTATAAGTTACTTTTCTGACAAGACTGACACCACGCTCAAAAATTGCTTCGTATTTCAAATGAACAAAAGTATTTGCTGTTTGGTTTGGAAAAAGTAGACATTTTTTTAAAAATCTCAGTTGTGTCCAACTACTGCGGTGTAAAAACGTCTGTACACTATGTATTGAAGCAAGTATAAGTTACTTTTCTGACCAGACTGACATCGCCATCAATAATTTGCTGTGCATTTCAAATGAACAAAAGTATTTGCTATTTGGTTTGAAAAAAGCAGACATTTTTATAAAAATCTCAGTTTTGTCCAAATACTGCGGTGTAAAAACGTCTGTACACTCTGTATCGAAGCAACTATAAGTTACTTTTCTGACTAGACTGACATCGCCTCCAATAATTGCTGTGCACTTTCAAATCAACAAAAATAATTGCTGTTTGGTTTGAAAAAAGTGGAAAATGTTATAAAAAATCTCAGTTGTGTCCAATTACTGTGGTGTAAAAACGTGTGTACACTCTGTATTGGAGCAACTGTAAGTTACTTTTCTGACAAGACTGACATCGCCACCAATAATTGCTGTGCATTTCAAATCATCAAAAGTAATTGCTGTTTGGTTTGAAAAAACTGGACAATGTTATAAAAATCTCAGTTGTGTCCAATTACTGTGGTGTAAAAACATCTGTTACTTTGTATTGAAGCAACTATAAGTTACTTTTTTGACAAGACTGACACCACCATAAATAATTTCTATGAATTTCACCTGAGCAAAAGTACGTATTTTCTGTTTTGTTTGAAAAAAGTGAGCATTTCCTACCTCCTCCGCAGCCACATTTCTATAAAAATTAAAAATCGGAAGAAAATATTTCTTATAAAGTGGAAGCATCCATCATGTGAAAATTATAGTGCAAATTAGAAAAATTGAATCGAACAGTTTGCGAATATTACTGTAAAATTTATTAACATTTAACAGTGAACTTTTAATATTAAATATTTAATAGTAAATTTCGTTAAAAATGTCAGATAATCTTCCAGAAAATTGGGTGACGCGTACTTCAAAATCAACAGGCAAAACATACTATTTTAACCTCCAAACAAACGAAAGCCAGTGGGACAAACCAGGCGATGGTGGTGAAGAAGGGAAAGTTAAAGCATCGCATCTTTTAGTTAAACATAACGAATCTCGGAGACCCTCCTCCTGGAGACAAGACCAAATCACAAGGACAAAAAACGAGGCATTAGAAATATTGGAAGGTGATAAAATTGTGGCCAAACTTTTTTATTAAACAAAATGTTCAGCTACAAACGATGTTAGCTCAAGCCAGATTTTGATTGACCCTGTACAATCGAACACTTTGAACACCCACTAGATTCATGTGGATAATTTAACGTGTGTGTCTCCATCGCAGGTCATTTTCCATGACACATATCAATGGCCTCTCTATAGAACCTGTTTTGCTTTGCAACACCTGATTTTCTTCTGTTTTGGACTTTTGGTAATACAGGTTATATCAAGCAAATCCAGTCAGGTGCCTCAACATTTGCAGAACTTGCGGAAACTGAGAGTGATTGTAGCAGTGCAAAAAGAGGGGGAGATTTGGGATGGTTTGGACATGGTCAAATGCAAAGTGAGTACTGAAAATTAGTGTTTGCAATGTTATTTTGAAAGTTGATTAAGACATGTTACATACATGCTTTATTTTGAAAGTTGATGTAACATATCAGTTAGAGTTACATGTTTAAGAAGCTATACCAATATAGTTTTGAGAATAATGAGATGTGCATTGAGTGATATGGTAAATTTTTTCATTACAGAACCCTTTGAAGATGCAACGTGAGTAACTGATTACTCAAGTTTTTTACCACAATTTAAGACACATGGAATTCTTTTGCAATCTGAGTTCCTAAGCCTTGTAATACCAAAGTAAAATATACACTTTGTTTGATGCTAATTGATCACTCTCAATGAAATATTGATCTTTTGTTTTATTTATAGGTATGCATTAAATGTTGGTGAAATGAGCGGTGTTGTTTACACTGATAGTGGCATCCACATTATTCTTAGGACTGGCTGAAACAAACTATTAGTTTTGTAAATACATATAAATTGCATGCAAGGATTGTACTTTATTTACTATCCAATTGAATACATAATTTGTAACCAGTAATATCATTCGTTGTATCGTTCAAAACAGTTTCAATGGTTTTTTATGTCAATGGTTGTATATTTCACCAAAATAATCACCCAAGCTTTTAGACACAATGCTCAAGACCTGACATTCAAATTCTAGGTGGTATTAAAACACAGGTGAAAAGATTGTATGCAGTCATATTTTTACCCAACTGGTCAACATTGTATTCCTAGGGAAGAAGGGGGCATGAGATGCTTCAGAGAAATGGGCTACAAATATAGGGAGATTATAAAACGGCAACTCTAATCTTATTATAATTCGTTTATTTATAAATATACACTACATTTAAACATCGACTTTATTCATGATAATCCTTCAGAAGAACTATCCTTATCTTCCAAATTCATCAAATCATCATCATCAGTGAACAGTAGAAGATCCGAATCAATCTTAATTGGCGACAGCAGATCTGACTCAACATTAAATGGCATAAGTTCAAAATTACTCGGAACTTTAGGGATATCGCTCGTATCAAGAATAGATCTCACATCGTCACCAGGAAATAACAAACTCCTATGAGAACCTTGTATTTCTCTGATTGAACCAGACTTATGCACAGATCTCTGTGCACTCACCGCACTGAGGTTTTCTGAAGACTTTGGATGCTCTTGAGCTTCCATAATTGGACTCTTCTCTGACCGTTCTTCGTTGATTTCATCATTTTGACACATTTCAACAGTCACAACTGTATTTGGCGTTATTACATTTTCTTCACTTTTTCGACAAGTATTGTCCTCAAGCGGGGACACAGTTACGTCTTCTGTGCACGTCGCTTCACTATGATGCGCTGTATCGTCTTTGGAGTGCCGGGTTTCTACTATTTCCAATGAAGTTTTGTCTTTTGAGCTCTTCCTTTTGTCTTCTGCGCAATGATTGATTTCCCTTTTTGACCCTGAAGCTCCATTGGTTGAGTCCAACATTTGGGCTTCAGTGCCCACGGCCTCGTCTTTTGTGCACGTGATTTCGTCTTTTGTGCATGTGATTTCGTAATTTGTGCATGTGATGTCATCACTCGATAACTTCGATTGTTTTTCCTCCATGACAACATCCGTCGCTTCATCTTTTGTCGACGTCACAGACTTAGTAGATACGGCATTTGGTAGCGTGTTCATAAACTCTTCTGTTTCACCTGCAAGCGAGTCTAAAAGACGCAATGTATCTTCGATCGTGTATTTGTCGCTATTAACCATGTCCTGCAATGTTTCCTCAGCCACAGTAAGCGCAGTGCTATCTTTATTTGGCATGCTGTCCAGCGGTATTTCTTCCTCAGTCTCACTGATAATCTCGCGAGAGATAATATACTCTTTCTCTTCTAAGATCTAGAGAGAGAGAAGAATGTAATTTTAACCATCTTCACCAACAAAAATATGCATGGTCGTACAAAATATTCAGATGATGTTAACAAAATTCATGATATAATAAAAACCAACCTGTTCCCTAATACACACTTGATCAACGGACCCTTGCTTTTGGTTCAAGCTTTCCAAACTCTTATTTTCTACTGTTATCAAAGTTTCCGTGCTACTACTGGCACCATCAGCATTACTAGCGGTGGCTGTGACAATGTCTATATTTGGAACAGGTGAGGGTGTCGGTACTGGTGGAATGCGGATGCTACAGATCTTACCAAGTTCGACGTTCATCTTGCGCGGTGTCTCAGTCACATGACCTGGACGCGTGACGCTGGGGACTGGGACAACTGTGAGAGAAGCTGGCATCTTTGGTAAGATAGTGGGTTTGTAGACGCCCATGTATGTGAAGGATTTTGGTAGTCTAGGTGGATGAGGCTTCCAGCTAGATTCTCCGGTGTAAGAATAGATTGAAAGACCTAACGAGCTATGGTAACCACGTAACAAGCTCCTAGGCCGATCGGAATTCCGTACATCTAAATTACTCCGGGACGTTATTCGCCGGTGGTCGAAAGCTCCTCCACTTCGTAGCTCGGCCCAAATATCCGAGGGTATATTCGTTCGACTGCTTGGACTGACGGCTCGGTCTGACATCCCGGATTCTCGGTCAGATACTTTATCTAAACCGGGACTTTGGACTTCGATATTACTTTGGGTGCTGTTAGTTTGGTTTTGACCGAAAGACATTTTCGAAAACTCGTTCCCAATGTTCATAATAGTCCCTTCGTTGATTTCTGCTACTTCTTGAAGCGATTGCTCAATTTGAATACCCGAACTCCTGACCAATGGAACCTTTGTATTTTTCTCTGTTTCATAAACCTCTCGCAACCTCGTATTGGACAACGAGTCCTTCGTATACGGCAGTCGTCGGCCGGAACGATGTCGTCGAATATCACGAGATCCCGGAGTCGCTGGGGTAGGGGCTGGAGTGTCAATCTTCTTAGGTGAGACTCTGTAACCGAAAGTTAGCAAAGTTTAATGGATTTAGGGAGTGTGATTGATTTTCACGGGTATATACTCGCTCAAAACAAACAACCACCCAGGACTTATCCAACGCATAAAATCTTGAAATGAGTATATAACATGCTACTGGCAATGATTTAGTCCTCCTAACAACAGCATGTTCTTGTTTGACTTCATAAAGACTAGTTTCAATACATCAAAATCTCAGGTAACCTCGGGTAACTTTGGGTAACCTCGGGTAACCGAGATCACGTGAACAGCCCCTATGATGACAACTCATCTAATTACAGAGTATATATTATACCATAAGGTATATATTATACCATAAGGTACAGTGTGAATGAATATCTCGTTACCTGTAAGCTGAAGTGAGATGGTTTCTTTCTTCTGCTTCCCAACTTGGCCCAGTCGTTTCCCTCCAAGCTTCTTTCTTGCTCATATCTGCGCACACTCTTGTTCGACTCTCACTGGCAGTCTTCGGCAGATACAGAACGGGTTCCATCATGACGTCAAGGTCAACGCAATGAGGTATTGAATTCCTACAATGGTCCCGTTGCTTCTCGGGGATTAAACCCCAGGGAATTGCGATTGACGGTAGGGGTAACATTTTCCGGTACTCCAAATCTGATGTTGGTTCCACCACGATACGACCTGTTCGCTTCTTCTGTCGTTTGTCTTTAGGCCGTTGGAATAATTCAACAGTGTTTTTCTCCTGAAAATAAATAAGATGTTTATCAAAACAGATGAAAACTGATAGTGTATTCTTTAGGTAAAAGCTTTACTTAAACTGGTTATACGACCATGAAGGACCAATAAATGCTTTAAGAATGGATAGACATATTTAGTATTCATTGATAGAAAAATAAAAAATTCAAAAGTTAGGTGGCAAATGGGAGATATCATCAATGTTACATGAAGTTAACCCATAATATTTCAGTCCAAATGGAAACGGGAGTACGTCAATTTGTTCCAAAGGGTTGCACCATGATGCAGCCTACAAAAGCCCAATGGCGCTTCTCGCGAAAAATTTTGCTCGCCAAAATTGGCGTGATCTGATATGTGTCGCCCTCTGTCACGTTGTTTCCCCTTTTGACTTATATGAAAGGCGAGTTAAAAAGTTATGAATTAGGTATGAATAAACAGCAAATCATCATCTTCAGCAGCTTTATTGACAAAATACTTGACAAAACATAGAAACACAAATAAGGTGCCAACCTATCACTCATAGCACATTCAAAATATATATTATAATAACTTAGAAAGATGAAAATTATATCACTCCAGTCATATTTTTAGGCAGTGGCAGTGGTCTTCTCTATTCATGCATTTACATGCCTCTGCCTATTTGTAGTCACCACTCTGTAATATGTATGACGCAACCGTTTATACAACAGAAAATCATGATACTGATATCATAACTTCCTCAAAACGTCCTTCAGACTGAGCCGAGCCAAAGTCACAGTTGTAAGGTAAATACGCTTCCAAAAAATTGATACTGATATCACCCAAGTGTAAGACATTTTTATCAATCCACTCATAATACCCAAAAGAACTGCCACCGATGACCGCTAACAACATTACAAAATCATCACGATTCACAAAAACAGGTGTCGGAAACATAACATAACCCGCGCACACATTGGTATGCGGAATCTCGGAATCGCACGAGCCGCTGGGATTGGACTTTTTAACATACAAAGTGACTTTATTTGGTCCCGCATAAAAGCGAACCCCGTGAAGACTTATATCTTTACTCGCCGAGAAGCTGAGAAAAAAATACGTGTTATCCGAAAGCGACTTTGGTACAACTTTGGTTGGCAAAAATTTTGGACAGACGATAGTTCTCAATCTTTCCTCTCTTGTCGCTTCGCTCCACTCCAACGCTGGCGAATAGATTCCATTAAACTTCTCGTAAATGTGCACCATTTCGTTGGTAGAAAGCAAACGAGATGGGGAAACGATTTGAGCGAATTCTTCTTGAGTCATTGCCAAGAATCGTATTTCATGAATGGCATCGCCAATTACATTTCTACGGCTCTCAGGAGTTTGGTCAAGATTATTTTTTGCGCACTGATAATCAGCCCACTTCAAAACTGCTTGAAATAGTTCAATCTCAGGAATTTGTAAGTTCTTTCGCTTGAGCAGACTAACCAATGTCGCATGGCGGATAGAAGAGAAGCCTGCGGACTTGATGACTTTGTTTGGAAAGCTTTCTATGACTTCCCAACACTCTTCAACAAGCTCCATCTGATCATATTGCATTGCTTCTTCTAGAATACTCAATGCTTCGGTTGGTTCTAAAACACTTGAAAGTTCTTTACTACATTTATTCACCAGAGAAGGCACTGTGTATTTCTTAGCCAGATACATAACTGAAACAATATTTGTTGAGGTTAAATTGCATTCATCTGTGTATAAGAAAGTCAAAAATTCCATCATGCTGTCAGGGTCTGAGTCGCTGATGTGTAAAGAATTTGTCAACATTTCTGCCAAGCCGCCGCTGAATATTCCGTGAAATGCTGAGCTGCTTGTGCATAACACGTACTTGTGAGCGTAGAACTTTTGCTCTGAACCCTCGAGTGTTATGAGGACATCGCTCATAAGAGGGTTGTTCAGCATATGTCGGTTTCTCTCCAGAAGAGTGCATTTTGTCGCCTGCCAATCCCAGTCCATGTCTTTTACTTCGAGCGATGCCATCTTCATACACCATGCAGTGATGCAGATTAAAGATAACCAAACCAACTCGCACTAAAACTGCTTTATTCTTACTTAACGCGGTCTTGTTTTCTGAGCAGTGCACATGTATGTACTGTAAAGCGGTTGCAGGCGTGCGAGCATTAAATATCCATATCACCCATCAATCAAATCGATTGTTCTAAAATACGTCGAGTTAATGATACGTGACAAAAACAATTCAACATGGCTTATTTGCATTTTAAAGAATCCCCCAAAGTATCCTCGGGGCATCTTTAAGCCAGTTTTCCACAAGGCGAAATTTTGCATGCGGAGCGGAATTTTTCTTTGTTTTTCTCACATTAGCTCTGCATGAAAGCGCACAGAAAATGAAAAATTCTGCTCCGTGCGGAAAATTCCGCCTAGAGGAAAACAGGCCTTAGAAAACGCAATCCACCGTTTCGTACATACGTATTTTCATAATGATACTTTAATATTTAAAAACAGTAATGAATATATTTAAAAAGCATCAGGCATGCGTTTGTCAGTGCGGAAATTAAACAAAAACAGCAACTGAACATGCTTCGAAGGTTAAAAAGACTGTTAGTTTGGCTAATTTGCCGATACTACAAAAATTGAGGTAAGGAGCACGGTGCTTATAGAATGCTTTTGCAAATATGGGAACGTATGAGGGAGAGACAAAAATGTCAGAGCGTAAAGTGGGGGGGGGGGGGGCGACTAACCGGATGCCCAGCTCTACTGAAAAAAATATCTTCTGTCGTTGATGACAAACAAAGCATGTTCCTCATTTTGGAAATAAGGTAAGAAGTATGCTTATGACTTATTTATAAAGGTCTACAGAAAAACACAGTGACTAGTTACGTCAATTTGAGGCATATTATTCAAACTAGATGAGAAAGCACGTGGCAATGACCATGCGAGTCTCATCAGTTTTTCATTGTCCTCAGGGACCTGGGTTATATTTGCCAGTTAATACGGTTAATTATATTTCTCACAGTATATTATTCGAGTAACGTGCTTGGTGACAATTATGTTTAAATGCAAAAGCTATAGTCCTGAATAAAACAATTTAGGGAAACGTATTTAAAATACAGATTCTTATTTAATTGTAACTGGTGAAATTTAAAAAAACTTTAAAACCTCACCTCAACTTTAGTGTTTTTGTCTTCGCCAGGTGTTGCCAATGTCGCAGAAATATCAACAAGAACTTTTGTACTGCCCGATTTCTTTAACCCAAAATCCACATCTTTTTCCTTTCTGGCGGTGTTTTGCTTCTGTTCAATGATCTTTTTCGTTGCTATTAATGATTTTGGTATGTCTTCCTTGGTCAAAGTCATGATATATTCGCTATAATGAAGAAGAAACGAATTAGACTTGAAAGACAGCGAGTGACAAGTACTTAAAACAGCTGACAGGAGTCATGAGGAGGTCTGGAAGGATGAGCTCAGGGGGCCCCATGTAGAAAGGAAATGTCGTCGAATTTTGACATATTAAAATTTATAAAATTTCACCGCATAATGTAAAATGGGGGATCGTCAGCAAAAGACTATACGATTAAACCCAATGACGTACAATTGAAAGAAAATGAGCCATCAAATGGTTGTTATTGCAATTGTTAAAAGCAATTCCCAACCGAAAAAAGCCAACCGAGTAAAGCTAAAATACACTTCCGCTATCCCTTGTAATCATGGAATATTTTTGCTCATTTTCATTGGAAAATTGTTGTCTAATTTACAACGGGTTTTCCGCTTTCGAACATCTGCTGGGTGTCTCGAATTCAACCTTTACATGCAACCTTTTGCCAAATGAATACGAATGACGATTGTCGAATAAGGAATGTGTAAAAGCACAAAAAACACATACGTGAACAATAGAAAATACATAATTTGGATTCAAGATGTTTTTCAAGATGATAATTGTAATAATAATATTCTAAGCGTTTTTAATACTTTATTCAAATAATTGAAATAGTATAATATTACGTAATAATAGAAATAATTACAATAATTGAAAATGTTCACACATCTTAATGTTATTAACAGCGAAAATTTTGATATAGCTACTGCAAGTACGGCAACTACAAAGCAGTCTATCTAGTCATACATGGACAAAAGAGCATGCAGGTGAAATATGAAAAAAATTATTGCCGTAGCTACAAAGTCGACGATATGACTATTTATTGACTGTAATACCAGGACAAAATACCTGACCACAAAAAAAATAGCATCACATACTGTAATTGCATGATAAAAAGACGCCACACACCATTTAATGCACTAACAATATTACTGTAACGTTCAGCCGCTGTCTGAACGCTGAAATGTTATCAATCAATTTCAGCGCAGGTGATCAAAAAAGGTGTAGCTAATTTACTAAATGATATACGTTCTATATATAGACTCTAAGTCTATAATATGCCCTGGACGCTTCTGCACTCCTGGGGCTTGCAAGAAAATGGAGATTTTTTAGAGAGATATTGCGAATTTACTGGAATAAAATTAACGATGACCATTGTGGTTACCCAAACAACTGTCAACGCAGTTTGCAACATACAAATTAATTTATCCACATGCTCGGCCTTTGTTTATCAGAAAATAATAAAATAGACTCCTGATTCTTAGCAGCTAGTGCAAACTTGGACTTTATAATCAAATTATGCCTATAACAATATTTCACATTCTGAATTCTTATATACACTACATTAATTCTGAAATCTGAATCGTCCAAAGGTGACTCAATACAGTTAATAAATAATCTAGGAACGCATTAAAATGGTCTACGTTTTACTTACCCTTCAGACATGTAGTCCACAGGCTTAACATTATACATTCTACTCACAGGTGATCTACATGGTGAGTAGGGCTGGCCGCCAGTGGGGACCTTTGATGACGTCTGAGGTTTCTAAGAAAAGAAAGTTGGGAAACGTCAGCGACAAGGGAAAAATCGTTGACAAGTTGAAAATTCGTCAAAATGGTCCCATAACATTTTTTCATTTCGCTTTTTAAAAAACTCTAATACTGGATTTTCGCTTGCAGAGAAATAGTCCGTTTGCGAGATATTTATGCTGTTGAAATTTTTCGTTTATATAGCAGAAAAAAGCCTAACCAGCCTAAAGTTTGTTGTTAATTAGCCCAGAACTGATACAGGGCCTCGTTAACAACAATTATTTCACCGACACAAAAGATTGCAACTAAGGACAATACCAAAAACCATGACCAGCCGACAATTTAAAAAAGTAAAGTAAAAAGCAAATTCCGAATAAACAAGACATCTTGAGAATCAAAATATAATTCAAACAAGACACAGATTGAGACTGTAAATTTTCGACTTTATTACAAAGTCATCTTCAGACAGAATGATTCATCATTCTGTCTGAAGATGACTTTGTAATAAAGTCGAAAATTTACAGTCTCAATCTGTGTCTTGTTTGAATTATATTTTGATTCTCAAGATGTCTTGTTTGTTCGGAATTTGCTTTTTACTTTAAGGACAATACGACATGCAACAACAACCAACCATGCCACGCAAGAATTAAATGAGCCCCTAAAAAATCGCAAGCTAAATTAAGAAACAAAAGTTTATATACCTTTTTTCTATCCTCAGTGGGTAAAGGCAGCATATCTTCAATAGGATTTTTGAACCCTTTCCTTTTTTCAGATACAGCAGAGCTGAAGGAAGGATAAAAGGTGGCCGTTGTATAGTTGCAAAAAGCTAAACAAATGGTATATCATGCATATATGGAATATCATATGCATGGTTACCATATAATATACTTTAGTATATCTTCTGAAACCTCCCTACCTCGCTCTAGTGACTTTCTTTCGTCTCTTCTGTAAATTATAAGAAAAATAAATCAATTCAGAACAAGATATGCATACGAAACTCGATCATAATTTCATATCAATCAAGCACCGCGGAGTGTTAACAAATTCGTTGAACAAAACTTCTATCTCCAGAAGTATCTATAGACTATCCGCATTTTAAAATACGAGTTGAGCTGTTATTTAGCCAATTGGGGTTGAAAACGAGTGCCCTCGCTTAATTAACTCATTATCGTCTTTTCTTTGGACAGAAAAATAGCGAGAAAAGCTACAAAAATGAAAAGGAGAAAAAATATCGGCGAAGAAGGAAATTTTTTGCCAAAATTTTCGTCACTTTGTCCACCAGGCTTAGTAAAGTGACGTTCCAATATAACCAGGGAGCAGCGTGGCAGCGTCTTCAAATAACTTCGCAGCAATGTGGTATAACAACTGCCTAAAATAGACAAAACACTTCTCGACGTTTCGACCTCAGGGCCTTCGTCAGGAGAGTTAGTATTCCAGAGTTACCATACTAACTCTCCTGACGAAGGCCCCCGGCCCAGGTCGAAACGTCGAGAAGTGTTTTTGTCTATTTTAGGCAGTTGTTATACCACATTTGATGCTTGGTAAAGTGACGTTTCATCCAAAACATACAGTACCGTTACAAAGTCTGAATTGGTGCATGTTTTTATAGTTAGGGCAACTTCCACTCTCGCATTTTTCATGGGCACGTACACGTAAAAGTCTAAATCCTTATATATGTCCTATTTGAAAAAGCTAGGTGAATAAAACGAAAGAACTTAGTTTTCCGCATATTTCAGTATGCATTTGTTGGCCCTTGTGTTAAATAATACAAATTTGAAAGCATTTAAAATTTACGCAAGTGAAAGGCAGCCCTTAGTAACCCTTTTTATATTGACTAATTTGAGTGGAGCTCAACCAAATGATTAAGAACACTTTTCATCAACATTGTATACTGCACTGAAGGGCAAAATGATATGGAATTGCACACATTTGCTGCATTCCTTTCATAATAGCTAAAAACTAAATCAGTTAGTATGCAATTTTCTTACCCTTTTGGCTGGACACCAAACAAGATAAGCTGTTGAGATAAACATGTCCTGCCACCCTTGACACACTTCATTGTAATCATAGATTTCATGAAAATTTATTTTAGCCATTGTTTCATCTGTAGGGTTGTCAGCAAGGTCCATATTGTCATTGAGAATTTCCTTCCAATCGGTTGAAATATGTTTTTCTGGGAGACTTGGTGAAATAGGTGTCGTGTGAGGGGCCTGGGCTCTAAGTGACGACTGACAAGCTGGTCTAAGATAAAAACAGAAATTATCTTATATTTCTTGTGCATGCATGATAACTCAGTTTTGGTCTATGCAAGCAATGTCAAACATGCAAGTCTCACACATACATACTGTATGCTGACTGACGATTCTTTATGTTCAGCTTTCCATGCAGTCATTGGTTTTTTACTGGCAAAAGTTGTTAAATGTAATATATATTGTATATCAGTGTATGTAATATATAATATATAGGTTAGTGTTTCAAACTACAATAAATGAAGGCTACTTTCATACTGCTACACATTATTACATCACTTGGAAGGACTGCTTTAAATTCTGGTTGCAGGCTGGTAAATGACATATTCCTATCTCTACTATCATTCATTTCTGAGCTATCCAGTTTCAGTAAAAAAAAATTAAGAAACTTCAATAAAGAAATCTAAATCACCTTGTTAATTGATGCACTGCACAGTTAAGCATATGTTGTTTCTCCTGCTCAGCTTGATTACCGAAAATTTGGCCTTGATTGCCGCTGTTGTTTGGGGTAATCAAGTCTTTTGACATGTCAATAATCTTTAATGTAGGCAATGAGTAACCTAAAGTGACAATGTTATCATTTTTCAATTAATTGTAATAAAGTGGAAGGTCTAAAGTTTTTTTAGAGACATGACATTCCCTTCCCAAGTGGGGGGGGGGGGGGGCAACTGGCCAGATCCCTGATTCAACTTTTTACCCTCAGCCCTTAATAATTAATTATCACTCAAAGTACCATGAGACAAAATATGACAAAATTTATGACCAGTATCTCTTAAACCTGATATCTTTACTCACAGTAAGTTGGTTAACATATATAGTCATATGGGCGCGTCAAATTATAAACGGCCTCACCCTACTGAATCTGACATACTGTATTTATACACTGTAAACATCAAAGAAACATAAATCAACTGCCGATGAACACTTACTCTGGTTATCTTTCAAATGCTGTCTCATATCATCAAACCTTTCGCTGCTCGGATTGCTTACATCGTCCTCTTGTAGGATATTATTTCTCTTCCTGACAGCCTCGCGAACACGGCGCACATTGCTTTGCCAGCATTCTGGGTGCTGACATAGCTGATCCCTGCATGTTTCGCCGTTATTTGCTACATACAACATCGCTCTTCTTTCTGTCTCTTTTTTATTCCCCTTTAACGCCCTTAAATCGCAAGATTATGAGAGTTTTTGAGCCCTAAAGCCGCGTATAAACAAGACTGTACAGTTTGCTTGCTCCAATGCTTGCTCTTTTCCTGTTAATCCGTGACGTCATGGCAACAAGGAGTAATCATTGTTGCTTAGCAACAACGTAGTGAACTAGTGAACTTTATTGACCAGTAAATTCTGGCAGTAATTCCACAGAACAGAAACCTATCAAAATTCAAAAAGAGTACATTTGCTGAATTTATAACATACATTTTGATGGCTCAGAAGCTTTGGTAGTTGTTTACACTATAGTTGAGTCTGTTGAGTCTGTTGAGAAATGAGAATAAGAATGTAAAATGCAAAACGGAGAAAAATTACTCTCGTCACAAGTAGAGCAAGAATATACTCCTCCATTCAATTTGTTGAACAGAGAAAAATAGAAACAATCATATGATTTATATCTTTTTAGATTAAAAATTTAGATGAAATATGAAAAATTATCATAGGCAGCGTAAATATACGCGATAATTCTAACGCGAGAAATTTTTCGGCAATTTTGCTTTGGAGTAAAAAAAATCAAAATTTAAATATTCAAAATGGTCGCCAACTCGCCACGACAACAATAAACATTTAAACTTTTATAAAAATGTTTCGCAGATGTTTTAAATGATACAGACAGATATTCAGGAAGATCAGAGATAGTAGGAAACACAATGAGTACCAGAGGGAAAGTACAAGAACGCGAATTTATTACTGTCGCTATACCAGGGAATTATGATAATGATAAAAATAGACGAGGAAAGATCTCTTTGTGGAGGGTCAGTACGTTTGTTTGGATCTCCGTCTTGATATTTATATTTACATGCGAAATGATAATGCAAAGCTAGATTTAATCTTTGATTTATTTGCACTGAAGTGGTGCTGTGATTGTACCACTCGTATACATGGTTCATGCCCTAATCTAACATACAGTACGAGTCTAAAGTATAAAAATGTTTTCATCACTTGAGTAATAAGGCAACAAGTGAAGTTTGTAACACATGATGCTTAAGGCCCATTTACACTATGAGATTTGTCGTAAACGATTCGTACCCTGGCGTATGTGAACGTATTGAACACACATACAAATGTGACACTTTAAATTCCACTCTGAACAAAATTGAAGGAAGATGTGGCATAGGCCCTCTTTTGCATTCATCAGAATGATAATTGCATTCAACTTGCATGGAATGCATGCTGGATTGTCAAAAAAGTTTGTTTTTAGCAAGGTTCTTATCTATTATATAAACACTTCTTTCCTAATCTAGAGATGGAAAAGACTCACCTCATTTGAAAAGACAATTATCATTTGCTTCGCACTCCTTCTTAGCATTGGTGGATATAAATTTCACAAAGACTTCCATTTTACATACACAGAAAATCTCGACTCAAACCAAGGACATCAACCACATGTCCTGCCAATACAGGCAGCATTCGAGAATGAAAAGGAGTCCAAATTTGTGAAGAGACCAAATTTGGTACCGTTAGTCAAAAAGAAAGGGCCACCAAAAAAGAAATTAGACATTGGTTATAGTGAGCGACTTGATGAATTGGATAGAAGAAAAAATGCTAAAAAGTCAGTTGAGATTGATAATCATAAGAAAATAGAAATCATAAATCCAAATGGGAACAGAAGGCATGGCAAGGTTAAGCAATCAAATAATATTGAACCAGTTCAAGAGAATCAAGAACAACAGTCGCAAGGTGAACATCAGAAAGAACAAAACAACATAGAAGCTGCTGATGTAAAAGTTGAAAACAATCAAAAGGATTCTGTTTCTGAAAAAGGTGATCTACTAAGAATTCCCCAATCATCTGAACATAATTCGAAGCAAAAAGCTGTAGTGGATGCTTTCAAACATGCTTGGAAAGGGTACAAGGCTTACGCGTGGGGGAAAGATGAACTTCGGCCACTATCTCGAGGATATAGCACATGGTTTGATATTGGATTAACCATAGTTGATTCATTGGATACAATGTGGATCATGGATTTGAAACAGGAATTTAATGAAGCACGAGATTGGGTCAAAGATTCACTTCATTTTGATAAAAATAGATATGTCAATCTATTTGAGGTGACAATTCGAGTTTTGGGAAGTCTGTTAAGTACACATCATTTAACTGGTGATAAAGAATTCTTGAATAAAGCTGTAAGTTGATTAAATTTAATATGTGTGAAACACATGATGTATGGTATTATCGAACAAAAAATATGTCAATGACCACACTTACAATGAGGAAAATGTATATACATACAGTACCTTTTCATCAATCTATTATTGTATACATTTTAACAATTATTTCAGGTCGAACTAGGCAACAAGTTAATGCCAGCATTCCAAACTGCATCCGGTGTTCCATATGCTGATGTCAATTTACTGTCAGGAGAAGCCAAAGGCCCAGACTGGTCATCATATAGTACCACATCTGAAGTAACAACCATACAACTAGAGTTTAGAGAATTATCACGGGTGTCTGGTGAGCCAAAATTTAAGGTGAGATCAAGTGTCAAGTCCCACCTTCACCAAACATCTTTTTGAATGGTTTAGTAACCAGAAAGCAATGTGGCAGTGCCTTGATAACATTCTTGATAGTTCCACAGCAGGTGCCTAAACAAATTGCAAAAACAGAGTCAATAAGCATTTCTCAACATCTGAAGGTCAATCTCTAGAAAGATGTTTTCTTGTCTTTTTTTGCACAGTTGCAGAACACCTATTCCATGAGAGGATTATTTTCTGAACAGTATCAGGATTAGAAAGATAAATTCCTTCTGAAAAACATTCCCCTATAAAGATGCTTCCAATTCTTTGAGAGGTTATTATTTGTTAACATTTTATTTATAAAGGAAGCTGTGGAGAAAGTTAGCCGACATTTTCACAATTTGGATAAGCCGAATGGTCTGGTTCAAATTTATGTCAGCCCACATAATGGTCATTTACAATCAGGTGGTACCATTACACTGGGTGCCAGAGGTGATAGTTATTATGAATATCTCCTCAAACAATGGTTGCAAGGGGGGAAGAAGGAAAGAAAGTAAGTCATTTTTCTGCATGGTGTAACTCTGGTGTCTCATTTCATTGTTTATTCATTACAGTGATGAACACAGCTCAGCTGAGTTGAAACATTGCAATACTTAGTCAACTCGTTTGAGTCACTAATACAATCCATGCAATAATACAACCAAATGTAATATACAAAAAAACATACTAACTCTCCTGACGAGGGCCCTTTGGTCGAAACATTGACGCCGAGCTTTTTTGTCTATCAATGAGGGCACATTTGAGATCAATATGATGACACTACTATTTGGAACTGATATAAAATTAATCAATATAATTAATAATATTTTAATATTCTCGCTGCTTAGTTTATTGGATGATTACAACGAGTCAATGAAAGGTGTCATGGACAGACTCGTTCGAAAATCTTCTCCAAACAAACTCACCTACATTGGTGAATTACTCCAAGGATCAGAATTCAGTCCTAAAATGGTAAGAGATCTATGAGCAAGACAAACAGCAGCAATAAAGTGAAGAAATTACACGTCCCTTACTGCCTGTGACGTAAGGGTCTTGGGAGGTTCAGTCCCCTAGTTCTTAACAAGTGGGATGTCACCCCCTCCCTCCCCCCGAAGATCGATGCCCGCACCATTGCAAATAATTTCAGCGTCTCTACCTTAAAATATGCTCCTACGCTACTGTTTACTGAACTTTTGCAATCTACAGAAAGAGCGTTGCGGTTTGTGTGATTAAGTTATAAAATATTAAATATTAGCTTCATAGCTTGTAGTGATCATGTTTTAACTTCAAGAGTGTTATTCGCTTTCTGTTTTATTCAGGACCATTTGGTATGTTTCATGGCTGGTAATTTAGCCTTGGGCTATCATAATGGCTTAGATGAAAGTCACTTAAAGTTGGGCAAAGAATTAATGGAAACATGTTATGAAATGTACGCTCGCATGTCAACCGGGTTGAGTCCAGAAATTGCGTACTTTAACACAGCCGGAAATGATCGTGACGACATTATTGTAAAGGTTAGAGTTATTTATTTAAGGTTACTGTTTTTTTTCACGACTTCCTAGTTCCTATATGATTAAAATACTGAATTTGAAGCTGTAAAGTTTCATTGAACAATATATTGTCTAGTGGAGTCGTTCAATGGAAAATTTAGCGTTAAATTTCCGAGTTTTTCCCTTTTTTTCTACATTCAGACACAACAAACGTTCAGATAGTGTAAAGACTAAAACCTTTTTAGTTTTTTAGCCCGTCCGGCCGCATGAGCCGATTTTCGAAAGAAAGTAGAAAATAACCTTAAGTAAATTTTTCTCTTTTCATAGCCTCTCGATGCTCACAATCTTCTCCGGCCAGAAACAGTGGAATCTTTATTTCTTTTACATCGCATAACTGGGGATAAGAAATACCAGGACTACGGCTGGAAAATATTTCAGGCTTTTGAAAAACATACAAAAATTGAAGGCGGTGGATATTCTTCGATAAAAAACGTGAAAGATGCTCATAAACCAGGTTACCGTGACAAGATGGAAAGCTTTTTTCTGGGCGAGACTTTGAAATACTTATTTCTCTTGTTTGGTGACACTGAGATTATTCCTTTGGATAAATATGTTTTCAATACTGAGGCTCATCCATTGCCAATATGGAAGAATTAAATTAGGTTAAATTTTATTTAGTGTACGTATATGTACGTGAGTATTTGTGAAACGGAGTTCTAATGATAATTATTACAATATTCAATTTTTAAACTTACTTGTTATCAATCCAGTCTAAGACATGCTATATTCCGTTAGCATTCAACATATATTTGCTCCCCCATTCCATCAGTACGAGAAGTTTGGTGCAACAACTTTTCTAAAAATCACCAAGAAAAAAAACGTGGAATTTCAACGTCGAGTACAGAAGGTACAAAGGAAAACGTGATCACACAAAAAAAGCCATTTGGCAAAGGGGGTGCACGTGCCTCCTGCCAAAATTATTCTTCCTAATACCTATTCATGTAGACCCCCCAAGACACACGTACCCAGGGCGCTCATAAAATAAGCGCCATGCATGCACACATCGTTTTTCATGCACCCAGCGCGATAAGTACTTTCTAGGCAAATTTCTACTGGTAAAACTATATGTTTGTACACAGCACTCCAAAAGCACGTCTTCAAATCGTAGAACAATAAAACCAGAGGCCTTTCCTCGTTGACATCTAAGGCCCATTTCAGACGTCGAACTTTTCATGAGCCGAATCTAAAGTCTTTGTTTAAGTTCGTTTGCATTCGATTCGGCACATGAAAAGTTTGACGTCTGAAACGGGTCTAAAATACTGTTTATAGGCTATATTATATCAATTATATCAGGTCTCGCCCCGAGGCAGGGGCGCCGGAAGCAGTTTAGGGCGGCGTGGGCAGAGTTTTAGAAAAGGGCACATTCATTTTAGCAACCACACGAAGAGGAAACTCAAATTTTACAAGTACATGCGAACTTGCAAATCCACGGGAGAACACATTTTCAATAATATTACCGGTTAGTTTTTATGCGAAAAGTAGGCAACATGATTAAATGTTGAATTTATGATACTTTTATATGGTAGCAAAGGGCACAGCGCTGGCCCCGTGGTTCCGGCGCCCCTGCTCCGAGGCGACGTACGTACGTGCAAAGCAAGACAACTGGGGAACTGATGAACATATTTAGTTATTGGTATGATTTTAGAAGATTCGTTGTTAAGCTAGCTAGCTGACAACGAATTATAAGTGGACATATGCATCTATAAGTAGATATAATTATGTATTATTGTACATACCTTGAGTTACCATTGCTGCTGCGGCACCAGGCTTTAATAATCGGCTGCCAGCCCTTATTCCTGCCATTATTCCTGCCAGCCCTTTGCCTGTTGGAGTCCATATCTTCTTTCGTTGTCTGAATGTGGTTTAGGTTTGTGAAACAAATGACAATGCATCTATACACCGACAATTTGAAAACTTTGATTCCTCATTAACTAGTACAAACAACACGACACGATTTACATGAAGTGATATTCATTGTCATGTTACGAGATGTTGAGATTCGTTTTGCTCTTTCTAACACCCTCCCGAATACGCTTTCAGTTCCATAATGGCTATGGTCAATATAGAATTATGGTCTGCATGGAACTCGAAGCTCGGCCAAGATGATTTGAAAAAATGGTTAGGTGATCCTATACCACGCAGTACCATTGGAAAATACTCATTATGCAAAAAATCCATTGTCTCTAAATTCATACTGATCGGACAACGAAAAATTGTTTACCGCTGTTCCCAGCAGTGTCAGTGCCATACTCTACATTCTACAGGGTGTATAAAAAAAACGCAACCACTTAATATTCATGAATATCCTCTTTGTTCTACAACACAAAAGACGTTTGGCCCCTGGAATGCGAGAAAGCTTGTAATCATATTCTAGCGGCACAATCGTCGGTAAACAAAGTCGGGTGGGTAAACCAACGAGCTGAATTGAAAGTACTTAACGAGTAAAATTTTATTTACAATTTATTTTACAAGGTCGACAGTTATAGCATTCAAGTTATCATGCACGACAATAAAAACTCGTTGTTCGGTTGTTAGCTGCACCATTATTAGTTTAGCTGATTTGACTATTAGCAGTTGAACTGTACGATTAGAAGCCATTTTAAAATCCCAGGGGCATAAAATCTATTGAGCTTATGAACAATATGAATTTTAGAATATTAAGTGGTTGCGTTTTTTTTGATACACCCTGTATTGTTTTCACCTTGCAAATTAAGTTTTCATGAACGTAAACAATTAACACAAAGAGTTTTAAAAAGTTGTTAGTGGGTGGTGACAAAAAGGAGCACTTTAATTTTTTATCCAGTGATCACAAACAATAACCATCCGTCGACCGTCGAGACACATGAGAAGCAGTCCCGTTTATCAATAATTATCTCAGTGGAGAGCTTTTTAGGCATTTTAAAGAAAACGTACGTTTGAAATATAACAAACCTTTCCAGAATTGCCCATTTTTGTAAAAGGAAGCCTTGTGAAAGCCGAGAGGAAAGATTCCTACATGGTTATCATGCATGGGTTGTGTCGGTAAAAGTAATATTTATAGGTATTGTTTTCGATGGTGAAACAAATTTTTCCTGCGCGGTCAAGCCCTCTATAGCTCCATAAAAGACGCGGATAAATTATTAAAACTTAAAAATTGAAATCAATGCAAGACTGCATGCATGCATGCAGATGTACAGAAACTCGATTGAATAAAAAATACCAGTAAAATACTTTATACATTTATTTACATTTAAAAGTTTTAACCAGGCAAGCTGAGTGAAGTCTATACATATTCGATACAAATAAAAAAATCCTGCTACCGAGTATGTATAATTGTCGGCAATCATATTTCAGTTACATATATTCAATAATTTTAAATGTTTCTCCCAATGGTTAAAAATGAAATGATTTCGTTATCATACTGGTATCGTTAGAGTTTTAAGCTGGTTGGCATAATATGTGCCTTTATTATAATGGCAAATTCAGTGACGTACCAGCCTGACGATTTTGTCCCGCTATGTAAATTTCGAGTTACATTATTATTCATTTCTTTAGAAATTTATTGTTTCACAGTCAATGATCACCAGAGTATTAGCGGAGCAAATCGTCAGGCTGGCTACGCTACTGGCAACAATATCTTGGAAATATCACGTGTTACAATTATATATAGTATATACATCTGATTCGTACATTAAAACGTTGTCATCGCTTAATCTTCACCGACTATTCATGGGAATAGTATTGGAAAACGTTGGTCAGTTCAGTTTTGCACTGAAGAAATTTATATAGTCATGCATGAAGACCGCGGATATAAACAGTGTTCATAGTCCTCGGATTTGCCCAAGCTTATAGATATATCATCAAGGTTTTAGATAGTATTTTGTATTAAATAATACAAATGCGAGACAACTTTGCGGCTTGTATTGAAGAACGGTCAAGTATCGATTAGAAATGTACGCGCACTGCAAAAAACATGCGCGCGCAGTGAATATTCCAGACTGAATATTGACAATTAATGTAAAATGAGATTCTCAGTAGAATTTAGAAACACAGCAAAAATTGCCTGACATGTCATTGCATATATATATGTAGTCAAGTCTACATCCCAGCTGATATTTACTTGACTTGTTATTTAACTTATTTTGTCGCTGGTTCATTTTGCTAAAGTAGTAATTTCGTAAAATCAACCAAAATGGCGCCGTTCTGACATAACATTTAAAATGTAAAATACAAAAAAATGTCAAACTAATCCGTCATAAAGCGAAAGTGCTTGAACAATTGTAGGATCTGATTTTGATCCCTCTCGGAATTCCTCCATGGACAGTCTATCGTCTTTATTCTAAAACAGTAAAATCGGTTGAATTAATGTTGTATGAAAATATTGATTATGGATATTTATCACCCTATATCATGTGATAACCTACCTATACATACATGCAGAATTGTGTATTAAGTAAGATGCCTTTCAGTTATCGATATCTGACCAACCTCCTTTTCCTAATATGTTTCATACCAGTCTGACTCGTGCCGGACAGTGGCAGGCGCGTAGCCAGTATGACGATTTCAGTTGTCCCGCTATATATGCAAATTTATTTATTCATCTCCTTAGAAATTGATTGTTTTCACAGCCAATGAACACCAAAATATCAGCATAGCGGGGCCAAATTGTCAGGCTGGCTACGGTACTGTAAAATATGTTACTTGTGCGGACGGTGATTTAGATTGCAATAAGGTACCGTACATTATTCGCAGCTCATAATCTATGTATGATTATTATCTGTGGTATTTTTACCTTGTCCATCAAATTAAATATTTTATTTACACGTTTTTCTGGCGTGTTCTCTTCTTCCGGAAGTGACACCATGTTAGACTGAAAACCACAAATATAACTTTTAATAATTCTTAATTTCACTGGCACGAAAGTGTACCAAATCAACAATTCTAGCCTGAATTGCATGCATCATGTAATGGTATTACAATTCTTGATAAAAGGTAAATATAGATAAATTTCATATACACATTTTCGAGAATAGCAGTCTGCGCGGGATCGATTGGGGATTCTGCAAAACAGTGGTCCTTCGAACCGGATTTGTGAAAGGTGAACGAGGCTGCGGACAAAGAGCGAGTGATATTTGCGCTGCCGTCGTGTGTAAAAGATTTAGCGTGAAGTGGAACAACGAAAGGTATGGACGATCTGACGAGGAAAAGACGGGTGAGAGGAGCTCATAGAGCTTCGGCTAGTAAACTTGTAGCGAAGATAGTTGAAACGATTCCGAGAGCGATTGACGAGAAAGCAGAAAGGGATTTGACATGGCTGAGACAAAGCCAGGTCACGTTACGAGAGAAAGTCAAGAGGTTAAAGGAACTCGATGAACAGATCATTGACATACTAAGCGCCTCGGGAGATGAAGACGCCGAAGCACAGCTCAATAAAGAGGTCGAAAGTTCAGACGAAGCGGTCGCAGAATTTGAAAGGACATTGATGAAAATCGACGACGCGCTGCGGGAATCCGGTGAACAAAGACTGCCATTGTTGACGACGCCAGACGAAGGAAACCTAGACCAGAGCCGTATATCGACAGCCAGTGCGGGAAAGATCGTCAGAGCAAAGCTTCCGAAACTAAAGCTTAAGAACTTCAACGGTAAAGTATGTGAGTGGCCCGAGTTTTGGGATGGGTTTTCAAGCTCGATAGACAACAATGACGCATTGTCTGACGTTGACAAGTTTGCATATTTGCGCGGATATTTGGAAGGACCAGCGAAGTCTACAATTGCCGGCTTAGCGTTAACAGGGACAAACTACAACTGTGCAGTGGAATTGCTTAAGAAACGGTTTGAAAAGAAAAGCATAGTTCAACGAGCACACGTGAATGAACTCATACAACTGCCGGCAGTTTACAAAGAAAGGGACACGCAGAGACTACGGAAGTTGTTTGACAGCTGCGAAACGAATAACCGCGCCTTGAGAGCCCTGGGGTGAACGAGAACTCGTATTCCGCTATTGTTGTTCCGACGATCATGGAGAAGCTGCCCGAGCAGTTTCGCTTGACTATTACGAGAGGGCAGAACTTCCTGGAGTGGTCAATGGAGGAAATGCTACAAGCCTTTGAGAAAGAGCTCGAACTACGTGAAGCGCACGATGCGGTGGGATCGAGGTCGGGTCGAGAGTACGAAAGAAACGATGGGAGTTCGGCGTCGGGTAGAAAATATGGTCAACAACATGGAACTGCATCCACGTTAATAGCGAGTGAAAGGAATGGAAACTGTGCTTTCTGCCTGAAGATCCACAAACACGAGAACTGTGAGGGAGTAAAGGATCCGAAGACACGAAAGAGTTTGGCTCGCAAATACGGTAGATGTTTTGTTTGTTTGTCTAAGGGTCATAGAGCCAGTAGTTGTAAGGTCGAGAACAAATGTAGTGTTTGTGATGGGGCTCATCATGTTGCACTGTGCGAAATGAGTCCTAAGAGCGAGGGTAAGCATGACGAAATACCCAAGCCTAATGACGAATGTAAAAACGTACCCAATAACACGAATGTGCATGTGACTACTCCTAATAGTAACTTGCATGCTGGAACTGGTAGCCTGGTTGCCTTGCAGACTGCACGTGGCGTTTTAAGGGGGAAAGGGTGGTTAAGGTGCGGGTCCTCTTTGACGCGGGAAGTCATCGTTCCTTTGTTACTTCCAAAGCAGCTGGTCTCGCGAATCCCAGGGGTATAAGAAGGGAATTGTTAGGAATTAATACGTTCGGTCAAAAATGCGTAAAAGCCGAGCACAGGGAAGTGGTTGAATTAAAGCTTGAACCTCTTAACGGAAATAAGGTTATCACACTGGAAGCATTTGTAGTGCCGGAAATATGTAGCATAGGAAATAGCCATGTAGAGATAGCGCGGAGGGAGTATAAACATCTGGAAGGTATATGGTTTTCAGATGTTTCTAAGTCAGAAGATGAGTTAGAAGTAGATGTTCTGATAGGGGCAGACTACCTTTGGAGCTTTCAGACAGGGACAACCAAGAGAGGTAAATCAGGAGAACCTGTTGCTATAGAAACAGAATTAGGGTGGGTTTTATCAGGACCGCTGAGAGTACAAGACATTGAGAGAGCGGAGCCAGTCCAAGTGAATTTTGTAGCACAGAGATTGAGTAGTGAAGACAGTTTGGAGAGTAATGTGCAAAAATTATGGAGTTTTGAAGGGTTAGGCATTAGTGAGGAAGATAAGGTACATGAAGAGTTTTTAGATGAAATATCATTTACAGGAAGTAGATATTCAGTCAAACTGCCCTGGAAGGAGAGCCATAAGAAGTTGCCTGACAACTATGCAAATAGCTTAAGTAGAATGAAGGGTCAGCTGCGACGACTGAGGAAAGAGCCAGCATTGTTAGCAGAGTATGATTCTATCATCAGAGACCAGGTAGAGCGAGGGATAGTGGAGCCAGTATCTGCATTAGAGAAGGTTGAAAGGGTTCATTATTTACCACACCAGGCAGTAATTCGCAGGGAGGCAGTGACCACTAAACTCCGGATCGTCTATGACGCATCATCCAAGGAAGGTAAGTCTGGGACATCGCTTAACGACTGCCTACATGTTGGGCCTTCTCTCAATCCATTATTATACAGCATATTAATACGGTTCAGAGAAAATAGGATTGCTTTAGTTGGTGACATAGAAAAGGCATTTTTGAATGTTGAAGTAGATAAGGCGGATAGAGATTGTTTGAGATTTTTGTGGGTCAATGATATAGAAAGTGATAAGTTGGAGATAGTTGTTTATAGGTTTTGTAGAGTAGTTTTTGGAGTGAATGCATCACCATTTCTACTGAATGCAACCTTAAGGCATCATTTAACAAAGTATAACGAAATAGATGCTGCATTTGTAAGAAAGTTGCAGGAAAGTTTTTACGTTGACGACCTGGTCAGTGGTGAGAGTACGGTAGAGAAGACCTTTGAACTTTATGATAAGGCTAAGACAAGAATGGCACAAGGGGGTTTTAGATTAAGGAAGTGGTTGACCAACAGTGAGGTGTTAAGGAGTAAACTAGAGATTCACGAAAAAGATCAGGGTTCGTCAGAACAAAGCATCAATGATCAGGAAACATATGCTAGGTTATCTTTGGGAGCAGTAGGGGGTGAGTCAAAGGGCCATAAGGTTTTAGGGCAGGTGTGGGATAACCACAAAGACGAACTGAAATTTGAAATTTCCAAGGTGGGAGAAAAGGCAGAGACGTTATCGCCAACAAAGCGGAACCTCCTGAGCATTTTAGCCAGTTTGTTCGATCCTCTAGGGATAATAAGTCCATTGATAGTTAGTGCCAAGATCTTATTCCAGGAGGTTTGTAATAGTAAGACGGGTTGGGACGACAGCTTTAAGGAAGAGCCTTTAAGAAAGTGGGAAATCTGGTATAGGGATTTGATTGAGACCAAGGAAATCACTATTCCTCGATGCATATACCAACATCCAGCGGAAGAGGTTTTAGGGTGCACATTACATGGGTTTGGCGACGCTAGTAAGAAAGCATATTGTGCGGTAGTATATGTTGTTTATTATACAAATGTAGGAAGTTATGTCCGCATGTTAACATCAAAGGTAAGAGTAGCACCTCTTAAAACAACTAGCATTCCAAGGTTAGAGTTAATGTCTGCGAGGCTCTTAGCGCAGTTACTAAAGTCAGTGAAAGATTCATTAGAAAACCAGGTTAGTATAGATAATACGAAGTTGTGGCTTGATAGCATGACAGCACTCTACTGGATAATGAACAACGGTGAGTGGAAACAATTCGTCCGCCACAGAGTAAATGAAATCCTGAAATTAACAAACAAGGAGGATTGGGGACATTGTCCTGGGGTGGAAAATCCCGCGGATATAGGGTCTAGGGGTGTAGTTGCTTCACAATTGAAGGATAACAAGCTATGGTGGGTGGGGCTTGATTGGCTTATTAGGTCTAAGGAGGAGTGGCCGAAATTTGAGGCTGCTGCCAAAACAAGTACGGTCTTAGAAGAAGAACGAAAGTCTTCCGTAATGGTCGTAGCTAGTAGTAAAGAGTTAGCTAGTATAAGCAAAGTGATAAATCTGGAGGATTATGGGACAGCGGAACGACTTTTCAGAGTAACAGCATGGGTACTTAGGTTTGGGTTCAATGCACGAGCAAAGTCTAAGGGCATGGAAAAGCGCTGTGGAGAATTGGCAGTAGAGGAGCTTGACGAGGCGGAAAATAGATGGATTAAACAGGCTCAGGCAGAGTTAAAGAAGGCTAAAAAGTACGCCCAGATTAGTAACAGTCTAGGCTTGATGGAAGAAGGAGGTATCATAAGATGTAAGGGTAGACTGCGTAACTCTGAGCTAGAGTACAACACGAAACACCCAATCATTATTCCCAAGGATAATAGATTAACTGAGCTGATTGTCAGAAAATGTCACAGTGAAGTGCACCATTGTGGGGTTAGGGCAACCTTGGGCAGGCTAAGGACGAAATATTGGGTCGTGAAGGGAAGGCAAATGGTAAAGCGAGTTATAGGTAAATGCGTCACCTGTAAGAAATTAGAAGGAAGGGCATATGGGGGGAGACAGATGGCAGATTTACCAGGCTTTCGAGTGAAGGAAGCTGCTCCTTTTTCTAATGTTGGAGTAGATTTTGCAGGTCCATTGTTTGTTAGGTGTTGCACCAAGGCATCCAAGAAGGCGTATATCGCATTATTTTCCTGTTGTGTGACTCGAGCAATACATTTAGAGCTAGTGCGTGATTTGTCTGCGGAGACATTTCTGTGTTGCATGAGAAGATTTGCAGCGAGGAGAGGAATGCCGAGCCTAATAGTGTCAGACAACGCCAAGACGTTTAAGGCAGCAGAGAGAGCAGTAAAGAAGTTGTTTAATCAACCTAAAGTAAAAGCAGAATTATTAACGAAGCGCGTAACTTGGAGGTTTAACTTAGAAAGATCGCCTTGGTGGGGAGGGTTTTTCGAGCGAATGGTTAGGAGTGTTAAACGATGCCTCAGGAAGGTTTTAGGCAATGCCAAATTAACAGTAGATGAACTTAACACAGTATTAGTAGAGATAGAAGGCACATTAAATTCCAGACCATTGACAGAAGAATATGAAGAATTCGAAGGCGATGTATTAACGCCATCACACTTAATTTACGGAAGAGCAATTAATTTCATACCACGGAGGGAGGTAGCTAGAGAGGAAAGTAGTTGTGGAGAAAGATTCAAATATATTACATTGAAATTACAACATTTCTGGACCAGATGGCAAAGTGAGTATCTCATAGGGTTACGAGAGTTTCATAAAAGTGGTAATCGAAAGGCAAGAAGTTTGAAGGAGGGCGAAGTAGTTGTAGTTTATGGAGAAGGAGAGAAGCGAGGCAAGTGGAAACTAGGGAAGGTAGAACAGCTAATTTTAGGAAATGACAGCGAGGTTAGGGGTGCTAAGTTAAGATAGCAGGAAAGGGTAAACCAGTTTACCTGAAAAGACCGGTGCAGAAACTTTACCCGTTGGAAATTCAAGCTCAACCGGGTGGGAACGGGACGGAAGGGAATACCCCTTCAGGTGAGGCAGAGGGTTCCTTGCATGATCTGCATGAGCGTCCGAGACGAGCTGCTGCTGAGATTTCAAAAGCGAAGACAAGGGCGATGCTTGATTCATAGACGTGTATGAATCAAGGTGGGTGGGATGTTGTAGGTCCCCGCGCAGCGCCGCCAGTTCCGCGTGTAACAGTTACGTGAGCACTTTATGTAAATATAGTTTAGTTGTTTGTAAATACGTCACAAGGACACATTGTTGATTCGGCACAAAGACACGTTGTAATGTAATATAGCACTATTAATTAACGCTTGCATTGAATTTTGATACCATCATTGAGTCAGATCGTAGAGGAAGCATGAACTCACGCTGTAAATAGAATCTTTAAATAAACGATAGAATACAGTCCCCTGAGTGGTTTTTTACGTGGACCAGTGTGCGCGGGATCGATTGGGGATTCTGCAAAACAGTCCAGTGTATAGTTGTATAAGATGTTCCGTTCGGTCCGAATATAAATTTATGTAAAATAAAATGGTAATTGATGGTAACTTACCACCATTTTATATATCGATTCCACAATGTTAAGCATTTCCCCTCTGGTTATAAAACCATCATTGTCCAAGTCATAAAGCTTAAAAGCCCCTGTAAAATAGCGTTCAGGATTTTGCTGTTTAACGATGATATGTCGAGATGCATTATACTTATCTAAGTTATCTTTAATAATACGAAACAGGCCATGCAACAGCTTAAATTAACTGGAAATGTTTTTGGAGCTATATACATACATTGTAATTTTTCATCCAGACTTCCTCTTGAGGTCACTGATAAAGCACTGATAAATTCTTCAAATTCAATGCTTCCATCCTAAAGGGAAAACATTATATGTGTTGCTGATTTGATGCGTTTTAAATGTTCGAAACAGTAAACACAATGTCAATGTTTCAGCAAAATTTCACCCAACTCACTGACACTGAGCAGTGAACACCACAAAACACAAGAAATTTCAACCTATATTGCAAGTCTAGAGCGACAGGTGAGTATAGTAGTTGACACTAGTTGTACTGTGGTTGAAAACGTGAAGCATATGGTGTAGACGGTTTATCAACTATACTGAAAGCCAGTTGATTTCAATTTTCAAATGACGACAAATATCCTACTTAAGCCTGAGAATTCAAGGAGCCATTTCAATGGGCGTTATAGCTAAGAAATATTATCATGGTCAATGGTACACAATATTATCGTATCATCGGCGTGAGGAACTTTAATCAAATTTTCATCACAACTGGATAACGATTAAGCAGGTGATGTTCTATGATTTTACGTCAGCTTTTAAGCCGGTACTAACGAAGTTGACGTAAAATTAAAGATTTTTGACTTTAGTTACGTGTGCAGTTTATTTTAGTATACGCGTGTGCATCAAGAACAGCTGTAGACTTTCATCTGCTTGCAATAATTCTTTCTTCGGTCAATTTGAAACTTTAGTCCTGCCCTAGTTTACGCCCGTTTCAGCTCCAAACCTATATCATTATTCATTAATTGTTTTTTTTTCATTTGCATTAAATTCAGCAAATGAAAAGTTCGACGTTTCACGTCTGAAACCGACTATGATGTATAAGTCGCATTTGAAGTCAAACGAAGATCTGTTCGATCCAATTTTGTTGGATCCAATTCACTTGTGACGGATATTTTATATATTCCATTGACTTGCTATAAATGTACGGCAAATCTACTGAAGCCAATGTAGTACTTAAAAAAAACACACTGTATTCTATACTGAATTGGATACAACAAAATTCGATCGTGTGAACACTGAATAGACCTCAAATTAGGCCTGTTTCAAACGTGTCGTGTTTCTCATGTGTCGAACGCATTAAGAATAGATATGAGACATGCATCTTAATTGATTAACTATTGTTTTAAATGCGTTAGGCACATAAGAAGCAGTACGTTTGATACTGGCTTTAGTCCCACCAAATGCAAATGATGTTCTCATCTAATCATTACCTATTGTTTGAATTGAATTCGACCAAAATGCGAGATACAAGGTTTTTATACGCGTGTTAACTTGTAAATTGTGATAATACCTTGTTCACATCGAACACGTTGAAAACAAATGCGGCAAATTCAGAGGGATCGCCATAAGGGAAGAATTGTTTATATATTCCTGCAAATTCCTATAGCGAGAAGAAAAGTGAATTTATATTTATAGCTATATTTATAATAAATTTGAGTAAAATCTCTACTCGTTTTCATGATACATCTTCATAAAAAAAGTTCATATGTAGCTACATTTGAATAATTAATTTGTAAGTTGTATAACATAATAAAAAGGAATGAGTATAGTATACACATGAATGACATTACTGCATGGTGAACAATCAATTTCATCATGAAAGAGGCTTTTCGCTGGATTTTATCCATGTAATTAGGGACAGACAAAGACTAGTATCAGCTCCCCTCGCTATATTGTATAATTACTTCACCATTAGGTATATAAATAACATGTTTTACGTCAATTAATCGATGTTTTATCTTTCATTAAGCTGTCGTTTCAGAAAGACGATAACAGCGAAACTGCAAGTCTACTCAAAAGGCTTTGTTATATTTTTAAATATTTTTGACGAGGAAACGAAAGCAGACAAAGTAAATATGGTTCGGATCAACATTTTTTTAACTGCATGGAAAATTCATATATACAAGCTGATATAGAGCAGTGGTTGAGGTTCCCAATAAAAACTGATCCGTGAAATTTTTTCATTTCAACTCACTTTTTACAACAAAGAAGTATAATTATCAATATAATTGGTTCTTCGATGGCTATTAATGGCGTTATCGTCTAAAAGCTCATTTATACAGTCAACTCACTGGGTGCATTCATGATCACAATCAACTCGTAATTATTTTATATGTAACCCGGTGAATTTCTATCCGACTAAGAGTTTTCTTTTCCCTGACGTTTCACCTTAAATATTTTCATTTGATGAAGAAAAGGCGCTCTCGAAAATAAGAAACGAAATTTCTGTGTCGAACTTTTGAAGAAAGTCTTAGAATGTGTGAGGTTTTTGCTTAAATACATACACGCCTGCAGGCATGTCACTTACCTCTTGGTTCAAATTGCCATTCGGACAGTCTTTTAAGAAACCTTTATGCCTATATTAGAATATGTATAGTTTAGTTAGAGTGCCTCTTAAATTTATGAAATATGTATTATATAGCTACTTTTGTTAGTGTGCCTATATTAGATATATGAAATATGTATATAGTTTAGTTAACATGCATGCAATTCTAAGGTCGGTATCGCCGGTAAAACCGTATACTTTTGTTTTAAAGTCTTGAGCAGTTGAGCTCTTTTAATGTATATAATGAAATAAATTGTTATAATTAGCAGAGTTTATTGATAACATCCGAACGTTACTAAAACCCTGCCCCTGGTCAGAACATGGTACAGAATATATATCCATGCATAGATATATATAAATTATCTTATATACTTATATATAAATTTCAATTATACGAGTTTTCAAATATGGATTATATGAGTTTACGTATTAAACTAAAAAGTACAAAGCGGTGTTTTCTACCGTCCTTAATCCGAATCTTTAAGCTAACCTCGGATCATAGACAATCTAGACAATATGCATTCGCAAATTATATTCATTGTCTCTCTATCAAAATAAACATGAATGCATAACTTTTGAATGGATCCTCGCGTTATCCTCGGAAGAATTGTTTTAAAAGCCTTGCATTGACAACTGTTGGTGTTAAGTAAATCGTCCATTTCGTGAACACCTCACTATTTATTCATATTTTGATTAACTTGGACATTCAACAAACCGCGAAGTTTGAGCCGGCAACGCCAGCCAACACAACTGCGATACGGTTTTGGTCAACATTAGTCATTATTCATTGAGACGGGGCTTATCCAGAACTACAGCAACCAAAATTTAACTAAAAGAAGCATAACTTTATAATATAACAGTTCTTGCAGAACTTACCAACGTTGCAGTTCTTTTTCGTTAACTAAAAGACAGTAGAATACGTCTATTATGACTAAATAATAAATGTCTACCTCATGATGTAATTACCATAACATATACTAGGATATCTCCTATGGCTTGCATATACTAGAGCAATTGAAGTTAATACTCACAATATGTTTTGTTCACAAGTTCCTGAAGAACTTCAGGCTTTAATTTACTAGGTTTTTTGCCCATTTTGATTGGAAAAAATAGCAAAGTTATTAGGAAGCATCATACACAGTCATAGACCACAGCAAGGCGTCTTACATAGCGACTACAAGGCTTTCAAACAGCTCTCAAATTTGTAAATATCATGTTTAATTATTCATTTCTGAAGAAAACGGGGGCGTACATTATATAGGGATTGTAAACAGGAATTTTGTGGCTGAATTATATATATTTTAGCAGGTACCTAGATACCCGCATTTGAAAACACATAAAGTAAAATTAACGGTCATGCACGACTATATATACAAGTCATTGCTCGTCGTTACTCTTGTATTTCTAGACTCTTATATAGCTAACTGCCTTGACTGTAAGATTATTATTAAACGTTTTTTTTGAGAACGTTTAGTATTCAGCTGTTACAGACGTCATGACATTCAGTTTAGCGCCACCTTGGCCTTGGAGCCGTCGCGAGGGAAATTTGGATGACTTTCCACGAATTTAGCCAAATGCGTTGGGATCATAATCAGTAGTGGATAAGAGCAAGGCTGAACCTAATAAATAGGGAGGGAAAGGGTGCCATTTCAAATTTTAAAAATGGTCCGTATATTTTTCCTACATTTTAATGTAAGCCGAATCCGACTTTCGCGTAAAATTGAAACGGGTTTCGGGGTTCAACTTTGAAGTGAGTTTTTGGTAATAGACCTCTCTCATGACGTCAAACGCCGTGGAACATCTAGAACGTCATTATGAGAAAGGTTTATTACTTCAAACTTACTAAAACAAAATCATTTACATCATAACAGACTGCATTGTATATTGTTATTTTTTGTAGCACATAATCACAAAATGACGTGGTTGACGCCACTTTCCCCAAATTTAAATGACTGCAGAAAAGACGAGAAAATCATCAATATTTGACTTGTCAAATATGTTGATCAAATCAGCCACTTAGCATTTACAGAATAACAGAAATGGACATGCAGACACTGTTGTGAAGAAATTAATTTCTATAAAATAACATAAACAACTCTTGCCCAATAATGACAAAGCATATTCACGATTAACCGTGAAGAAATTGTATAGTGTTAGGGGGACGATACGGTTTTCGAACAGAAATATTTGGTTGCTGTCTGGTGTTCTAGGGCCTACGGGATATTCATAGTGTAGTTTCCGATCTTGCCTACAGAGATTAGGCTTTTTTATGCAATCCTTCTCCGGTTATGAGTCACGTTTGCGGAAGCGTCATGTTGTGCGGTCAGTGTTTTTCGTCTGTTTAATAAATTAGATAAGGATTTCAATGAAATGAATGAAGATCATATGAATAGAGCTTGTTATGCACAATATGGCTGCTAGAGTGATTTATGCCCAATGGAAAAGAAAGCCATTCTTTTCGTATTGATATTTGACAGATAGATTAATATATATTTATTCACCTCTATTGAGGTCAGCCAAAAGCAAGAACAACAGGACGATTCTCATAACCAGACCCCCTCTTGTGATTTTCTGTTTCTGAAATGAAACAAGAGTTACAAGACACAAATATCACAACAGATTCGACGAAAAGAAGAGATTTCCTGAGCGAATAAAGAAATGAAGATGCTCGCCCCAGGCCATTGTTGCATCAAACAAAGATCATCGGAAAGTTTGCCATACACACCTCATTAAAACACAAGAACCTAATTCAACCGTGTTTTTCTGGACTCTAACCTCACCAATGATACCTGTATGGATCTTTTTAAAACTTTAAAACTTCCTCCTGATCGATCAACTAGAAATCCTAGTAAAAATGCTAACAGAGTAGTATATTCCTTTCGATCAATCAAATTAAAGGTTAGTGAAAGATCAAAGGTGCTGGACACTACCGAGTACACTACACTCTGTAATGTACATAACTTGATTGCTATGTTGAGAATGAAAACCGATTACGAGTTAATCCGAAATTTAACGCTTTTCAGTCGTGTGATTTAAAAATTTGACACTATTTTATTTAACTTAGTAAGAATATCGTAACATTTACATATTATAATACTCTACACTATAGCTACAACATATTTTATAATATGGTAACTCCTATTTTATATACTTTAAATATATATCAGTTATAAATACAACATTAAAAAGCAACGAAATCCAATCCTCATCATATGAAGACGTGCGCGCATATCAGAAACATGCCGGTTATTTTTTTTTTTTTAAATCTCATCTTAATTTGAATCATATTTTGATAACAGCATGTTCCCTACATGGAACTATTATGTAAAATTTTTGCTGCTCATTTCAAGAACATTTTTTTAAGGCGACCAATAATTCATAAAATGTTGATGGAATTTCGTTTAAAAATTGCAAGTTCAACAATATAGTACGTCTACAGTGTTCCTGATTAAGGTTACTACATAAAATAGTTTTGCAAAGGGAAGTCCTATGTATACCATCACATAATATCCGTACCAATTTTACATTTAAAATGTCCAGCAGTTTTTAGGACAAGTGCAATGTGTTTTAAGAGTCCATATATATATAGTTCATTCGTTATGGGAATATTAATACTTCCAATGCAATTGTGTCGTTACTTAAATAGATTAATTTGAATAAATATGACGATCCTTCACGGGATCTTAAAAATGGAAGTAAACACATAAAATTAATTTTTAAAGTGTTATCTATACGAGACAGGGGTAGAGTGACAGTCCAGACAAGACCCCTCAGACCACTCAATATCTGTTACAAGTGGTATTGTTTAAAACAACTAGCTAAGAGGGCTCTTGGAAAGGGTCTACACAAATCTTAATCATCTATGACAAATGTACATGTATGCATGACGATATTGAAACGTGAGAGTTTGAACAAAAAAATTCTTGTTAGCTAGATACCAAATAGACATGCATCAAATACGTGACTGAATAGGAAATTAAAAATTACGGATGTCACCGTCATCTGATCGTAACAGCTAAGAACTAATTGTGATATTATATTTTTAGATCAAAACGACGACATTTATGGTAGTTGTCATTGAAATCCGTTAGGTTTTTTAAGTAATCAGTGAGCTGATTATCAAATTAAGAATTCGTAGATATACCTACTGTGGCTTAACAGATTACCTCAGCTTCATATTCCGCTAGCCTTCCGTCACTGGTTGATCAATATCTTGAGGTAGATCTATTGCTAATGCTTGAACAATCCATGGATCACATTTTGATCCTTCTCGAAACTCTTCCATCGTCAGTTTACCGTCCTTATTCTGTAACAACAACACCATTATTATTTTTTTAAACTTTAGTAAAGTATATTAATCAACGATTTTAAAGTATATTAATCAACGATGCTTCAAACTTAAGATTTGAAAATTTTAAAAAAAGATGTTTCCCATATCACGTCACACTAAAACTAGGAACTTGATCAGCCGTTAAACCTACTTTGTCCATTTGTTTGAATATTTTTTCAACTCTTTTTTCTGGAGTATCTTCATCTTGTGGTAAATTGGCTAAATTACCCTGTAGGAGTAAAATACTTTTATTAGCCCACATACTTAGAATTAAAATATAGCAAGCTCATTTTTTGGGAGGGATTTTGCTATTGATCAGTTCCACTTTAGGGCAATTCTTCAAATAAAACCATCCAATTATTCAAAAGAGCAAACATACATGTCAGAATAGCATGAACAGGAATTGCAAAGGGAATACAGCCATGCAAAAAATATTTCTATTAATATATTTCATAGTTTTATAACACATTTATTAAGCATAGTGACAATTATCTTCAAAACCTACCACCATGCAATAAATGGCTTCAACTATTTGCAGCATTTCTGGCCTGGTAATGTAACCATCCCTGTCCAAGTCATACAGTGAAAAGGCCCCTAAAATTTTTTTATATTCCATTAATGAATTATGATTACTTCATTCACTTGTGTTAAATACAAGTATTGCTCTCTTTAAAACTCTCCAATTCATGTATGCATTCATAGACCTTTTCAAAAAAGAGCAAGATGCCTGTTTCGAGTTATGCGAAGACGAGGCTAGTCAGATTTTTACTGTTGAAGTCATTTGTTTATTTTCTCACTTTTTAGCTGGACCTGTTGTAAGCTACACAAAGGTTTTCACAGTCAAAATTTAGAAACATAAAAATGATTTTGAAATTTTGACAGCAGAAAATCTGACTGGCCTCGTTCTCGAGTAACAGGCCTCTTGCTCTTTTTGGAATAGCTCTATAGGGCTTCAAAATAATTTTAAAAAATGCTTACACTCTAACTTTTCATCTAAGCTTCCTCTAGATGTGATGGATAATGCTGTGATAAATTCAGCAAAGCTGATTGAACCATCCTAAGACAAAGGAATCAATAGAGAAATTACATTGCAGCGAAAATAATTTCCTTTTTTAGATCTATAACATGTTGCAATAATTAATTTACTCTATTTCAAATGTCGAAGTTTTTTAATGATTAATTGGCAGACTTAATTATTCCGGTTTTTCCAAAAAGAGAATGTTAGCAACAATTCATTAAAAAAATAATAAATTACAGCGACAAATATCAGAAGCAAAAGTCTCCTATATTCTCATTTTTACCTGTTATAGTAATAGTGCATGTTCAGCTACTTTGACTACTGTGCACCAGTGTGTGCTGATATAGATATAATGTGGGTACCACTTTATCAAATATTGCATATAATACACACAATTTTATATTGCTCACCGCATCTCTATCAAAAACTTTGAACACAAACTGGGAAAAATGTGTTGGATTACCAAATGGAAAAAACTGTTGGTATATTTTCTGAAATTCCTGAAATTTCAAACAAAATTAACAAATTTACCTTTTTGGTATCATATACAATATAAAACTGATGCTGTTAGCATCAATTCATGTTTAAAATGTGAGAAATACTATGTACAATTAAGGCATACAACTGCAGTTTTTGATATGCTTGCCATTAGGAATTGCCCTCTCTATATATATCTACTTATATGTATACTCGGATAAAAAAATTCATGTAGTGGGTGAATCCCACGGATTTTACAGAGTAGGATCAGCATTTAAGTTTGGTTCATGATTGCTAATCTCCAGTTGATGTAGACATGGTTGGAAATGAAAATAGAGACACAGCTAAAGATATAGGCAATAAGTTTAAATATAAATTGATAAAATATATTTGATAAAATACTGCACATGTGACTGTCCTTTAAATATTCACACATATTGAAACAATAGTATCAAAATTTACTCTCAAAATCCCCTCATGTTTGAAGAATTTTCAACTTTCTATATTAATGACAGTATTATCCTTTCCAAAACCACATGTTAATTAAATACGTTTCTTGACTGTTGCTAGAACATAAAGGAATTAATGTATGCTTACCTGTTAAAATGCTATGATAATGAGTTAATATGATATTTACTATACCACAATGTTTGAAAATAGTCACTTCATCTTTTAAACTTAAAAAATTTACAGTGCATTCCCTTTTTCTTGATAAACAACAAAAGACACCTTAATTGCATGCATTTATTCAGTAGTTGTTAGCTTCTATTATCAGATTTCGTTACACCTGCTAGCTTTAACATTGAGGAACTAATTTCGAATTTTAAAAATTTAAATGTTCCTGCCATCACATATTTTGCAATCAACACAGTGATAAAACAAACGATAACATACATCAAAATTGCACAAAAGAACAGGTTTTTACTAAAAAACTAACAAAAAACACACAAAAAACTAAGGTGGCAGATAATATATGAATGGCTTGTATGGTGATTAAAAATTTATTATTAAAAGATGCTCAGAATACTAGCATATCGCAAATAATTTTTGACAAGGATTAATTGCAGCTCAACAAAAAGGGCAAAGATTCTTTTAACTAAGAACTAGTAAGGACAAGTTTAACAGTTTAAGAAATATTTTCAAAAATACTCCAATAAATTTTATTTTTGAATGTAAACATATTCAGTTTCTTTATAACACAAAATGTCACTTGGAAACATGTTTATGTTGAGTACGTTTTTTACTTTAATTAATACAGAAGCACTTTCAAATGTATTGCATATATATGGCCAACCTCTAGTATTTTCAATTTCTCACTTATGGAAGAGTACTATTATTACATAATGATTATAACCTTAAATTTTGTGCACATACATCTTCATTTTATGCTCAATCTGAAAGTTTCTGATAAAATAAATTTATAAGTTTGCAATATAGTGGATTTCAAACTAATCGTTTATGTGCATGCATTAGCAATAGATATCCTTTATCAGATGCTTCTCACAGACAATTGGGCAGCATGAATTTCTCCTATATTTGGACATTTTTCAACAGAACGGCAGCACCTATCCCTACTTATGCCCCTCCTTTTCATACAAATAAAATTTCCTATAAAAAGCTGGAAAATTATGTAAAGGGATCCTGGTGTTATTATTAATAACTCAAATAAATAACTCATTTCCGGCACTGCTTTGACAATACAAGAAGCGTATATAAACCTGTGTATGAACAAAGTTTCCCTCTGAGCTTTTGTAAGAATTTAGATTCAGCTCGTGCAATAAAATATGTTTACATGTTTTACAAGAAATTAACTTCAAACGTGAACAAGATTGGTCAAGATGACACAGCACGTTATGCAATAATGTCCCGTTTAAATTGCTTTTTTCGAAAAATCGATTCTCAAGTATATTCCGATGACATGTTTTGGAACTTGCAAAAAATTATTATGTTCTATATACCTCCTGTTTTAATTCTCCGGACGGACAATCTTTCATAAAATCACGGTACCTAAGGAATAAAATAACGCACAGCTTAAACAAGCTTTTAAAAAATGTTAAAAGACAAAATTATGTGCGCTTTGACCACATTCAATACATGTTATAGGCAAGTCAATAAATAAACGTTTGACAGATGCATCCCTACAACGTTTAAGGCGTTAAGCTACAAACACACAAGGATCCGTACCATTTCTGAAGTTCTTTCTTATCAACTGAAATAAAAAAGAGAGAATATGTATAGAGAATAGCTGTTACACAACAAACGATCGCAATGAATGCTCGGGTACGCTACACTAGAGCACAATCAAGCATGCAACAGATTCAAAACGAGTATAAACGATAAAAAGTATTTACGTACAGTATGTGGATTTTTGCAGCTCTTTGATTTCTTCAGCAGAGAGTTTACTTGTATTTCCCCCCATGACCTTGTTGTCTTGGACGCGAAACAAGCGGAAAACGACTCTTACAAATATGCTACCGACCACAAGCCATATTTTTGTCTTTGTTGTGATTTTTATTCTCAAATCTTTATACCACATCCGATAGCTGCGTGTCGTTCACGCGAAACGCGTGGGCTAAACCACACTTTTTATGATATCTCGGATGCAATTATCATCAGAGACGAATTAAAGGTATGAAAAATCTCTTAATGCCATCGCATTTTCTAAATTCCACATCAGTGCAATTATTGTGTAATTTCAGACAAAATTAGACAATATTTCCATTGAATGGCCACTGGCACAGCGGCACCAGCTCACGGAACTGACTGACCCTACACTAGTCGCTCATATATAGGCGCCCTGGTACAAGCGATCCCAGACCTCAGTTACCTCAGTTGTATAAAAGCTATTAAGGGATAAATAAGTAATCCATCATCCATCCAAGATATTTTTGTGCTTTTGCACGCTTTGGCCTCATGGCTTTTGCCTGCATAGAGATTAGAATGAAAAGACCAAAACTTCTAGAAACCTTTGTCTCGCAGGCATTTCGCAAGACGCAAGGATAGTTTGTCTTGCAGTTATAGAACGTTGTGCCATTGTGTTTCAGTTACTTTCAGATTAAAATAATTTAAAAATTACTAAACATGCAACCACAGGCACAGGCGGAACCACTGTATCAAAGATGACTGTATCACTAAGGAATTTTAGTTATTCCACGTGGAAGTTTCAATGACTTTTGTCTATTTTTTATAACCGTTCAAAACAGGTATTTTTATAATTTTTTACTCTTGCGTTTTTGATTTTTCAACTTTCTCTTTATTTTTGCAGAATATTAGAAATATCAAAAAGTCTTTATTGTTTTCATCAACAGAATACCAATGAAAGTTGTGAAAATTCGCTATTAATAGTCTCAGTGTGTCCTGAAGCCATCGTCGGCATGGACAAACAAATGCGAATCTTGCCAGAAGTTATGGAAAAATATTTTGAAGACATCATGAAAACAGCACTGGTATAGGCCTTATATTGCATGCTGACAAATTTTAGTTTTATACAGAAGTTTTGCCCGTAAATATTTTTTTGTTTTTAGGCTATATCAGTAATCAGAACAAAACCAAAACACATAAGTGGAAAGGTTTATGCACAGGTCCTGAATAGCAAACTGACAGGAAATGCTGAACAATGGAAATTGAAAGTACTTCAGCCATATTGTCATTGAAGTCTCAGATTTATATTTAAACCCTAACCTATACACAGAATTCATTCAGTTTTCCTTAGTTTCAGGGGCTAGAAGTAGAGTTGTTATCGGTCAAAGAGGAGTTGATTAAAGCAAAATTGAAAAATAATGCATTCTCAAATAATACTGAAGGTGTGTAGCTACGTAGAACCATAGAACACCTCAGGGAGAAAAACCGAATGTTGGAAACTTTTTCAATAACTCTCATCCCCGAATTTACGTTTCTATGGCTATCATGAGGACCCGCACAATGTGTGAAAAAATTAAGGCAAAAAGTGTTCGTTCCCATGGCATCTGTTTGGTAGGTGTTTGAGGGTTGACATGTAGAAATTGAATTAACTTGCTCCTTTATTTCGCGCAAGTGTAATTTGATACTCGATCTGGCTAATAATTTATTAATTCTTAATAGCTAAACACGATTGTCAACGCCGCATTTAGGAGTTATAAAGGCAAACGCGCGCCAATTTTTAACTAAAACCGCGAAGTTGTTGAGCCGCTTGAGCGCGACTAGTCAATTCAACTTGCGAAATGTACTATCGAGTATATTTGCATTGCTTAGACTATAGCAAGAATTGGTATGCGTACAATGACTTGCTTTTTGGATATCTGAAATCTGGTGGAAAGCACGAAGGAAGCGCGACATTCTGATTGTTCTCCAGCGAAGTACAAAAGGTTAATATCGCTGATTTCAGAGACCGCGACGGCAAACAGCCATCAAACAACATCAACAGAAAACGACCTAGAGCCACGTCCGTTCGAATGGAAAGACATATCAATCTTGAATCTTCTATGCTCGCGCTCGAGAATGTCTAAATAAACTAGACAAATCCATACCGGTTCAATCTCCCGCCAAAATTACATGCCGCGCGCGCCTTCTAGCGCTATCATTAAATCGAATGAAGTAACACCACAAAGCGCCACTTTGAGGAAATCAATGATGTTTCTGTACCATCACCGGTAGGATTTACAAATGTCTCCATTGTTTATTTCAGAGAGTATGTAAACAATAATGTATAATCACTAAATGCATTTTTCTACCTTACTAAGAATGCATATATAAATACTAATTGAGAGGTAAACTTTTACTCTAATTTCACAATAGATTATACCATAAAATAATTTTAGTATTCAAGACATAAAAAATATATTGCTGTTGTACAGTATAAAAATTGTGAGAATTCTTTCAGTGGACACTCTTGTGTCAGAAAGATGCAGTCATCTTTTGCTGACAGATTAAGAAGATGTAGTCATCTTTGCTTATTCAGTTGAAACTAAAAGTTTTCTGATGGTTATTACACAGCAAGTTATATCTAAATGAGAGTAGCTTGAAAACTCCAATATATATATTATAATTTTACCATCAAGTACTGTTCAAGACATAAAAAATATATTGCTGTTGTACAGTATAAAAATTGTGAGAATTCTTTTAGTGGACACTCTTGTGTCAGAAAGATGCAGTCATCTTTTGCTGACAGATTAAGAAGATGTAGTCATCTTTGCTTAATCAGTTGAAGCTGAAAGTTTTCTGATGGTTATATTACACAGCAAATTTTATCTAAATAAAAAGTACCTAGAAAACTCCAATATATATATTATAATTTTACCATCAACTACTGTTCAAGACATAAAAAATATATTGCTGTTGTACAGTATAAAAATTGTGAGAATTCTTTTAGTGGACACTCTTGTGTCAGAAAGATGCAGTCATCTTTTGCTGACAGATTAAGAAGATGTAGTCATCTTTGCTTAATCAGTTGAAACTAAGAGTCGTATCACAATTATTGCACAGCATATCTGATCAAAGACAAACATTTGTGTATAAAGTCAATGTAACATATAATTTCGCACAGGGTGCATGTACTAATTTATTTAATACTATAATTATATTTGCCATCATATTCTCTTGTCCTTATAAATTAATGCTCATTGTAAGTCTTATTCTGAACCAATTTGCAAAATCATTACAATCTGACAGATGCAATACAGTGTAAGTGATCTTATTTGTTGTTTTCTCTATCAAAGACCAGTTATTTTAATGTGATATTTTAAGGGTACTGTTATAATGCAATCAATTTATTGTGGATAATGTTTTAATAATGGAATAGTTATGTTTGTGAAACTGACCCTTGTCCTTTCCTTACACTGATCTTAGCCCTAACCATAACCCCAAACCTCAACCTTCCAAATTTCTTTTCCCACCAATACAAATGAGCCTAAAAAATTTTAAATTAAAACAGCAGCTACTGTACTGGTGCTACTGATGTCCACTAAACTACAGTCTCATGTAGACAGACATTTTGCGGTAGCGACTTTATACAAGGCCCGAAAAAATTTTTTGTCCTATACGTGATCAACAGAACTTGTTAAGGAAAAAGTGGCAAGGAAAAAAGTTCCCCCGCATGCAGCTACCGGATTTTATTGTATACAGACATTGGCCTTATTGTATGGCTGTTACAGTGGAATGACTAGGATTTTAGTAATAGCGAAAGCAGTACTGAGAAAATTGCTTTGACAGGGTAAGATATTTGACTCCCTTTCTATATGCGTTGATACTTATTCCGCACTGCCTTATAGCTTCACGCAGCGAGCATTTTTAAATTAATAACTTGTTAATAATAGAATTTCAACCGAGTACCTACTGCGAGTAATGAAACTAATAGTGGATTGATGACAGTTTTTGCAATTATATTTAATGAGATAATGCGCTCTGATTTCCTGACTTTTGCGGATTCAATCCGCAAAAGTTGCTTTTTCCAGGCCGTGCGGGTCGTCATGTCCGGGTCCTAAAATTTTTATTTTGTAATCATATGAATACCACGAGTTTATGACTTTATAGACACATACACAGCAGACATTGAAATATCTGAATGTTTGACCCCGCCAAGCTCTAGTGAATCAAAATTCGAGGAACGTCAATGCGGAGATTTAGGAGATAGACATGCAAATTTCTTGAAAAGTCGTAAGTATAGTGAACCTATAGTCCAAGGTCTAGGACATTCATGCATATTCAGAATCCTAGGACATTCATATTCTAACATTCCGCCAAATTTGTTTTTCTATTCTTTTTATTCCATTACCGGCTTCAGTTGTATCACTATGGAATGCTCCTCGATCAGAAAACATGTTAAAAGACACTCAACTATCGCATCATCTCTTCACAACAGTCATTCAAGCTGTCACAGGCAAGCAAGCAGTGAATATAGACAACATATTTTACTTTATTCATCTATATTAAATTCATTATTTTCTCCAATTCTCTTTACAGTATTGAAAGAAAGAATTCACGAAAATGGCTTCGCTGAAACATGTATTCCTGAATGTTGTGTGGATAGTTTAATAGGTAAAGAATAGGTGTGATTCATTGTAACCATTCAAACGTTTTCATAAAATTTTCATTTCTGATGAATTGTCGCAAATACTACCCATAAAGTATTATTAACACTTTCACTGCTAGTGCTCTAGCCAGATCGACAAGTTATAGTCGATCAAAAAACGAAAATCTCTGGCGATCAAAGTGTTAAACATATATAATATTGTCACTTGTTCACAGTTTACTTCAGTTTCTCTTGAAAGAACTGCATGTCTCTATGTATGCTTCATAATTTTGACTTTTTCTATCATAGGAATTCTTGATATGGATCCGAAAGGCTCACAACCTGTTGAAACAGTGCTTAATTTTGCCGATGAAATAATATTGGCAGTTATGAACCACGAAATTTGTAGCAGTGTATGTATTTTACTTCGACTCTCATTTTAGCAGAAGTTGACTCTGGCGTACAAATTGCCTGACTTATCGCCCCCTTAACTTAGACGCGATGCCGATGGGTTGTATTTCCTATCATTGGCCGTTTTCACACTAGAGATGCATAATGCGTCTTCAATATTTTTTGTCTAGTATATAAAGGCGGGACAAATAATCAGGGGCCTGTTGTTCGAAAGGCGTTTAGCTTAAACGGTGAATAAGCCAAAGTTTAAAATTACTGTCATATATCTTGTGAATGACAAATCTGCATCTTATGCATTAAATGTGTACTTTCATTGACAATTAGCCGCTATTTACATCGAAATATTTCGGGTCAGCTGTTCAATAAATAGATAATTGTGATTTCCATTTTGAACTTATCCACCGTTTAAGCTAAACGCCTTTCGAACAGCCAGCCCCAGACGAATAAGTCGAAATGGAAACCCGCGCGAATAGATTACATTAGAATTTCTGGTTTATTTTATCACTGTCTCATTTTCCAGAATTATTTGTACATGTGCCGTCTTCACACGGGCAGACGCATTATGATATTATCTGTCTAGACGAACTATCGTTGATTATGCGTCTCTGGGACGAAAAACTGAACATTAATCGTCTGAACGTATTATGCGTTTGTTATCCGTCTTTATACTGAAAACGAATAACCAGAGAAGACGCATGATGCGTCTCTAGTGTGAAAACGGCCATTCGTAAAAACAATCTCGTTCAATGAAAATCTGTCTGGCAGATGACGCTAAATACACACCCCCGCAGGTTCCCGTCCAGCTTTATTTTAGACAGGTTTTCTCTTTTATAGAATTTAAATCTAACCAAGTATTCGAAACTAATTATACGTCTAGCTTCGCACAAGAAGATCATAAAATTGATCCTTTCCAAATTGACTGAACAACTGGTAGCCTTCTCTGAAACTCTAAGAGTCATATCACAAGGTATGCATTCTACATTGATGAAATGATTACCAAGGATTTGTAAGTTTACATCATGACAAATGTTAATGAATCTCTATTGTTTTGCGTTTCTAAACTACTGACTACTGAAAGAAAATTGTTCCGTTCTAACCGCCTCTTTTGCCACTGAATACAACTAAGCTAAAAAAGCTATTTCATTTTATTAAATCTGATTTTAAGATCCAATGGCGTTGCAAGAAAACCTTGAGAAATATAAGAGTATATATTACATCTTGTGGTGTATTGAAAGCATATTGTTAAAAGCAAAAGACAGCGACTCGTTAGATTCAGGTAAATGTCGAGCTGTGAGGCCGGGGCCTGGGACTACAGTCAGAAAATCATAGACGGTGGCGGTGAAAAACTGAATTAGGTATGGCACTGATATAAAGCATTTTCTCATTTTTCTTTTACTTTATAGTATCTAAAACTTTATTGGCAACACTGGAGGACTCCGTACTACATTTATCAAAAACGTTTCCACTTTTTACATGTTACGTATGGCGTATAGGAGGTTTAATATCGCACATATCAACAGAGAATATGGATGTAGAACCTTGAAATGTGGAAATGTTGACCAGGGAAAGTCGAAACGACTTTCAGATGAAGCATCTGCATTCTCAACAATGCATTCATTCGATTGTGAAACACAGAATAAGAAATGAACCCAACTCGAATGTATGTTGTCCACCATGGAATTCGGTATACGTACTGGCAGTTCCGTTATAAGTCTTTTATCCAGTAAATTGCAAAAAAAAAGCGCTCCGTGCCCTTCAGTTCGTTTCCAAATCAGACATGCACCAAAGTGCAGTACACTTTGAACAGGTGAAGCCAAACTTGAGGACTTTTACGTGAAAATAAAGCCATCGCTTAGAACTAGACAACCGAATACCTAGCTATGACTGAATAGTAGATTTTTAGGTATAATACTATGACGTGATTGATGAAGACGAAGTATTGTAGCTATATGAAGTACTGCACCAAGTGCGTGCATCATTCTTTTCCTGGAATTAAAATAGATTCTTAGTCAATTGACTGGTGATTCGTCGAAACAACAATTGAATAAAATATTGAATAAAAAATTGCGATATTACCTTCCTTATTTTTACCGTTTGCTTTCTTCTGAAAGGGATATAACGGAGGTCTTCTTGACCCGGGAACTATTAGAGGAACACAGTTTCATAATCAAGCACTTTTTTAGAGATATCAGCATTTGGAAAAATGTATGGATGCTTCCAAAAATGAATTTACAAGTGTTCATACTTGTGATATCTCTGTTTGTTCGTCTTTTGCTAGAAACACTTTCACATCTTCCTTCATTTGTCCACGCACTTACCTAAGAAAGGAGTGTTTCTGACTTTCTGTCATATAGCCTTATCTGCACGTTTTTCACTTGCATGGATAATTTGTTGTAACGCAATGCATCTCGTGATGTCTCTGCTAAATCTATTATATTAGCACAATTTGCCCTGTTTTTCCTAATGTCGCTCTATGTACCACCTGTGGACTTGTGGTCTTTGTAGTTATTGACTGAAGTTGGGTTAGCATTTCCCGCGAGAGAAAACCTTCGCCCGAGAGCGGCGCATGCTCACAGCCCTTGAGAGACATGACCTCGCAGCCTCAAGCAACTGTCCCCATACCAGGGCTTTGAGTGAGTCTTCGAGTGAGAACTGAGTCTTATTAAATTTTACCATCCCAGGCCCCGGGATTTACCCCTTCCTCTCTAACCGCTTTACTCGAAAACGTTGAGTAAAAAAGACAATGATGCTGCAACATACATCGCCTTCCACCACCTTGATAAACATACAGAATAATTGACTGTACTCTATCTTACCGTGACGGTGTATTCTGTATCTGACTGCAGACGTCGGAGAATGCAGGAACGTTCGAGACCATTGAAAGCAGTCTAAAGAAACGTATAATAAATTATATGAACAAAACATAAGTAAAAATATTCTAATGCATCAGAAAAAATGTTCACTAGTCCTATATACCTCTCCATTTACTTTAACTTCATAACTAGTGATTCTGCTTAACGGTTCTTTAGGGGTATCCCACTCGACTTGAATTTCGTGTCTACCAAGAACTGAGAGCGATGGTTTCGCTGGAGCGTGATGACCTGAAATGTGTTTTGGTTTAAACACACATGGTTCAATTCACCATAATAACTTCATGCACTGGCACACTCAGGCACAGTTAGACTTACTCAGATCGACCGTATGTACCAGTAGGATAGCAGGTTCACCTCGACCTTGGCCTGTTACGGCGTACACCTGAATGGAGAATAGACACACATAAGTTTATTTCATGTTTCGTTGTTGCTAGTGCAGCGGTTTATGGAGTTGCCGTTATCATTTAATACCTCAAATTTGTATTCAGTTCCAGGCAAAAGACCAGACAAGATGAAGTTTGTGTCTTGAGTTTCTTGAAATGGCGCCAACGATACTATCGCATGTTGACCAAACAAGAAATTGGAATGATTATTAAGTGTGAATAAAATTTTCTAAGAAATAAAGCTTTTTCAAAAAACAGGAATTCACTTACCTTTACGTCCTTTAACTGTCACGTGGTAACACATTAAAACACCATTGGTCAATATGGGTGGTTCCCAGGCCACTTTTAACTGCGATGTTGTGCGATTAAGGCAAAGCAGTGATAATGGTGCTCCGGGTACTGCGAGGATAAAAAATCAGGAGGGTATCCTTTTTAAATAATACCCATGATAGGCATGGGGTTAGACTCGAGAGTCGAAAGAGTTTTGTTAAGTCATTTCCTGGCCTCCCCAAGTAGCTGGGGGAAAGAGAACATACAATGACTCGGATACAAAAGACTCGTGCCGTTGTGACATGCAATATATAGATCGAAAATTACCAGACTCCGGTGTTTCTACTTGGACAGGATTACTAAATGGACTTTCATCGCCTTCTGTTGTGTGTCGAAGTCGAAACGAATATTTTGTAACAGGTTGAGCATCAGTAACAACGAAACTATCCTCGTCTCCCGCGTAGATCATTTCATCATCTGTAGATGTAAGCAATAAAATGTACTAAATGAATCCAGAAACAAATTAAAAAATCCCGAAAAATTAAACGCTTTCGCCAAAGCAATGTTTCTGCTTTTTCGAGAAGGTCAAGAAAAACTATAGTGGTTTAAAGGGTCTTAATTTCGAGTGGAATTATGCACACTTCAAATTCAAGCCAGGAACAGTTGAAGGAAAAAGTCAACTATAGGTTCTTCGGCAGGAAGTGCAATGCTCTTGCCATGCACTGAGCTACAGATTGAGGTAGCTGACAAGAGCAAGCGTGGTTAATGTGTATAGGATACGATCTTACGACTTTGGCCGGTTGTACGAGGTAGGGCTGGCTTAATTAAATAGGAAATAAGTGAAAATTAAAAACAAAGTGAGATAGATCTATACTTCATACTTCATATGTACCTCTGTACAGTTCATACCAAACTTCCAATCCACTCTTCGGAAATATCTTGTCCCATTTCACGGAAATAACGTAAGCACTCTGAACTGAAAAAAAGTATTAACTGATTTGAAAACTTCCAGTTCAAATAAATTGAATGAATAGCTAAAACCAATATGCCACAAACCTTGAACATCAGGTGAATCAGGTTTTGTTAATTTTTCAAGTAACTCCAAAGCAGCGCTAACTTCAGTAGCAGTGTCTTCGCTTAATTCTGGTTTCTCGCTCAATTTCTAAAAAAAGTAAAGTGCCTAAACAAAACCATTCGAATATAATGACTAATCTGCACATCAGCATTTTGAATTATTTGAAAAATTTAAGACAATATTACCCACCATTAGAGCAGAGATAATTCCGGGATCTTTTCGTAACGCCAAAATTCCTGGTTTCTGACAGGCAAACGTATGAACTGTCCTGTGGAACCAAAGTAAAACCTTAGCTTCCTGCACAATGTTACATACTGCGCGGGTTGCTGTATTTCTCGGGAAGCGTTCAATACTTGCAGATGACCGAAATTTTTTGGTGCATGCAAATCAAGTCCAAATAACCAGGGTAAAGCAGCGGTTATCTTAATGATACTTGCTGCGTTAAAAAAGTGTAAAAACCCAATTATCATAATCAAGCCTTACTTACATCGCGGCGAACCAAACGGATTCTTCGTCACTAGAATTCAACATTTCTGGCATTGACGAAAACCAATGGTGAATGTAGTCATTTCTTAATAAGCGAGAATGACCAAGAGTATTTGTTGCTAAGCAACTGATGGCGAAGCAAGCATTCTTTTGACAAGCTATATCGTCACTTTTTAACATCTTTAGTAAACTGTCAAGCTAAAAGTTAAAAAATCAATCCTTACTTTCAGCATTACTGAATTAATTAATACAGTGTATCAACTCAGGGTCTAGCCTATGTCAATTTTTCTCACAAAGTCTTTTATGTAGTGCAGCATATTTGACCGTGGTTCGAAATATAATCAATAACATATTCTGTAACGTATTTCAAAAACACAAATAAAGTAATATGATAAGTTTGCTCACCATTGAGTTCGAATTTACATGATTGAGAAGACGGACGCGTCCCGTTTGTAAATCGCATAGGCGTCCTGTGGCGAACGCAGCATTCATGCCAGCACCAACTGAATATGATTTAAAACAATTGAACAATATTTTATTTGACAAGAAATATGAACTGCTTGGAGCATTCCGGAATAATAACCTTCATTATCCTTTTGGAGAGATTTGATCAACTGAGTCAAAATGTTCGTAGAGTGAGGATGGTTGAGGATTCGGGCGCAACCTTCTTCAGATATCGTCAATCTACATATTATAAAACGTTATCAGTGTGCATGCAGAGGTGTTTCGTGAGATGTGGAATTTTGAATCACCTTGCGAGAACCAAAGCAGCGTTACTTGCGATCCAATTATCTTCATAAGATAACAGTGTTGATACTTTATCAATTGTTTCATTCAACTCAGCCTGACGTAACAACCATAATCTACCATCTTCATTTTCAGCCTAACAATAGTAAACGTTCAACATATGAAAAACTGGTGGAGAATATCAATATCATCAGGGAATCTGTTTTTTTTCAAATACTCTAACTACTTTAGGGTCTTTTGTAATGTACTGTATGAATGTTTTATTACGATAACAGGATTTATTCAATGATTCATAAAGATTAAGGAAAAAACTAGAGAGATCAGTAAGGCAGTATTCATGCATATCTTCTGAAACGAATTTTTTTCTCAAATTCTTTTGTGTTCTCGATTCGATTACAAATAGAATTCCGCGTCGTCCGAGCGTTATATGCTAAAGACAAAACCATTCTGGTAACCAGGGCTTTTTAGTTAAAAGAAAACATAGGAACGAGCTCAATCGAGGAAGCGTGCAATAAAATCGAAAAAGATATTCCATATGAAATACACATAACCAGTAACTCACTAAAGTTCCTAACGTTCCAGCTGCATTGAGTACAGTCTCTTGATCTGTATCTGATATGTCTAACATTGACGTCAGACTCTTAAGGACTCGACTGTTTTCTTCCTCTGATGACGTCATACATATACGAACTATTCTGCTGCATCCTAATGGAGTCTCCGCAAGCGATCCCATTACATATGACGCATTACCAGCAATCCTGTGAAACGAAACAAGATGGATTGGAATTTGAGCGTCCGGTGAAGCCCTGCAGACGTAAACTGGAAGCACGTCTGCCTAAAGAGAACTTCATAATAAATGTCTACGTATGGACTACAAATGGTAGTCGAACCTATACCAACATGTTTGATCATTCCAACGCATCAAAGCTGTCCTTTACATACAAATAATCATTAAAGAAAATCCCTGGCAATTCATTACTGCGGTTATGGTGACAATGTCAAATAAAGTACATGAAATGAACCACTTTTTACCCCCACTTTTATTAATTAAAGAATTAAGAAATTCGGATTAAGCTAACAGAAATACAATCCTTTACAATTTGGATGCTAAATCTTTTAAGCTTCATTCATACAATTATTTCAATAGAATCTCCACTGCTTGATGACAGACTCAATATTGAGCAAATAAACGACGATGGTGAGCTAATTAAAGTATTTAGAACGGCCATTAGGTCGGTAAATGGCTACTAACATGCATAATATGCATATGTGCCAACACGAAAATGTACTGGCGCAAACCTGGCGTCACCCTTAATCAGCCTACTTTGGCCAACCAAGACCAAGTTAAATTTGATCAAGTTTGAGTACGGACAGCTGTTCTCTGCTTTCTCGTGTTTCTCGTTTCAGTATAGATATCTGCGAGGATTTGCACCCAATAAAAATGTTTTTGTGTTGATTTTAGTTAATAAATGCAAGCACTCGCAGCGAGTAGATTTTTGGATGAGTGGAAAAGATCCTTGGCCAAGTCGCGAGGAAAAGCTGGAACACGTTTGACGGCAGCTGTGCAGACATGCCTTCATTTTTTTTAGCTTTTGTGTAACGCCTACACCATCAAAATTTGACATAGAATGAAAAATGTACGTTATACATTGACTGGACAGAATCAGTCGCAGAAAAATAACCCGCGTAATAAGGCAAAAATAAAGTATTTTTCACCCATCCAACAACGTGTGGTTACTGACCGAACCACGCCCACAAATCGGTCTTGTTACTTGTTAGGGTGGTAATTGCGCTAGAAGGTACAAGATAGTAATAAAATACATTACCTTCTGTCCTTGGAGTGGACCAGTTTCATTATCCCAGCAAGCATCTCTCCGGATCCGGGATGGTTTAAAAACTGATAACAGCATAACTCTTTATTCTCGTGTATTTCCCCCACTAAACGATCGAGCGTCGCTGAAGTGTTCTTGTCAAACTTAAACAAGCTCGTTAGTGCCTTATCTAACTTTCTTCCTGAACGCATAAACATTGCTATATATCTTGTAGCGAGAGCAGTTTAATTTTATGAAGTATTGGCAGACAGTGAGTAAACGGACTTAATACCGACTCTAAATACGCAAATTTAGTTCTTAAATCAACCAATGAGGCGATACTTATTTCAATATGGGACTTCTAATGTGTCAATGATCACTTTCGAAAGCTTAACGCCCAAGTAAAAAATTGCATAAATAATCTGCTATGAGCTTAAAGCCGAGCTTTTTGGCGAAACCAAATTCCAATTAACTAGTTGAACAAAGTTTACTGTTCGCCCTAACAAACATACAAGTCCAACGTAAATACACAAGTAACGTCCTAATTAATAGCCAAAAGGTAGACAGGCTCTTTTTAAAAGATCTTTCGCAAAGAATTTCGTGCATGAAGTTGGTCAAATTTGTAAATACTTTTCACATATTCCACAGATGCTGCACGAGGCATACATAAGAAACAAATGTCAGTCAAAATGCCCAGCAAGATACAAGATAATCACCAACCCAGCTTTAAGTAACGTGTCGACCATAATCCATTGAAAACACGGTAAATGAAAATGCCCCCCAAAATATACAGCAATATATTGTTACCAGACGACCATATTAAACTTTAGGCTCTAGTTATATTATCCCGAGACTGTCAACAGAAGCACAAAGCCAATATTATACGTAAAAAATAGTAAGATAATATTTCATCCTTTTAACCCAAGAAAAACGCCTTGACGAGAACCAACTGAACAACTGACAATATAAATAAAACAATTTGGAAGCATCGTATGTTTAATTTTGTACACTGGGTAACGAGTCTGACATTGTTTACATAAAGTCATACAGCAAGGGATTAAATAAATCATTAGTTCAATACAATTGAATTTGACCCCAGCCAGACGGTGACAGATGAATCGATAGATGACGCTGACGTGTAACAGCTGTTGCCATAGGAGCTTATCCGGGGACACCAAAGGAAGCTTGAAGCCCAATATTTTGTGGAACATGAAGTTTGTAAATTGTCCTGCCTTTTTCGTGGCCTTTTGTTGGATTTTACAGTACGGCGCAAAGATTTATCTAGCAACTCCGGCAAGCAGTAGCTTAGAGCAAATTTTAGTGGGCCACGTGTTTAATTAAATTGCCATTGGTTTCTATTTATGTGCCGAAAAGTGGGGATGAAAATGAAAAACTGACATAATATATTATTATTTTTCTATTTATTTCCTGGCAAGAAGCGGATTCCTGGCAAGAAGTGAAAATTTTGTGTTTTAGCAACAGTAGAAAGATGACATTAGGATATTGCATCAGAATATTATCTTTATTTGAATTTTCTCTTTAATTTACATCACTTTGATGAAGTAGTTCAAGGCTACGTGCACACGGTAACGTTTCCCTTCATTTTCATTTGCGATTTCCCCCAAATGTAAACACTGTCTATTTACTTGACAGGAATTGCAGCTGATTTATTATATTGAAAATATTTTCCCTTGGGCCATGTAAACAAAATGTCCAAATGATAAGAAACATCAACTTTCGAAAACGCTACCGGCCTGTAAACACAGCCTTAGCGAGTGTACCATATAGTACTGCATAGCCTAGGCTTTAGTCATCTCTAATGCTATAAATTAAGTAATGCCCCTATACTGAGCTTTTCGCCGTCCTCCTCGACACAGCTAACCCAACTCCATTGTTTAACATTACTTTATATCATTAGACATGCCTTCAGGGAAAGCCAAGTGCACCACTTGCACCCTGTGGGCCAAGAGTGAACCCGCGAACAGGCTGCGAGAGACACTAATATCGTAAAAACATATCTTGTTTCGCTCTCATAAGATCAGTGGTTTTATTTCCTTTCGGCAATTGTCTTGAATGGTCTAAATAATTCTTCATATACTATTCATGCATATATTATCATATTGTTCATTAAAATCTTTGGCGAATTTCGCCTGCTATGTCCGTCCAAAACAATCTCTGTATATCAATTAAACGTTTTACCTTTTCACGGATTAGAAATGAACACAACACGAGCGATTACGTTTTAGTCAATTTTTCTCAGCTCTTCTTGTGTCTTAGAATCAATGATACTGAAATGGTAAAAAATGGAAAATGCATTTAATCTAAAATGAAATCCAAGTCGTGCAGTAGTGCGAAGGACAATAAATTCACTCACCAATTAGAACAAGAAGCAGACCAAGAAAGATGAATCCAAATAATAATTTAAGCTGAAGAAAAAACAAAATTAAGATTTTCAGCAATAATAATAGGCCTTATGCATAATGACGTAACAAGCCGTAACACAGAGAAATGTGGTCTTAATAGTCACGGCGCGAAATTTTGAAGTTTAAATTTTTCGGCGTGAAACTAGAATTCCCTGCTGGCGTCACGGCTTGATACGTCATTATTACCTGTTTAGTCGAATATTTTATTGTAAACGTATTATTTATTCCAACCCACTTACTTTCATATTTTGCCACCACATTTTTCTCTGTAACCTTCTTGAGCCGCGGACGAATTTGAAGGCGCTCATATCTAAATCCTCTGCAAAAAAAGGCATGCAGGGTGTAAAACTACATATTAACTATAGAGAAACCAGGCCTCAACAAAAACAATATAAAAAGGCTTTTATCATTGGCCAAGACAATCTGCTAAAAGAAAAGGATGATTAAAGTTTATCTTGTTCATTGGCATAAAAGCTAATAAGTTCATAGCGTGCAGGCTAATAAGTTCATGACGATGATGCCTGAACTCAGGCATGAATGTTTCGCCCAAATCATGGATTACGGAAAGTGTGCATGGCCAGGATGGTGGCTGCACATTATACCACAAAAAGGAACAAATGCATGCAGTAGAGAAATGTTTAAGGTGTTCGCAAATTATTTGCTGTGACGAAGTTTGCACAACATGTAGTGCATCATGTACCCAACCATTCATATATTACCTGTTTTATCCTGCAAATCATCTAATTTAGTTCCCCTGTCTAAAACTTTGCTCATATTATTTTGCATTGTCTTTGTAACAGTTAGAATATCTTCTTTTACTTTTGATAATTGACTGTCCGATGAGTTACTGTTGTGATTATTGTGACGTGACGAGGCTGGCCTGGCAGACGGAAGACCACTGAAATTAGAAGATGGAAGACCACTGTAAATAACTGTAATGAATGTGATTGTGTATTCACCTTGTCAGGGTTGGTATGGATACAAATGTTTAACATCCAATGAGATAGTAGGGAAGGATAGTTATAGGGAAGGAGTATGGAAGAAATAACACTTTTCATATGATTTGAAATTTTGGATATGATAAAACTTTCTATCACTTAGACAACTGTATCAGAAACCAGGTTGTTGAACAAGGAGATATGTAGTGAAAATTTTAATAAATAAAAGTTAGTTTAAAATGAGGCATCCTGTCTATGCAAAACCAGATAGAATAAAACCAGACCAGGTTGATAATTAACATGAAATAATTCTAATGGATTGCTGGGTATTTTTACCGAATATGGAGTCAACAAACTATGTCAATTCAAAAATCTATTGTATATATATAAATAATATTAAGACAAAAACTCTGGCCTGGTTTTGGCTTGTTTGGTTAATTTGCATGTAAACAGGGCCTCATTCATCTATAATTATTACATTTGCTCTTCTTCATCTTCATCACTATCTGACACTAAAAGAAATGCCTGAAATTAAAAACAAAATAAATTATTCCACACAACAACATGGATTGTACTCTCACATGAAACAAACATGAACCAACAAGTCAAAATGAAACTCCTTCTCAAAGCACTGATTGAAAAGTTTACTGAAACAGCAATTCCTCATAGATTCATTACTACAAAGCTTTTGGTCTGTCTGTGATTTCACTGATTTGTCATGCAATCAGTGTCAATATCAGCGTATTACATAATCTACAGTTTTGTCAACACCTTTTGGTTTTACCTACAATGACTTACCCTTTCTGAAGGTTTACCATTTTTGTTGCGGTTTCCATGCATTATCGTAGAGTACGAGATTCCTTTATATAATTTGACAGATTATTGGCCTAGCTAATTGTTTTTGAGAACTGATAACACGTTTACAAAATTACTGATGTTTAGAACAAGTCAAGAAAGACTTCTCTTCTATATATACGTTGATAATAGTAGTGAAAATATTTCAAAAAATATAACATTGTACAAAAATTGTATGAAATATTTTGCTATCAATGACAATGTTGTGTGTGACACTGTTAACTCGTGTCAATGAATGTTGTCACCAGTAAAAGAACATTCAATAGTATCATTCAAAATGATATGCATAGAAATTTATAACTTTCTCTGTCTCTATCAAGGCCTTCCCAACACTTCAAAAAAAAGTTACAGTATTTTTCTTATTTTTTAGTTTACTCGTGGTAACTGCAAAAAAAGGTTATGGAGTAGTTACAGACTGGTTATTTTAGAAAATATTTATACAGCAAGGGGTATGGTGTTAGCAATACGCGCCCTGATTGATGGAAAATAAGTTGGTCAGGTCAACTTCATGTAAGAGAAAAATATTTGTCCAGGCTAAAGTCCAAATAAAATCAAAACAAATCTTATTTTCATTCATTCATTTTAAATAATTTATTTTCCGGAGCGTCTTTGCTATATCTTGAAGTTAAGTGGACTATTGGCAGTCTCTGGAAGTTTGATTGCGAGGATTTAAAGCTTATTTTATGCCAAATTCCATTTGAAATTATTGCACAATGTCACAATTAGACAAAGATTGTTTGCTTTCACTGGATCGGTACGTCTCAGACGTTTTATCTATCAAAGCCAAAAGTGAAGAGAATATTGCGATTCGTCTTATCAGACTATTTTTAAAACTCTTGGAGTACTCTGGTCATGGAATTCCGTGGATAACTATGACTTTATATATGATATACACAAGCCTTGATATCAAAACGAGGCTGTTCTTTTGCAATTTACTTATGGCTCTACTTATTGATCTTGTGATCGTTGGACTACTTAAGATGCTCGTCCGTAGGCCTAGACCTGTGTATAACAAAGATGATATGTTTGCCACAGTTTCGGTTGATAGGTATTCATTTCCATCAGGGCACAGCACACGTGTTGTCATGGTTGCTGTGTTGCTTACTTCTTACTTGACAAACTCATTTTACATCAAGTTGGGGTTTATTTGGGCTGCTTTGGTTTCCATATCAAGAGTGGTCTTGGGTCGGCACTATGTCTCAGATGTTATGGGTGGGGTTATTATTGGTTATATACAGTATTTTTTGGTCGTCAAATACTGGATAACTGAAGAAGCATTGGAACGGGCTTATTATATTTTGAACTTATGAACAGAAATAGAATGGATTATAGTAATTATTTAGCTAATGAAAAGCTAATGTATATCAAAGGGCCAAGGTGATTTTATTAAATTTCTATTTTCTCTCCTATTACTTTGGGGTTTTATAATGCTTTAGCTCTAGTTCCAATTGCTACAGGAATGTAAACTAATGAAAAAGGTTATAATATATGATGTAAATTTCTCTACAAAAAAAGGGTATTGCGTGTAGAACTATACTGCAGCACCTCTAAAGAGGTCTATATTTGGTATTTTCAACCTTACTAAGAGTAATACTAGTATGGACCGAGCGAAGAAGGAGCGCGAGGTCTATACAAAAACCTAGGTCTAATATTTCACAGTATAGACTGAACACACAAGGTTATTATGTAGCTGAACTTGCATGAGACATCCAGAAAACTGGTCCATGCAGATACGGAATATATGGACATGGATTTTAGACCTTACCAATTAATATACCAAGATACCATATTCCTTGAATATATGACCATACCAATGTTGACTATACGTATTCTGGTATATTCGACGTTACCAAGGTAGAATATACCATATTCTGGACCAGGTCTGGTTTTTATGGACCGCTCGTCAACCAATCAGAACATTGTAATTGATTACGATCGCCGTTTACAATATTTAAAAGTGAATCGGCTTACAACAGGAATAGAAAAGATTGATGGTTATCCTTATCTTAGAGTTTCCGTTCATCTTTTTGGAAACGTCAAACGAGCACAAAAATACGACAGTTCCAAATGATATTGGAGTAAGCTGGTGACTTATTTCGGACTACATATTAATATTCAATTTAAAATCCAAACATCGTCACAATAGCTATAAATTGGGTCGCATAGCTTCCCTATTTCAACATCTCTTGAATAATTAAACCGCTAATTCCTTAATTCGTTTCATCTTCAAATCGTTTTTCATCTTCTGACAGATCACTATCCTCCACCTTGATATACACTGGCTCGGGTGGAAGGACTGGGACTCCTGTTATTGGGATGCCATGTTGTTTTCTAAAGTTGCTGTCATTATTAATCCAGGGTGATGTTGCCTCACTGGTTGTTGCAACTTCACGTTGTACGCTGTTCTGATCATTCTGACCGCCGTTTCTTAAACTCTATAAAATATCATCAGTTTCTTTAGCTATATAATTACAGTAAAATCTTTTTCCTGTCATAATAATTGCGAGTTCCATCAACTCTACAGACATGCCCTGATACAATGAATACAAATATGAATGCACGAGTAAAGTCTGACTAACTCATCTTTTTAACTATTTCAATTTTCAAAGCTGACAGGAGTGGTAGAGCAGTGGTAACGAAGGGGAGGGGAAAAACTGCCCCCGCCAGAGAAAGTTCAACACAAGGTCTGTACCAGTCTGGGCTGCGTCAGTGATGTTTCGTACAACACATTTGAAGTGTTGAGAACTGAGAAGTGTATAGACTTCTGTCGAGAATGGCAGGAATCTGCGACAAACGGCTTTGACATCTGTGTCTTAGAAAGACTTTTCATGCAACGGAAGGGATGTAGGGGAAAAGCTTATCAATTTTCATTGGAAACAACAGACTGCGCCCAAACCCACCTTTAATGTTTCTTGAAATGACTTGGTGTGTTTGGCACGATCATAGTGACTGGTGTCCTCCCTTACTAATTCTCTTCGACTTTTACTGCTTTTCTCCAACCTGTTCTGGTAAGCCTTATAACTGCCTCGCGAGTAACTCCCCGCCGAGCCCTCTGATTGGCTATCGCTTGGCCGAGGGGGAGTTGGTAAGAAATCTGAAAACTCACTACCACTGACAATTGAAGAGATCTCGGGCTCAAGATCACGTGACGTTGCTTCGTACTTGGCCGAACCCGATTCGAACGCTGGGAATTCTGATTTTTTGACCATCTTATAACGCTCTTCGTAAAAATCGGCATAATTCTCGCGTTCGGCCTTTGAAATCTCGCTAGGCGATGAAATCTTGTAATTTACTTTGGATCTATTAGGTGCAAAATAGCTGGGACGTGTTGATCTTCCATGATAGACTGAATTTTGTTGATGAGATCTACGAGGTCGACTGTCGGTGATGTAGACTCCTTTAAGAGATCCGAGTCTTCTGTCCTTCTTCTTCAGACTGCTTTTTGTGAAGCTTCTAGAGCGGGCCGAGGATCTATGTTTTGTTGCTCTGCGACGGTCTAAATGAGGGTGTATTTCTCTGTACGTTATAGGGAGACTCGGTCGAGATTGTTGTGGTTCAGTGTCCATTGGTTTCAGAGACCAGGTGTACAACACAGGTTTACGGCGTGGGAAGGTGGAGGTTGTAATAGATCTCTTGTAGTTCAGTTTAGAGTGGTTTCGTGGTAAAGATCTTACATGCCTTTTCAAAAGAACAAATATTCAGTTAGTTTACACAAAATCATCGATATAAGCCGGCACCAGTACTGATGAATTTAGTGGATTCCCATTATGAATAATATGAATATATTTAGTAAGAAAAATGTTGTGACAAAAGCACTGAATCGACAACAGAACAAACAAGAACACGAGGCACACACAAAAATGCATACATCAAACGTTCGAACTAGAGTGACGTCACAAACTATTTTAACATGTATTCCCTTCCCTCGAAATCGGAGCAACACAACGCTCATGATAATGCATTGTATCTATGCTAAACCTTGTATGGAGAAGGAATAAAAACTTTGTAAAAGAATTCTATTGAAACTCACCGCAAACTATTGTCATATCCTGGATTAACAAAAGCCTTGACCACAGCAACAGGTTGTTGAAAACGAACATTAGATACCACATCAGCATTCTGACCTACTTGATTATATCCAAGATTCGTGTAACTTTTAACAGCGTTTTGCGACGAAACATTCTTTGACGTCACACGTGATGTCATATTCTCAGAAATCTTTGTTGAAGTTGGCATTTCCCTCGGAACCTCTTCCAGGGGTTGTAAGCGTTCTCTTTGTGGAGGAGCCTGCATTGACCTTACATAATCACCATTGCTTTCATCTCGGCCAGCTTTCTGAACGTCAATTCTTTCAGACTCGTGAGTCTTAGAGAAGCTTTTGCTTTCCATATTTACATGGCTTGACATGGGACTCGACATTTGATAACCATTAAAATGAGTGCCCCTCCCGACACTTTCCTTCGATTGATCACCAGTACCAAGTATCTTGGCTTCATCAGTTTTGGCATTGTATTCAACTTTAGTTAGTTTCTCACCACTGTCGGTTTGATCCAAAATCTTAGCTTCACCAGTTGAAGCGTTGTAATGAACTTTTCGTTTACCATAATCTGTTTGATCCTTTTTTTCCCACTCAAAACGGCGATTTCTAGTTATGAAAGAGGAAATGTAAGACTATTGTTTACCCACGCGAGATCAGAAGGTATTACGACCAGCTACAGAAGAACTTCTCCTGGTACAACCCTCGTTATAACAGACTAATGTTACGTTCCAGGCTTCCAGCTATAGCACTAGAGGTTAGCCTGAGGTGCAGCAGCTGATAATCAGTGAACATGCACATTTGTGTTTGTTGCGATGTTTTGATCTCAGGTGAAAATACCTGTTAAAGCCGGCCAAGTTAAACTTTGCTGGAAGTTACTAATGGTAATAGTAAAACACTGGTCGAGTAAACGGTGATTAATCTTTCATGTACAGAATTTACCTTTTCAATGTGATCATGCAATTATCGAAAGTTGACAAATTGGGCCTGCATGCATGAGGAATTGTTTCGAAACAACACTCGTGATAGATTTCCTTTTATCCTGTTGTTATAACCAGGGCGTCTGTAAGATATCTTATAGACGCTCTGTTATAACAAAACCTCACTTTAATGCATATGTTCTCTTCACACCAAAGTGAGGCTTAGTAGTTAAAACAAAGCATAACAGAAACCTGTATTGCTCCTATTCCCACATGTCACAGGAACGATATAGTCAATACTTACTTTATATTCTTTTTTCGTCGATTTCTTTTTCGACAAACACAAACGAGCGCTATGATAATAGAAATTAAGATAAGGATAGCTGCGGCAACAATGACCCATAGTATTATTTCCCAGGTATCAGCCATCTTGAATCCTGTGAAGGTGAGAAATGATATGATTACGGCACTCCAATACGATCTCTGGTCTGGGACCTACGCTGTTACTTAATGGGATAGAATTCACGAAGAGTATAGTTAGAGCTATATAGGAAAAGGCTAAAGAGAGGTCTATGTAAATTTGCATGTATATGTATCGAAATCGATAGAATATAGAATCTTATGATACTGATAAACTGATTGTAGAAAAATCTAAGCTCTAGTTATGATTAAACAGTAATATTTAGACTTAATTCCCATAAATTACCAGGAATATATCAACATCAATGGATAACTACGGTATATAAAAAGACGAACGAAAGCTTACCTTTTCACGTTTATACGTTATTTTTACTGAAAAATATAAAGGAATCTTTGCAATCTCGGTTCTTAAAACTAACCGCAATCTATTTTGTTCGCTTTTAGTGTAGTTTATACATATTCTTAATTCGACACTTGAACTCCTTCAAGTGCTATCATTAAAATAAAGAAAAACGTTTTACTGGTCCTCAAGAATATTGTGCGTGTCAAGGCATTTCCTTATTAATATCGCTATTTAATTCATTCATTATTCGTTTCAATATATCATAGGCTCTGCTTATCACGAGAAATGCGGATATACACACTAAAACATCACATAATTCTGGGACCACAAATGCTCAAATTAAACTCTTCTAAGTCTTCTAACATGAAACAGGGGGGGAGGAATAGATCTAACGTGGACGTACTGTGTTAGCGCTAGGGGCAATAGCCAATATACAATAGAACTATTATCATGCTACTTTCTATAATAGATGAGATTTGACATCAATCTTTCATTTTGCTAATGAAAATTGTTTGTGTTTTCGAAATTCTATGCACCTGTTTCGAATGACTCAAAAAATGAGAAAAATGTTTTAAAATCATGAGTTTTTTTATTTCACATTAATATACGATTAAAAATTAGGATAGGGAATCGGGGGATAAAAAACTCGGTTTTGGGAATAAAAAAGGAGCATTTTCACGAATTTGCGCAGACCACATATTTCACTCGCCTTGAATATCTCTGGATAGGAAAGTTAACAGCTTTTCGTTTCGTAAAGCAAGAATTCGTCCTTATTATCTTCCGGAAACACTCGACGTTATCAATCGTGATTAATGTAGGAATTGTAATATCATTAATATTCAAGTCCTGTACAACAACATGCAACAACAGTCTCACGAACTTATTTTGGTCGAATATTATGTTTCCAAAATGTGATAGCTCTATTTCCCATTAGTGGCATTACTTAAGAGCAAACTTTCTTAACTCAGTAACTGAGCCTCACTCAGTTTCACATTTATTTTAATGCCATGCATCAACTCTGTAATTAAGTGAACAAATTTTCGTCGCATTACAAAAGAAGATTGTAGAATTCTCACACTTTATTACTTTTAAAACGGATGTTACAATTAGTTAGTTTCATTGTTCGCGTCCTGGTTCCCAAGAAGTGATATTGCAAAATATAAATGCACTCGGGATTCTGTCTGAGTGTTTATCAATCATTTCTTGTGGTTTTGACTGATTCGCCTGCTATAAACGGTTTCAGAAAACCGGGAAAACATACGTGAAACTTATTAAGAGGGACTTATTGCCAAAAACACTTTTGCTACAAGAGAGAACTCGACTGTAGAGTTGAAGCACAATGTTTATATTCAAACACGTTTTACTGCATCCTTGATTAGTTCTAGTAGCGCTAAAACAGAGCCTGCTACCCATGCAAGACAGCGGATCTAGTATCTCATGTAAGGTACGTAGCGTACTTACGAGTGAAGAAAATGGATCTGGGGACGAGAATGTGCGTTACTATTTTATATCTGCTAATCATAAGCAGCCCAGCAAAGAACCAACATTGTTTGCTAGGCTGCCTATGCTGCCAACAAGAAAACAGGCTGACCAACTAATCATTAGACTATACGACTTTAGTATAAACTGACTAATAGGCTATCACTTTTCCTGCGTTCTGATTGGCTACGCTACTGGTAGGCTATTAGTGATAGCCTACTAGTAGCAAAATTCAAAACAATGGCGGAAAATTCGCGTTTCGCCGAAGTATCTGAAGATTTTTTGGACGACTTGTTGGACAATTCCGTACCAGAAAAAACAAAAAAAGCAACAAAATACGGAATTGCAATTTTTAAGGGTAAGAAAATACATAAAAATAACGTATACTCAATTGAATTTTTATATTTAAACTGAATTTTAAAACATTTTACGCGAACAACAATTAAAATATTTTCTTCCTTTAATATACGAAATAAATTTCAGAATGGTTTGCAAGCCAACAAGAATTTTATATTGTGTTTCCTAGTTGTAAATTAATGTTATAGTTTATACTAAAACAATTAGACAACTCGGCCTCGTTGTCTATGAGCAAATAGTCAACTCGGCTTCGCCTCGTTGACTATTCGCTCATAGACAACTCGGACTCGTTGTCTAATTGTTAAATATGGAATAACTACACATCAGTAACGACAACAAATCTAATACAGAAAGTACTAATTTATTAGATAAATATATTAGGTATCCCTATCATGGCATATCATTTCTTTAATGTCTTTTTTATCGATACGAAGAAAACGAGGATCCAGACCTACAGAAAAAGCATTATTTTACGTTTAATGCACCAAACGTCAACAATACTCACACTACGCAATAATTACTAGAAATAAAACAAGATGGTTTATAAATCATGACATTTTCTGGCATATTTTTTAAAAAGAAGGGCGGGAACCTCGTGCCAATTCAGAGTATTTCTATTAGTATCATTAGGCTCTTTTTTAAAGTAACGAAATGTGTTTTTCTTCTTACATAGACGAGCCAAAGCCTTGTTTCTGGTTCATTCCAGGATTATTTTGTCCTCCAGATATACCACCAAACGAAGGCATATTAGATGGTATTGAACCAAATGTCAGGTTTGATGAGGAATTACTGCAAAGAGAACAATAACATGCATAGTCGAATAAAAAACTCTGACTTCTCTGACTGTGAGCAGTTATTGATTTTCATCACTTACCCAAACATGCCTGCTGCCTCTGTTCCCGAACCGAACACCCTAAATATTACGAAAAGATACAAAATTTACCACTTCCTGGGACCCCGGTTCACCAAATCACTCCAAATAATACAATGCAAGATAACCATACAATCTAAAGTAAACCATTCCTTACACTAACCATACAGTACCAGAAGGGTACCATTTTAATTACAAAAGCACACAAATCGAGTCTACCTTGATGGACTGCTCCCGGTATTTCCAAAAGGACTGCTTCCGAAAGCTGTTCCACCCATTCCTGATCCAAATGTTGATGCACTTCCAAAGGCAGGGGGGGAACCAAAGCTGGGTGCCCCACCAAAGGCAGGGGGAGACCCAAAACTAGGATTGCCACCAAAACTCGGATTAGCACCAAAGGTTGCGGTATTAGAACCAAACGATGGCTGAGTTCCGAATGAAGGCGCACCAGCTGAATGAAATACATATATTAAGACAAACGACACAAATATGAAGCAAGCCTTCTTTGTTGGTTGGATTAAATGCAGCTTGTTACCTGAGGGCGTCCCGAATCCTGTGGTTTCTACACCTGAACCTGAACCAAAACCTAGAAAATATATTTAGGAAGCATGGTAACTCTGACGATCGTAAATACGTGCATTGTATCTTTGAGGCATATTCGGGATGCTGGGATAATTTCTAAATATTTATAACTTACTTGTCGAACCAAATGCAGGTTTCATTGTAGATGTCTATAAATGTAAAAGCAAAAACAGATCTAAATTACGAACACCATACGCTGTTTCGATAATTGCTTCACCCAAGAACCTTGCTTACATTTAACGTAAGCTGTCTAGTCCTTCTATAAATGAGAAAGCGAGGCTCCAAAGTCATCCGGGAAGTAATTACACACAAAATTATAGTGTAATGAGTAACCAGACGTGGTATGTAGAGTTTAAAGCAACGCAAAATAACAAAATTACAAATTTTCGTACCTGAAATGGGTTCGAACTTGAAGTGGAAGAACTTCCAAACAAGCCAGAGACTAGAAAACACACATGCGCAGTTGATTAAAGGGAATAGTCCAACTTGTGAACAAAGACAGGAACCCATATATGCCCTAAACAGAAGCTTTTCCCAGACGTCCCTCCCTCCCTAACAATCTTACACCAAACATTCCCTTCAAGGTCAAATTCGATCGATTATTTGTTATATAAATGAAGTAAAAAAAATAAAAAATTCTAAAATTTGATAAGATGCTTTGGCAAATTTGGGGTCTGGGTCTACAAACATTTTCAAAAATAGTTGGGACACTTACGAACTAAAATCTACTATATGATGATTGTCATACATCTACCTCCCTCCCCTTCCCCCAATCAATGTTGCTTTCCAAAGACGTTTGCGAGCAAAATGTCCGTCAATTTGGGACACAACATTGAAAATATGGCGCGGAGGGGTTTCAGGGTTTGTGTTATAAATCAGTAATTTGGCAACCTGTCCCAACACTTTTGAAAATGATTGCAGTTTGTTCATTTTCCTGATAAAGCGATAATGATACAACAATAGCTGTGCACAATGATATTAATAGGGGGGTGGGTGTTAGCTTTGTGTGTGTCAATCGCGAATACTCTCTTTGTCTAACCTTGCGCCTGCGTTGTCGGATTCGCCGCAAATGGATTTCTGTTTGGTTCTATTGGTCCGCCGCCAAGACCAGAAAACCCCCCAAATCCAGAACCTATTTGAAAAGAAAAGTAATTTTATACTTGGTGAAACAATCAGAACGTTGAAAAAATATAAGTTTAAACCGTGTATTTGAACTCATCAACGATAAAGCAAACGACAAGGCATGATTAAACTGATCATCTATAGGAAATCGTCCTAAAATATGGCGTATTTTGTCTTTTACCGATATCGTAGTGCTGTGAATTATACGAGAGAGTTGACAGAACACAACGACATGTTCCTCAAACCTCATCCTCAAACATTCCTTACTTTCGTGAAAGCGTGCAAGATTCACCCAATGAAAGACAGCAGATAGAAGCAGATGCACATCAACTTTGATAAATGAGTGTACTGGGATTTTTGCAAAGCACTTATAGTGCAATCATCCACAAAAGTGAGAGAACACAGCTTGCCACCTTAGAAGGACAGCTGCTGTTTCCCCAGACCTATCCTATTTCGGGTTCCTACTTCGGTATGGGGGGGGGGGGGGGTGGTTGTATATTAGAACTGGAATATATGTATTAGAACAGTTAGGACCTACCTGTTTGAGGAGTGCTACCAAAGTTTGATGGCTTGAATGCGGGTGTGACAGTTGTCGCGGGAGGATCAATCTTACTTAGAGACGATTGAAATGGCTGCGCTTGTGACCCAAATAGTGTGGTGGTAGCAGAATTCATACCAAGATTAGTCCCGAAACTAAAAGTCGACGTAGAACCCACAGGCGGTGCTACCTGGCTCTGGCTTGTAGTTTCAACTATTGAAGGTTTATCGACTTTTGCAGTTGCTATCGATTTAATTTCACTTGTGGTTTCATTGGAATCGATTGTACTACTCAAATTGTCATTTGCCGTTTGTGGGGGAGGCTTTGGTTCGGCAAATGTTTGTTTGGCAGTAGTTGTGTCAGACGTTGTTGTTGCCGTTACCAACTTAACTTGGTCGAGGGTCTGGGTGTTTGGAGCTGAATAAAAAACCGATGGTACGTTATTTCAAGCTATTTAGAGAAGGACAATTCAGTTTAACTTACCTGTTGTGGTCGAAGGAGGGGTGCTTGTCTGCACCGGGGGTGTTGTTGTAGAGGATGGAGGCGATGTTGGAAGGGACTGGGGTGATGCTGTATGAAACGGAGCAGATGTTGTGAGAGGTGCAGTGGATGTTGTGGAGGGCGGAGATGTTGTGTGGGGTGGAGCAGTTGTGAGGGGTGGAGCAGTTGTGAGGGGTGGAGCGGTGGTTGTAAGGGGTGGAGCGGTGGTTGCAAGGGGTGGAGCGGTTGTGAGAGGTGGTGCGGTTGTTGGAAGGGAAGGAGAAGTTGTAAGAGGTGGGACAGTTGTTGCAATAGACGAAGGAGATGTTGTAAAGGATGGAGGTGTGGTTTCTGGAGTGGAGCTAGGATGGAATGATCCCGAGGGAAGAGTAGCAGTGAAGGGGGGAGGGGTCATTGTAAGTCCTGAACCTTGCGCTTTTAACCTTTGCGAGGGTTGTGATTCAGCTTGAGTTTTAAATGAAGATGTAATATCTGGTTGAGTGTTCCCAGGTGCAAAAGCAAAAGGACCAGTCGCGAAAGGGGCGGTGAAACCAGCCAATGAAGATTTCGTTGCGGTGTTGGGACTACTTGATTTTGGTGGTGGTGGTTGAGTTTTAGTCCCTGTTGAAACGTTGCCAGCCGTAGCAATATCTTTGTCTGATTTTCCGATAGTAGCCTATATTCATTAATTCAATTTCAGATAGGAAATGGGATTTTTACACGAAACATAACGTAAAGTAAATGAACAATAAATCATTTATCACGAGAACCGTGTAGTTTTATCGAACTTTATCATGATAAGATCATTGATAATTATGTCACCTGTCTTTGAGCAGTTAATACATTCACAGGTTGTTTACTCTCGCCCTCAGGCTCTCCTCTCTCAGGGACAACGGCCGACTCGCCATCGTCTACGCTCGTTCTTGTCAAATTATCTTTTCCGCCGCCTGGAACCATTTGTGTGCTCGATGTATCGTCCTGCTTACCGCTCCCAGCACCTGGGAAACGCACAACGAAAGTTTCGATAACTCTTAATGTAATAATCATACATCCAGTGCAATATGATAAAGAGGCAGGAGGGGGGGGGGGTGTTCTGGACAATAACACTCACTCCAGTATATACACAAAACTAAATATTCATAACTAGGTACTGATTTCATCACATACTACCTATAAATTTGAACTCGTACCCAAATTTTGAGCCCTCACGCACCCTTCTTGCTGGCCTTGGCTGAATTCACTGATATACAGGTTTTGCCAACCGTATTTTTCAGTTTGCCTGTGCATAGGTCTCTACGTTGTATTCAATGATTGGTGTTTAAAGTTTCCTTAATTCCCGGGCTTTGCAACACGTTTCAAACCTACCTTCTTCTCGCGCTGGCGACTGCACCACCGAGGTACTTTGTTGGCTTTTACTGCCACCACCAAAAGACGGTACGCCAGTATTACCAAACATCATATTACCAGTACCAAACATTGTACTAATACCAGAAGTATTACCACTACTAATTCCACCAGTAGCACCACCTAACACTGGCGAAGTTCCAAGACTGGCATTACCAAATGGAGACTTGAAAGAAAAGCCAGAACTTGGCAAACCTTTTCCAAAACCGCCAATGGATGGAGTTACCTCCTTATCCTGACTTTCCGACTGAGAAATTATGGATTTTCCTGGAGGTAAAACAGGTTTTTCTTGCGGTTGTTGAACAGGTTTTCCAGCTGGTAAAAACTGATTTTCTCCAGGTTTTCGAATACCGAATGTTCCATTGGGTTGTAAGACCATAACAGGAGGACCCGAAGACTGGGCGGTGCTCGCCGAAGATCGTACGGTAAATGTCGTCGCTGTGTTCGATGGCGGAGTTTGCGTGACATTTTTCATTTTTTTCTCAGCGTCTTTAAGAGCTGCGTCTGCGATCAATCGGGCATGGTGGTCAGCGTTCGGATCTACAGTAACGAAGGGAAAGTTGTTACAAGTAAAGTCTGGTTGTGAACGCAAGTCATTTTCAATGATGAGAAATAGTCCGGCTGTAAATTTGTCTTTATTTCTGTATTCGAATCGGTCATTGTTGACTGCACACAAACAGAAATATTCTATCACATCAACCACCCTGACATTTTCACCACGACATAACGGAAATCAGGCATAACGGAATACATGATTTTCCAAAGAATATCTTAGCCGATGATAGCTTACAAGTAATCACAATATATTATACATACAGAGGGCGTGTCGCTATTTGCTGCCCAAGATTTTATTGAAAATATTTTGAAGATTCATGGAGAATATTTTGATAGACATCAAGGGTACATTCGTGTACGTAGATCGTTTAACCGAGTTTATACAACAGCAGGAAAAATCAATGGTCTGTCGTAGTCGGAGTATTTTCTCGCAATAAAACGTAAATGGTTGATGGTTTTCTGTTTCGTCCTTTGCATGTTATTTACGTTTGTCTTAATTCTACACAACGATACATACGAGCAGCGACTGGTTATTACCTTTTCCAGAAATATTCTTACTTCCATCTTTCGCCTTGTATTCAACCAACGTTTTGGCGGGAACAGAAGCGCCTGAGTCTAGCTTACTTGAGCCAGCGGACGCACGTGCAATGGCAGCGGCTGCAGCAGCTTCCCGAGGTAAAACACCGGTGCTTCCAGTGCTTGGTTTATCAAGACTGGGTGGTGCAAAACTAATCTAGAATTGGTGAACAAGGTTGGGCGTTAGAAATAGGGGTACAGCGTAGCATAATTGGTTGCATAGAAATACCGTGTTTTGAAAATCAATATCCTGACCTTGGACGTTGGGACATGAGTTGGCTGATGAGGTTTTTCTTTGGACAACTGACTTGTAATAAAAGTAGCAGGCTTGGTTTGAATAGTCTCTGAGGTGGAACCCCAAGAGGGAGATGATGTGATACCAACGGAAAATGAGAAGTTACTCTTTTCTATGAAAAGATAATATTGGGAGAGTTCGTGAGAGACTCGGGAGGTTCGTGAGAGACTCGGGAGAGTTCGTGAGAGACTCGGGAGAGTTTGTGAGAGACTCGGGAGGTTAGTGAGAGGCTCGCTCAGGTAAACCTCGGATTTAAATTGTGAAGTGTAACTTGAATGAATCGCGCAATAGATTATACACTTTCTAACGCTATTTCCTAATTTTGGGTGGTACAATTGATTTGGCAATATAAAACTGATAAAGCTTTTTCGCCTGACATTTGAAGAAAATTACTATTTTCATTATACCTCCAAATCCAAATTTTGGCGTACTGTGGGTCACAGACTCCGTTTGTTTCCACGTGTTTTCGCTTGTTTTAGGCCAAGGAATCCGACTTGGTGATTTAGAGGGTAACTCATTTCTTTGATTACTCTTTATTGAAGACTTCTCCTCTTTCTCTGGCGTTTCCTCAGCTTCAGAAGAAGCGTCAGGCTCAGTGGATCCAGCTGATGAATCACTGCGCGATCGCCAGTTAGAAACTTAAAACAACAACATAAGAACAATGATTATAAATAACAAAAATAATTTTGCATTCATCCCAGTCCACACACTGTCAACATCGCCCGGGGGGAGGTTAGTGTACAAGGAGAACTGACTCCTGAGAACAACGAAAAGGTACATGCAGTATAACTATTTTCTTTGTGGTTTCCTGCAGAGTTAAAATCAGACAATTAAGAAGTTCTTTTTTGCTTTCAGTGAGATCAGTTGATAGAGCAGGACTTCATGTAAGTTACAGTTTTGCCTATGAATATTGTTTCCACTTACTGAAGGTGGTTTTCTTCACTGGGAAAGTAGTACGTTTAGACAACATTTGACGCAGCTCTGATTTTTTCCTTGCGGATACATTATCTGCAAGAAATGATTTTAACGGAATTACAAACAAATGGGTGACTACCGGAAAGAATATCGCTTCAACAACGTTAACGTGTAAAGAGTGTATGTCAATGATAGAACTTAAACTGTCCTATTGAAAATTTAGCTCATCGAGACTTGTTCGATATTTTCCTTACTTGCATACTGATGTACGCGTTGTTCAAGCAATAACCAACTCACTCAATTACAGTACGTACCAGCATTTTTCGCACTTGCATTCAATTTCTGTTTCCTCAAACGTTCAGAAAGGGACGGAACCTCCTCACTAAAAGAATTCTCATGATAAGATGGCAAATGATTTTCTCGTTGATAACAAACAGTGAAAAAATACCAGGACTGCATGTGCGATTCGCGCATGCATAAGTTCATAGACACTCTTTACTGGGAATGTTTTCAAAACACAAACTACAGTAATAAATAACTCAAAATGTAAAGTGTAAACACTGGTCAGGTACATGAACATAATTATAACCTTTCGGATGTCGAGTCTCTCTTATCGTCCCATTCACTTCTTCTGTGACTTCTTCTGTTTACACGATTTGAAATTTCTTCTAGTTGCAAAGACTGTAAATGAACGAACAAAACAACAACACAACATTAAGCGTATCCCACCTGTGAGACCAAAGTACATACTGATATAGTCCCACCACCGCAAACAACAAGGGTAATAACAGCTCCAGGTTAAAAGCCAAAGGTTTCAACAAACCTGATTTTTAACAATATTTCTATTTTGTCTCATATTCTGATAAATAGTGTCCAAACTTGGCGATTGCATAGACCTTGGAAAACAGAATTCACATTCAAAATCCTTTACCAGCAGACAATTCAAAAAGTATAAAATGAAACATACTCCGATAAACAAACACATCTTGCAAAATCAAGATTTGAGTTATAAGAAAAACAAGATGCAATTATGTTTTCAAAATATATGACCAATTGAATAATTGCGTCTTGTTTTTCTCATAACTTAAATCTTGAGTTTGCATGGAAGATGTCTTTGTTTATCAGAGCATGTTTCATTTAATACTTTTAGAATTCATAAAATATATATACAAAATATAGATTCTCCTTTTTTACTCAAGTATCTCAAATAGGACTCTACACGAAATTAACTATGTCTGTGATAATGTAACTCAAAACTGTACTAGAACTTTGCTTGGGACAAAAAATAGTAATTTACTCGTGAGACCAACCTTGTTTGTTTATTTTTCTTGTCCCACTGTTCATCCAATGCCATGTTCACTTCCCTGGGGAAAGTCAGAAAGGTTATCGTAAGTGCCAGCAATTGGCTGTCCGGCAATTCATGATAGTCTTTGCAGAAAATTTCTATATCTCATAGGAAATATTTTTAACACAAATTGATAACCCAAAAAAGAGGTAATTAGATTGTGCACAAAATATTCTTTGCTGAAACTTTCACGTGCGTCTGGTGATATACGCAAGAAAATATTTTAAGATTTTGCTGTTAAAAAGCACAACGATATTTCTAAGTCCTTAAACCGGCTATCCATCGTGTCTACTGAACTTTTCTTTTTTTCCTATTATACACTTTGTGAGCAGACAATCACCTTAACGTGTTGTCCAGGAGGAGGTAGGAAGAACGAATATCTTTCATTTTACGTTCAGAGCTAGGATCCAGGCCACGATTCTAGGGGGAGAAAACATTGACGTCATCATGGGACGTTGCACGAATATAATCAGAGAAACCATAGGCAGCGCAGTCGAAGACTGATTATAAACAGATTTCTGGGCTGCCTATGGAAAAACGTGATTTAAAAGACAGCGGTTTATATCACTGATCTGTTGTTACTTTGAGAAGCTGAAGATATCGTGGATCTTTTGCAGTATTATCACGAGTCCTAGAAAGAGAATATTAAAAGCTCGTTAATTTTTTATACGACCCCCCCCCCCTGTGATTCAACTCCTGCACGTGATTTGCCGCAGGCATCTCAGGCTCCCGTACTCTGGAGTTATGGTAGCATATTTTGGCTTCTTTAAATACAGAAGACAGGTAAATAAAAACGGCATGAAGCAGCATATCGTACTGTCAGCCGAAACAGCATGCAAGTTAAAAACAAAGCAAAACTTGAAAAATTTATAAGAGCTTTAAAAGTTATTTTAAACATACATATTCACGTTCTACATAAATAATAAATATATTTAATTTATTATTATAAAAAATAAAGACACATTATGTTACTGCTGCTTACTTTGCGTCCTCCATTAGTTCAAAGGCATTCAGAAGTGCACCCTTCTCTCTATTGATATCGTCTTTCAAATCCTGAATAGAAAGCTACTCTTAGGCTATGTGCACACGAGCATTTTCAAAATCGTTTTTATCTAGTTTATCGCTGTGACGTCCTGTCCACGCGATCCAAGGAAAAATATGCCGAATATGTTAAATGTTGATACAAATGAGAACGACGTTTCGATGTTCCAATAAAATAAAATTGCAATCGCTTTCATTTGTATCAAAATGTATTACGAAAGCTTTCCTTATATGTTAAATTAGCTTCAAAAAAGAAGACGGTAATATGTTTGACAAATACCAACCTCAACAGCATTTCTCACTTGGTTCATAAACCGCCTGTGGTTATTAACTTGCTTTGATATTTCGAGACTATCGAGTTCTTTTAATGCCGCATCTAATTTTCTCAGATTACCATATCTTTTCCTCGCTTCCTTCATTTCCGCGTTAAACGCTTCGACCTTCAAAAAAATGGTTCGTTCCTTTAGCGAGTGATGTTTGGAATGAGCTGAGAAAAAAGTGTTTTGTAAGTGTATTTCTTAAACATACTTCGTCTTTGATGTGTTTGTGAATGGCAGCTTCTAGTTGTTCCTGCTTTGACGGTGATGCCTGAAAAAAGAAAATTTACATTTTGAACTAATATGAACTTTAGTTTTATTTATTTTTACATCTCGTGTGCAGGGCCGGATATTTCGCTTCTCTTAAGGTGACCTTTCCACCAATCGAAATATTTGTATATTTTCTTTTAAATTTTGACAAGGTAAATAAATTAGTTCAGCTTGACTCCTTTCATTAAAAAAAACAAATATTTCGCTAGCGAACTATTTCTTTGAAAGTGGAAATCCAGCCTAAACAACAGGGCAAGACACTAGCTTGTTGCTTCGTTTCCTTACGAACTACCGTATACAGTTACCCCAGCAGCTGGACGTGACGAGGGTGTTTGATATCTCAGAATGGTGGTAAAGTCATCTAGGTTTGTAGCAGTTACTGTCATACGAGATAGCGGTCAACTAATGCGATACATTATTACGTCATGTTACATTGAAGCAGCTCATACTCATATAATAATGTTAACAGACTGCAAAGACAATCGATTTCAAAATATTTTGGTCACGCACAATATGAATATATGAATATGGCTTTCCCAATAATCGATGCTGGCTAAGCCACTGCATCGAAGAGCCAAGTACCTTTGATGGTTGAGGCTTTTGCTTTGGTTCAACTTTACCAGACAAGACACCATCCCTTTTAACCGCTGCTTGTGTTCCTTGATTTGAAGCTTGTTGAAATGCTGGTGGTTTGATAATAGTCGACTGCTGGGTTTTAATTGTAATACCTTTTGTATCTGGAGTCCTGGTCGTTTGCAAGTTCCCAGGTTTAGCAATACTTGGCCCAGTCTTTATAAGAGGTTTCTGTTCGTTCGGTTTTGTCACCCCCAGTCCCCCTGTTGACGGCTGCGCAGAAGACTGGGCAGGCGTGGCCGAGGGTCGAACGTTCAATGGTCCAGAATTAGAAAGACCAGAACCCTAGCATACAAAGCAATTTTGCGAGCCGATTGTTAAATAATAAACTTATGTTGTTATAGTAAAACAGTATATATTCTCATCAACAAAAACAACAGCAGCTTAAGAGACCTGATACAATGAAATGAAATACTTGAAACTTATCGAAAGCATTGCACACACAAAACATAACAAGACACTCACGAAGTTGGGAGGTCCCTTGAACTGGAACATTCCTGTTGGAGCTGGTTTCGCAGCAGGGGGAACGCCAAGAGGAGAGAAGTTCGACAGAGTTCCTGGGACGACGGGGAACCCCGACAAGCTAGCACCAAAACCTTTTGACGGGTCAAATGTAAGGGGTGTGGTATTGGAGACTGCTCCAGCTAGGGGATTGGATTCGACTTGAGATGGTTTGGTGTTGCCTAGGAGTGTAGGGGGTTTAGATGTAGTAATAGGGGTGTTAGTTGTCGAAGGGGGTTTGGATATTTGAGTGAAAGGAAATGTAGGTGGCTTGGATGGCTGTGGTGTAGTAATTGATGGTGCTCCAGTAAGAAATCTGGATCCAAGTTGGGCTGGATGAATATTGTCTGGGTTTGCAGAGGATTTAGTTGTGGTAACTGGAGCGCTAGTTGATACAGGTGGTTTGGTTACTTGGGTGATAGGAGGGGCAATTGTCTTAGATGCTGGGGTAGTTTGAGTAGACGGAGTGGTAAAGTTAGTTGAAACACCTGAAAAAAAATAAACTGTACCGTAACGACGGAATTAGAAGAGCTCATTTCAATGATTAAATGTTTAGTTCTCCCCTCAATTATGGCTGCAAAATATATCTAATGTTCTGGCTTTGATGTTACAGTTATTTACTTGGAAGGCATTACCATCCAACATCTATAGTACCGGGTGTCCCAAAAAAAAGTACCTATTTTTAATTCAACATAACTTATAAACGAACTAAAGAATTACAATCAAATAATCCATGTGTAGTTGAGTAATGTCTAACTTAAAGTTTGATATATTGCATATGAAGTTTGAGCAAGCGGTAACGTTTTGAAATGTGTCAAAAATCAGCAAAAAATGGCTTGTTAAATGCAACAATCCGATATCTACAGGGGCAATTTCCTGGTCGACTCATGAGTAAACGCGGCGATTGGCCATGGCCTCCACGCTCCCCTGACCTGACCGTGTGTGATTTCTTCCTCTGGGGCTATTTAAACAGCAGATTTGGGAAGTTCCTCATGACCAACAACCTCAAAACTTGGGAGAACTTCGCGAGGCGATTGTTAGGTCATGTCGCAATTTGGACGCCCACATGATTCAAAGGTCTTTTGATGGCATGCTGACACGGGCAAGAAAGTGCGTTGCTGCTGGTGGACATGAATTTGCAAATGAATAAGAACAAGTAAAAAACGAATTTTAAAAAAACAACCAAAAAATAAGTTACAAGATACCATGTTACGAACCGGTATTGTTAACACAAGTTTAATAGGCCATTTTTTCCTGATTTTTGACAAGTTTCAAAACGTTGCTACGACTTTAAACGCGAATATCTCAGATACTACTCGTTCAAACTTCATATGTAATATATCAAACTTTAAGTTAGACATTACTCCACTTAATATGGATTATTTGATTGTAATTCTTCAGTTCGCTTACAAGTTATGTTGAATTAAAAATAGGTACTTTTTTTTGGGACACCCGGTATACTGCTGTGGTAGTCAAAGACGACGTTAAATATCTGATTGTTTATGATACTTTCAAATAACTGATCACAGTAATACACAATTAACATAAAGAATGTTCGAGTGAACAGTTGAAAATTTTAAGGAATTTTTCACATTTCAGCAGCTGGTCTGATTTCAGACCTCTGCTTACCTGCAGCTGGTAAACGTTCTCCGTCTAACACCAGTGGTTGGGGAGGACGACAGAGTTCTATGGATAACTTGGGATTCTTGTTTACAATATAAAATGGACAAAGTACACCATCCGTTGTTAGGAGAAGCAGAATCGGCGTCGGTGGAAATGTTTGGTCATCTAAAACGCGAAGCATTAAAAATCAGATTGGCGAACGGCATGTGTACTGTTGAACGTAGTGTCAACTGTACCTTGTTCCAGCGGTCTGGTGGCGGCAAATGAGACAGCAAGACCTAATGAATACGTGTCGTCACTGTTATGTGTCGTTGGCAGTGAAACTCGGCCTGAATCCGGGAATGTCCACTTGGCCCAGGGTCCCTGAGAAACAGTTAACAGTGATCAGATCGGAAATGTACAATAATTGATGTGTTACAGTATATCGCCAATTGTAGTTATATGTATGCATTGCCGACTAATCACGCTGAAAAATCATTGGAATATAACTGGTATGATGTGGTTAAAGATTCCAACGACCGCAAAATTCATTCATTCAAAACAAGAATGATTCACAAACCTCATCCGTCTGGTGGATTGTAACCATTTCAAAAGAACAAGAAAATACTGACAAAACCAGCCTCCTAAAAAAGAAAAAAACCCGCGGGAATTTTAATATGCAGTATGTTGGTATTCAACAACTAGAATATAGATGTTTTAGCGAATTTATTCTCCGTCTCGTGAAAAGTCTATTCAACAAACAGTCCTTCCCATTTCCATCATTCTTGGCACTTTGACTTTGAAATACTAATATAACTACTAAATCGCTACAATACGTAGAATATATACAACTATAGTGTCTAACCATTCGGTGAGATAATTAAGATAAAAACAAGCTTCTCGTTCTTCACCCATTCCATAATAGACATCATCAAACACGTCAAATGACGGTTGACCATTTTTCTATTTAAAAAACGGAACATGTTTGAGTTTTCTCCAATCTCGCCAGGTCAGGGAAGCTGTATGCAGGGATTTCATTTTCACTTTCCACACTTAAATTAAGTGTAGATGGAAAAAAAGAGGAATGTGGACAGTCATGTGAAACAGATAACGTAATTGGGTGAAATCCTGCACTGAATAAAAACCCCTTTTCACGAGAGCTGATATCAATGAAAAAAGTGTAAGGAAAAGTGGGTTGTATAAAAAAAGCCAGCAAATTAGATTGCAAGTCTTTCAAGTTGAATAAATTTAAAGTGTGCATAGTAAGTATTCACAAGCATAGTTCTTACTGGTGAATTAATGATTATCAAATAAGATGCATCATCATCATCATCACACTCTGTGTAAACTGCACCAAATTGATATGTAGATATCCAAACCAAATCAGAAACTAGCAAAATATACAAACAAATACCTTTCCAGCAACTTATATGTTAGACATTGCAGTAATCTGTAATCTGTACTTTTTAATACATATATTCATATAATACACTGTATATCAGTACCTCGACAAGGTTTTTGCAAAACTGTTGGAAAAGGGATTTCTCGTTTCTTTTGAAATTTCTAAAAAGGAAACATGTTAAACACATTTAAGTCAGATTTCACCATTACATTGAGCATTCACAGTAAAGACATGAAATCAAGTGTTGTAACTTGTAATACCATGTCAAATTGAACAAGAGAGCCATCTCTCAATCCTGCAACAATCTGTTTGCCCTTTGGACTCCAGGAGACTAAAATGTGCAAAACAAATTGTTGAAGGTTTTCAAGGTATTTTGCTCCAATTTTTTTTCCAAGTTTTTTTAAGAGTTAATATGATAAATTCATACCAGCTGTAGCAGGGCCTTTAAATGTTGCATCCACATTGGCGACAGTACCATTTAACATAATCATCATTATTTGTCCATCAGTTAACAATACAGCAACAATATTAGGATCACCAGGTCTCCAAGCTATTTCTCGCACCCTAACATCTAAATAATCACCAACGTACATTATGTATTCAATGACATAATATTCCACTTATATATAGATCTAACAGGTGACTATGAATAGAAACTGTCACTCATAAAAACATATGATAGTTTTTCCACTAAAAAGTTTTGCTAATTTTTTGGCCTAAACTGACTGGGTTATGCCATACATACCAGACTTTCCTGAACATAGCACTACTTCAGAAAACAATTTCTTTGGTGATTTCTATTGAGAATGTGAGAATAATATGTTATAACAAGTTCAATTGTGCACTATTTCAGGAATATCACTTTTATTTAAAATATTGTATGTATGCTAGCTTACTGTGGAAAAGAAAGCACGGACATCAACAAAGCCAAGCATGCATGCGCTATCACGTTCAAAGCTGACAGCCAATGTAAGATCATCACATGATAAGGCAATATGAGAAAATGGATGACCAACATCAACACTGGAAGAAGGAAAATTTATCTCTACAAAATAATAAAATGAAAATATTTTTTGAAACTTATTTTCCAATTACATATTACCCTACTATATGATTTTCTTGATCAAGCTGCAAAATTTTTATTTTGCATGCACAATATTGATCCAAAGAAGCTTCTGCAAAATCTTGATGTGTTGAGTAGGCTTTAGTAAGACAAACTGTAGGCTGGGATAGTTTTTAAAAATAACTGATGATCTTTAAACAAACTGACACTGAACTGTTAAATTATTACCTTCAACCTGAAGGCTTCCTTGGACTTCCACGAACAACTTTTCAATCGTCTCAACCTTTATAGCTCTAATATCTAGAGAAAAATCCAGGTCAACATTACATGATTTTAATAACTATTAAATTTTGAACAAAAATAGGACTAACTAAGGTATAGTAATAGGACTATATCTAAAAATATGCTTGGTTGCACAATTTTCAGTGTTTTGAGGCAGTTAGATTCATAAATTTGACAAAAACAAATAGTATTATACTTCATCTTATGGAGTTTAAACTTAAAAAATTATTTATCTTTATATTCTGCATGAGGTTTTGATTGATGCTTTTATCATGCAATCATGTACATGCCGCCAAACTAGAGTGTAACCTCTATATTTGCAGCTATATGCATGGTTTAACATAACAATTCACATACTGTTGTTATCCCCAGCCACATAAACAATTCCATATTGATTTGAAACTGCAAGCAATGATGATCGAGCAGTAATCAAATCTTGAGGGGATTTGAACGTTCGCAATTTTCGCATCTGCTTGTAGAAAAAGTCCTGCAATAAAATGTGACCGAGTTTGTTAAAAAAAATTGTGAAACAAACTGCATATGAAAAGATGGCCACTATAGGAATTCTGCTTGAAACAAATTTTATTATTGTATATGTTGTTTTCAACATTTATTTCTTTAATTCTTTTGAAATCAATTCATTGAAACAGCGTACAAATCTACAAAAATCAACCTATACACTTTGACCACCACCTGTTGTATAAAACATATAAGGAAACTTTTTACACAATGTTTAGAGCATGATTATTATCTATTTACAGTGCACTGCAGGCTCCATAAAGATTCGTTTATCTATTTTTACTTTAAATTTCTGCAGTAAGTCTGTATAATATTCGTTTAATGCAAAAAATTCTATAATAGAACTTGAAAAAGTTGAATTAACGGGTCTGCAATTAAATACCAAATACATACCTTAACCTCAACTTCCTGCGGTAGGGAGGCATCTTGAGACATGTTAAAGAACTCATAAAATAAAAACTTCTGCACAATTTACAACTCTTTAGACTTCACAAAAATTAGAAACTTTGAGCAAAAAACAGCGCTTTGAGTTGTATGCTGAGCCAGCAAACCTGCATTTTGTCGGGTACTTCATGTGCATCAGTCCTGTTGAGTCGTAATAAACAAGCTTTTTTCAGCTTTCTTTACTATTTCTATATTATATTTTTTCTATTACAACCTAGTGCTACAGGCAGTACATTTTTTCTTTAAGAATATAAATTACATACTTATTCAGTTATTTACAGATATTTTGTTCAAAGCAGGAAAATATATTACACTGTTCAAACAACTGCAAACCCCCCCCCCCCCCTAGGAATTTCTGGTTTTCTATGAAAACCATTGTTTTTCTTCCATGTGAGAAACTTTGACAGGATAGTAATGTTGTTGAAAAGGAAAATTCTGTTCTTTGCAAGATAAAACCCAGGGAGGGGATACAATTGCAGTTGAAGTTAACTTGTACTGTTATTTTCAATGTCACTAGTTCAATCCAATTTCATCAATGCCATCACCTTCGCTTACCAAAGCTCTTTCAAGAATAACTCTCCCTTCCTAATGTGTATAGGTCAGGGTTAGTAAAGTCATTTCCATTGTTTGAATAGTTTCAATGCACAATGCTTATATACCTTATAACGTTGGGATTCCACAACAGCATATTCCTGAAAGAGAATAAAGATATTGTACTTATCTGTCACACAAATATATGAATATTTACTATGTACATAATTGGGATAACAATTTGGCAAAAATACTTACATACATCCAACCAAGTTTTGCATCACATTTCTTACAGGAAACATCTCGAACCATATGCCTTCCTGTTAACTGTTGAAATTTAAACTTGAATATGAATTTTTTAAATCATGAAGTGTCTAAATCATATATCAATGAGTTAAATACATAATACCATAGGCAGCCCAGAAATGTTTTATTCTTATGGTGCTGGTGCGTGTATGTGAGTTTACTCGGTGTATAATAATAGACTGAGTAGTCCTGGGCTGTCTATCATAATATTGGAGTTTTGCCCATTTTGTTTCAAATATTTTTGCCTGTCCACTTTTCTATGTATGTAATTGGTCAGATTAATTGGCTTTTTCAAATATTGGTGACAACTATTCAAAATTTGGGATAAATGAGAAAGTGTAATTGCTTCTGTATTTGAGCATACAACAGAGTGAATAAGCTAGGCATAGAGAAAGCCTACTTAGATTTTAATGATCACAACTTAAATTACCATCATTCTGTCTTGCACTTCACTGAATGTAATGTTAACACTGAAACAAAGTAATGACAGATATAAGATGAACATTTGACAAACAGAAAATGTATTGTAAAAATAACTCAACTTAGTTAAATAAAGAATTATTTATAAATACTCATAATTCATAAACATAGGTAGATTGGAAAACTTGTATCGTATTTCTTTATGGGTCACAGAGTTTGCAAGTTTTAAATTGTCACATCCTCAACTCCCTCTTAGAGGGATTTACCCTATGCAATTATGAAGGAATTGCTCAACATTGTCAGTCTTTTGGACTGTGGACTATGCCACTGACTATACCTTTGTTTGCCTCATCAGTCATCACCTTGACACATCTAGCCTGAGACTACGATTATAAATTATATAAATACGACCACAACTAGGACTATATAAAAAAATTCAAGGTATTTACGTCTTTCACTTACACTTTATTAAAAAGAAATGCTCTTCCTGTGGCTCCAGTGAACCTCTATAAAGACACAGAGTTCGTTTATACAACCACAGTATCGGTGTGATATCAAATAAGACTTGTCATTTTCGACTCACCATAGAAATTAGTTGAGATTTATTCGTCAAGACGGTGTCACACTTCGCACATGAATACAATCTTACACCGCCTGGGTGTTGTAAAAATGTTTTCCCCATTTGAAAAAGTAATATTGATAAAAACTCGTGAACACTGATTTCAAAAAAGAGAAAGGAGTTGTTTATCAAATATTCTTAATTTTTTTCTACGTCATTACGGTACTTCATGTAACATAGCACACTTTTATGATTTTACCATTGAACTATATAACTCTTATATAGTTCAATGGATTTTACTAATGGTGCTGACGACGCGATTTTTTTCGTACGATTTTGGTCGGCCGATTTTAATAAAACATGAAACAGTGCCGTTGAGAGTTTTACATGTATATAAACGTTAATAAACTTATTTATATTTAAAATTGCACTTTTATTTATATGGTATGATATTGCCTTTAGCTTATATTTGTTACAAGTTCAAACCACTGTCTTAAAGAGTCACTCAATGTGTCAGGAAGAGAACTAGTATCGCGCAAAACTATATAAAATGGGAATGGAAATTGTTCAATATATGACTTCAGTTCGGGAAGTTGGTTGGGGCGAAATATAGGAACTTTGATATCAAGGACGGAGTCTTTATTTGTTGGGTTATCCAAGATTACAAATACCAAAAATATGCCAGCTTCTCTCGCCTTTCTGACGGCTTTCTGGACAGTCTAAAATAAGAACAAGAACGTCTTGTTAATTAATATAATCATATCTAACAAAATCAAGAAATTATGGAACTTAATATCCCAGCGCACGTAACATGCAATGTTTGTTGGTTGATGTACCTCCACTCCTTCAAGAAAGATACCACGGCCATCAGAGACTATTAGAAGAAGTTGTGATACGTCATTTCCTTTGATTCGTGATCTTGCTGACGTCATTACATTTGTGCACGAATCTAACAGCTGTAAGATATAAAATGTGTGAAATATTTACCACAAAATGGTCAAGTGTTATTACAGCAATAGAAATAAACTAAATTAAGAAATGCGTTCCCTAAATAGGTGTGAGAATCATTATGGAATTACATTCAAATGCTGTGGAAATCTGATATTTGCAATAGACATCTAATTATCTAAAAGATTGCTCAAAAAACTGCGTCGAATGAAAAGATACCTGCGCAATTTTTGTTTTCTTTTGTTCGAAGCGAAACTGACGAAGAATATTTGCACCAGATGGCTCGGTAAACGTCTCATGAAATGGATGAAGTAGTTGAACGTCTTCTCCAAAACTATATTTTGTGAGAAATATACAGAAGATACATTTTTCTTTAATGCAGTATTTTCTTCTGCTGATAATCCATTATCTAACATCATGAGCTCACAAGCTAAATTTTGCTTGAACCAGTCCAGCAATGTTAGGTGACAATATTTAACTTTAACGACCTTACCTGCAAATTGCGATTTCTCCTACTTCCAGTCTGGTCAATGCATTCGTTATAACTGCGAGAGACTCGAATGCCAACTAAATAAATGCAGCAAAGTCTATAATGCAACCCGGCTAACTCGAGGTGGACTACAAAAGGAAACAATACCTGTTTTGACTTGTTATCTGACATACTCGAGGAGTCATCAATAGCCAATAAAATTTGATATTGTCTTTTACTTTTCTTTGTTCTTCTTAACCAAATCTTATCTTTACGATACTGACTAGCAATGTATGGAATCACCTTGCGCATATTCAATCTTTTACCGGTACGATAATCACCTCTAAACACACAGCAAAAAATTCTTAGTTTGTGGTATGCTGTACAGTTTGTGGTAAGCTGTATGCTTCAATCAAGATTGCAGTTGTCAAAAATATTAATATTGCGGAAGTGAGATTCGGTGTAACAATGTCAAAATATACTGATGACAACTAAGAAAGATTTTGTTAAACATTGTATAATTTTGTTTATCATGCACATTGCAAATAAGTTGATGATTTTTGATCGTGTGGATGACGAAAAATCTACGTTAATTGTGTCATTGTGTGACAGATTTATGCAGTAAGAAGAGAGACAGCGTAAATTTGGGGAAAGGCCGTTCCTCATTTCCACTGAACAAAGTTATTTTATGATGGAGCAGGTACCTTAGTTTGTTAGCTATGGATGGTTCCAATACGATCCTAAGTTGTTCACAAAGTTGCTGAGAATGTGCTGACGTCAGTTGTTCATATTTATGCCACGTGTCAAGTGCAGTAGCTTGTTCTTCAGGGCTCCCATCTTTTAGATCACGCCATTTATTCAATAAATCCTCCAGTTCATTCCGACATTTCTCCAAGTCTATAACCGCTGTCTGCATAAAAACCAAAGAAATATTTTCACGAGATTTCAGATAAAACAATGGAGCAAATGTGTCTCACAGAGTTGATATAGAGAGACCTGATCTTGTATACGGTGTTATTCACCACAAAGATAACTACTCACTTGTTCCTGGACAAAAACGGAATCTCTCCCCACGAACACAGAACTTGCTGTATCTTGCCATTCTGTCGTCGCCATTTCTTCAACTTCTTCAGTTGACATTTCATTATCGTCAATATTCTTCTCCGGACTGTCTTGTCCCTTGTCTGATTGAAAATGCGAACTACGTTCACTTTTTTCAACCTAAAACACCACCAATGCGATTAAGATGAAGTTACCTCACCATCAAATATCGCTATTTATTCGTTATACCTTTTGCTCGGCGGTACGACTTTCATTTTCTGGTGGTAGTTCCCAGTCTTCATCCATATTCTCAGTCTGGTCTTGATCCTCAGTCTCGGTTGGATAGTTGACGGTTTCTTGTTGCTTCTGTTGTTCAGCGGTTGCGGCATCATACACTTGAGTGTCATGCATTTCATTATCATTTCTTAGATGCTCAAACAAATCGGCAGAAAAAGCTGTATCTTGTCGCTAGATAAAATTAATTAGAACTTTAAAACAATAGAAAATAATTTGCTGATGCGTCAATAGAGCAACTTGATATAGATAAACTGAATTTTACTTCGCCCTTAGCAAGCAAAATGTGATCACCTCCATGTTTTCCTAACATTTTGACAGAAATTTAAGTGCATCCACTTGGTACATACCTGGTTATCGACAGAATTATCGTCTAAAGAATCCAGAACTTTTGGTTTCTTGCTTGCGGTTTCCTCCGACGAACCAAGACTTCGATTCGCTCTGGATCTATTTAATTGTTTCCGGTGAGAACTCTAGATGTGAAAATAATATTAAGTTTACATAAATACCATGCAAACTATAGGATGAATGGTGGGTGTGTCAGCTATAGAAGTTCGGTTATATCTTACTGTTTCCGTTGAAGCCAGATCTGTAGTTTTACACGTGGTAGAATTATTAGTGGAGTCCAAACCACTCTGCAGAGACATACTATTATGAGTCCCATCATCATTTCCTTCGGACAAGCTTTCGTCATTTACAGTTGGATCAGACCTCTCACTGCTGGCAGATTCGCCATATGACGATGCATCAGGGTTACCTTCATTCTCAACCGACTCAACGTTCTCTCCCTAAAAGACAAATAAAAAACTATTATTCAAGATCTACTTGTTTTTCACCAATAGAAATAAAACTAAAGAATACATTCAATTTTATATCCACCACAAGAATTGCACGGTCACATATCCTCGCAACCAATAAAGTTAAATACATGTAAATAACCTTTGTTTCTGACTCTGTTTTCCAGTCATTATTTTCATTATCTTCATCCTAAAAATAAATTGAAAATTTTTGTCACAAGATCAGTATAAAGCAATAAAACTTTTTTCAGTTGCTAAAAATAGACCTTTTCTAAATCAGCTTGATCGTTTTCTTCTTCTTGTTCCTGTTGATTGCTGGTTTCTTCAGTTTCCTTTTCATCTGTCATTTGAATATCGTTTTCTTCAGCGTCGCCATTACTCGCATTTTCAACTGAAAGAATAATATAAAATGAGTTAAAAAAAGAAAACAGAAAAGCGGCCAAATATACACAACAATTTGTCAATGCATAGAAATGCTCAGTTATAAATACAGTGATCAGTGGCCTAGGAAACGCGATAATTAGGGACACATATTCATATATTCATGTCAAAAGACTTGTAAAAGACTTGAAAAGAAATTGATCTTGCAAAACATGAATATATGAGTATATGCCTCCCCCAAGTGAGATTAGATTATAGCAATTTGATTTAGTCTTTTCAGGACTTAATGGAAGGATTCTTGCAACGAATTGTTTGCAGTCAACAATGAGAAAGACAAACTAAGTTCGATTTTAGTCCAGCCATAAGAGTTGTAAAATAGTAACCTTCGTCTTTACCATCCCCATCTTCATCTTCACCATCGTGTTCAACCTCATCATTATCTTCTTTAAGATCACTATCATCATCTCCCGCATCATTTTCCCGAGTGTCCAGCTCCAGATCATCTGCAAGATTCATATCTTCAGGTTGCAAATCATCGGACTTCAGTTCATTTTTATCATTGGAAAAATCATCATCCAGGTTTCCTTGATCATTTTCATCTTTTCCTAATTCGTTTATCTCGTCCTCCTCCTCCGTATTTTCCTCCTTTGGTTTATTTTTGTTTTCTTTACTTGAACCTAGGAAATGAACGTCAGAAATACGATTATGGCAGTTAAAACACTAGTCGAATTGGACAGTGAAAAACAGATAGATTCAACTCGTGGTTAGAGTGCATTTCCAGTTTTTTTCTTCATTAACGAATAAGAGTTGGGAATAGTAAAATATCTTTACCAAGATTTTCTTCTTTTGCGACCATTTCACTTTCATCTTCACCATCTGCTCCAGTGCCGCGTTCATCCTCGCCTTCAGCCTATCAAAACAAACGATACGCATGAGGATTTATCCAGGAGTTAGCGACACTTAACCAAGGCCAGTTTTCCTCAAAGCGTTATTTGTCTGAAGCATATTTAATCACCAAATATTTCTTCTGATTTTCGTTAACTCTTCACTAAAATTCGTGGCAGAATACTTGCCTTATCATTGTCGTCTTCTTCGCCATCTGAATCAGCCCACAATTTTTCATCCAATGTTTCTTCAGGTCCATCAACATCTCCCATTTGTTGCTCCAGATTGTCTTTTTCATCCTCGGATTCACCCTCGTCATCACTATCTTCACCACCTTTTTCAACATCATGCGTTTCTCCATCAAAGTCTTCACTCATCTCAATTCCATGTTCTTCATCAGGAATCTCATTTTTATCTCCCTCCTTCTCTTCGCTTTTCTCTTGTTCAGCTCCGAGCAACTAAAACACAATTGTATAAGACGATATTATAAAATGGGACAAAACGTTTTTTTACTTGTGTTGGTAGTTTAATGAAGAAAATGATCACCTGCTCTTCGTCTTCAATCTGATCGCTAACATCCTTCATTCCGTCTCCCTCACCAATGCCGCAATTCTCCGCGTCTTCAAATGTCGTTGCTCCCTCACCTTCTGTTTCCTCCACGTCAGGGGGGAGACAGAAACCTTTTTGCAATAATTCAGAAAACATGCCCAACAGGACTGACTGTAGTTTACACGATATTCGATGACAGTGAAGTAGTTGATGAAAATGATATTCGACAAGCAACACGTATTGAGAAAAACATGGAAGAATGCTCATCATAATCTCGCAAAGTGTTTGGATGAATCTGCCGTTATGGTTTTCATACTGTTCATCAATTTCTTGTCTTAAAAAATTGATAAAGGTTTTCATATTTCTTGTCCTTTCCGGGATATTAAGGATTGAGGTATCTGCCATAAGTTCGTTGTCTAGTCCTTCGACAAAATATTTCTCATCTTCATCTTCTATAAAAAAATTCCATGCTATTTTATCTTTTTTTTTGAAACTCCAGGACAAGCATCTATGCAATAGAGGATTGGTCATTCTGCAACTTTGGCCTATTCCGAACATTGTATGCAATGGTCAAAGAAAGTGTTGTCTTACCTACGATAACTGGAGATTCTTTCGTTTCAAAAATACCAATATCTTTTCGTTTATACCATTTTTGGAAACTCACGAGAATGTCCTCTTTCGCTGACTTCACTTTGGAGCGAATTGAAGAAATATGTTCTGGAGGGGGAAATAAGATAGCTACGTTATTCTGTTGCTTCTTGTGTTGTCATTTTATCGCCAAAAAGATTGAACCGAGACTTCATTTAATACACTGGCTCTCAAATTATAAGATTCGAACTTGTAGAACAAAAGCTCGAATGATAAAGTTGTAATTTACAAAAAGGCAAAATGTTGTTATGAAAATATACACGAATTAAATCGTCTCACCTTCAGAAGTATCACTGTGCGTTTCTTTAAAAGTCTCTCTACTCCAAACAGAAAATTCTTGACACGTTTTTGCAATATCTTCTCTCAAACGAAATGCAAGTTTTCCACAACCTAGGTTGCTGAAATTTCAAGGGAATGCAAAAATATTGCAATGTGTTCTGAATAGTTTAATCTGCGTGCAATTTTAACACAAAACGCTCACTGAAATTACCCATAATTAGTGCTGTTTTCTGCGTCGTCGCAACTGCGAAGGAGGACATAAACGGATTTAGAAGATATCATCAGTAAAAAACGAGAATATCTTTTGATGAAAATGTTAATTTATCAAATCGTTCACATCGTAAGTACCTTGCATCCACTTTGGCAAATCCATCCAGATGTAATATAGTCTCATTTAGTTGCAGAAACGAGGACTCCAAACATTCAAAGTGAGTCCTAAGTAATATCGACAAAATATTAATATTGAATCATAACGTTCCAATATAACCAAGGAGCAGCGTGGCAGCGTCTTCAAACAATTCAGCATCAAATGTGGTATAACAACGGCCTAAAATAGACAAAACACTTCTCGACGTTTCGACCTGAGGGCCTTCGTCAGGAGAGTTGATCATTGAATAATAACTGTCTTTATTTATCCTCCATAATACGCCATCTGTGTTTCATCATATTTAAGGTGCAATTTACAATTTTAGGTACGATTCTATATGTGCTATTCTCTTCTTTTGGTAGATGTGAACGAGTGACTAGTTACGAATGCTCTGATGTATAAGAGCTCTTATTTGAACATCCGTAACTAATTCACTCGTTCACATCTATGGAAAGAGGAAAATCGCAAAAAGTGTAAATGGGCCTTAAACATACCATGTTGCAAGAAATGCGGTGTCTTCTTTATCGCTCGCCACTGGATGCAACATCATTGTTTGCAAATAAAGTTTGTCTTTAATCTTTGATATATCTTCATAGAATGCCTACAACAAAGAAAATTACACCAGTGACAATTTTCTCATCTTAAAGTCAGCAAAAATAGTCTGCGAAAGAAACCTGTGATTATTTTAATGGGCTGAACTATGGAACTCACTTCTGTAGCTCTCCTCAAGCAAACATATGTGCTGTCTTGCTTACAACATTTCGATAGATCAGACAAATCTTCAGGAACTGGACTCATAGCAATATCTATTTTTGAATCAGGGCATGTATCGAGCAAACACAAGAGTTTAGTTGAAGTCTCAAGGCTGATGTCCAGTATTTCATCAAGTCGAGACTGTCAAAAGCAAGAACAAATTACAATTAGCTATATTTAAAAGTATTTGTGAGAGAATTGCTTTAGGAGTATTTGTACCATGCAATTGCATGTTTTTAAGCCACGTATCGTCAGTTTGTTATAGATTTTACCATCATATTTTTGCTAAAACATATCTTTTAAAATAATCCTTTATGTCACTTACTGTCCATTCAGCCATTTTGCGTTGGGGTGGAAGTTTGCAAGGTTGCCCACTCGCGATCGTTTTTAATTGTGCGGCTACCAGGCTGAAAACATAAACAACCAGTTGCATGTTAAACGAAGTACGAACATTAAAATCGAGTCCCAGCCCTCAAAAAACTGATGGAAACCGTTTGATTTCCCGGAGCACAAAAAATGTCGGTCTATACTGCTTTGTAATACAGACATATAGTATTCTTGGGCATTTCTCATTATGAAGATAAATATTTAAGAGGATTCTATTTCAGTGAAATATAATTACCAATAACTAACTTTTCAAATCAGTAACCAACCTAAAAACAGCCAGCAATTCACTTCATTGACATAATTACCTCAATTCAGAAAATGACTTGCCAACAGTTGAGATATTTTCCCGTTGTCTTTGTGTCATCTCACGTAAATGCTCAACAAAACCTTTCATTCTATCAACATCTCCGACTGTGAGATCCTAGTTGCAACACAATAATCCATTACATAATGTTTTCTCTAGATATAAGCTTATGAATATTAGCAGAATGCGACAAACATTAAGATACATATTGTTCGCTACTTCATGGTTTGTGTTTATTTATTTACCTTGGATGGGGAAGAGATAACATTGTTCATGACAGCAGAACGAGCGACACATTTTTGATAATATTTCATACCGTCCTCTAACAACGGCAGAAAACTTGGATGCGAACTAATTAAGATAAAAAAGTTGCAAATGACGATCTCCCTCGATATTCAATGATTATAACTGGGATTTCAAGTAACTTACTTATTGTTAAATAGTTTAACAACATTTCGCAACGATCCCAAAACATCACAATCCACCATCATCGGATCTTTTAAAGAATTCTGCTGGCGAAGACGTATCCCTTTTCGGTACGATAAACCTATAATTAATATATTTTGATGCAGTTTAATTTAGCGATGATTAAATACCCTTACAATACGCTTCACGCCCATGCATACCTAATTTCTTTAACCCCTTAAACAGATCAGCCAATGCACGTTTCTTTAACACATGAATGTGCTTGCGAAATTGTGTTCGTTCTTTGCCAGTCTACACATAAATATAAAAGAAAATGTTACCAAAGTAATATGTCTGACATAATCTATAGTAGAGTATCTCGCTTGCTTGCTTAAATATGTGTAAATATTTTTCTTTAATATCTATTTCTACTGTAGAAAGCTAACCATGATGATATATAACGTAGCTACCATTATAAGAATTAATATATATAGCCAATGATATATACATTTATATTACATTATTATGTCCCTAATTTAATATCTTATACCTTATCACCAATTTCTAACTTTTGAAGTGACTGTGTTGTTTCCACTATTTCACCTAGAAACGTAAATACATTATATAAAGAATCTATTTTTACTGGAAATCGCACAAAAATTTGATTTAAATTAACACAAATTAAGCTGAGCCCCATGCAGCTGGATTAGTTATTTTTACTTGTAAATTCATCGACAGATTCTGACAACATTTTGTATCTTAAAACGTTCAGTTTTTTCTGCGTTAATTTTCTCATTTTTTCGAACATCTGTGGAACTGGTAGACTCTCAGTATCCTTGTCAATATTTATCAGGTCTAGATTCTGAAATGTGATAAAAATATTAAAAATGTTTTACTAAATCAAGATATGATAACAAAAACAATGATTGCATGCAGTACTAGACATGAAGTTTAGAGATCAGCAGATATTGTTCCGAAGAATCTTTAGTCTTTTATCATTCTCTACTATACACACCTATTACATAAAGTATAAACTTACCCGGAGGTTGATTGGTGACAGAAATCTCGAGATTTCAAACTCGAAAATTAAGTCATTTTTTTCTCCCGGATCTTTGCAAGATAAGACTTGTCCAGAAGACATTAAAATCCCATCAATTCCCTCAGACAATGCTCGCTGTATTATTAATTATGAGAGAGATGGAATAGAAAAATGACTACATATTGTGTGCAAAATATTATATATAGGATTTGCGTGAGACGTAAAATAAATTTTTGACAAAAAGCCTTGCAAAGCTAAAAAGGCTTGGCTTATATTTTCCAGGTTAAAATAGATCTAGTAAAGGCCATGATATTGGTGCAAGGAACTGGTGATTAATTACATATCTAAGCCAAGAAACATGCCTGATATTTCTTCATAAGTTTCAGTAACGTATAATGAGACTTTGATGAAGTTTCTTTCATTGCCCAGTAATTGATATCCTTCCATTTCACGATCTTTATGAAATCCTGTTAAAAACGTTGAACATAGATACAGAACAATAGCCTATTATTTCTATATTATTTCCATATTATTTTCATATTATTTCCATATTATTTCCATATTATTTCCATATTATTTCCATTTTTTTTCAATAATATGCATGCAGATTTATTTCCATTAAAATTTTCCACCAGGAAAATTACATTTTTTACAGCGAAACAATCACAATACCTTGAGCTCTTTCTCAATTGGTGCTTTAGCTTTGTGTATTGAAGAGTCTGTACGGGACTCGAACTGCTGGTAATAGCGATATATATTCTGCAAAATTGTTCGAACAATACCTGGTTGGAAAAAAACATAAATACGAGCGTCAGTATTTCTTTTTCAATCGCCATTTTATAGTTCCAAAGTACTTAGTCCAATGATAATAGGACAATAAATATAGTCCAGGGGCCGGTTGTTCGAAAGGCGTTTAGCTTAACGGTGGATAAGCCAAAGTTTAAAAATACTCTTATAGGTCTTGTGAATGGTTGAACCTGCATCTTATGCATTAAATATGTTCTTCCATTGAAAATTAAACTTTTTACATCGAAATATTTCAACTCAGTTGTTCAATAAATGTAAAATTTTGTTTCCCACTTTGAACTTATCCACCGTTTAAAGCTAAACGCCTTTCGAACAACCGGCCCCAGTAATATAGTCTTTGTGCAGTCCAGGTGCAATACAGCTTTGTGCGATGTGGATAATAACACGATTTTTGAAACGTCCACTCCGGCCCCAAAACGTGTTTTTGACAACAAGATTTTGAATTTAGAGGGGAATACCTGAATTTTTATTTTGAACATGTTCAACAGTCTTCTGGTTACTAAACGACACGAGTATTTTCAATCTTTCGGAAAATTCTCCCAATGGCGATCCTTCAATAAACTGCTGTAGAACCTTTATTAATTCCGTGAAATCCATCAAACCACTATCCTTGGGTTTAGAAAACTGTTGAATCACGTGAACTATATGAAACCACCAATGATTGGCTTGTTCACGGACTCTCGTTTCACAAACGAGAAGTAAAGAAGACCAACAACTTTATAAAAAAGATACCAAGAGTTAGAAATCCGGAAGGCAATGTTGGAGCGACATGCAATGGAGATGAAAACTATATAGGCTACCACATGAACAGCAGCGAAAGCAAGCCGGCGATGACAAAGGTGTTTTTATGTAAACATTTGTTAACTACCTTAACTCAAGCTGCCTCCATTGAATGATCTTCTGTGTAATTTGATCCAAGTGATCTCGGATTGAAACGTGCCTGCTAGCGTTAGATTCCCACTCCTTAACAATTCGTGTTACAGAGATTATATGGTTATAAGCTTACATAAACCAGTTGTATAGCTGCATGATTATAGTTTCTAAATTATGTTTAAAGATGAGCCAATTCTTTCTCTTCTAAACTTCACATCCCTACCTGAGAGTGTTTCAATAATATTTCCAACCCATTTAGTATTTTCATAACAGGACTTGTTACTGGGAAAGATTCAATTCGCTCGATGGTTTGACATAACTGAAACGAAACATAATTAATCTTAGTCCTCCCGCGCCACTGCCTTCACCAGCTTTTCCTCCACGTGTTCAACCTGTAGCCTAAATATCTTAACAACTCTTAGGCGACATCGCTTCTGCTTTAAAAACAAACTTGCCAAGATAGTCAACCTCGTGAACTTACCTGAACAAGAGTTGGATGTTCAGGCCACTCCTCCAGCAACTGTTTTAGTCTCGATTTGAAACTTTTAAGTATTGGTAAGACTTGAATAATTTCCTTGAAATTACTGTCGTGATAAATGTCATATTCCTCGCTTCTATAATGACAGAAATGTCAAAAATTTGTTTACCATTACCTGGCCTGAGACATGCAAGTTCAGATGCATGCAAAGGAAATGAAGTTCAAAGCCAAACATAATTCAACACGTACTTTCTATGAAACAGCACATTAGAAGAACCCATATTAAACTGCTCCTACAAAAAATATAAAAATGGAAATCAACCTAAATCATGCCATACACTTGTATATCAATTGAATTTCCTACATAATTCTCTGATGGAGTAAAGTAGACAAAAAAAGGTTTTTTAAAGTCATCGTAATCAAAATCGACATTACCTGCAAAGCAGATCCACTTTGACAGGCGAAGAGAGACTTTTGTAATAGCGAGCTCGCGAGAAGATGATTTTGTGTTGAATTATCTGGCAGTTCTTCATCTGCGTAACAATAATATAAGTTATGACGTGTTCACAATTTCAGAAACGACGAAAAAAGGACAACACTCATATAGAAATTCAGTAGTTTTAAAGACGACTATAAAACAAGAATGAAAAAGAATTCAAAAGACAACTTTGACTGTACTGAGTTTTGTGTTAACATGCATGGCTAATCATAAAACGGGAACGACTAACCACACAAGTCAGCAATCTTCACCACATCTGCCGTTATATTATAACCATCATAAGCAATTTGAATTTCTTTCAATTTTGCATTATTGTCTTTCCACTGGGTGTCGTGAAGCGTCGAGAGAAGCCGAGAAACGTTTGGTAACGATGAAACCAAAAAGTGATGAATCTTGAAAAATTCCGATAAATCATTTTCACGAATAGCGTCCAAGGTTGAATGAGCTTCAACAAACTCTTGCTTCGTCTTGGAATTGGAATCCTGGAGAAGAAAAAACAATTTTATTCTTCATTACTCTTCAGTCTTGGAAGTTGTGCAAAATCACAACTGAATGTATGGTAATTTAGCGATAAGAAAGATGTGCATGTAATACACTTGAGTTATAAACAGCAAAACACGCTGAGTTGAACGAAAGCTTAATAGGCCAGCAGATAGTGATTTCTCAGGTCATTCCTAATTTGCAAATGGTTTGGAATATAATTCAGAACGAAGGTGGTTTTCCTTATGTGGAGTTCTAAGTCAAAATCCATTGTTTGGTCAATATCTGTGATCTTATTGCTTTTCATGCATTTTCACACAGCGTTTCATGCAGCTACTGTACCTTATTTTCTTTCAAGTTAAGATCTTTGTATTCCTCGTCAAACCTTGTAAAAAACATGTCAACTTCTTTTTGGTTTTGTTGTTCATCAGAATCCTCATCGCTGCAATAAGATTTTGTTTTAAACTTGTATAAACTATTATCTTCCTCTTCTTTCAGTTTTCGTTCTTCCTCGTGCAGCAACCACAACGTTTTATAGCAGTTGACAACAGTCATGAGGTTCTGAATGTCGTTTGGTTTCGTAAAACCAGCGCGACACACACTTCGTTCCAGAATGTTAAGAGCCAGCATCCGAATTCTATAAAAAAATGTATCTTAAAAGTTCTGAATGATAGTACTCAGCAATGCCCTAGAACCAATGTCGTACAAACAAAGTCGTTGCAGATGAAACACGGTTAAACATAGTTCTGATGGATCGCCAACGCCTGACAATGCATTGTTGATGATGACAAAAAAATTCTTCAAAATAACAAAGCATTTCATTCGTCAGTCATCACCTGACGTCAGCAGCCATCGCAGATGAGTGCGCGACATAATTATGAGAACAGGGTTTCAATGTGAAAAGTAAAAATGCAGTCAATGCAATATTCCAGTTTTTTGATTAAACACATGTTACATTCTTTACCGGGATTTCAATTTTCCACTTTCCTCTTTCCAGTCTACACCTGTAATCGTTGATAAATTCGTCTGGCAGAGAGCTATAAGAAAGAAAATTAAGTTACCTCATGGAATATATTTTCCACACGATGTAGGATAATGCTTGAGTGATCGGACTAAAATTTATTAAGAAACAAACCTTCAATGCCCCGAGACATTTCTTCACTTAGTAATCTTGCAACTCTTGTTGACATTGACTTGCCAAAACACGAGAAAGGTAAAACACATGAGACTATTTCTTGGGGAAGGTATGTCTAAATAGAGATATACAATAAAACCATGCCAAAGCAGTGTAATATACCAAAAAACAAGTAGCTTCCGTTTACCTTTGCATTTAATTCAGCCTGTATGATCTCTTTATATTTTATCCATTTTAGTTTGCTTTCCACAGCCGAAATTATCATCTCTGATCCCTGCAATATCTAGAAATATACAATAAAATAATGTGAATTATTTCATTGCTACTTTCTTTCCAATCTTACTGACCAACAACAAAAACAATTGATAACAGTATTAGCATACATATTCAGTGTGTCATTTTACATATTTGAGTGTTCAGATATTTACCTGGAATAAGCCAGAAATATAAGGTCCTAAGATGTCTTGGTAGGCCACAAAATCTTGTAGTTGCGACGTAAATTTCCTGACGCTCTTAATCCACGTTTGAAGATGAACGATGCCACGTCTTCGTTTAGCGTATGACTCTGTGTCGCTGCTTACATCATCTATTATTTTCATAGTCTGCGAATAACTTGTGATACTGTTTGAGAAATGTTGAAGAATTCCAATTATCTTACGGAACTAGAAAAAAGGATAAAATACAGTCAACATCTAATCTTGAAGATTTTTACCGCAGATATTTTATCTGACAGAATATTTCTTCTTTTAAATTATACTTCTTCGGAATACTTACTTGGGATGGCACAGGTCTATAAGCGACCTCGTTTCCAATCTCTGATATCTCTGACTTTAACGATGCTTGATATTGGATCAGGTTTCTCACGTGACTTGGATTAACTTGCAATGAGCTAAACTTATTAATAGCTGCACCCGACAATAATTCCTCATTTTCCAACCGTACTTTTAACTCGCTACTCACATCTACGATCTGAATTTAACGAAAAAAGGCAAAAACGTTCACAAACAATTTTCTTGTATATACTCATTTCTCTTTTAGCTATGTGATACAAGAAAAAATTAAACAAATTAGACAAACCTCATTTTTGATCTTGTCAATTTTGACATTTGTTTCTTCAACAGGATCCACGTTCCCAACGGGTCGTAATATGGTCGATTGAATCATGCCCAAATATACCCAGCATATTCCCACCTGCATCTTTCTTTCCATTTTGGTAGGTCTATCTATAGAAACCGATAGAGCGAAAACAGTCCTCTGAGCCCAGTGGTGAAAAATATCAACTGTAGCGGTAAAATACTTCACACTAATTAGTTTTTTATACATCCGAACGCAAAAGATGGCATATTTTAACGTTTTTACAACGTGTGTTTGCATGACCCAATGAAAGAAGCAAAGATTACTAAATTATAATCAGCCAAAGACAAAAAACTGATATATTCATACCTTTCACCCCATTCGTATTGGCCAATGTTCTAATAAGGCCAAGTAATTTTATAAAACAATCTTTAACAACACGAGTATCTATGACTCCGTGCGCTATTTTGCTGTAATAGTCTTCAAAATCCCTGATGCAGTGTTCCACGTTCTGATAAATTTCATCTGGTATTTCAACTAAGTTGGAGAGATTTAGAATATGCCCACAAATGAAGTTACTTCTTGAACGTTCGTTGATGGAACTCAAGCAAGCAAGAAGATGGAGAAACGCCAGGAAAATTGATTTCCAATCAAGAGCCCTAAAGGGGAGAGTTTATATGCGTTTCATGAATTTGATTTTGAAAAAAAAGGAAATATAGCACTCGGCTCACCTAACTGAATTAAGCACTTTACTAGACACAGTACACCACGTGACATCACACTACACAACACCCCAGCCTTACAACACCACACTACACCACATTACTTCACATCAACGCCACTCCAAACGAGAGAAAACGAGTCTACGCCACACAACATTCAACTACACTACACCTTCGCTACAGCACATTACTCCACACCACCATCGGCCATGCCATGCGATTACGAATTACTCACAATTGTTTTGACTCTAGCTTCGAAAAGTAACTCTGATGCAGCCATAGGAAGGTGGTAAAGTGATTATACTCAGTAATTTTATTAGCCACGTCGATTAGACATAACTGACCACGATCCTTTAAGATCGCGAAAGATTGCTGTTCAGGCTTGAATGATAACGCTTCAAACGGTTTCACAAAACACTTGTTATTTAATATGGAGTAACAGATCTGAAAGAGAAATATTTATGATTAGAAAGTGCTGCCGCAAGTTACATCATTACGCTGAAGGTTGTTTAACACCTTTGCTCAAAAACCGACTTACGTTTGGTTCATCGCCCCCTTCTCTGTACTTCATTGCTGTCAAGTTACGAAGATCATCACTAGAAAACTTCAGAGTTTATAATAAAAATAATTAGACACCTCATTTTAGAGGACGAAGGCACTGAATGTTGTTTGAAAACTAAAAACCTTTTTCCCTAGTCTTACCAAGTCAATTGTAAAAGAATGGGTAATGACGTCATGTAACCCCGGGGATTAGAACCCCTTGCTCAGCCAAGGATGGTTCGACCTACGACCACTTACCGGATCATTCCGGATTAGATATTCTATCACAGCTATGTTTCCAGGAATCTTGCGCATATATTTAACACAAAAGTCGTTGTAGGATTTCAACTTTTCATTCCATATGAAAGGATTGGAAAAATTTGTTCTGCAAACACGAAATAATAATTTAGGTTCACTGATCACAGATGAAAATTTAGTATTTACGAATTTAACAAACCAACTTACTTAGAATCCACCAACTTTTGATGTAAAATTGTTGGTGTTAAGAAGTTGATGCACTCGGTATAAGCAGAATCGGCCACAGTTTTACAGTAATCTTGAATAATCTCAGAGTAAAAAACTTCAGTCATATTCTCCGGATGTTCGTTATCGGGATTTTCAATAGAAATCTCAGCCAACTGCGTGAGCACATCAGATGAACTTTGATCCATGGTTTCGTTTGATTCATGATTTTGTGTTAACTTGTTTATGTTTTCTTTTATTCTTCCTAAAAAGACAAACTCATCAATTTCAGAGTTATTTTAGTCATACCGCTGCATGCGTCATATAAATGATACTTTGTCCATAATGAAAATGTTTCAACCTTACCTAAAATATTCTCTGCCTTCACCTCTTGCACTCGTCCTTCACGAAGTTGCATCAATGACACCATACCATTTAACAATTCGACTTGCAATGCACGTTTTTGCGTGATACTTCCAGTTATTTTTACACTTTGATTTACATCAGCAAACAACTTGCCAATTTTTTTCTACATATAGTAAGTACATGAAAAATTTAAAGTGATAATCTCTTTTTACTGAGGAGGAATTAAAAAGCATTACTTACCCACAAAAGACATATTTCCTCAAAGAGAAATGTCGCCGGATGTTCAAAAGAACTGATCATCTTCCAATGACAAGAAACCAGGTCATCATCAAATTTACAAATGTCGTCAAGACATTTCTTTACACTCAACAGCTCTTGGAAGACATCACTAGAAAAAACAACGCTTTTTATTCACAAATTCCCTTTGCTTCTTAAATTCCAGTACAACAGTCAAATAATTTGCCAGACAATGTTCTTGTCAAATTTATTTTCTTAAGATTTTCGGTTGTCGCGGAATAGCTATTGGTTAGGGAAAGGTAAGAGGAAGTGGGCTATGTAAGGGTTCACCACATAGAAAAATGCAACCAAATGTGACACGTGTAGACGACAAGATCGTAACAAGCTTATAACCTATACTTACATTTCATATCGAAAATCGCTTAAAATCTTACAAATAGTGACAAGTGGACCAGTGCTGAAGAACTTCCAATGAATATCGAATAGAATATGATAGTTTTCATCATCGTTATAGCTTTTAATACACATATCTAAAAATTGCTTTTGCTGTTTCAAGGACACCCATACCTGAAGTAGAAAAAAAAGTGACTTTAGGTGAGGACGGTGAAAAAAGATGGCGGTATTAAGGACCTAATAGCGGTATTAATGTAGGAAGGTGTATTGTATACCATATATGCAATGTCGTCATTAATGATCACACAACTGTTTTGCAAGAAATTTTTTACACATTCTTGAAATGAAGACATTAACGGGTAGATATGTGCAATTCCTTTGTGAGGAAGATTCTCAGCTTTCACATCACCTTAAAGAATAACACAGCAAAAAAATTCCAAGACTCTGGCATTGATGTATATTCGTACATGGGACATCTCCTTTGTTCAAGATCGATAGTTCTAATCGAGATGAATATTACTCACCCTTTGCGAAAGCAAACGACAGCGACAATGGCATTTTCAAATATGTTTTACCAACGACTTTGACGCATGATTCTAGCTTTGCTTCGAGCATGAAGTATGTCCATAATAAATATACCCTGCATGTGAATACGATAAAATTGGACTAGACGTCTCTCACGTCAACATGCATGGAAGTAAATGGGCGAAGATATTATATACCATTGTTGTGAATAGCAACTTCATTCAACTCCATGCAAAGAAAACCAGAAATAAAGTTTTCTTACTACCTCCTTTTTTTCATTACTAATTCCTTTAAAGAAATTCTGGTTCATAATTTGGAAACTGAGTCACAATACCTGTTTGTATGACTAACACATTCCACTGACATTTCATCATCGCTATGAATCTTGCAACGAATGTAGTCATATAATGGGCCATTCACTCTGATATTTACAGGTTGATAGCTTGCATCAAAGTTACAATCTATTTGTGTGAAATAAAAGATTCATATACACATCTGTACAAATTAATGGATTCTACGATTTATTCAATTGTATTGAATGTAAAAACGTTTCGCATTTACCTCCAAATTTCGTCTCCAAATCGTCATACAATTTGTATGTCTGCCTCGCTGCTTCACTTTGAAATAACTTGTGAAGACAGACCTCGAGCATATTTAGTTCACAAGTAAACTCCTCTCTTCCGTTCACGCTGTGCAACCAATGCTTTAATCGATCCACTCTTGTAATCCAATCTTTCTTGCTACACCACTCCAAGAATAGAATTATTGCTGTCATGACATTATTGGGGGATTTTCTTGCACCTTTGATAACTCTCTTAAGCGGGATACTATGCCAAGATATCATTGCTCTGACGGCATCTTTTTGAAAACTGCTTGCAGAAGGATTTTTTTCTATATTTTTTTTCTGCACCAGCTCATCTTCTGTTTGGAACGGCGAAGGTGTTTGACCATTGACATGTTTCACTGAAAGGACCAGGGACCGCTCAAGTTCAATTCCTCTTTGGCAGAGCTCGCCAATCAACGATCCGATATGAATGGTCTGAAGAAGTGAACCTATAATTATTTGAATATTGTTAGGTGACGAATGTGAATAATCACTAAAGATGTAAAAATCGATACAAATTGGAAGAAATAACAGTACTTATTGTACAATATATGTACGCTCCATTATTTTATAAAGCACGGTTTAGTAAGTTTGTAACTACGAAATAAGCATACTTTGTTTATTCTGATTGTGAAAGTCTACAAGAGTCTGGACCGCAGTTGTACTTCGACAGCCTGAAGAGTACAGCATACTGCAAAGATCATCAGTATCACTGTCCTGAAAAATATAAAACGTACAGTTAATATCGGGCGTTTAATTTCATTGCCATACACGCTGCACGCATTATAATTTAAATTCCTGGTTTTTCAACTATATTTTAAAGAAAGCGTGGAATAAATAAAAAGTTGGAAAAATAATAACACTTTTTTAATTCTATACCTGGTCCATCAGGAAGATTTCAACGCCTCTATTCCTCATAGCTCGCGAAATTTCTCCGTGTTTTGAATCCATAGCAAATATCAATCTGGCAAAAAAAAACACGCATGCAGAATAAGATGACCTTAGCTAATGTTTCAATGTATCTATGTAGACTTTTTGCACTAGGCAGAAGGAATTTTTCAATCGAACGAGGTTCTTATCAAACAACATCAATCCCTATCCACGATTAACGGTAATATATGTATAAAATTAATGGGGCCGGCCGTATAAAGGTTTGCTTAGTTGGGTACATATATTAAACTTTGAATAAGTCTTAGTATTCCTAAATTGAGGATCCTCTTTTCGTTCCAAAGCTGAAATTTTATTGCTTTTCAGGCATTTTTAGAACGGTTGAAAAAATCCCTATCCGGTGGATAGCGCTATCCAGCCTTGGTACAACCGGCCCCTGAAGAATATTCACCTAAAATCAGGATGAGGTTTTACAACTGGAATATCTCCATCAACAACTCCTCGCTCGTTAATGCTTAATTCACCTCCTGGCTCTAACAAGCCATTCAAACGATCCAAAACTGAGGGACTGAAAGACACCGTAACAATGAATTAGGGGTGGATCACTAATTGATAAGACTGAGGTCAACACCGACAGGATGCCTGTTTTAGAAGGTTACATATTACTCACCTACAAAAGTTAACATTATCAATTAGGAGCAAATGACCATTCTTCAATGCTTTCACGAGCTGACCGTCCACCCATTCAAATTGACCGCTGACATGAGAATTGCCGTTGCTTTGAACCAACTCCTTATGTAATCTTGTCACCAGTACTTTCAGCTGTTCTGTTAAAGAAACAAACTTTAATACAATTTGTTCACCTAGTGAACTGATACTTCATAACAATCAAACTCTTATACTATTTATTACAATCACAGAAGTATATATATCAAGTTCCTATATCCAATAAATTTCATCACTATTCACGTTATCTTCGGACTTACCAAAATCGTAATCAGCAAAGTTGTGCTTCTGACAAATATTACTTGCTTCATTGATAAGTTTAGACATCTGTGAGATATTTTCAAGCATAGCTGATGCATGATCCTCCATTGTATCGTTGTTATTACTACAATTGCTCTTAAGATTGTTTCCGTCAAAAGCAAACCAAAGACTCAAAATATTCTTTAGATCGCCGAGAGAAATATCAAAATCCTCCAAGAGTAGTAAATTTTTGCACAAACGAAATATGTCTTCCTTCACTCTGGTTTTTATTTCGGTTTGTTGTCGCTCCAAGTCAGCCTGAAATAAAGAGTGATAAAGAATAATAATCCTTTAATTTATCAAGAGAAGACGTGCCCATGTGTGATCACACGTACCAGAAACACGTACGTATTCTGGTAACTGTGGTCAGAGGGAGGGGATGATCAGTATGCATGTAACCCATACAGAGACATACAATTTAAAAAAAATAGAGCGAGTGTATACCTGTTCATATCCACCCAATAACTCAGTGGTATCAATGGAACTGTTCATTGCCATTACATCCAGTTTAGTTCCAGTCAGTTTTGCAGCAAGTCTAGCAAGTGAACTCTTACCAGAAGACTTCGGGCCGACCTACGAAGCACAAAACAGTTTCTTCATTGTTCAAAGTGATAAATTATAATTTTATCGAATAGATAACAGGGGGAAAATGAAATACAGACAAGTACTATCAGGGTAAACTTACTAAGAGCGCCAGCCAGTTCATTTTTAAGCAAGTCAGCAAACTCTCCAAAGGTTTTAATGTACGATGAAGGATATAAAGGGGACCAGCTTGAAATGTTCCATCTTGCATGTGAGATTTGGATTTTGGAAACACACACTGACCCACCTATGAAAATGGTTTATATCAACGGTACTGTAAATATGAAATAGTGTGATGACTTGAGCATGCACTGATTAATTCTGTCGAAAACACGGAGGGTGTTCCAGAATCTATGTAGAACATACCTGAATATTCGAGGGCGTAGCGTGAACGAGAGTGCCGATGTCTTTTGCTGAATTTTGGCCAAAAACCGAGGAACACAATTCCCAAACCTAAATTTATTCATACACTATTGAATCATATCAAAGACTCGTTCTTGTATCATTGAACATAAGCTAACTACCTGATTTCTACAGATTTCTTGCCTCATTCTACCAGCATATATCAGTTGAACAAATGCCACTGGATTCCAGTGTGACGCGTCCTAAATATACAAAGAAAGATTGTGTTGAACACACATACATACTGTATGGATGAATTGCACCATGACAAAAATTTATAGTGGTGATTTCTTAACATCTTGTTTGATACCAGACAAGTCATGTTATACCTGATACTTTATCATCAGATCACACCATCTGAAAATATCTCTCAGATTGAATTCCCAAGAGCCACCATGCTTGCTACACAGACCTTCAACAACGCAACGTTGATGAACCTAACGACACGATAGAACAATGGAATCCAACATCACCATCTATTTAATAAGTCAACCCTTAAATGGGCCTCGATCGAAAGTCTATATTTCAGGGGCATGCTAAACCAAGGGTTTAGTTTAACATTTTTGTATTCAATTTAAATTTTCACACAAAATACCTGAGAGTTGAATGTTATCATTTTCTCTAATGCATTTCTCTCAATCGTTGGATACATGGCTTGTGTGATGAACAATAGATCCTCGTATGTCAGCGGTTCAACATACACCTGAATAACAAAGAAACCAAGTTTGACCTTAGTAGCTTGTTTATACTAGAATAAATGCGGGGGTTTATTTCCGATCAGAGAAAATTTCATCAAACCAGTAAATATAAATACATCCAACTTACCTGAGTGAATCTATTTAAAAAAGATTTAGGTAAGCCTTTTCTACCCCCTCCTTGGTTTAACGGGTTCTGGCAGGCAAAGAATTTTGTCCTTTCGTGTTGAACTCTAAATGACATTCCAAGTTCCGGAATGAAAATCTGTAAAATATATTAGATTGTTAAATAAGAAGAATAGAGAAAAGTCTAGGACAATTATCTTTTAGGAATGAGTTAACTAACCTCTCCTCGATGATCAAAACAAGCATTGAGTCCTTCCAATACTGACTGCGAGGCCAAATTAAGCTAAAAGAATATAAAAAAAATTTCAATTCATAATGAACTTGACAAAGAACTTCAGTTATTGTAAATATTTTGAAGTACTTCTAGCCTCAGTTTTCAATGTTTCTCGATAGGAATCAGGTAAAATAGAAGACGTCGTTTGCACCATGTGTTTTTTAAAATCTGTCGACCTTTAACTGTCATCAAGCACCTGATTTCCTCGTTACCTCATCAAGAACGATCCAACTTCCTGATTTTAAAGCTAGTAGTAAAGGTCCGTCACACCAAGAGAATTGACAACCTTGACCACCTTCGACCGGCAGATCAGCACCGAACAGATCACTAATATCCTGTTTAACAGAGAATATTGGGCAATTGGTAACGTATTAGGATTTAGGACCGTACACTAGAGGATACGGGTCGGGTGTAACAAGGTATCACAGAGCAAAACCACTTGTAGAAGAAGCGAGGGAGTTTTATACCCAAACGCCTGACAATATATAAACATTGTGATGGCGAAGTAGCGAAATGTTATTCCAAAGTTGAAATATATTTATCAATCGTTTGCCCCCTTGGACGTACCGTTTGTTCAGAAAGGTTTATTCTCACAAGGCGATAACCAGACGCTTTAGCCAAAGCTGAAACCAAACTTGTCTTTCCTACACCAGGTGAACCTTCCAGTAGTATAGGACGCTGTAGCTGCATTGCTCTCATTACGCGCTGGGCATTCCCATACGTCGTTGGAGCGTTCAGGGCATATTCATTGCGAATACTTGAAGATGATTCTGGACCTTAACAATAAAGTACATAAGAACAATGAAGTTTAGGTAACAAGGATAACAATTCAAAATTTTAAATCTGAAAGATTGAAAGCATTTCCAGAACGTGCAAGCTTTTCCCCGAAATCTCAGCATAAATTTTGAGGACTCTTTTACGACATTTTATGGTATAATATAATCAATTCAACGACCACTTGGATAAAAACATTAAACCAAAGCTTGATAAGATTCAACGATTGAAGCAACCAACTGCGTTTGATTATCAGAAATAGTAGAATACCCAATGATGAAAATAACATAGTAATAAAATAGTTAGCCAGGAAGTAACTTCTAAAAATGGTAACGAAATACCTCTTGGGATAGAAAAACTGCCAAGCGTAAACATTTCACTTTTATTTTCATCTGTTTCCATTGATTCATTAATCACATTCTCATTAGGACAATCACCGTTGACTAGTTTTGAGTAATCTTTTAATTGTTCCTGCAAGAATTGTGCGCACGCGTCCCGGGCACTGCTTGTGTTTTGACTGTTTTTTAAAGTTCCAAGACCTAAGGCGTCAAGAAATACGAGGAATGCACCATGGAAGTAAGCTTGCGTTGGAGAGAGAATTTGGTGTTTGTTGTTAGTGTTTGCTGTGAAACAGATGAATTTCACCCAGGAAAGAAAGTCTCGAATTGTTATCACACACCTGTAAGAAAATAAAACAGTGTATGGCAGTCAAGATTACTTTGGTCAAAATATTCTACTTCAAACTTACCGTTTAGCAAAATTATTATGTTTAAACCACTCAATAAACTCAATCATAGCATTTCCAAAACCAGAGGAGCCTAGTATTCAATAAAAAAAAATGTAAAACAGACACATTCGATTATGGGAAGAAAGATCAAGAAAGAACTTTCAATAAACAAACAAAACAAACAAACAAACACAATGTAATCAACAATAAACAAATAACATGGATGAGGACAACGTACAAGGAGAAGGCTTACCATCTTTGCGAGGCTTTAGCGTGATACCAGGCGATATATTGTGTTCAATAATGGCGATCATGTCGTCTGGGTTATCATTTGCTGGACACCAAATCTCTGTGAATCTATTTCTCAAGGCTGGTGAAAGCTGGTAACAAAAAATATACTATTACGCTCTGCACTACTATAGCAGCGGTTAACATATTGATGAAAGTTCAGCTAATATTTATCACAAGTGACTAGGATTTCCCTGTGTCTTAGCACTGCAGGAAAAACCCCATGGGCATTTACTGAACCACCAAGATGAACAGGATTGCAGGTCAGAAAGATATTGTAGAATACTTTGCGGTATAAAAATGTCAGTGCAGATGAAAACTTATACTGGACTAGAGGGACAGAAATTCTGGCGTTCACCTCTTTTTTCCCGTAATCTCCTCCAGGATTCATTGTAGCGAGCAATTGAAAACCTTTTTCAGCCACAATCAAATCAACGCCTTGTTGAAACTCATAATCACTGCTGCTGCCCTTCTCAGCCAAGATAAGAGTTCGTTCTGGTTCCAAGACACTGTTGAGACGTTCTAAAACTGAATCATCTGCCAAAGAGATCTCATCTGCCAGGAACATACCACCCTCTCTCATAGCTAACACCAAACTACCATCACACCATTCAAAGAGCCTCAATGATGACTCCTGCTGAAATAACGAATCATTATTTAATGTTAACTAATAACGGCAACCATGCAGGAATATTTCCGCACAGCTGCATGCGTTCTGCATGATGTAGCTCAATAACTTGTAACTTTTTTCGTATGCCGCTTTACTTCACAATTTTTGTAATCTATTCCATTAAGTCAGTCTGACGTCACAGTAAATTTATTCCAAAATACCTGGTCAGCGTTCTTGCCCCGTCGCGCAGGACGTAAACCACCCAGAAAGTCCGAGGTCTCGGTATGCAAGTGACAATTTACTGCATACAGTTTTCGCTTTTGAACAGCGGCGAATATTTGGCAGATTGTTGTCTTGCCACAGCTACAAGAGTTTCAAAAATCGTGATTTATTGTGCTTTACAAAGTGGGAACGGAACCATTTAAAAAGACAGGGTGGGGCACTAGAAAAAAACACCTTTCTTGTATATTAATTACCATACATATAACGTGAAAATATGTTAAAGATTAAAGAGAATATTAATTGATGTTTTCAAAAAAATGGAGAGGGAGCATGTGGCCTGTGGTCATAAAGTTCTTCCGGTTCCACGTCCGGTGGAAAAATCAGCGGTGTTCGACGTTGCTAATTTAGAGCACTATAAGACCCATTTCAGACGTCGAACTTTTCATGTGCCGAATCGAATGCAAATGAACTTAAACAAAGGCTTTAGCTCCTGAACATTAGGTTCGGCACATGAAAAGTTCGACGTCTGAAACGGACCTAACTTACCCAGTCTCACCAACCAGTAAAACAGGTTCATTGAATTGCAGGGCACGAGCTACTAACACAGCCAGTCGTCTCATGTTGCACGTGAATACAACGTGACCAAATTCTTCGGGACAATTCTCGATTAGATCGTGAAGAATCTTCTCTGAAAAGAATGACAATTTTTCTTTGGACGGATGACCGAAGAGGCAGTGTACATCGATTTTTCGCTTCATGTGTTTTTGGATGACTTCTTGAACAACAAGTGTTTCTTGGTTGTTGCGACATCTCCCGGCAAGCAAAAAATATCCTAACAAAGAGTACATAACATATAACATACGAATTACTCAGCAATCTATCGCTTTATTATTATTATTATGATATTCATTGATGGTGCTCTATCTCTGAAGAGGTTATTTAAAAACAACAACATTCCAGCTTACTTACCATCTTCAGCTAGTTGTTGATTCCAGTCAAAAAACGTTCCTTCAGCGTCTTGTGACTTACTGTATCTGTCTGCCCAACGAAATAAATCTCGTAGAGTAATATACCCATGTTTTCCAGAAAACACTGTCGAACCACGACGGCGGAGCTAAAAAATGAACAGAAAAACCCACTGTTTGAAACACACGGTACATTTCCTTAAAGGTCGATGCACGAAAATTAATGAAGATTTGAACAATGTCTACCGCAAGTCCTGTAAAGTAGATCCTTATATCAATAATTTTTTATCCCAATCTTGCACTATACCTGAAGTTCAAGCATAATATTGACAAGTGTTTTGGAATAGGACAGCGGCAAGCTACATCTTTTATGCAAGATTGTCTCGAGTTCTTTGCTTGGAAGTTCTTCAAAATGGAGCTCAACGAATCTGTTTCTAAATGCTCTTGATAAAACCTAAGAAAAAGAAGAGAATATTATCAAAAATACCATCATAAATGTCTGGTTATGATGTTTTAATGGTATAATAAAATACAGACACCTTTCTTCCTCCATAATGGCCGGGTGGGTTTTGTGTTGCAAACAACATGAATTTTGGATGTGCTTTTACTGTTTCCTGGATTTCGGGAATAAACAGTTCACGGTTGTCGTCTAGAAGCTAGAATGAAAAAGTGCAGAACATCAGTTTGTCTTGGTTTGATTTTTTGTAGTTTATCTTGGTTTGAAGGCATTGTTTTTGCCGAACTACTGTGCAGTAACATACTCGGTTCAATGCCTCCAAAACATCAGTTGGCGCGAGATTGAGTTCATCCAAGATAATCCAGTATCCCTTTCGCATCGCATCGACAAGAATTCCTGAGGAATGAATAAGACAATGTAGATTTCAACAAAAAATACTTTACCGTAATGTGTTGAGCGAATGATGCGCGGGATAGCATGACGATAATATTTGTTGACAGGGAATCATCAAAATTTTAGATTACTACAAAACCAAGGTCAGTAAATCACTATACAAATGACGCAGAAATTAGATATCTATGTTTAAAAATCGTCTTTTGCAGGGTTCTTCACTTTTTATGCTCGAGAAGAACATAAACAAGAATTGAAATAAGTTAAATACCCACCTTCTTTAAAGACTAATTTCCCGCTGTTATCAGACGTGTAACAACCCAAGTATTCTTGAATATCAGTATGTTCGTGGTTGTTGATACGGACACAGTAATTGCCGCTCGCTTTCGCCAACCAATTTATGAGACTAGTTTTCCCAACTGACGTTTCGCCCTGTATTAACACTGGAAAATCCCTGAAAAACGACATGGCATTTGAAACTCAATTGTAAGTAAATTACCTTGTGGTGTACCTACAAGCTAATTTACTTATAAACTCAAATGTTTTTAGTCGTTTAAACATACTGTATTAAACAAACCTTCCAGACACAATACGGGCCAAGCACTTCAAATTGTCTTTTACTGAAGCTGTGAAAACATATTCAGATGACCTCGTCGGCTCAATATTTCCCTGACAAACCCAATATCCTTCAAAGTTGAGGAACTTTTCGTTTTTTAAAACTGGTTTTCGGAGAGGCTGGTTTAGCAAGCTACGGGCGTTCACGTGGACAAGTAACTTCTCCTGCAGCAAGGACTCGACAATCTTGTGTGATGATCTGTCAAGCTGAGTAAGAAAACTGATGCAAAAACTCTGAAATAAATAAGACGAAAAATGGAGCATCAGAACATTGGGGCGGCCAGGTCCATACCTTACGTAAATACACAAACAGCATAATGCCTGTATTCCATACAATTCATTCTACTGTACCTCGTACACAGAGCGCAATATGTTGCCATGAGGATTTCGTGAGGCAAGCTTCAAAGCTCGACACAGAGTACGCAAGCTGAAAAGATATAATAATATATTATATTAACTGATTCACCAGTAACGGATTAATAACGGACATAAAGTCCATGTAATATGTTGCGGATGATTTCAATAAATCCAGGCCATAGATATTCTCCACTTTTGCATAAATTAATCAGTGAGTTCACATTCTCACTTACCTGTAATAAGGTCGATTTCCACAGCCGTCTGTCAGCTTCTGACTCGCTTCTTCACGGATTACTAGATAAAAACTAAAACAAAAATCTCTCCTACAATACCTCCAGAAAGAGGAATAAAAGTGTTGTTGTTGAGCGTTTTTGTTGAGGTACACAATGTAGCTACTAACCTTACAATGCCGTCGATGAATGGTCCAGGTGGTGATAGTCCTTGAAGATAGTTAAAGACCAAGGTCTTTAAGTCAGGGATGTCTTGTAATTCATTGACAAACATCTCAGTGAAACGATTTCTTATTCCTGAAGGTAAGTCTTTCTTTCCTACATCATTTGCAGGGTTCATGCAGGCAAATATACGGAACTCTTCGTGACGAACAATTGGCTCAGCATCTCTGAAAACAAGAGCTTAATTTACTTGGCGAGTGAAGTAATGACTCTTAGGACAATATATATTTGAAATATGGACGTAAGTCGCTGAACGTCAAATAAAATTTACTGTTTTTCCAGATATCTTTTCTGGATATATATTATTTAAAGTTTTATGTCTAAAGTGTCAAAACAAAGAGAATTAAAGACGTTACACTCAACGTTAGACGTTGATGCAAATGTTTCTGGAGAAAGATTTTTTTAGAAATACTAGTGGCTCTTTGATTGGCGGAAATGACCTCCTAATAGCTTATTTACTTGTTTTGGCGCACAGTTTTTTACTATATATTGTATCCGACTTGTATGTTGCCCCAACTCACCCTCTTTCCAAAACAACCACGGACCCCTGTTGACTTTCCAGAACCCCATTCAAACATTCCAGTGTTTCTGGCGTGGCTAAATTAATCTCGTCCAGTAGGACCCAGTGCCCACTCTTGATAGCTTTGACCAAAGCACCTTCAATAAATGAGAACATTTGCGCAGACTCGGCATATTTCAACTGCTGACGAAGATGTTGTATACGTTGACCAACTTTTTTCCAAACGAGCAGCAGATTGTGACCATTACTTGTATCTAATTAGGTAAGAAAAGAATCTATGGGGAGATCTCGGTTACATGGGAGGAAATATTCGATTATAATTCGATTGAGATACCTTTGGAGATTTTGTCTACTGCAGCTTGTTGTGCATGGAGCATCACCTTGAAGAGAACTTCCCATTTTCTTTTCCCAAAACATTGCTGCACATTTGTAAGAAACTGCACATTCTGTTTCCTTGAAAATGTCTGGCAAAACAAATTTTCGAAGTCTTCTCGAACTGGTGCGACAAGCTGCTTCATCTCCATTGGTTTAAACCCGCCAATCAAATCAGTGGAATCACTCTGCTGACTCATGTTGATCACAACCAAGGAGCGGTTACATAGCGCAGCGAGGTATTGTATTGCTGACGTCTTACCAGTTCCAGTCTCCCCAACTAACAACACTGGCTCATTCTGAGATACACAAACCGCCAAAGACTCGAGTAAGGTCAAAGAGTGTCTGGTGAACGCAAAATTTGGTTTCTCAGTAACTTCCTCCTCCCGCAGTTCACGGTTCAATGTCACTCGTCCAGCAGTGAAACATAGTGGGGCCACTTTAAGATCCGGTTTATATATATTACATACAAAGTCAACTTTGACTTTATTTATGTTTAGTTTAGCACCAATAGCTAGTGCAATGATTAGTCGATGTTCAACATTTGAAATAGTTGCACAAAAACAGTCAATTGCCTCCTGGAATATATCTTGTGAGCTGAGTAATGTCGTTCCCGCGTTGCTCAGCGCGTTTACTCTACGACACCATTTCATAAAATCACGAACAGTTGATAAGCGTTTGTCTGCGGATAAATTTCTGGTGTCTGGTTTTGAGGTTAGCTGAAGATCGGACGAGAGCAATGAAAACGTGTCCACAAGCTTGCTGGCCAGAGGTTTTAAGTTGGGAAACTTTACCACGACAATCTGGAACGAAATGAGAAGAATGTGGTGAAGATCTCTTATTACAGCTAAATTGTTTCCTAGTCTAGATTTTTTTTTCTAGAAAAATCCCTTATTTTTGCTAAATTGTTTCCTAGACTTGTCCTAGCATCACTTATTTTCCGACCACAGCCACAATATTAATTTTTATTCGGCCAATACAACGAAACTGAGCCCACCTCTTCCAATTCATTCTTCGTCAGCGGTTCAATGTGAATTGTCGACCACAAATGTTCCAACAATGAAGATTCCGAATTTGATCTTCTGCTAACTCCTCCAACCCTGATGAGAGAAAAACCAACAAATCACATCGAAAATATCTCATTCTGCTTGCCTTAGGTGGCCTAATTGACGTGCATATATCAGCAACCATTTGTGTCTCCAAAAGCCAAGCGGAACCATACCTTTGTGTAGCGAAAAGCTGAAAACCAGAGTGAGCTTGGATATTTTCCTTTCCAGGAATGGTCATCACACGTGACTCCAGTAGAGGAATAAGAACAGATATTACATCCATAGGTGCACAGTCGATGTCTTCTAACAAAAGCCAGCGTCCTTCTTTTACAGCCCGTGTTAATATACCAGGTCTCCAAACAAACTCTCCTGGGACATCGGAACAGCAGTATGAACCAATCAACGCCTAAATGAACCGTGGCAAATACGACCAGGATTAGAGTTATAAACGTTTTTAAAACATGATTTATAGGCAGGGGCAGCCTCATATCTTGCTTTTACTAGCAATTACAAAAACGCAGGAAGGGGGGGGGGGTTTACTCTATCAATTTGAAGATGACATAGCATTACGTTGATAAATCTGCTTCAGACAATGCTAGAAACGCATCAATTAAGGACAGTCGTCCGCGGACACTGAAACTAAAGAAACACGCGAGGGAACTCAGCTGCCCTTTACAAAAACTCTCTAGTATGTGTCAATACAGAAGTGCCTTTTCACGAGAATTTGCCTCTTTTCATCGTATCGTTTCGGTTGTCCCTGATTAACTTGTCCTGATAATCACTGATCAGCGATTGTCTGCGATCCGAGTCTTATTATTACCCGTGCTTATATATCACAATAGGACTTCATTCTACAGTACTTCTTTATTCAAAATTCATAGAACCTGAGCGATAAAATACCGTTGTGGTTTGCTCATGCTCTAATAAGAATTCTTAAACTAAATAAGGTTGAGGTCATGAGGTTGAGGTATCAAGAATTGTTAATACCTCAACCTCATAACTTGGGTATAAAACTATACCTTGCTATCTGTTTGATCTCCAAGCTGCACTTTAAGCAAGTGTGGTGGCTTATCTCTTCCAGTCAAACTGGCAAAATGCTCAACCAATGACGTCTTCCCGCTTCCAACACCACCAGAAAGCAAGATACCTCTACCAGAAACTAATGCAACTGAAAGAGCTTCAACATTTCTTCTCATTGATGGAACTGCTACCAACCCTTGTGAGCATAAATTTACTTTTGAGATTCTTGGTATCAACATATTTGCTGTGATCATATGCAATTCACCAAAATCTTGCTCAGTGAATACAATTTTGTTTGTTATTTCAGTATCCCTTTTCCCATTGTTTCGTACATCTGAACTGTCTCCATAGATATTGCCTTGGACATTTGTTTTCTCTATTGCTAGATCATTTCTAACATCATTTCTTTGCGCATTTGTTTCATTCATTTCCAATTCCATTTTTTGATTATACATGTCCTGATCACTCCCAAAGAGTTCCATATTTTCTCTGTTATTGCAATTCAAGACAATTGACATGGCTCTTACAAAGAATTGTTTAGTTTCTTCATTTCTCAAGTAATAAACCTCACAAAGCATCCCCCAATCCCATAAACCACGAAAAGTCACTGGTGAAAAACGCAGGAACCTATAGGAAGTTTCAACAACTAATGCATATTCCTCAGGTTTCATTCTTTGGCCAAAAAATGGTCCAAATTCATTGAAATATTTTAGAACAAATGATAAGATATATGGATATGATGGTAATAAATGGCTCAATGTTAAACTAAACTTCAAATGGTTTGATTGTTTGGCTTCACTATCTCTAACCAAAACTTGAGTTCTTGTTAGTATTTCCAAAATGATACCACAGAAATGTTTTGCAATGCACAATCCTTTCTGGTGTTCCAGCATCCATTCAGCAAGTTTTTTCAAAAGCTGTTGTTTATTATCAAAGCTCCAAGACTAGAAATATAAACAATTTTTTGAAGATATATTGAAGACATTATACATACATCATGCAAATATTGAAAGATAGATATATTGAATCAGAGACTGCATGGTGAAACAATATATATAATTTACTTTTTCTCAGTCGGTTAGTTTTCTTGGTCTAGAAACAGCTGCTTTATATAGTGAACATGTATTTCTTTTTCATACCAACCTGATGCAAAAACATCTCCAACTCATCATGAGTAAACACATAATCCCTTTTCAAACTTGCATGTGAGAATTTGCAAACTATTGTGGACCCACTTTTCATCTAAAGATAATATGTGAAACCATTGGTACCAAACCTCATCTACCACCGTCAATATAAACATAGACCATTATATGGTTGGTATTATATAAACTTTATATAAACTTGGACCAAGTCCATCCTTATATGGATGGGCATTTTATTGAAGGTGACTTTTCCTCTGTTTGGCCAACGAGAATTGCCTATAAATTACTTAACGACAACGAAAACATCACGAACAGCTATACGCTGGATACTAACTTCTACACAGGCTTGGCCGTTCTGATAATCAAGACATCTAATCGTTTCATCCTTATCTGAACACTCGTCTTCATCCATGATTCTTTGATTTCTTTCCATTCACCTCTTCAATAAAAGTTGTTGCAGCAATACAAAATCAGTTTAACTTTGTTGTACTTATCTCTGTATCGTATTAAATGATTCATTATTCAACTCTGTCGATATATACATAATGTCACAGATATACAAGCTATGGTAGCAATGATAGTATTAAATGATACAATTCATATAGTACAGTATCTACCAATACTACCATGTGATCGACATATTACGAAACATTCCTCCATTGATCTCAAAACAAACTGGACATACGCTTGACACTTAGGCAAGTTTATACGTGGCATTTTGGTCGCGTCAAATGCAACTCAAGCAATAATGAGATGATATCAGCTCATATTATCTATTTTTTTTAACATGACCAAAACGTATAAACTAGGTCTCGGACAGAGGCGGTCCCAGACTGATGCGAATCATGCGACTGCACCAAAACTTAAATACAAAATTGGCGTAAATTAGACTAGTTTAATCAGTCAGACATGATAAAAAATAGTGATGGACTTCTATACATGAATATGATATATTCAACCTTGGCATGATCGAACATACCGCAATATGGTATATTCGACCATGGTAGAGTATACCGTTTTTTCAAAACAACCACGTCCACAATATTAATGATAATGCTAATTTTATTAATATATATGTTTTCGTATACAAGTAATTGTACTGTAAATCTCACTTTATAAAATATGAAAGGTAAATTATAACAATTAGCTACAGCCCTACATGAGTCATATTTACTTAACTAGTAATAGTATACGTTATTAACTGTCATCTTATGCCTATGTATGTATGTATCTACATTCCAGAAAAATTGTAGATCTGTGTATTCATCGCCAGAGATCGGAACTCAACAACGAATGTCTAAGGAACTTATAATTTTCAAAAACCAAATATTGGGTTACCATCGCATATTTTCCCGTCTCCTGAGTATCCTTTGTTACAGGTGCAGGTGTAAGTTCCAGGACCTGTGTTTTTGCATGTAGCAAATTCACTGCAGTCATCCTCAGGTGTTCCACATACATTGATTTCTGAAAACAGTTGCAATTGCAAAATAAATTACAATACTGATGCAAAGCATACTAAATTATAGCTGAAATCAGTTGCATGACCATTCAGTTTAAAAAAATATTAAGTTCCGACGCAAAAGAAAAGATATCAAATACGAAGTACTAGCATGTCGTTCGCTCTTTTGTGTAAACGAAAAACTTGCTTGACCTTTAAAATCTTGTTCCGTCGCCAGTATAGCAAGACATGCAAGTACAAATATAACCGCCCGGACCAGTATTCGTGCAAGTAGCAAGCTCACTTCAATCATCTTTTTGGACTAACAAATTTTTCAACTGCTTAAAAAACAACAAACTATTTTGGGCCATCATATTACCGTGTGTGAAATGTGCCGTGATAGGAAAGACAGTAAAAAAATGTGATAAGACTTTATTAGACAATATTATAGTCCACAGTCTTATTACTTTTAGTCTAAATACGTTATTTCGTGGATCTGCATGATAATCAGCATTTAAAAACTTTTATTAGGAAATTGAATAATTTTCTTCGTTTAGTGAATTAGACCATTATTATTGTTGTCCAGATATACGTATTCATACCTTCACAAGATTTACCATCTCCAGTATACCCTTCGTTACAGACACACATGTACGTTCCAGGTCCTGTATCAGCACACGTAGCAAATAGACTACAGTCGTCTTGTGATGTTCCGCAAATGTCTGTAACTAAATCAAGTTAACAATATTAAATTTCAATATAATTTACCATTTGTTAATTTCTTATTCAAAATTATATACCTAGCACTTTAACACACTATAGATACATGATAAATTGTACTAATGTGTTGTAAAATGCATCATGCTTACCTGGACAAAGTTTCTTCATGATTTCTTCAACTCTCTGGAAGAGATCACTAAAGTTAGAGGCAAGGATAGCGTTTTCTGGATATTCTACCATATCTCTAAGGTGGTTCTTTGCAACTTCATTATCCAGCCCAACACCAATCGCAAAGACATTGATATTTTTATTGAAGAAAAGCTTCATCGCCTCTCCAACATAAATGTATCCTCTTGCTCGAGATGATTCTTTAGTTTGTTTGCTATCCGTGATAACCATCAAAATTTTCTTAACATCGGGATCATCCTCTCGATATCCAGCACGCTTAATAGCAACTTCAAAATATGCAAGTCTTATGCCATGATGTGTTCTTGTTCTACCGCCTAACAAGGGTCCAGGCATATTAGTTACTGCATCGAAGAATTTCTTTGCTTCTTGGCTTTCTTTTAAAGTTAATATTTTCTCTCCCCTTTCACTAAAGGTAACAATGGCAGCTTGTCCAATGACCTCCCCTTTTTCATTTCTTTCACCGACTTTCAGTTCTTTTCCTATTTCTTTAACAAACTGACGCATTTTATCATAATCTGATGGTAATATACTACCAGATCTGTCGAGTAAGAAGATCACGTCTGTTTTTTATTTGCACTGTGCTAAAAGAATAATAGCAGCAATTTGGCATGTAAAGTTCTTCTAATGAAAAATAATACATCATTAAATAGAAGAGAAATTACAAGTGGAACATATAAGATAATTTATCATATGGCTATTCAAGATCCCGTATTCTGATTGGTTGACGAGCGGTCCGTAAAAACCATATCCGGACAGTGGTCCGTATATTCCGTATCTGGACCAGTACCCCGGATGTCCATTGTTGTTCAGCCATATAATAAACAGATTATTGACTTCGCTTGTTCGATCCGTACTGTGAAATAACAGACCGAGTTTCTCGCTCCTTTGTCGCTCGGTCCATACTAAAAAGCCCCGATCTGATAATTCACAGTACAGACCTCACGCTCGGCCAATAATCAGTTAAAATCTGTCGAAAACAGGGCGTCTAATATCACGAGAGCACCTTTCTGAATGCTAAGATGCTTCTTGTCGTCCAAGTCCACATATCTCATATGAGACACTCATCCTTTTACCTTAAGAAACGTATAACCATCCCCTTTAATTCTTATTATTGCCATACATTCACAAGTTTTCCCATCACCAGTATATCCTTCATTACAGGTACATGTGTAAGTTCCAGGTCCTGTATTAGCACATGCAGAAAATTCACTGCAATCGTCTTGTGGAGTTCTGCATACATTGATTGCTAAAGGAAACAATAATGAAGTAATGATAAAAGCATCGAATGAATTCGACCCGGCAAGGTCGAATATACTGGAATATGGTATATTCGACCTTGGTAAGGTCCATAGTAAGGTTCAACCTTGGTAAGTGCAAATATACCGGAATGTTAAGGTAGTATATATCGTAATATGGAATTGTTCCGCATATTTTTGTTTCTAGGCAAAGGAAAACAAGAAAAAAATACACCCTGGAAAATGTTAAACGTAACTAACTAAAAATTTTGTAGCTAACTGTCAGCACTTGGTTAAAAGCACACTGACCCACGACGTAGTACCTTTACACATAGGAATTTGATAACTTGCTAGGAAATCTAAAATCTGGCATGATAAATGTACTGTGTTTTTTCCTTGAATAAAATGATATCCTTTGTCACACATCAACGTCACATGATTCGCCTTTAGTTGTTGAGTTGCAAATTTTGTGTGTTCAGGTAGTTTGATGTTCCGTAATAACTTTCCGCATCGACGTTTCCCGTTCACCTCTGAAAAGACAAAATATTTTCATCTCTGTTTTGCCATGCAAAATCTCGCGAACACGCAGTTACACGCTTCTTAGGGTTCCCTAAGTCCATGGAGATCACTACCTAATTCTAGGAAAAGCAGTTTAGAGTTATATCTATTCAGTACAGTAGATCAATAATATGCATGTAGATGGTTGTAATTTAACATCTGCGACTTCGAATTACTCACTTACCTGAAAGGAGGAACAACAATAAACAGACAATCTGCAGCAAAATGAACCCTTTGGTTTCGATGCCTTTCATATTTCGACGTAGTACAGCGTTTCAGACAACGTTAAAACTATTGGTTAGTTTGTTCTCCTTCGTAACTTAGAAGTCCTAGAAAGGTAGTCGGACATACATCATCATCTTCTGAATAGTATAATAACTACGTATGTCTATTATAGTAATCACATTCCCACTCAAAAGAAACTCCAACCCTGACTCTTCTACCTTATTTTAGTTATTTACAAAAACAGTCCATCTTACATTCACCATGGTGCTCTTGACTTACCGTGTTTAGAGCTCTGCTCTAGAGAACGAATATCAATATTGTATACCAATTTCCAATACTCTCCTCGTAAATATCCATAACAGCTTTCCGTAATTTGACTCCCGAGTTCAATTTGATGACATCTGAATTTATCGTTTCAAAACATATCAATGGTATTAACGAAACTGAAAATACGTCTTAACATCATTGCCTAAATTAAGTGGTATTGGAAATGCTTATAGTTTTCCACATCATTTTGAAGTGATCCGGCTCCAAAGGGAACAAATTAAGCCAGCGTATGGGAAAAAGACTTCCTCTCGCCTTACATGGCATAAATAAAACTGCTGGATATATTGCCAATTTGTTTAATAAACCCTCATCTTGCAGAGGCATACCACTGGTTCCAGATCGCTATCAGATACTGTAGTGATTGTTGAAACAACGTAAGTTAACTTAAGTCGCATGCGGAGAAATTTTTCATATTGTACCATCCTGATTTGGCACTTTAAATTTCGCAGCTGTTTTCTTATGTTTAAAAACACTGAAGGAAACATTCAATCAACTGCCATTAATGTTCCACACCAATATTGTAAATAACAAAACATCAGGAGCCGGTTGCTCGAAAGAGTTGTGGATAAGTCAAAATTTAAAAATACTCTCATACATCTTGTGAATGACTGAACCTGCATTTTATGCATTAAATATGTACTTCCATTGAAAATTAAGCTATATACTTCGAAATATTTCACCTCATTTGTCACATAGAGATAATTTCGTTTTCGAACAACCGACCGCAGACAGACGTTTCCCGAAGGAGCGATAAACAGCTAAAATGCGATTTTGTTATTAAAGGAAACTAGAAAGTTTTACAGTTGAATGGGATCATGTTATCTTATGTTTTGGCATGGAGAATACGTCTTCCTTTGTGTTCGTGTCTATTTTGTGTGTTTGTTCCGCGATGGAATATTTAATGAATTATGATACCCCATCTGGATTGTGGGTGTTTCAGTGCAGCAATTTTCGATAATTCAAAAGAAATTCAACTAAACACGAAAACATTTCAAAAGATCGTGAAAACCTATCGAAAAACTTTGCGGAATAAAATCAATATTTTGGGGCAGTCGTATATTCAAATGACCATTTACAGCTTACGAGAACAATGGCAAAGGGGGTCGTAAATATAACATGACCTGTTGAATGTGCACAGAAATTTAGGCACCAGTTTAATTGGAAGATAATGCGATCACTCAACCACCTTGAGACAAAACAAGTTGATGTGATTATAATTTCATAAAAAATAGGCCATCATGCAATATAAATCATGCAGGGGGTTATGGTAATCGGTGAGGAAATTTTATAGCTGCACAGAAGTGCACGAAATGGTAAAATTTATGCATTTAAATATATAACATTGTTTCGGTCTGTCCTGCATCAGTACCAGCCTCGTACCCAGGCGCTTTAGTACTAAAACATATAACGTTGCATTCAGTTGTATAGAGGTCAGCTCAGAAATATACAAGCACCCAAGCGCGTTCGCTTTTTTCTCAGCTGGCCACTATATGATATCTGAATGCAACGTTATATGTTTTTCTACGAAAGCGCTGGGTACGAGGCTGCATCAGTACATGCATTAAATCTGCTCTTTGAAGGCACCTAATTAACTAATTCTATGCGATAATTACGCAATAATGCACATGTACGATATCTATACTCATGTACATATAGTGTTTGTTTAACCGAAGCCGGAAGGGCTGAGCCAAAAGGAGGTTAAACTTTTAGAAAATGTACAATATCATCTTCCAAATTTCATCATACACAAAGCCTACAAAAGCTACAAACACATTTGAACATAAATAGTTTGCACAGTGTACACATACGTATACCCACACTGGTATACCCAACTAACCCAAGAGCTTTCAAGACTCAAGCTAAACAAATCAACTACGCCGAAAACTTTTCAAAACGGCTCTATATTCTATTGATTAATCAAGATGTCGCCAAACAGTTTCTAAAATCTACGGTGACGATCATTATGAACGTTTTTATGATTTTCCTCTATGTAAATTTGAGTTCATTATGCATGGATAAAATACAAATAAATGCCACACCCTAAGTAACACCACAACTCGTTTCCCACGATCCTGGTAGAAAACCCAGGAAGATATTACGGTTCAGTCCTCTTTGTAGAACCATTCTATGACAAGTTGGGGAGGATTCGACCAGTTTGAATTACACCCAGATTGCATACTAGGAACTAGACAGATTTTACTTGCCAACAGGTATATGACTTCATATACATGCACTATATAGCCTTTCTCTTTCATTCTTATACGTACCTACTAAAAACAGCCATACTGACCTTTTCAGTTCGCCCTGTTGATAATGAGTTAAACTAAAAGACCTGTGTTATTTAATAATTTCAAAACAATATTGATCAACTACTGAAGAATGACCTCGTGAAATTTATTTTTTATGCTGTCTACTCTTTCATGCATTAATTTTGTTATTACTTTGTTTTCCTATACAGGTTGTATAAAAAATCTCGAAATTTCTACTCAGTTGTTTGTTTGCTCGATTATTTAGTAGCTAACTTGACTTTCACACTGTTTCAATACATTCACAAGCTATTTGACATTCATTGGCAATTGAAATCTTTTGCGTTTTGAGAACAAAGCTGTTTTCCTGTGAAAGTTTTTTATACATCCTGTATTTTTCTAGTAATCCCTAGTATATTTGTCTTTTAGTGAACTGCGACGCTTTAATTAGCCTTTACTATTAAGAATACGTCGCAATTTCCGAAAATTTCAATGAACTTTAAGTCTTACTTTTGGATAGTCGACAGTACGCTTATTCTTTAAAAAGTTTATTTAGTTGGCTGGCAAATAGGTGGAGGATCACTCCAAGTTCCATCTTGGCACTGCAAAGTAGCGCTTCCACTAAGTGTGTAATGTTGATTACAGCTAAATATTATGAAGTCCTCGTGCTTTCTACCTGAAATCTTTGAAATGAAACCATTTTGAGGCGCAACAGGAGTTTCGCACGGTGCTAAAACAGAACAAAGACGATATTTTCTATTTGCTAATTTTTACACTAATTCCCTTCATGTTTCATGAGTTGACATGGATCGTGATCCATTGTCACTTGTTTCATCCGACAAATACATACCATAACACTTCGGGTGGGGTTTTTGAGACCATTTCCCACTTCTGCATAACATCCCAGGTTTTGTGGTTGACATTGTATAATTTGGATAACATACGAATACCACTCGACCTCCATGAAAGGACTCGTTTCTTTTTGCATAACCGCCTTTTATCTTCCCTACAACCGCACAATTTATCACTGGACCTGAAAAAGCCCGAAAATCAGCAATTTTTATCTTTATCATTTAATAAAATGTCACAGTGGCATGGAATAACACGCTAGCTGGATTCTCGGAAATATTCACAGCATTGTACTGTTAAAGATTCGCACCTCCCAGTTTACACTTCGGCTGCGGTCCACTCCATTTACCATTATCTAAGCACGTGATCTCTTTTGATCCAGATAATTCCCAGTTTTTGGAGCAAGAAAATATTCTTTTTGATCCAGGACTCACGCCGGTTCCCTTTACGCGTCCTTTCCTGAGTTTGGTGATGTTTTTACAAACCTTTGGTTGACCTAAATCACAGTGGAAACACAAATATTGCAAGAAGATAGAATTATTTTATCTATTATAGTGACAAAAGTGTTCTACCAATTGTTGTGATCATATTCGTAGTAGGCGTTGTTGATATCGATGGACTTCGAACTAAAAAAGTTTAAGAAATAGTCGAGTAAAAATTATGACTACTGCTTTATTATGACTATATTAAACAGGTCTATTATCAATCTCGTCCTTCGTCAGTCGCAATTTTAACGAGTGCACGGTAGAGAACCTTGATTCTTTAAAACTGTATTAAAAAGGTTATATAATCTGTAGTAATGACATGTAGGGCGATCATAACCAGGGACTGAGTACTTGTTCTGTCAAAAATTCCTGGAAAATCACTGGTCCACGACAATAGTTGAAAGCTTCTAGTTAAAACGCGTCGGAATCAAATTTTGATCCAGGAAACAATTCATTTACAAGCAATGCTCTTATGCCCATGATGCGATAAAATTTTGCAATTTATTTAAGCTCTGGTTCTCATATGTCGCCGACGATCGACGGTCGATGAGTTCAGAGTCGGACCACAAGCACATTAATTTTATGCCCGCGAACATCAACTCTATTGTTATATCAGTGGCTGATCTAGGGGTAGTTATCTTTTGATCTTGTTCCCTTTTCTGTATATTTATTTAAACGTCATTATTACCACTCTTTTGCTCATCATTATACCAATTTTACTAAAACAACTGTAATAATTAGTTAACACATTTTGAGAAAGAATTTGTTTGATATACCTTGAAATTTACATGTTGGTGCTGATGCATTCCATTTACCAGTATTTGTGCATCTAATCACTTTCTCCCCCTCCAGTGAGTAGTTTGGATCACAGAAAAAGGTTATTTCATCATCTTCAAATTTTCCTTTGGCACTTATCCTGCCGTTTCTAACAAAGGATATTGGTCTGCAAATAGCTAAAGAAGAATGAGATTCTTATGGATTAATATTTGTTAATTACTCAATGACGTTGAGCATGATATGAATAATTATAAATTATTACGCCTGACTTAACTACGTCTGTATTCTAAGGCCTAGGTTATACGTCGCATTTTAGTCGCGTCGAATGCAATCCAAACAATAGATAATGAGATGGTAATGAAACTTAGTGAGGTTAATCAGCTCATTATCTATTGTTTGAATTGCATTCGACGCGACCAAAATGCGACGTATAACCTAGGCCTAAAGCCGGTTTTCCACTAGCGATATTTCTCGCGCGAATCGACATTTTACTTTTGTTCCAGAGCTCTCAACTGCAACCATCTGGAACAAATTGCTCAAATACAAAGGAATAAAGTCGCTTCGCACGAAAAATATCGCTAGTGGAAAACCGGCTTAAGAGCTCACTTGTAAACCCGTGAAGTTATTCAGTGAGAAATCTAAATTACTTAGTGGCGATCTCGTAAAAGCTTATTTGCACGAGCGAAAGCTTGATTTTTGCTATTATACTTCCAATTACCATTTATTAGGAAAAGACTAGTTTATTGATTAGCAAAAACACAAATTCTCAAATTAGATGGTAGAAATTTCACACACATAGAGAATAAAGCCGGTTTTCCACTAGAGATATTTTTCGCGCGAAGCGACATTTCACTTTTGTTTCAGAGCTCTCAACTGCAACCATCTGGAACAAATTGCTCAAATACAAAGGAATAAAGTCGCTTCGCGCGAAAAATATCGCTAGTGGAAAACCGGCTTAAGTGCTAGCGAGAATACAGACGATAAGCTTGATAATTCTTCAGCATTATTGTGCAAAAATCTCATACGATAATTGCTTACCCAAGCAGCGGGGAATTTTCTCCGACCAAACACCGTTATTACACTGGGAAATAATTGAGCCACGCTGTTGGTAGCCTTGGTTGCAAGTGGACAAAGCGATATCACCATGCCGTCTTCTATCATTGGGATAGCGGGTAACGCCATTACGTATTTGTGGCAGAGGTGGACACGGGGCTACCAGAAAAATTTGATAAAATTATCTTGTTTCATTCTATATTAAGTATGTTTAATTCTTTATTAAGTATCTTTAAGAGCTGAGCACAATATTGAAGACATTATCTGTGCTAAATTATGTGTATTTTTGAGATACATAATTTCTACAATAAACATAATTTATCTTTTGATATATCACACTCAGCAGAGCAATAATTTCAATTTTCATGCAATTTTCAGTGCACGTGTAAATATACCTTACGTGATCTCTGTAAATATACCTTACGTGATCTCTGTAAATATACCTTACGTGATCTCTGTGAATATACCTTACGTGACTCTGTAAATATACCTTACGTGATCTCTGTAAATATACCTTACGTGATCTCTGTAAATATACCTTACGTGATTTCTGTAAATATACCTTACGCGAGTAAATTTTATACTTTCCAAAGACCGCATAATATTTTAGTAGCTACCTTTACACCATGGCATAATTCCATCCCATCGTCCGTTTTTGCAAGTTAACTTCTTAGAGATTTCTGGTTCCAGAACACCGTCATCAGAACAGATAAATTCCACTTCCATGCCATTGTAGAACTGATCTCCGACAACTCTCGCATTTGTGTCCTTTGATGGATCAGGACACTTTCCTATAAAAATGATATATAATAAATAGGAATTATTTTGTCTAATAACAAGTCATAGACATTGTGTACTTTCGTTTTTAAAAACCTCTAAGCTTCAAAAACACCTTCCTTCACATTAGGGATGTACGTTTGGTTCTGTATGCCTGGTATTCCCGAAATGTCCCATAGGTATTGATAGCGCCCTTAGAAACATAGTGAAACTTTATAAAACCCTTACTTTCGCATCGAGGAATTCTGTTATTATTCCAAATTCCAAAATTGCATAACCTGCTTGATGTACCAACCATCTGAAATCCCCGATTGCATCTAAAGACTACCTCATCTCCATGTTTGTACCCATCTTTTATTTTTTTACCATTTCTCGGCACTGAAAGATTTCGACAAGGTTCTAAAAGAAAAACCCCGTCACGATATGAATAAAACTTTCGAGTAGAGAGCTCGAGAGCAAATTGTTAGTGAATACGTATAATGGGGCACTGAGAGGCCGAGATTGTTGATCGATCTGTCCAATAATGAATGGCGTATAGTGACTAAATCATATGTTGTTTGGCAAAGTAAGCGATCTAGATCCACTAAAATGAACTGAAATGTACATCAGAGTGCATGATCGTTCATCTTTTTCATACTCGTAGACAAAATAATAATTGAGAGTTTAATTAACGCGTCAGTTTAACTGCTTGAGTGCTTAGTCCATTCTTTAAACTAATAAAAGTCAAAGGAAAAGATCTTATGCGCAATAGCATATACTTAAACAAACCTCCACAACTAGGCAGTTGGCCTTGCCAATCACCATTGTCACAACGTAATGATGTATCCTCGCCATCAATCACGAATGGATCCCGACATCCAAATATAACTTCTTCGTTATGACGAAATCCATTCCGTTTTATATAACCACCAGGGAATGGTTGAACACCGTATTTTCTGCATGGTGCTGCAAGTGATTAATTATACAACTTAGACGATCCAAAGTTTGTTACTCATGATAAAATTATCTGAAAAAATGTTTCTTGATAATAAAATATCCACATTAATAATAGTGAAAAAACATAAACAGAAAACAATCCTCGTTTGGCTTGTATTTTAAATCGTTTCTTAGGGTAAGAATACGAGTGTACAGAACGACTGTAACGTACTCATTTAGTTATTATCTGTCGTGCATGTTTTGTCTTATCTCTCCTAGGAATAAATTATGTAGAGGGCAATTACAACACATCATTTGAAGTTTATTACTGACACCTACCTAAACATTTTGGCACATTACCATCCCATTGTCTATTTGAGCATAACAATACGTTTTTTCCTTGCAAGTGGTAGTCCAGATCGCATTTAAACCGAATCTCTTCGTTATGCTTATAACCTTGCTTTATTATTCTTCCGTGAACTGGTGAATTCAGTCTTCGGCATGGCGCTAAACGGAAAAAGATAATGGATGCTTGAACGATATCTATTCTCACTAAAAAACGAAAATTTGTTTTATAATGAGGTAATGAAGCAATTCATCCCCTCACATGTTACCTCATGCAAGACATTTGAAAAGATATCTAAACTATATTGATGCAGGATGCGTAAACGTTCGAACCATCACAGACGCTTTCAAACCATCACAGACAAAACCAGATCTCATGTAAGAGAGTCTGGTACGCCTACAAAGGCGCTGCGCTTACTAACCTCTACAAGTTGGTTCCGCGGCACTCCATCGTCTATTTTCAGTACATGTGATTTGTGGCTCTCCTTCCAAAACATAATCTCTTCTGCAACGGAATCTCAGCACATTTCCTTCTAAATTACCTCGTCCATCAACCCAACCATTGGTTATGCTCCGAATTGTTTTGCAAATTGCTGGAAATAAAAAAGAATTCGTTCTAAATACCGTCTATTTTAAGGCATAGGATAAATTGGGAAAAGCAGGGGTAAATTGGGATAAAAAAGAACATCCTTGGTATCATTTAATCAAATTTTAACCGCGCATATTAGCTGCCTACATCCTTATAACAGAATTAGCCCCGTTTACACTTCACTCGATTTATTGGCACGGCACGGCAAAAATGGGTACCCGTACTCTGTACTCATTTCATCTGTGCTCCGCCTTTGTTTTGGTAGCCTCAACACTAATAAAATTGGATGCGGGTACCAATTTTAGCCGTGCCGTACCGATAAATTGAGTGTAGTGTAAACGGAACTATTGTATGAATGCTCGCTCGATCGCTAAAATCGTATTCCATAGGCATAGCAGCATTTTAAGATGACTTCCATTACGAAGAGTTATTGCATGAGAATGATCAGAATTAACCTTTCTCGCGATGACGTTTTGGGGTACTTTCAACTTTCTGAAATGGGTTTAAAAATTATGTTTAAACATCAAAAGCAATTTTTTTAGAATAAACAGACCATTTGAAGAATAAATTCAGGCTAAAATTAAAGACAGTCGCCGTTACCAAGTCTTACGCTCACGGTTTTTGAAAAAAGTACCCCAAAATGGCGGCATATTTGTCATCGTGAGAAAGGCTAATTGGCTGCAGTGTCAATTGCTTTAATGACGTCATTAGTTAACAATGGTTAACAGTTGTTATGCTGATCCGCCCTAGACTACCACAGCATTCACATTTACATTGTAGTCATTTTAGTAAAAGTTGAACTTACCCAAGCATCGTGGCATTTCGGATGACCAATTGCCATCATCACACTGCACTCGTGATTGACCAACCAGTTGATGACCACGGTTACAATAAAATAGAACAGAAGAGCCATGTGTTCGACTTTCACCTCTCTTCCTCCCGTCGGATAGACGTGGCAAAATCGGGCATGAAGCTGCAGTTACGAATGTTTATTAAATATTGTTTTACGGTACGTTTTAAATCTGCAGGGAACAAAATGTTCAATACAATGTTGACCTCAATCTTACCTTTACATGAAGGTATTGTTCCACGCCATTCACCATTCTGACATGTCAACTTTCTTGGTCTTGAAGGAACAAGAATGGAATCTCGTGGACAAACAAATTCTACTTCTTTGCCGTGATAAAATTCCTCGCCTATCACTCTCGCATTCGTGTTTCCTGAAGGATCTGAACACTTTTCTGAATAAAACAGCGAAGTATCGGCGTTGGTTGTTTGAAACTACAATGATATCTTTACATGTACATGTGACATGCGCACTTGACAAGTTATCTTTCTTACCTAAACAACTTGGTAGGCTTTTAGACCATTTTCCATTGGTCTGACATGTAGCGAGTGAACTTCCCTCCAAAACATAGTTAGAGTTGCATGAAAAGGTAGCATCATTTCCATACGTGAAACCACCATTTGCGTTTGTCACACCGTTCTCTGGAACTCCAGGATCACCACAATCTACAACTGCGGAATAAATAGATTTGTTCGTGATAAGTTTTTTTATTATCGCAGCTGAGAAATACCATGCATCATTGTATGCGTCTAGTTTTTAATTGAAAATCGAAGTTGCCTCTGGGGTAGAAATCACGCTGATTCTGTCACATGAGCTCTAAATGCAAATGCATAAGGTTGGTCAACTATTACATCGCGATCACTTACTTTCGCATAACGGTGCACGATCACTCCAATTTCCATCACTAAGACATGTTCTCTTGGACGATCCCTTTAGATTATATCCAATTGCACATTCATAGTCGACGTAACTGCCACAGTAGATGGGTCTAGATGACAAGCGACGCTTTCCATGTGGTAATGAACTGGGGGGAGGACACGTTACTCCTACAAAATTTGATTATACTTAGTAAGATTGGTAAAAATTAATTACCAAATAGTACATGCACGATAAAAATGGCTGACTTAAAAACATTTGTCTTGGCGTTTGACCTAAAGAAATTATATTTCGTACGGCCTAAGTAAAATAGGGACTGTTCTTTAAGTTAGATGTTTGAAATCTGTTTATTTATAGCTTGCCAAACTCTCTTATTATTGCACCAGTTGTATTTGTTTCTGGTTACGCGAAAATACTTACAACTATTTTCAACTAAATTAAAGCAATTCCATCGTTTTAACGTTAAAATTTTGTTGGTTATCATGTCTACTCCCCATCGTTGGATATGTCTGGGCTGTCAGGTGTTCGTGTTCGTAAATATGATGATTGTACATTCATCATTTATACAGTCAGTATCTCAAAAATAACTTTTTGTATTGTTGCCGCGTGGAGCGTGCAAGATAGACAGTCGCTTACTTCTACAACTGGGCAGTTCATCACTCCAGGTTCCGTCTGCGAGACACCGACGATAATCTACGCCAGATATTTTGAAGCAGTCATCACAGGTGTATTGAACAGCATCGTTTAATGTGTAGGAAAGACCAGTTTTTTTACCATTTCTTGGTGTACCTGGATCCCCACAACTCCTTCCTAGGGAAATATGCCATAAAAATCTAATTAGCTATGATTTGCGGAGACTACGAGAACAAGTCACATTGTTATATAGGTGCTGTGTATTTTAAATGTGATTGGTTCATTCGTAGTCACATGACTTTAAATAAATGCAATGTTTCCCGCCAGGGAAACAAGTGAAAAATTGTTGCCTGCATATTGTCATAAAAAGGTTTTTTGATATGAAATTGTCGTGTAACATGTATGTTTTTGTTCCTATATAACAAAACACTTAATGTTCGCTACACCTCGGGAAATAGTGAGTTTTGTTTTCCCTCGAGTCTTGGGAAGCATTCAGACTCTTGGGAAAACAAAACTCACTATTTCCCTCGGGAGCGTACATTAAGTGCATAATATTGACTGGGTTTTCTAGTCATTTATTCCATCTTGTCATTTATTTTTATCACCCGTGTCTATTTCAGGGACGTAGCCAGGGGGGGGGAGTCGTGAGAGCCGCGGCTCCCCTCTTTGAAAAATTTATTGCTGATATATACTTACTTCAAGATGAATTAATTTAATAAAGAAGAATTAAATTCTCTCAGTCTTTCAAGTATGCTTGTTTTATTCAGCTCGGGCTGAAACTCAGTGTCATTCAGTTGTTGCCATGTAATCGTAAAAAAAACCCGGGCAGTAAAAATCGCTTTCACGTTGGTCATATTCGGCAAATTTTCTCCCGGTAAAGAGGGCTCAGTTTTTCAGCGGTCTTCGCGTGAAAAATTAAAAGCTTTTCGTTTTACGCCTTGCTCTCAATTTTGTGTAAGTTGTCCGCTGACATTATGAGCCTGCACGAGTGGGAGAAACTTAGCTAAGTTGGACCTGCGTGTTTGACAAAGCTTTTGCATTTGTTTATTTCATTTTCATGTGCAATCACAGTCCCTTAAAGGCTAAGTTACTGTCATTCAAGATTTTAATGCGCTCGAAGAATCCGAGTCCGCCGGAAAATGGCGAATTCGACCATGGTCGAGTCCGCCGGAAAACGGCTAATTCGACCATGGTCGAGTCCGCCGGAAAATGGCTTGTTCGACCATGGTCGAGTCCGCCGGAAAACGGCTGAAGGCACTAACGAGAATGCAGAGTTGACTGTCTGAATGTCTTTGTCGCTGTTTTACTGCTTTTAGGTTGATGAAAATGCTGATCTAGCTAATAAAATAAATGTTTGATGTTTATTAATGATCTCTGGTATTGTTTAATTCAGAGACTTAGCCATGCAGTGACTGGGGAGAGTATTCAGGGGTCAATTAAGGTGGTTTTTAGTCGATATAATTTTTTTTCGAACCATATCCGTTCCATATATGTTTAATAACAGTGTTTTTTTGTATGTAAAAGAAAAATTTGAAAAGAAAAAAATATTTTGGAAAGAACCTAAAAACACCCATAAGAGATCAACCAGCTCATGCCACAATCTAACCTGGTGATTCAACCGGCTGCAATATACCAACATGATAACAACTGCGAAAGGTGCAAGGACAGTTGCTATAGGAAGAACTCCCCCCCATAACTCACATCTTTACGGCCGTCTAAGGGGGAGATGCACTACGGCCCCCAGACCATGATGTATGTGCACCTAACCGTAACGTCTCAGTGAGAAACAGAGTAAGCTTTGCCACACGCCTAGCGCGTCATAGACGAATCAGCTACAGTGGCTAGCCTTGAGAGCGAATATAAATTTAACGTATTTAAGCTTTTCCTGGTCTCGGGAGGCGGTCTCTAACAAGCATATGCATAGAAAACGACTAATAAGGCACACGCTTGGAAATGTTAAGATTTAAACGCCCAAACGTTTTTTAAGTGTTTTCAGCGAAAAAATTTAGTGTTTTGATATTCTTTTAGAAATTTTAGTGTTTTGAAACAATCCTTGTTGGTTTTTAACGTCAAAATAGTCATCATTCTCGAAAAGAAACTCAATATAAATGACTGAACGGCTTAGTTTACTAAAATGTTTGTTGATTTTGTGTTTAGTATAGCCGCTTGATTCGCCGGTAAAATTTAAGCCTAATTGTAATTATATTATGTTGTAATGTATACAATTGTACGACGCATTCAACCATGGTCACGTCGCCCGGAGAATGGCGCATTCGACCATGGTTGAGTCCGCCAGAGAACGGCAAATTCGACCATGGTCGAGTCCGCCGGAAAATGGCGTTATCGACCATGGTCGAGTCCGTCGGAAAATGGCGAATTCGACCATGGCCGAGTCCGCCGGAAAACGGCTAATTCGATCATGGTCGAGTCCGGCAGAAAATGGTGTATTCGACCATGGTCGAGTCCGCCGGAAAATGGCGAATTCGACCATGGTCGAGACCGCCGGAAAATGGCGTGAATAAGGTGTCCTTTATTCAAGTATTGAAAATTGAAAATGGCGAGAATAAGGTGTCCTTTATTATTATTCTACATCTTGAATAAGCTTTAATACCGGTCGGAACGTTGATGTACAGTTGCTATAAAAGGCAACTAATGCTTTTGATCTTTTCTCTCTTCAATATCTCGATAAGTTATAACGCCATTTTAGATACGGCAAATCGCTTTCGCAAGAAGTCCCTTGAAAAATACTTTCGGCCCAGTTAGACTGGTTAGACGGCTCAAATTCTAGCCTCATGGCTCCCCCCCCCCCTCTCTAAGGTCTGGCTACGTCCCAGGTCTATTTCAGCTTCGTCCAATCGCTGTTCTTAAACAAGAAGGAATTTTGTTTTAAACTTTTGGACGTATTTGTTTACATTTTTCAGGCAAAGCCAATCAGAATGCCTACCGGAAGTAGTCTAAATTCATGTCTTCTGATTGGGTTACTGAAAATGTAAAGAAACTTTCTGATTGGTCTAAAACGAAATTCCCCCTTGCATCCGTGCTTACCATTGCAGACAAAACGCGAATTCAACAATCTCCATCCATTGCGGTCACATCGCATTATCCCAAAGACTAATGGGCTTTGATATCCAGGTTTACATGACAAGTATATTCGTTTTCCCAACTGGTGAGAGCCACTATTTTTCCAGCCTCGTGGACTTCGCACATGAGAATTCGCCGGCAGAACAACCCTTCCACATTGTTGTACTAAAGATGTAAATTACGAAGAAAGTCTTTAATAAACTTGCATTTAAAATTGAATATCCTCATGGTGAAAATGGCATTAGCAAGGAAAAGAGAGAATACAAAGCCAATCGACTGTACTCTAGGACCTCGCTCATACTCAGTCTTATTGAGTGGACGCTCATCCTCAATGAGTGCAACTCACTACTCAATGAGTGTCCACTCGCACTCACATAGTAAAATGCTACACTCACATTCCAACTATTCAAAGACATCATTCACACTCAAGTGAAACTCAGATTTTGAGAGAAGTGTGCGTGAGAGACACACCGCCCTTGAGCTACACTCAGTTGTGCTGAGATCAAACACATTAATTGTAGTTAAGCTGGTTATTTACGCCAAATTCATAAAAAGCAAAAGCTGCATCTTCATCGTCTTGTTTCGATGATGAAAGCCCACCACCGCTTAACTTACTCTCTCTTCTCCATCGCCAGTTATTTTTTGGTGCGGGCCTTTAAAGCCCCGTTTACACTACACTCGATTTATTGGCACGGCACGGCTAAAATGGGTACCCGTGCTCGGCCTTTGTTTTGGTTGCCTGAGTACTAATAAAATTGGGTACGGGTACCAATTTTAGCCGTGCCGTGCCGATAAATTGAGTGTAGTGTAAACGGGGCTTATATTTTATTTTTTATTTTTACTTTATTTTTTCTTGCATGGATTTCATTTTCTTGCATTTCCTTCCATCATTAATTACTAATCAACATGAAACCTTAACGCCAGCAAGTCACACTGGAGTGAGCTCTTTGAATACCAAGGGTGAGTGCGGTAGAGTGCGGCAGAGTGCCGCCTAATTGACGATAACGAAAAATATTGCGGATGTACATTTTACCAGAATGCACGGCGGTCAGAAATCGTTTCAAAAGCGAATTGAGGTTTTTTGAAGGGCAGATATAAAAAAGGAAGTTATTTTCTTCGTTGTGTTAAAGCTTTTTTATCATTAGGTGATTTTCTTCTCGTCCTTTGTTAGTCATTTTTATGCTTGATGCTCACAATGCATTGTGGTAAAATGTACATGCTGCCATCTTTTCTCACACTTCAGTTCCACTTGAGTGCAGCGCACTGGAATCTCACGTGCACTTAAATGTGAGTGTGAGTGAGGTTTTAGAATACAGGCGAATTGCAGTCTCACTGTCTCACCTCTGCAAACTGGTGGCGAAGAAGACCATTGCCCGTTGTTTTGACATTTTATACTAAGAGAATCTGTGGTTTCATATCCAGGAAAACATTCATATTGTAATGTAGTTTTTTCTGTGAAACCTTTTGTATTTTGTTTCCGATCACGGTTCACGTGGTTTGGTATTCCTGGATCTGGGCAGGATATTTCTGAATAAAGTGTATTTTGCGACATTAATCAGGGCCGTACACATGGGGGGAGGGTGTGACGCCCCCAAAAATGTCTGTCAGCAAAAATTAAATTGTTGAGAACTAAACGTCTGCAATGTTATGAAAAAATTGACTGAGGTGTTAATATGAAGTGGGAAATAAAAATCGTGCTAAACCAAAATCAACTTGAGGGGAACAGATCTAGTTAAACACACAATACGGTGATGCCGTGTAGCCGCATTGCTGTAGCGACTTCTACACGACTATATGAAGCGTCTTCACTCCTAGGGGGATGGAGAAGGCCCTCCAGAGATTTTTGCAATAAGAGGGAAGAATATCTAATTCTCTAACCCAAGAATATTTCTCATTAAAAAGTTCGATTATTTCCTTAAACTTTATCAACTTACTGCATCTTGTTTTTTTGCCATCCCACAGTCCTTTCGCACGGCATCTTCTAGTACGTGCGCCAAATAGAGTGTACTTCGGATTACACTCAAACCTCAGGGTAGAATTAAATGTTCTATCGTTGCCGATTATATTTCCATTTCTTAGTCTCTTCAGGTCTTTACATCTCATGCCTTTGAGAACAAGGAATGAATTTTCAAAACATCTGGATATTCCTGTTAGTAGTTTGTAGTTTCAAAACAATTCAACCGGGGCTGTAATTCAAATGGGGCCGCTGTAGAAAATAGCCTGAACAAGGCATTCGAGTAATTTTACACTAAATTCATTGGTACCATGAGACTGAATCCAATAATGTTCTCTAGCATAAAACTGATCCCCTTCAACGGTTTTAAAAAGATAAAACTTTCTTAATGTTAACGAAAAGCCCAAGTCTTTTAAACGTGAGGCGAATTTGGCAGTAAAAACAAAGCAAATGAAAATAATTTAGTTTTACTTAAGAATTAGTATACACTTGTGGTGAACCCGGCTTCGTGGAAACAGAAATCTTCACATTATTTTATAAACGTTTGCACCTTTCTAGCTCACCTCTCTTTACACAACTAAATCCGCAATCTCCGTCACAACGGCATTCCTTTTTGGGGTCGCTGCAACCAATAGCAACATTGCATTCATCGACACATTCACTTCCAGGCCTCTTGCTTGTTCGTGGACAAGGACTACCTAAAATTTAAACTTGATTTGACCTTGGAAATTTGACCTTGTAATATTACAATATAAATATGGCATCATTCTTCGAATATAAGAAACAAGAAAAATCTTTAAATAATATAACAAAAAAGATAGGTTATGCTTTGCGCAAGTTTGCGGGAGATAAAATTTGCATAAATTACGTAGATCAGTAATATAAAGGGCGAATCAAATTTGGGCTTCCCATATCTTTATACTGGAGAAGGTTATACAATAATAAAGTGGCTCCTATATCTGTACATGTATGGTCGCATTTACTGTGATTACATTCTTTTGATGTTAACTTACCCAAATCTTCTTTGATACAAAGTACAAAAACAGTGGCAAGGAACATCACAAGCTTCATCATTGTTTAGTCGACGGGACAAATTAAACAATACTTTCATGAAAATTAGTGTTTTAACAACGGAACACGGACGTTGTCGTGTTTATTTCGCCTGAAACAGGAACATGAAATTTAATATGTCTGACTACGTCTTTCATCACGTACGCACCACAATCAGGAGAAAAGTCGAGACAAAGCTGAAAAAACATGTTATATGATTCAAAATCTGCACTCATATTACACGAGTAGACGACTTCCTTAAGTAGTATTGTAAATTATGGGAAAACTACGCATCAGTCCTATCTATATGAACCATTATAAAAAGATACGAACAAGAATAAGCTTTTGTTTAGATATTTTATTTTAATATTGCTGCTTTTATATCCATTGATCAAGGAAAAGAGGAATAAGATAAAACAAACTGAAAATTGAAATTGAATTCTTAATTGAAATCCCTCACAGTGCCATAGTCTCCAAATTTTTTGCGAAGAAGATATAAGATTATACTGTCTTTTTGATTTTGATTTATTTGAATATATGTCTATCATTTGTATATATGTCTCGTGGATTGTCGCTTATAATATTAAACGCGAGAGAATGTTTGTTGTCATAGTCATAGAGTACGCAAGGCGCTTATTAGAGTTGGAGCTTCCGGAAAATCGCACTGGCCTCGCATCGTGGGAGAATTTCGTTTCAGACCAATCTGCAAGTTTGTTTACATTTTCACTAACCATGCAACCAGAATGCATTGAAAATGAAGCATTAATAATTTTGGTATTCTCTTTGGCTTTCGGCCTAAAAAATGTAAAAAGAATATGCCGATTAATTTAAAACGAGATGCCCCTTGTTAGAGGAAATAAACTCATTGGTATATGGCTAGGTCAATTTGAATATGGTGTAAGCAATCTTTTATTTAATACTATACGTGATTGCAAATAACCATGCAATTATGAAAGGCATTAAATTAATAAGGCGTTGTCAGTGGCGAATCTACTGTATAGTATTAATTAATAGGAATTGCAAAATACCAACGCAATGTTATTGGCTATGGTTTTCTAAAGATATTTTTAAGTAAAAATTTATTAAGTAAGAATTTAGCAAAGCGATTACGATTTTAAACTTTTGTTAATTATTCTATATAGATCTGGATACTTACTATAAAAATTTAAAAATGGATAAATCTGTAAAACTTATTGTTGATTAAGCCGGCGAAACGACGGTCTGTGTTTTAGATTATATACTATAGCTTATATAGACTAGGCTAATTTTCGCTTCCCCAACTCCCGAAACCGAGGACAGCCTAATAAGTGGGGAAAAGAGCGAATAGGAAAAATCAAAATAAGATTGCTGAGGAAATAAAGATCATTTTTATATCCCCAAGGCAAATATCAGTTTTTGTGAATTGTTTACAAGACTCTTTTCTTTGTATGCTATAAAAATTGTGACGAAAAACTGTAACGATCGAGTCTTTTATAACTGTACTTATCTCAGAAACGTTAATTTCCTAATAGCGACGTAGCTGATACCTGCACTGAGCAGCATGCTTGTTTTTGAAAGTAGCCAAGCTGTTTTTTTCATATTTTTAAACATTGATCACGCGTAAATTGCATGCCGAAAATGATGGTTCTGGACAAACAAACGACAGTTCACATGCACTCTTGAAGTACTTCAATCCTTAATTCTTTTGACGTCAAAACATGACATGTAATTAATGATTGCTAATGGCCGAAATTTATATATATTAGTCAGGTATAATTCAGTACAAACATCGACTATTTCCCCCATGTCTTACTAAAGTGGTATTTGCATTGAGGGTAGGCCTACATATCTTTATTTCCTCAACAACCCTATTTCAACTCTTCTCAACGACTTCTTTTGCATGCATATCATACTGAATTATATAACCCAAAACTAAAGGTAGGCCTAGCCGGTGTTAGTATTGCTTCTAGTCATTTTATTCTATTTTTATCAAACACCGCGTATATATTTATTACCTTAACTTAAGTTTTATACTTAGTTTTATCTTACGTCCAAATGCATAGGTTTTCTTGGTTTTTCGTCTTCTCAGTAACCACTTCCTCACCGTCATTCCACACCTATGGCTATGAGACATGTTATTGGAACATAAATATAACTATATTCGTGTTGAATATTATGGAAGATAATGATACAAATAACATGCACGTATTAAATCACAAGAAATAGGGCATATAATTTCATATAAGCTTTTGTATCAAGACTGACGACTTTTTACAAAGTCATCTGTCAGTATAAAGACAGCTGAAGTGCAGCAAAGTGTTTACGAGAGTCGGAATGTAGCTACTTAAAAACAATGCAAACTGAGGAATGAAAATAGCTTTTTAACGATTATTGCTGATGTTGATATGCTTGTATTTCGAAAACTTTTGTTTGATATATTGACGAAAAAAAAGAAAGATTGCATGTGACTTGTGGTAAAAAAAATGTGAAATTACTATATCCTGAGTCTGAGAGCAAGCGTCATACAGTTTTCCGTTTTATAGAATATTATGATGTTTTGATACCCGTAAAGTAATATATGTACAAAATATGTATAAGTACAAAATTATTTCACTCCAGCAACACTGCACGAGCAGTTTATGTCCCGCGTACCTATATATTCGTATAATTACTACAACTAAAACCCAGATTAAATTACAACATACATACGTATTTTAAGATAAATAGCTACATGGAACATGATGGCAACACAGAGTAACTAAAACGAATGAAGAAAGTGGAAAATGCCCTGAAAGATTTAGTGCCTGAGGTTCAAAACCTTCGGTGACCTAAATGTGTGTAGAAGAAGGCGTAGATTGGATCGAGAGCCGAGAGGTTCCGGAGGCTACATGCGTCAATCATCAATCATCAATATTTCCTGATCTGTTATTTATGATGCAATCTCTTTTCCAGGCTATTTTTGGCTTATTCGGTTCGGTTAGCTCAGGGAAAAAGCAAGGTTAACTAAAGAGATTTGTTAAATATATAGGTTAATAATTTTGACCTCCCAAAATCTTAATTTATTTTTAGCGCTTGAATGACTATATGCATAAGGTGCATTTTCAATCAAAAAATGCTTTTGTCGATCGACATTTTAAAGATTAATTTACCTGGAGAGTCAGGAGAGATCGTAAATAATATACTAAAAATATACTAAAAAAGCTTTTATTTCATTCATGCAGGCTCACGAAACATAGTAATGATTCAACTTCGAAGTTTCATGAAAGGGCTCATTTGAAGTTAGCGTAGTATATGAATGAAATTTTATGCTTATGAAATTACGAATTACGAAAGGATATTATATACAGCAGTTAGTCCATGCGTGTTTTTAAAGATTATAAGGTAATTTAACTGTAAATTTGTTTGTCTGAAAGCCACTGTTTTTTTCGCACTCGTGTGTCATGGTAGATATCGTCACATCTGAGAACCCTTTCTTCCTTTAGTGATCTTCATATGTAATTTAATTTAAACTTCTTTGTGGGTTTTGTTTTTCTTAGCCGAATTTTGTAGTATATTACAGCTGAAATATACTAAAGCTGAAAGTTTTCAGTGCAAGGATGCAATCGTTGCTTTATATTTTTCGGCGTCTGCTAATATTAAAATAATGCTGCACTTCAGGTCTTCTTCACGTCCCAAGTTAGAAAGAGAATTTCGTCCAAAGGCAAAGCGGACTGACGCGCCAGCAACAATTAAGCTTGTTTTAGTCAAAGCGGGTTAACTGGGCAAACGCATGTAGCCGTTAGGTTTAACGATAGACAATCCAAAAGACAATTTTGTCTTTTCGCTTGTTTATGGTTTAACATACCTGCAATTTACAAATTATTAAGTAAGCAGCCGCTAGCTTGGTTTGCATGACTATAATGTTTTGTTGTGTGCCTGAATCGGAAATTGTAATAAGGTGCTTGTATAGATATTGACTGGTGTTCAAGTGATACTGTGATACGGAAGTGAAAGTGATGATTGATCTTCATCATGAAGAACAAGAAGACTTTCGTGAGTGTAGCATAATGCAAATTTGCAGGAATATTGCTAAGTTATGCATAAATCAGCATAAACAGCGCGTATAAAGCTAGTCGAAAACCGCAGCTTGATAACAGAAGTGAGAAGAAGTTCAGAAGACAACAAGAAAAATCTAAGGAAGAATAAAGTGCAGAGATGAGGACATTGTATTTGTTACTTGCACTTGGTCTGCTGTGTGCAGTGGTATATTCAATACCAGTCGAAGATGATGAACCTTTGGAAAACGAGTTGAAAGAAGGTACCAATTTGCAAGCATAGTGAGATATTAGTTATCATAAAATCTTCAGATCTCCTTCATTCTGGAAAATATGAACATTTAGTTACAGCTTAAAATACCGAGCATTCGAATCAATCGGATTCGTTAATTTGTTTTAAAATTCAGTGTTGAATGCCGAAGTTAATGAATTAGACTATGTCTGTAATACGAACACCCGACAAAAATCCTGAGGACGGTGAAGAGCAAACCAAGGAGAGTTAGGAGACTCCACGGCGAAAATCAGTTCAGAAGATCAGAAAAAAGCCAGCCTACTGCTCAGACTTGATTGGAAGTAGTTCGTAAATAATTGTTGAAAATAAATGTTTACAATCTTTTGTAGAGAATGATGAAAATGCCTTGGAAGAAGACGATGAAGACGATGAAGACGACGACGAGTATGTTTTATAAATCTCTCTTTAACACACCACATCTTTGCTTTGGGTTAATTTCATGAGAGGGTTATTTTATTAAAAAGGGGGTGAAGGTATGGAACTAATTTTCTAAATAAGTACTTTCACTATTAAATTTGTGAACGCGAGCAACCAGAGAATAACGAGATATTTTAATTAAAAAAGAGAGAATCATTTGAAGCCAGGTACTGCGGTTTATGCACAATACGAATCTATATCAAACACACAATATAATCATATGCCAAACACTTCTTAACAGCGTTTCAATAATTTTAACTAACATGTACGAATTTATTGACGAACACAAATTTATCAGCCAGACTCTGGGTATGGCTGACTCAGTTTTAGGGATACATGCAGTGCCACAATACAACTGAGTATACGATACTGCATGACGTAGCCAAATGTTAAGAGATCAAAACTACTCGCATAGTCTCATGCTAACTTATACTTTGTGAACGGTAATTGCATCATTTCTATATGTTAACTTCATGGCCAATTCAGTAAATAAAATCTGACCAGTTTTAACAGCTAAAATGTGTCCAGTGCAATACTGATCTATAGCTTATCTGAGTACTGTACGACAATCCTAGCTTAGTTCTTACGTTCTTCGTTACGATTCCTGAAATAATTTCACGTGTGAAATATTCGCAAGGAACAAAGGATCATTTTACATCTAAACTAGTCTATGCCGCATTTTCTTAATTCTTAAAAAAATAAGATAAGCTATCCTTCAACTGACCCGGTATATGGAATTTTTTAGTGGCGAAGTTCAAGTTCAAGCAGATCCTTCAGCAAGATATAGGAGGCCGAGGTACAGGGGCGGATTTCGCAGGCGTAGGCAAGGCAGGCGCAGACGTAGCAGGGGTGGATATGGCGGGCGCAGGGTTGGATATGGCAGGCGCAGGGTTGGATATGGCGGGCGCAGGGGAGGACGTAGATATGGTCACCGTGGATAAATATGCTACTTGATGTAAGTATACTGCATGCGTTTGCTAAAGCCTGGTTTACACTTGTTTTAAGAACAGAAGATCTCCGCATCATCATGAGTGGATGATTATTGTCATTGAAGTAAAAAATACCGCTTTGTCTGTCGGAAGAATTTCCGATTTTTGTGTGAGCAAGTTTTGTAATTTCCCGAGAAATTTATGTGCACAAAGGTTACATGTTGTATTTCTTTCTTGTTCAGGATAAAAGACTGGACACGCTGAAATGAATGGACAACATTAAAATGATAGCTTTTTAAATTAGTGGCCATTCTTTCCAAATGTAATTGTAGAATTATGAAAAATCATGCATTGACTATACTTGCGTTTGTGTTTTGTTTTTGTGTGTGTGTGCAACTGAATCAGTGAACAACATTTTTTATTTTTTAATTTATTTACCTATTTTAACTTCGCCAGTACCATGCATTCATGGCAGGGTCACCACAACAGTGCGGCACCAATTACTCCAATACGCGCTATTCACAATGCCTTAGGCCTGATTCACTCCTAAGAATCGGGGATCCATTAATTGTATTATTTTCCGATAGACAAAGCATTTGCGCACCATTTCCGTTTGTTTGAATTCACTAGTAAAATCCACTGATACAGCTTTGACTGAATTCCTGCTACAACTTACATCATGCATAACTTAGCTTGGTATGCAATGAAACGCCAACAGTGAATGTCAGTCATATTCCAATCAGTCAGACCGAGAGTTTCAATTCAGGTTCATAAGAACTGCTGAGCATTAATGTAGCTGATTATTTTAGGGAAGTATAAGCAGGCGACCAAAGATTAAAACAATATCTAACACGAGTATCAACATTGCACAATGCAGCTTAATTGTCATACTCCGGCTGTTTCTCCACCAATTCTGATGTATCTTTACGCGAGGTCGGGACTCGCCATGACATGATAGAGCTTTCGGGATTCGTCGGCATGACACGAATGATAGAGCTTAAAGTTTCTCACTTTCTGCCAGTCTTTATTCCTTGCATGGTTCTGAGTTTCCTTCAACGTATCACACGATACATCGATAGCCGTCTAACAGTACGTTACATAAAGGTTACATGCAGGTATTTAGACCGTATAGGTTTATCATACGAATGGTGTATATCTAAATCAACTTGGATTTGAGGTAACAAAACTTCTTACAGCTGCTTATGTTGACAATGATTTATACTCTAAGACATAATTTCATGGTGATCATGCCTTATATATTAAATTGTGTTTTCTCTCTTCATGCACAATCAAATTAGTTTCTGAAACATTTCGGTCCAGTCAACTCTACTGCATGCACACGGGTGTAGACAGTGTTTTGTTAGTTTTGTTAACACTGTTTCATGTGCCTGGATAAGCGTAAAATGTTGTGAGATCATTATTGACCTATAATATTATATTGTATTATTAGGAGCATATTATATTGTAGTTATAGGCGAAACTAATAGAAACTCATTATGCGAATTAAACAATTAAGTACTGTTATGTTAATCAAGTAAAAGACCCAAAAAAGATTTGCTATATAAACTCGTCTAAATATTCTGCTGCATGTAGTCGACGAAACTTTCTTTAATATGTATATCTCCTCACACCTGAGTTGTGTTTGAGTTTATAACTGGCAGGGGCGCCGAGAGGGGGAGCAGGGGCGCATTCTGAAGGGGTCCCTGACTTAAGAAAGAATCTAAAATTAAAGCCCCTGACAAAAGTGTTGGGCTCAGTGTATTATTCGCACAATAGTTTAAAATGAATTAATAAGGGGTTGTCAGTGTCGAATCTACTGCGATAGTATTGAATTAGTCGCCGTCATCGGGTACTGCGTAGTGATGTAGACTGATGACGTATATAATTTGAAAATTAAACGAGACTTACCTGTAAGTTGAAGTTTGATTTGAATTATATGAAGTCATCAGTCCGGAACGAAGGAGTAACATGCGCTCCCTTCACTGTGGAGAGTTGTCCCTCCCGATACTCCTTCGTTCCGTCTGAGAATCAGCGAGTTCGCTGCCTTTAAAATATGGCTAGGAAAGCGAGCGCGTGCTTCGCCAATTTCAAATTCAGAATATTAATGCAATGCTATTGGCTATGGATTTCTAAAGAACATATTTAAGTAAAAATTTAGCAAAGCGATTACGATTTTAAACTGTTGTTAATTATTCTACCTCACCCTGGATCTGCCACTAGACGCATGTTATATAAATCTGGATACTTATTATTAAAAATGGATAAATCTGTAAAACTTAATTGATTATTATTACTTCTTCCCTCGGAATTTTAAGGCGGGCAAAACGACGGTCTGTCAGTGTTCAGGCTATACTATAGCTTATGATAGACTAGGCTAATTTTTTGCTTTCTCGAAACCGAGGAGAGCTTAATAAGTGGGGAAAAGAGTGAATAGGAAAAATCAAAATAAGATTGCTGAGGAAATAAAGATAATTTTAAATATCCCCAAGGCAAATATCAGTTTTTGTGGATTGTTTACAAGACTCTTTTCTTTGTATACTATAAAAATTGTGGCGAAAAACTGTAACGATCCAGTCTTTTATTACTGTACTTATCTCAGGAACGTTAATTTCCTAATAGCGACGTAGCTGATACCTGCAGCAGCATGCTTGTTTTTGAAAGTAGCCAAGCTGGGTTTTTTATATTTTTAAACATTAATTACGCGTCAATTGCATGAAAATGATAATTCTGAACAAACAAACAAACGACAGCTCACATGCACTCTTGAAGTACTTCAATCCTTCCTTTTACGTCAAAACATGAGAGGTAATTAACGACTGCTACTGGCCGAATTTATATATATTAGTCAGGTATAATTCGGTACAAACATCGACTATTTCCCCCATGTCTGAAGTGGTATTTGCATTGAGGGTACGCCTACATATCTTTATTTCCTCAGCAACCCTATTTCAACTCTTCTCTACGACTTCTTTTGCATGCATATCATATAATTATGTAACTCAAAACTAAACGTAGGCCTAGCCGGTATTAGTATTGCTTCTTAAGTTTCTCACCTGCAATACGTTGTCCCCATTTAGCCTCGGGGAGGGCATATTAATCTTAGTATTTTCACATTTACAATGTCCTATATTATATTACTTTCTGAGCAGTGAATGTTCATATATGCCTGATTGCCTGTATATATATACAACTCGATGTCGATGATACAAATGTAAATAGTACGGCTTGCATGCTTACGCTCGCTCTCAGACTCAGGATATTGTAATTTAACATTTTTTTTTACCACAAGTCATTTGCAATCTTTTTTCTTTTTGTTAATATATCAAACAAGAGTTTTCGAAATACAAAAGTATATGAACATCTGCAATAACTTAATCGTTAAAAAGCTATTTTTATTCCTCATGCAGTTTGCATTGTTTTTAAGTAGCTACAGTCCGACTCTTTAAGAAGCTACACTTTGCTGCACTTCAGCTGTCTTCATACTGACAGATAACTTTGTAAAAACATCAATATCAGCTAATAATTCAGTTTCCCCTGACTAAAAAAAGACGTCAGTCTTTATACAAAAGCTTATATGAAATTATATATGCCCTATTTCTTGTGATTTAATACGTGCATGTTATTTGTATCATTATCTTCCATAATATTCAACAGAAAAACAGTTATATTTATGTTCCATAACATGTCCCATAGCCATAGGTGTGGAATGACGGTGAGGAAGTGGTTACTCGGAAGATGAAAAACCAAGAAAACCTATGCAAAATTTCACTGCAAGATAACCAACGAAATTCGAGCAATACATCTGTTTCATCCTGTGTAAAAAAATATTTCACACGATTAATGTTAGGTTGGATGTTGGAACACCTCTAATTAATTCGAAATCTATATTTTCTTATGTAGATTGTAGGCTAACAGGATGATTCGTATTTGGTAACTCGTAATGGTTGTTATGGTTGTTCCTCTAAAATTTCTTGGGAACACCCCAGTATTTGAAAAAACATATGTTTCAAAAGTATATGTTTCAAAACCTGCATTTTGGTCTTAAGGGATAGTATTAGGGCGTAAGATAATTGTTGTATAAAACTTAAGGTAATAAATAAACCCGGCGTTCGATAAAAATAAAATAAAATGACTACCTCGTCATAATATTAAGAAGTAGAAAATAGCATTTGACATTTGTGCAAGTATTCAAACTGTTAAGGTTGATTAAGAATTAAGATCACGTGTTAAGAACTGATCAATGAACACATGACTGCATGCATAATATTTATAGCTAATATTTTTTTGTCGGGAGGGCAGTTGGAAGATACTTTATGAAATTGAAATATTTTAGGCCCACTCTTTGATTGAATCTATACAAAATCAGCTTTATTATAGCCTTAAAGTTCAGTTTCGCACTTATTTTAATTGTCAGTTATTATATTCTCATGTATAATCTCTTTTGTTCATAGGCCCAGGTGCTTCCAATTTGTATTTTAAATGTGATTGGTTCACATCACTTTAAATAAATGCAATTTTTCCCACCAGGGAAACAAGTAAAAGTATTGTTGCCCCCTTCTTGTCGTAACAAAGTAAAGTGGCTTTTTTAAATGAAATTGTTGTGTAACATGAATATTTTTGTTCCTACATAACAAAGCACTTAATGTACACTACCTCGGGAAATATAGTGAGTTTTGTTTTCCCTCGAGTCTCAATGTTTCCCGAGACAAACTCTTGGGAAAACAAAACTCATTATTTCCCTCGGGAGCATACATTAAGTGTATAATATTTAGCGTTGTCGAGATAATAGCGTCACACTGTCTTCCGTTTTATAGAATATTATGATGTTTTAACACTTGTAAAGTAATAATTATATGCGTTTGACCATGCATTATAATATTATGTACATCACAAGTACAAAATTATTTCACTCCAACAAGACTCCACGAGAAGTTTATTTCCGGCCCCCGCATCTATATTCGTATAATTACTACAACTAAAACCCAGATTAAATTACATCGAAATATTTGTATACATACGTATTTTAAGATACATAGCTACATGGAACATGATGGCAACACAGAGTAACTAAGACGAATGAAAAAAGTTGAAAATGCCCTGAAACTGCAGGGCCGTAGCTAGACCGCTTAATTGGGGGGGGGGTGTATGAATCATATATGCATGCATGTTTATGTCAATGTCCTGAAAGATTTAGTGCCTAAGGTTCAAAACCTTCAGTGACCTAAATGTGTGTAGATTGTAGAAGAAGGCGTGGATTGGATCGAGAGCCTAGGGGTTCCGGATGCTACATGCATCAATCATCAATCATCAATATTTCCTGACCTGTTATTTATGATGGTTGGGTTAGCCGGGGAAAAAGC